GCGACACAGTTACGCGGCACAACTACCGCACGTACGGCGCAGGAGGCGCGCCGGCGTCGAACAACGGCCGGCAGCGCAGGGAGGACGTCGAGATGGACGATGCCAGCGCGTCCGAGGGTGAAGAGGAGGACATCAGCTTCGGCGAGTAGGCGCAGGGCCCACATTTCGTCATGCATTGTCATTCTCATTGTACCCAGTAGTCGATCTGCCTCGGGCTGGCCCGCCAGTATGGCTGTATAGCATGTCGTTCTCGATTGTACAAGTTCTTCCTCTCTCTCGCATCCCTCGCAACTACAGCTACTCGTTTAATCCTTCGATTGCGTCGTTACAGCGGCATCTTGAGCTCTACTTCAGATTGAGCTGCATCGAGTACGCGTCCTGCGGAAAATGGAGGCGAGTCAGCTAAGCGATCCTCGACCTTCCTCAGCCGCTCAAGTCCGCAGCGAGCGTCACTCACCTCGCCATCCGCATCTGCGAGTACGAGCACGCATGGCGATGTCAGCGAGACGGCTTGGGCGAGGCTCGGCACGGGACAAACGCACAGTAGCTCTTCTCAATCTTGACAACCTCGAACCCGAGCGTATCCTTGTACAGTGCCAGCGCTGCTCGGTTCGTCTTGCGCACATGCAAGCTTACGTATGCAGCGCCGTACGTCGTCTTCATCGCTTGCTCTGCAGGGTGAGGGGCGAAGTGAATGTCAGCCATCCGTTCTGACCCGCCTTTGCGACATTGAGACAACGGCGAGGAGAGCTTTGAGCTGATCACGAGACTTACGGGATAGCTGCATGAGCTTGTTCGCGAGTCCTAGCCGCCGGTAATTCCGCAAGACCGAGATCGACGTGACATGGCCGTGCGCCTCCTCCGTCGGCTCCTCGTCCCTGTTGACGTTCGCAGGTCAGCAGGCGGTCATCTCGAAGCCCGAAACGAGCTCACATCTTCGCCAGGATGTAGCCGACAATCCGACCCTTGTGGTCCTCTGCAACGAACGACACCTGCGGCCAGGTCAAGCCGTGGTACAGATCTGTAAGGAGCTCATGTCAGTCTCTCGCAGCTTTGACACGCTCAAAGGAGGTCGCGGACGTACAGTACTTCATCTGGTAGTTCTGCAGCAACGAAACAGCGTTAACGGACGATCAGCAGAACTCAAGACCGGCAACGCACTTCTGGCAGGTTGTGCAGGTTGCAGTTCTGCATGTTCATCAGGTCGGCGACCGTCGCTCGTCGGAGATTCATCTTGGCGAGGAGGTGAGGAAGGGAGCAGGCGAGAGTAGGTAGAATCGGCTGGTTGGAAGGTCGTCGAAAGCAGCGAATGGACCTGTGAATCTGTCAAAAAGGAACGGAAGTGTCAGCGTGCGTCTCCTCGCCCTTGTCGCGCACCTTGCTCCTCATCAGCAACCCGCGACCCTCGAGACGTCCGTCCGCCAATATCGCGCGAAGCTACCCGCTTGCCCATCTCCGAGGCTGTACGAGCACGCAGGGCGCTGTGATAGACCTGCGCCTGCCATCAGAAGCCGTACCCACCACGCCCTGTCGTGTTCCGAGGCGGTGAAGGTGTTCGGGAGAATCTGACGGGCAGAACGAAAGGCGAGAGAGACAGCGGGCGCAGACTGACCGAAAGGGCGCTGACGGCTTGTATAGCGTGCGAACGGGGAGAGCGAGGGAAGTTGGGCGGCGACAGACCTAATCCTCCTCGCGCAACTTGACCTCGAGGATATCCGGCTCTCTCGCAGGCAACGTGGCGAACGTAGGCGCAGATGCAGAAGGGGTACAGAGTGAAACACAACAATGGCACAGCTGGAAAAGGAGACGAAGCGCAAGGAGAAATCGTCGAGTCCGGCTCGCTCGTTCAGTGCGCCGCAATAGCCCGTCCGTTCGGCAGGCCCTTGCGCTTGTTGAGCTTGCGCTTCGCGTCGAGGATGCCTTGGAGCGAGAGAGTCTCGGGGATCCAGGGCGAGACGTTGATGACGAGGACCTTCATCTTCGGGTGGTAGGCGAGGTCGGGCAGGAGCTTCGGCGTGAGCAGGAAGTATCTGCGCGCGGCGAGCAAGATGAGCATCCAATGGGAAAGTAAGCGGCGATCGACGTACTGTCCCACATCGGCCTTGCACGTTGTCTCGACGAGCATCTTGTGCATGTTGCGCTCGGCGCGCTGGTCCATGCCCTGGTTGATCTCGTCGACGAGCGCGAATGGCGCACGAGCCAGCTCGGCGAGAGCGAGAAGGTAGGTGACGGTCGTGAGGGCGCGTTCCTGCGAGACAACAACAAGGTCAATTCCGCATCTCGTGAGCGGGCGAGTGACGGCAACTCGCTCCTCCCGACTGGCGGTGCCCGCTGAGGACGTGAAGCTCGACATCGGTCGAGTTGTCTTTGCGGTCGCGGAACGAGACCATGATCTCGATGCCCCACTTCTCGTAGTCGGGGTCCTTCGCGAGGCGGACCTCGCCGAGCAAGCCGAGGGCTGCGGCGTGTAAGGTTTTAGCATGGGACCAACTCGGTGAGAGAACTGCAAACTCACTCTCGAAAGAAGCGGTAAACTTGGCGGAGACCTCGCCGACGAGATGCTCCAGCTCAGGCAACCAGCGACCCTCGGTCGTCTCGATGACCTTCTTTGACTCGTCGAGCTTCTCCTCGGCGTCTTCGAGCTTCGACTTGAGGTCGTTGATCTGCGCGAGACATGTCAGCGAGCTGTCCGGGACAAGGCAGGGTTTGGCGGCTCACCTCGACTTTGCGCTTGTTGTACGCGTCGAGGACGAGCGGGCTGACGGTGATCGTGCAGTTGAGATTCGACTCGATCTCGACAATCTTATCCTCGATGGTCTGCAGCGTCTCCTCGCCCGACTCGCGGCGCTCCTTGACGCGCTCCTTCTGCTCGTCGCTGAGCGCTGCGACGGCCTCCTGGTACGCCGCATTGTGGCGCTTGCCCTCCTTGAGCAGGGCGGCGACCGCGGCCGTAGCTGCGGGTGACTCTGGTCAACGAGCGATGTTGTGAAGAGGGGCGGAACACGCACCCCGCTCGAGCGCCTCCTTCTTCTCCTCGAGCTCCTCGTCGCGCTCGCGGACCATGAGGTCCATCGCGCGGTGGTCGCTCTCGGCCTGCAAAGTCTGCAGGTGCACCTTGATGCTCGACTCCTGGACGTCGGCGGCCTTGACGAGGAGGTCCTTGTACTCGATCGTAAGCTTGACCCGCTTCTCCATGAGCTTGCGCATCCGGGCCGCGAGTTGCTCGCGCTTCTCGGTCGCCGACGGCTTGCTCAGCTCGCGCTGGAGCGAGCTCTGGAGCGAGGCTGCGCAGGTGTAAGCGTCAGTGGCCGTGGTTGCATCCTCTCACAAGCGAGACACTCACCGAGCTTCGACTTGGACCTCTGCCACGCCGTGCGAGCCTTAGACATGGCACTGCGCTCCTGCATGAGCTCGTCCTGCGTACGAATACATCAGCGATGCGCTCAAGCGGGGTGAGGGAGCCGGACGCACCCTTTCCGCCGTAAGCTGATCCGCCTGCGCGCGCAAGTCACTCTCGACACGGCCGAGTCGCTGTAACTCGCCGTGCAGCCTCTTGCGCTCCTCGTGAGTCTCCTCGATGCGCTTTGTCACGGTGCTGATGCGGCTCTGGTCGACTGTGCGAGACGAAGCCTCGTCAACAAGCAGTCTCGTCTAGCGGGCGCGCAGGCTACGCACCGGAACTGTTGAGGATCTTGGCTTGCTGCGGCGCACGTTGGTCCGTCTGCGCGAAGCGGCCGCCATACATCGAGTACTTGATTGAGCTGGATCCCTCGCGGGTGTAGTAGCGCTGGATGACCTTGTTCTGCTCGATGGCGGCAGCGTCGACGCGACGACGGTCGAGCTGGATAGGCACCTTGTGCAGGTTGTGCTGCTGGCAAAGCCAACTGAGGATGGCCGGAGGACCCTCGATGAGGTCGATAGCCCAGGCGTCGAAGCCAAGCGCGTTGAGCTGCTCGTCCGACAATGGGCGAGGGATACGGTCGATAGGAACAGGGTTGCCGAGTTCGGCGCCGTTGAAGCGTAGACCGGAACCGGGCTGTCGAGCGTTCGGCTGGTCGTGGAGGATGCTGTACATGAGGTCGTAGTCTTCGCGGTACTCGCAGAGGAACGTCTGCGCGGGTCTGGCTGTGTCAGCTAGGGAGCAAGTCGCTTCGAGCGCTCGACGTACGCTGAAACCATTCATCGGGATCGGACCTTCAATCATGTCGACGAGCCCCTTGTCGAGCACGTCAAGTTTCCGACCCTTGTACTCCTTCTTCAGGAAAAGATTGAGTCGACCGGGCTCGTAGATCTTCCCCTTGAACCTGTCTTCGTTCTTCCGTAGCCATTCGACAGCCCGCCAAGCGTCCTGGTCGAAGCGCTGACAGGCCGCCTCGCGGACCTTGCCGGCTTCCTGCAGGCGAGCGAGGCTACGAGAAGGCAATCAGCTGCTTCTGCTTGAACGCGATAACGCGAGAGAGCTCACTCGTGCCTCGACTGATCCTCCTGCGCCTTGAGCCGCTGACCCTCGTACTGGACGTTGCCGATCTCCTGAGCGGTCTCCTGGATCTTGGCCGCAACATCGTTCTTCTCGTTCGTCTTGTCGCGAATCTGGCGGTCGATCTCGGATGTGTCGGCTTCGGCCGGCTCGTTCTCGACGATAGGCTCGAGTTTCGCGATCTCCTTGCGGCACTTCTGGATGTTCTCGCGCCGCGTCGTCTCGTCGCTCTTGATCTGTCGGATCTTGTCCGCCGTCGCTGAACGCTCGTCGTCCTGCAGGAGAAGAGGGTCAATCGCAAAGGCGACGAGAGAAGGAGCGTCGGTGCTCACGGCCTTGGCGAGCTGCTGCTTTTTCGACTCGGCGTCTTTGAGCGCAAGCTGGACCTTCTTGGCGAGCTTGTCCTGCTGCGAGATGCTCGAGTCGACAAGCTTCTTGAGCGCCGCCTTGCTATCCTTGAACGGGCGGTTGCGCTCTTCAAGCTCGGCAATCTCATTCGCGACAACCGTCTTCTCCTGCCTCGCGCGCTGGTAGTTCTCGTACGCGACGTCGTACTCGAACGCGCGCTGGAGGACCTGCGCTTCGCCGAGCTCTTGCTCGAGACGCTCGCGCTGCTGGAAGGCGTGCACTTCCTTCTCCGTCTCGGCTTGCTTCGTCTGCTTGCGCTTGAGCGACTTGGAGACGCGGTCGACTTCCTGTGAGCGGCAATGGCGACGAACCCAACGGAACAGAGTCAGCTTGCGCCGATTTCGTTCCCAACGGATGGAAGCGCTCGACGCACCTCCTGCGCAACCTTGCACGTCTTGTACTCCTGGATGAGGACCTCGTGCCACGCCGAAAGCTGCTCGTGACCCGCCGCGCGTTCCGTCTCGCGAAGAAGGCCGGAGGCGGTCATCATGGCGAACGAAGCGACGCGGTCTTGCGGGAGGAAGGTGCTGCAGGATTCGCGTCAGTCAGCAGGAAGAAAGAGGAATGCGTTGGACGCACCAGAGGTTGCCGACCTGGACTTGCAGCTCCTCCATCTTCTCTGCGACCTCTTTCGCCGCAGTCTCGTTGCCTGCGAGGGAGATTAATCGTCAGACAAGGCGGGCTGTTGGCAGAAACGTAGACGCGGTGCGTGTTGAAGCGTCAGATTACGAAGCGAGACTGACCGTCGACCATGAACTTGGTCCTCTCCGAGTCGCGGTAGAGGTAGCGGCGGATGACGAGGTTCTTCTCGCCCGGGTGGCCCTTGAGCTCGATCTCGATCCATGTCTCTTGGTTCGAGTCGTTCTTGCAGTACTGCGAGAGCTTGGTAGCACGGCCGAGGACCTGCGAGCGAGGGAGAAAGGGAGATGTCAATCTTGCGAGAGTGAAATTGCTCGGCCGAACGGCGCACCTTCGGGGAGAAGCCGAGGCCGAGGGCGATGGCGCATGCGATGGTGCTCTTGCCCGTGCCGTTCGGGCCGATGATCATGTTGAGCGCCGGGCCCGGGTTGAACTCGACTTCGTCGTAGGTGAGGAACGAGTGGCATGCGATGCGGACGATGGAGCCCGTCACGTAGCTGCGCGGCGTTCTCAACGTCAGCGAGGTCACGGTCGAGGCACGAGAGAACTGGCACGCACCCAGTGTCGTCGCGCACGAGCTGCTTCCTCTCCCTCGGGACCATCTTGACGTCCTCGCGCTCGTCGTCCTCGCTGTCGTCCGAATCCTGCACGCGAGCCCTCTCCTTGCCCTTCCCGTTCACTCCATTCTCCAGCTTGACACGCTTGGCCGTGTGCGAGTCGCTGTGGTCCTCATCGCCGTTTGCGGGACGAGGGGATGAGTCGGGGTCGTCGTCGCTGTCCGAGTCGACCGCGCGCCGCCTCGTCTTGCCTGTCGACGTTGTGCGCTCTGGTTTGACGCGCGCCGTCGGCGTGTCCTCGTCCGAATCCGACATGGCGTCGAGGAACAAGGTGAACTTGCGCGACTCGACGCGCGAGTCTATTGTTGAAACAATACAACCCAGTTGTAATCAGCTTGTAATCAGGTCGGCAATACAATCGAGTTGTATTCGAGCTTGTATTCGGCTGTTGTATTCCCTCAACTCGCCCCACTTGTGTTCTTCGCACTCCCTGCAAAGAACGCTGGCCTGGACGATGGCTGGGCAGCCGTCGCAGGGCTCTGCTCATGCTCAGGGACACACTCCTCCTAGCGCAGGAGGCTCTTCCTCGCTTCCTCCCATCTCGCTCGACACCTTCCGCGCCGCCTCGTTCGATGTCGCCAAATTCGTCACGCAGCTTATGGACGAGGATGTCAGGAAGGCAAAGGAGGACGGAGCTGGTCAGTCGCGCTTTCAGATCAGGTTGACGAGGAGGATTGAGCGGTGTTCGCGGATCATCAGGAGCGTACCGACGCAGGCAGCTCTTCGTTGGCGGGACTTGGCTCGGCACTGAGCCCTTGAGGAAGGCTGGCACGCCGCTGTACGGGATCATAGGCCTTACGATGTGGTGTCGTCGACGTGCCGTCTTCATCTCTCGGGGCGATGTCGGCTGTCGACTGGGGATTGCGGCTCATTCCTGCGCTTCCTTGCCGCTCCCAGCGGTCTTCGGAGCTGTACAGATGGTTGGCGTTTGCTGATCCTCCCGCGCTCATGCTCCACAGCCTTCGACCCAGCCCCCCACATCCGCACCCTCGAAGCGGCACTCGCCCAACTGCTCCCTCTGCGCAAGGCGAATGCGCAGAAGACGAGCGAGCTTGAACGGCAGGTCGCTGTGGCGGAGCGGGCGTACAGGGGTGATGTGAGGGGTGCGAAGGCCGGATTTGAGGTGGGTTCTCCCTTGCTTTCTCGACGATGATGCGCGCGGACCGCTCTACTGAGCGCATCGCTGTGCTACAAAATGTCCGCGCGGAGAGTAGAGGCTGACCACACTCGGCCGTACCTTCTAGACGGTCAACACGCAGTTCCAGGCGCTCGACACCAAGATCACCTCGATTGGCCGAACAGCTGTTCGGATAGGTGCGTCGACGTTCCTCGATTGCGCTCTGTCTTGCAGTAGCAAGTGCAAGCGCTTACCCAGGTAGCCGGCTCACAGGCGAGCAACTCGAATCGATCGACCGGCTACGACAACGAGGGAGCGAGGCGCACGACCTGATTCTATACTACAACGAGTTTGCGGCGGGCGATACGAGTCGGTGCGTCAGCGCTTCATCTCCGACTGCTGTGCAACACACCGCACTACGGATTCCGGTAGCTGACGACGTGTCTCTTCTCGCTTGCAGGCTAGAAAAGATGCGGAAAGAGGGAGGACGAGAGGGACGGAGAAAGGTGGCGATCGCGGCGCGACGACTACTCAGTCTATCGAAGGAGGTTGAGGGTGTGGAGGGAGCGGACAAGGTGCGCTTCAGCTTCTCTTGACTCGCCTGCCCCTGCTGAATTCTGCCATCGCAGACGCGGGAGACGATCGAGCGATACTGCGAGCGGTTCGAGAAGGACATGCTGCGTCTGTTCGACCGGTACTATCGAAAAGGCGACCCGAAAGCGATGGCGGTGCGTCCGTCCCTTCTTTACCGCCCTTTGCGCCTGGCTCACGTGCGTTCCTGTGCAATAGCATTGTGCACAAACGCTGCAGGATTTCAATGGCGGCCAGTCGTGCATCCAGATCTACGTCAACCAGCACGACTTCTTCATCTCGAAGGAGCGGGTGCAAGAAGCTGCAGGCGGCCTCGTCGGTGGAGCTATGTAAGCTTCCCGCTTTTCCTCTGCTGGTGTCGCATCGCTGATGAGCTCGTCGCGCAGCTGGGACCTCCTTCCCGACCCCGACTCGAAGGCGCCAAAGTCCGAACCCGGCTTGACCAGCCTGTTTGACGAGATCCGAGTGACGGTTGGGCAGGAGGCGCAGATCGTCACGGCCGTCTTCCCGAACCCGGCGATCGTTATGCAGGTCTTCCTGCAGCGGGTCTTTGCGCAGGTGGTGAGTCGAGCTGCTAGCTTCGTCCCTATTCTGCCTTCCATGAGAAGCTGACGTATCAGCGACCGCTTTTCACAGATCCAGGGATACATCGAAACACTCATCCAGACCGCCTCGTCCTCGTCGACTCTCGCCTACCTCCGCATCCTCCACCTCTCTCGCGCACAGACCAATTCGCTCGTGGACGATCTCAAGTCCCACGAGTTCTTCCGTTCTTCCTCCGCCTCCGCCTCCTCCGCCATTGTCGGCCCTTCACTTCTCAATCCGCTCGGTTCGACACATTCGACCGCGCTGTCGAACGTCACCTCTCCCACCTCGAGCGGGTTCCCCTCCGCGACTGGCGGCGGCGCAGGCGCTGTCGGCGTTGCGGCGGTCAGCCAGATGCTCGATCAGAGCGTCGACGAGCTGTTCGTGCCGTACATGGAGGGTGCGCGGTACCTCGACAAGGAGGGCAAGAGTTTGACGGAGTTGTACGCGGCAAAGCTGATGCGATTCACGAACTGGCATGTGCGTAATGCGTCGACATCTCCACCCGACATGCAAGCTGATTGTTCGTCTCTGCAGCGCGCGATGAACAAGGCCAAGCCGTCCAACACGATCTTCGACCGCATGGTCAATCAGCTCTCGTCCGCCGCCCACCAAGCCGCACATCCCGGCTCTTCCTCCGCCGTCCCCTCAACTACTCAGCCCGCCGATCACGCAGACGCTTCACGTCTCGACCGGCTCATGAAGTTCTCCGGCCTGTCGAACATCGTCGACAAGGGTTCTTCCTCGGCCGACAAGCCGGAGGAGATCAGTCCGGAGATGATGTACGAGGACGGAGATGGCGAGCTGAGTGTCGAGACGGCGGAGAAGATGCTCGAGTGGCACGCGGAGGCGGTCGGCAGGATGGTCGAGCTGAGTCCGGCGAGCGAAGTGTGCGTCCACAGTGCCATGTCTGCGTCATTCAACGTCCTGTTTATTGACGCTCCTCGCATGCTTCGACGTGCAGCCCGAAGAACGCCTTCACGCTGCTCAAGGTGCTCGCAGACAGCTTCGGCAAGGGCTATCTCGAGACCGCTCTCGACACGTTCGTCCCTCCCTGCCCTTCTCTGTAGGTCGACGCGGCTTGCTTACCCGTCTCCGCCTACAGCGCCATCCATCAGCTCTCGCTGTACGACGGCAAGAGCGAGCCCGACCTCGCACCGATCGGAGTCATTCGGCGGGCCGACATGATCATGCACCTGTGGCAGCGGTACATCTCCACCGCGCTCGTCCCTCTCGCCGGTACGTCCGTCACCGTCCGCCGCGAGATGGGCGTCTTCAACAACCACGTTAGCGTACGCATCGAGGGCAAGGTCAACATGATTGTCCAGCGGACAACGGACGCTATCGTCTCGTACCTATCCGTCCTCCTCTCGAAGCAGAAGAAGGCCGACTTCCGACCGAAGAACGATGAGCTCGCCTTCTCGCGCCTCAACACTGAGCCGTGTCTCCTTGCTTGCGACTTTCTCGCCAAGGTTCGCGAAGCGGCCGTCAACGCGTTGTCCGGCAGAAATGCAGAGATCTTTCTGACCGAAGTCGGGGTGACCTTCCACACGTTCGTCAACGTCTCGAACGCCGCGCACGAAGTACTCGCTGACCCGTCTCATCTGCAGCCTTCTCCTCGAACACCTGAAGAAGTTCCCTGTCTCGGCAACGGGCGGCCTGATGCTCACCAAGTACGCCTGCAGCTCAGCGCTTGTGGAGTATTGGCTGACAATCGCGCCGCTCGCAGGGATCTCGCGCTGTACCAAGACACGATCTCCGCCTTCTCGCTCCCCGCGCTGAACGACCGCTTCGAGATGCTCCGCCAACTCGGCAACGTCTTCATCGTTCAGCCCGACATCCTCCGCTCGTACCTGAACGAAGCGTACCTCGCGCGAATTGAGAACCGCCTGCTCCGACCTTTCGTCATGATGCGTAGCGACTATGGCGACTACTCGAGGAGGTTCTGGGACGAGGTGTTCGGTCCAGATGGCGTGCAAGGTGCGGATGGTGCGGCGGGACAGGTCGGTGGTAGCGCGGCAGGCCAAGGAGGAGCAACGGGTGGAGCGATGGGAGGTGCCGTCTCAGCTTTGGGCAAGATCCCCGGCCTCTCGTCGCTCGGAAACTTCAGCTCCGGCTTTGCGTCGAGCGCAGGCGGATCAGGCGCCGCGAACGGCTCTGCAACCGGTGGCGGCGGACCATCCAGCGCCGGATTCATCGCCAGCAGTTTCGGATCACACTTCACCTCCTCTTCCTCGCCCCACCTCTCGTCCTCCTCGACGTTCCAGACCTCCGCCGCGCAGTCATCCGCCTCTCAACCGGCATACGACCCCTCCCACCCACCCGCTCCTCCCCCTCGCCCCTCCTCATCCGCCAGTTTCACCCACCCATCCGCCGTCTCGCATTCGTCAGCCGCACAATCGAACAGCGCGAATCGGAAACAGAGCTTGTTCGGGACGCTGATGAGGGACTTTGAGGGGTTGGGATTGAGAGATGATGCGGCGAGTGGAGGGTATGCGAGCGACTCGGCGGGGCGGAGCGCGAGGGAGTAGAGTTGTCGCCGAGCGGTGTGTCTAGTTGTCGTGCCTCCTGTTGTAATCATCTTTCGCATCCGCTCAAAGTGGTCGAAGGTGCTCTTGGGAATTGCGAAGCGGGTCTCCCTCCTCATAGGAAGTCGGCTATGAATGACAAGGTTACAGTAACGCACCGCTACGTCCCGCCCTACACCTCACTGCAACTGCACAACGAGCTGAACTGCGAAAAGGCGGAAAAGCAGGGAGAAGGGAAGAGAGCGTAGAAACATGGCAGATGGGTGGGCCGCAGCGAAGTTCGGACGGCGACTGGTATAGAGGCAATGTAGAGCGGGCGGTGCGCATAGCATGCGCGGATGGATGCGAGGCTGGGGCGAGTAGTTGGAAAGGTAGTCTATGCGGCGAACTGACGGCGATGCGCGGTCAGCTTGAGTATCCTAGTCAAAGGAAAGTGTGAAAGGCTACGCACGCGGAGAATGAAGTTGGTGACGACTGCGGCGAACAAAGCGAGGCAGAGAACGGTCGGACCTGTTTCAGTATAGCGGGTCAGCCCTCTCCAGTTCGCTCGAACGGCAGAGAACCGCGGTACGCACCCAATCGGTCGTCGTAGGGACCTGAGCCGCGCTTGCGGATGGCGTTAGCGCGCCAGTGGTACGTGACGAGGCTGTTGAAGAAAGAGAGAGCTGTCAGTCTCGCTAGTCTGGCTCGGAGGGTAACGCTCGGAGCGAGACTCACGCATAGATCATGATCGCCATGGCTGCACATGCCCGACGTCGGTTGAATCGTCAGCCAGCTGAACGGAGCCAACTGAGCGAGAAGGATCACCGCCGGGAGGACGCACCGACAAAGGTGAACATGCCCGCGCTGATCTTGCCGACCCTGTCACCGAAGTTCAACAAGCCCACCGCCAGACCGCCGAGGACGACCTGCAGATGCGATAAAGCAGTCAGCGTGAGCCGTGGTTAGAAGAGGAGAGGGGAAGCGGGACGGACCGTGAAGTTGAGCCATGAGAGGAACGTTCGCTCGTTGGCGAAGAAGACTTTGGGTTCCTGTGGATGTCAAGGCGCACACGGCAGTCAGTAAGCAGGTCAGCATGGGTTGTGGGCGCCGCATCAAGGTCGAGAGATGAAGGCGGGTCATTGTCGAGCGAGACGGGGAGGGACGACGCACGACGCGGACGGGGAGTGCGATGCGCTTGTCCCTGGATCGCTGGAGGAGTGGCTGGCTTGACCTGTCCATTGCGAGCGTGTGTGAGCGTGTGCAAGTCCGGCTCGAGATGGTGAGGCGGTGCGGGAGCTGTTCGAGGCGGGAGAAGCGCGCAGAGCGGGGCTTACATGGTTGGCGAGTGCAGTGCTGTCAACGAAAGAGCAGTAGAGCGGCAGCAACAGCGAGAACAGCGCTTTGAGGGAGCGGGACAACGTCAAGGTCAACTCCGCGACGAGCGCACGTTCGGCTCCCAGACAACTTCGAGTCTCGCCTTTCGCAGGGGACAAGGCGAGAAAGACGAGTGATCGTGAACACAAAGCGATAGAAGAGCTTGCGAGCGTAGGCGACGGGCGACGGGACGAGCGAGAGCCTCTCCTTGCGACGCCTCCGGAACTCTCGCCGGTCGTGTGCGCCTAAAAAGTCAGTCAGTTTGCAGGCTGCCATACTGTCGCGTCGTGAGGGTCATGCTACAATGCCGGTGCGGGCGGACAGGTGCGAGACGGGGTAGATGGCGGCTGCGACGCGGCGACCCTCTTCTTGCAAGAGGTTGTATGTTGAGCAGGCGTTGCGCTGTCAAGGAGTTGAGCGTGTGAGCGTCCGGCTGAAACGGCATGCCACAGGCATCGCAAGATGTATGCCACAAGGTCAGACAAACGGACTCACCGAATCGAGGACGTCGACCTGGATGCCCAAGCCATTGAGGTAGCGCTTGACTCTTTGCGGTGCGAGCAGTGTTGAGGAGCCGGTGCCGATGAGGAGGATTTCTGTTGGTTGCACAAACTCTTCTAGCGTCAGCAAAGCCCACAAGAGCTAGCTAGCCGCGAACATACGCAACGGAACGCACCAGGTCTAGGATTCAACACCTCAAACAGCCTCAACTTCTCCTCGTTCCACCCGTCCCATTCCCGGCCCATCTCATCCGCTCCATTCTTCGTGGGGTGCGCAACGTCCCACATGAAGCATCCTCCGGGACAGAGTATGATAGGTGAGGGGAGAACGAGGCCGTCTGTCAAGGTGAAGCCGGCGTTGGGAGTGAGGGAAGTGATGGCTACAGGGTCGTTGGGTGAGGATTGGATGATGTTGACGAGGCTGTCAGGGGGGAAGGGGCGGAGAGAAAGGCGATTCGAAGGGTCGAGGAGGGGAGAATGAGGTCAGTCGGGTGTACAGCACGAAGCAGCAATGCAGAACGCACTCTTCCATTCCTCGGCGGCTACTGGAGCTCGAGAATGCTCGTCTAGCAGGCGTCCATTCCTCCGCAAGCCGTGTTCGCGGTGGTTGTTCCCGGTTCGCGAGGAGGAGAGATGAAGCGGATCGCGGCGAGCAGAGGGCGGCAGAACGGCGGAAGGCGCTCGCCAGAGGTCGCAGAGCTGTTGTTGATCGTTGTGCGAGCATTCTGGACGAGCTTGGAGAGAGTGAGCAAGGGTGAGGAGGCGAAGGAGCGAAACGGGTCTCCCTTCGAACCCTTTCTCCGCCGTCACACAGTCCTGTGCTTGGTTCACTGCCTTCAGAGCAATCGCAGGCACCACGGAGTGCCCTTGCCCAAGCTGCGGCCGCCTACGAGCCGTCAAATCCATTCTGTACTTTCCCTCGCCTCCGCCTTCCGCTTCTTCCTTCCAGTATTCCTAACTTGCGTCTCAACGGGTACGGACGACGCTCGCGCTGCATTCTGCTCGTCGACTTGTGCGGAAAATCGTGTCTCGCTTCGACTTCGCCGGCTTCCGAGTGTCGAGGCCCCACTCCTCTCTCGCTGCTCTTCCGCTCACACGAAGCTCTCGCAGCTGCTCACGACACGCTCACCAGCCTCAGACACTTCACAAAAGCCGCGTCTATGTCCGACACCCAGGCGAAAGTCGACGCGCTCATCCGCGAGCTCCTACAGCTGGTTCTTGAAGCGGGCGTGTTTGGGTTTGCTTCTGCACAGGCGGCGCAGGTCAAGCTGGGCGATGTGGATGTGAAAGGTGTTGAGCTAGACGGGGAGGAAGATACGGTGCGTCCCGCATTTCTTGCTACCCAGTTTCTTCTCCTCACGCTTCTTTCCTCCTTCTCACGCTCTGTTACCATCCACTCCTCCCGCCGATCCTGCTCCTCCTTTTCACACTCGTCCTCTCGACGCGTTTGCCCTTCCGCGCCTCCCACTCGCCCGCAGAAACCGACCCGCTCAGCAACCGCAACCGTCACCTGCTACCTGACCGTCGACGAAGGATGCTGCAACATCGCACGCAACGCACACGGCGGATTCCTCGCCTGGCTCGTGGACCACTGCTCGAGCCTGGGACTGCTGGCGTTAAGCGGGCCAGGAGATCGCTGGACGACGAGCGGCGTTTCGACGAACCTGAACTTGTACTACATCGGCGCGGCGCCTGTAAGTCCCCAATTCGACCAGCTCTAGGATCATACTGAAGCCTTGTCGTCCTTCAGGTCGGCACGAAGCTCCGCATTGTCACGACCGTTCTCCAGCAGGGTCGGGTAACGGGACTCCTCGAGACGCGGATAGAGGACGAGTGTGTTCGTTCCCTCGCACACGCCGGGATCCTTGCTGACTGATGCTCTCACAGCGCAACGGACAAGCTGCTCGTTCTCGGCACGCACGTCAAGCAGGACCCGCAGCGACCGACGCTCAAGGCGTTCAAGAAGGACAAGGCCAAGCTGTAGAGTCCGCGCGAATCTGCCTAGACGTGCTCTCGCACTGCGTTCTCGAGAACATTCTGGCGAGAGTTCCGTGATTGCAGCGCCTCGCTACGCATCCCTCGGGAGCTGGAAGCCCAGCCGACCCGCCAAGTTACCCGCTGGACCTGCGAACCCTCCCTGACTCTGGAAGCTGTCCAAAAAGTTCTTGACGAGGTTGTAGTCCATCCCGCCTTCGCCTTGCCCTTGCAAGTCCTTGAGGAGGTGCTGCAACTCGGCGTCCATCGCTGACAGGTCCGGTTCACCATCGTCGTCTTCCTCGGAGTCGGACAGCGAGTCGACGACAATCCGATTCGGATCGCTCTGTCGCGCAGCGTTCTTCTTCTTCGGCTCGGCGGAAGAAGGGGAAGTGTTGGCGGACGAGGTCGGTTGAGGCTTGCTCGACTTGGCCTGCGCGAGCTCCGCCTCCATCCGGTCCATGAGCGAGTCGAAATCGGTCAGGATAGGGTTGCGGAGAGGTTCGCGGACGGGAGGAGGGGCGGCGGGTTTCGAAGCTGAGGGTTTGGCGGACGACGATGCGGGTTTGGCGGACGGGATGACGTTGACCTTCTTCTCCTTTGGCGGGCCCGGAACGAAGGCTGATCGACAACATCAGACACAAGTGCAGGCAAATGTGAGAGAAGCGAACTCACCGCCTCGATCCCGCCTGTCCTGCAAGATCTTCGCATACTGCTCCTCCGTCAAGCCAAGAGCCTCCGTCGCGAACTGGAGGAACTCATCCATCTCCTCGCCCATATCCAGCACGTCCTCCTCGTTCATGACGCTCGGTCCATCCTCGCCCTCGACTTCTGGTCCGCCCAAACCTTCCTCGCCTTCTGCCATCGGTCCGCTCTCCTCGTCCGACGAGTCCTCATCTAGGTCGGACGCCCCTTCGTACTCCTCCTTCGTCAACTTGGGCGGTCGAGGCTCGCGAGTCGACGCAGCGGGTTCGGCGGAAGGTGCGGCAGATGCGTCGTCTTCGGTAGCGGTGGCAGGCTCAGTCGGTGGCGGCTGCGTGCTCTGACCCCACTGGTCCGTCGGGAGTGGTGCGACGAGCTTCTCTAGCCGTGCTGCGCGCTCCTCAGCCGACATCTCCGGCATCTCAGCGTCCTCGTCCGAGTCCTCATCGTCCGTTCGCTCGCTGGATTGTCGGACAACTGGTCAGCCCAAGTTCAGCTGAGGATACGAGAGTAACGTACTCGTCGAACAGAGCACCGCTCGCCGCACCTCGTCCCTCGACAAAGTTCTCGACTCTGCCCGCCATCTGCTCCAGCTTCTTCGCGACCTTCCTCGCCTTGCGCTCTTCCTCCTTCTCCTGTTTGCTCTTCCCGCTCTGCTCGCCACCCTCGACGCCCTCCATCTCGTCCTCGTCTTCCCCGTCATCACTCGAATCCTCCAAATCGCTGTCTCCGAGCAATCCTCCGCCCTTGCCCTGCCGAGCCTGCAAGATGTCTTCCAGCCCTTGCTCGTCGAGCGAAAGCCAGTCTTCCGAGTCTTCGAGCGCGGCGGCTTGTTCGTCGGTGAGCGAGACAGGGTTGGCGATTCGGTCGGGCAAAGGGTTAGGCGAAGAGCGAGCGCGGGCGATTGCGTCGTCAACTCGCTGAGCGAAGGAGAGGGTTGGTCTGAACATGCGAGCGTCAGCGAGCGAAGGAAGGACGGAGAAAGTGCATAACGTACCGGTCAGACTTCGCCCGGACCCATCCCTCCCTCGCAACCGCCTCCTTCTCGCGCCACTTCTCGCTACCTTCGACTTGTCCCTCAAAGAAGCTCTTCTCAGCCAAGCTCTTCAAGTAGGCTCGATACCGTGGTTCGGAGGAGTCGAAGTTAGTGAGCGGGTCATCGGTAGAGGAGTGGCGGAGCTGAGGCGAGGTGAGCTTGTAGAGCATCTCGAAGCCACAGGCCTACGAGCGGCTTCGTGTCAGCTTATTGAAGAGCCGTGGAATACCGCGGAGGTACGCACAATTCTCATGCCCACGCTTCTCCGCCGCTCGTCCGCCCTTCCCAGCTTTGCGTCCATCCAGCCGACCTTCTGGAAGGGCTTGGGCGCGTAGAACCGCTGCAGAACGACTTGCGAGTATAGTGGCCGAGTGAGAAGCGTGGGGACGAGGACGGTCGAAGGGAGAGAAGGGGTGTCGGTCATGTCGGAATCGGAGGTTGTTGAGGTCGAGGGAATCGGAGGTCCGGGAGGGAAGCGGGACATGGTGTTGACCGCCTGCCAGTCGAAGCGCTTGTCAGCTCAAACTCCCTTGTGAATGGCGGAGGCGACCTACCCTGAGCGTGCCCGGCTCGCGCTCGTAGAATGCTGCAATTGCCTCCGCGACGAGACTCGGCGAATCGACCAGTGCGAGGGCGATGTCGGTCGGCAAGTACGTCAGGGTACGGTGGTGGTGTTCCTTGATCTTGCCCGGATAGCTGCGAGACAGGAAAAGGTCGGGTTGGAGGATCGAGGCGTAGTGACAGCGCAGACATACCCTGCGATCCTCGCCCAAACCGCCTCCTCCACCTCTCTTGCCGCTCTCGTCGCCACATTGTCGTCCCGTACCAGCTCGAGCGCCGTGGCGCGATCCAGGAAGCCCTCCTCTTCCGGGTCAAATGACGGGCTCATGCTCTCCTCCTCGAACGGGAGGGCCGACTTGTGCTCGAGCGGAATGAGGTGCAGCTCGCCGCGGTAGATCCAGACCTGCGCAATCACAAGCCACTGCGTCAGCACGCGCATCGCAGCGAAAGCGAACGATCTCAGACGAGTGGACGTATCGAAACGCACCCTGTGAGCCGCGTTCTGAGGCGTGACCCAGCTCGGCAAGACGTCTGCCGCCTCAATGAGCAAGAACTCGCCGTCGTCGTCCTCCACCGCGACTGCCGCATCCCGCCACTTCTCCGTGACTTGCTTCAGCAGCCAGACGACGAACCACTCGTCGTCGACCGCATCCGTCACGTCTGTCTTGCCCGTGAGCCACTGATGCTGCTTCTGTCCTGCCGGTGCAGTGAACGAGAGTGGCGACACGCCCAGCTGGAAGGGCTGCCTGTGCCAGATGTAGCCCGTGGAGAGTGAGGCGATGAAGGCGAGGACTTGAGCGCAGAGGTCGGTGAGCGCCTGTGCGTCGTCGTGAGGCCCTGGAAAGTCGATCTGGTACAAGCAAGAGTCTGTCTGCGCCTCGTGAGGCGGTCGAGCAGCCATTGCCAGTGAACTGATGAAGCGAGAGAGGCTTGGGAGAGACTCACCTCCTCGTCGTCCGCTGGCTGGACTGTAGACCCGCTATGGCCGCTCTGAACTGGACAATGCTCGACGCAGGCCGACCAGTGCCGCTCCCAAGCGAGAAGTGGCTCTGGACCTCGTCGCCCAACTCCATTGCCGTAACGCTCTTCCCACACCCGCCAGGCTCGCCGCTGAACATACAGCCGAGGAAGGGCGAGGAGCTCAAGGCCAGCAGAGGCACCCTCTACGTCTCGCAGAAGCGGGTTGTTTACGTTGCGGAGGGCGCATCCTCGGCCGGAGGTGGGGTGGGTCAGGCAGGATCGTCGAGCATGGCAGCTGAAGCGACAGGCAGCTTGGCGAACGGACAGGCGAGCATCGCACCCGGTGGACTGCCTCAGGACGCGGCGAAGAAGGTCCCACTGCAGTCGCTCTCGGTTCCCCTTCGCTACTTTGTCGATGGCCGCTTCGTCCAGCCGTGGTTCAGCACGACATACTACGAAGCGTTGTGTTTGGAGGGCGACAAGTCGGGCGGACTCGAGGTGAGTCGGCGCATTCGCTGTCCTCTCCTGCCTGTCCTCTCCTGCTTGCTTCGAATGGCAAACTAACCGCGCTGTCCTTTGCTCCGCACACAGCTACCACATCTCGTGCGCTTCTACTTCAAGGAGAGCGGCGGCTACGACTTCTGGACAACCGTGGAGGAGGTCAAGTCGCGGGCCGAGTTGACGACGAGAAGAGGAGGACCGCCGGTGGAGCCGCTCCGTTTGTCTGCGTCCCTGACTCTGGCTTCCTGGCGGCCATGCTCACGACTCCGCCGCCCACAGCTCTCTACTCTCCTCCGCCTTCGACCTCTGCCTCTTCCGCCGTTCCGGATCATCCCACCCAGCCCTCCGATACCGACCTTCTTGCTGCGCAAGTTGCACAAGATGCAGAAGATGCGGAGGAAGCACAAGCAGAGGCTCGCTGCGAGACTGGGGCCGGTCGACCGCCGCCCGTACCTGCACGGGACGAGGCGCCGCCCGCTTACCAGGCTTGACGACCGCCCGACTCGAAGCCCTCTCTCTCGTTCTGTACCCTTCGCTCCTTCTCGTCTTTCTGTCGTTGTGTTGTTGTCGCTCATCCACGTTTCCTTTGACCAGAAGGAATCTCGTACGGTGAGATGCTTAACCTTCATCCCTGCTGTTTCCTGTTTTCGCGCAAGCCTCCTGCTCGTAGCAGCGTATCGAGACCCTCCTCACCACACCTCGTTGCTTGGACCCTTCCCCACCTCTCCCTCCTCCCCCTCACTCGTCTCGCTTTCACCGCTCGAGAAGCGCTCGCTCGCTACGATGAACATGTCTGCTACCGCTTCTGACACCACTGCTACCAGCGCGGCGTTCCCTTCGACATCGCTGGCCCAGTCCACCTCGCCTGCCCTCCTCGCCCCTTCGCCCAAAGTCCCGCTCGACCACTTCGGCGCGATGCAGACCGATGAGTCTTCCGAACAGAGCGACGAGCCTGCAGAGGCGAAGCAACCGTCGACAGGTCGCGAGGCGAAGTGGGACGACGAAGACGAGGTCTGGCGCTGCTTGGATTGCTTCTGGGAGGTTGAGTACGGCGAGTGCGTGGACTGCGGGAAGACGTATGAGCGCTCTGAGGAGACCATCGTTCGCGAGGAAGAGGTGTGTCTTATCCTGACCCTGCTAGCGAACGAGATGTGCTCACAGCGCCGTTCTTGCACACAGCGTTTCGCCGGCAGCGAGCAGCTCGAGCCAATCGTCCCGAAGAGTCGCCCGCCTTCGCCTTGGCTGCCTGAAGCGTTCCTTTCTGCAGCGAAAGAGCCGCTCTCCAAGGAGGACCAGGTCAAGTGCCTTCTCGCTCGCGGCGCGACGACCAAAATGATTGAGCGGTACGACCTCGAGTACTCGCCGCTCCGCGGCATCATCGCAACCGCAGACGACGAGCTCGAGGATTCCTTCTTCCCCGATGGATTCGAGCTCGCACAGTACGAGCGTTCTCCGCAGGAGATCGCGAAGCTGAGGGAGGAGGACGAGAACTTCTTCCCGAGGGTTCCCTTTCCGATGCAGAAGTCAGACGACAAGCACCCTTGGCGCATCCACCTCGGCGACTGGATCGTTCTTAGCCCGCTCGACCCCTACGGCGACGACTTCGTTTTCAACGCTGTTGAGTACCTTCTGTGGCAATCCGACCACGGCAACGCAGCAACTGTCGTCGAACAGTTTGGCGACTTCGGCGACGATGGCCAACGTTTCGTCACGCGCGAGTTGGCTGAAGGCGAGAAGATCATGACGCTGGGCGACTTCGCAGGGGAGTGGCCCTCGCTCAGCCACGCCTACGACATAGACGAAGCCAGCATCCTCTGCATTCCCGTCGAGACCGACGAATACTGGGAACCGCTTCTGCTTGTCGAGGCGAAGAAGTCGGACGAGGAGACGGAGGAACTGAATGCAACGACGGCTGAACTCTGGGCTGGCAGCGAAGTTGAGAAGGAGCAAGACGACGAGTCGGAGGCGCAGGAGTCGGGGGGCGACATCAGCATGCAGGTGGAGGCGGAGCAGAGCGGCGAGGCGGAGCAGCCTGCGACGGAGCGTATGGAGGATGAGCCGGAGGAGCCGGGCGAGATCTTCGAGTTTGCTTGAGCTGCGAGGGACGATGCAACGCTTGACACATCTACTGTACCCCGTTCAACCCCTCATCGGCGCAAAGCCTGCAAATGCCAGTGAGCCTGTCCTCAAGTCGCCCCTGCGAAGGCCGACTGGGGAGCTCCTTTGCGCGAGCCTGCTCTTTCAATGCAGCAAACAGCATCCCTGGATGACAACGATGCATTCCCGGGTTCAAATCGCCGACGTCTACGCCTTGAGAGTTGGCCACAGCTTGTTGAGCTCCTCCAACCGCGCAGGAACCAGCCTCAGCGTCCCCTCCGACACGTTTGCGACCGCTACAGGGAGACGTCAGCAAGAAACGAGGTGTGAACGCGTAGCCGAACGCACCGAAGCGGATGTACCGATCCTCATCGACGTTCTCGAACGGCGGAGAGAAGAAGGTGCCGGGCAGGACAACGACGCCAACGCGTTCGCCCAGCCGTTTTGCGACAAGCTCGGAAGGGACGCCGGCGTATGGATGCTTGACCTGCGGGACGAGAATGGTCAGTTCTCCTCGACATGCGGAATGAGCTTCGGGTGGGAGAGTGGTGCGGACGTACGTAGGCAAAGTACGCGCCGCCGCAGACGACCTCCCAGCCCTCGACGCTCGCGATCAAGCCCTTGAACACCCGTTGCCGCTGCGCCAGCTCGTCCCGCGTCGCTTCTCGCCAAGGTCGTGTTGCTTCGATAGCCCACTCAATTGCTCGCTGCGTCGGTCGTGGCGGACAAGTCTGGATGCAATCCATGAGCTTGTAGACCGAAGTGAGGAAAGGCTGGGAGGCGATGATTGCACCCAGTCGGTGACCGGGAATGGCGTAGGATCTGTGGGCATGGCTGTCAGCTCACGCCGGCCTGACGATGGAGTCGCTCGAGCGTACTTGGAAAAGGAGAACAGGTGAATCAAGTACCTCCGCCAGTTTGTCTCGGCGAAGAGGTCGTGCGGTCGCTCCTCGAGGAAGTCTCGATACGTCTCGTCCAGCACCAGCGCGACCTTCTTCTCCTCCGCCAGCTCTGCGAATTGCTTGAGCAAGTCGGGAGGGTAGACGGCGCCTGTCGGGTTGTTCGGCGAGACCAGGACCAATGCCTTGGTACGAGGCGTGATGAGTCTCTCGCATTCTTCGACGGACGGCAGGAAGTTCGGTGGTAGGCAGCGCAGGGGGACAAGCGTGAGGCCGAGCTGGTCTAGCGTCATGCTGTGGTTAAAGTACCACGGTGACGGGAGGATGATCTCGTCGCCAGGGCGGGCGAGGGCGAGCATTGAGGCGTAGAAGGCCTGCGGAAGGAAGCGAGCTGAGGAGAGCAGTGGGTGGGGAGGAGCAGGAGACGCACAAGGTTACATCCTGCCGTGATCACGATGTCGTCCTCTGTCACTCGCCGTTCTTCACTAGCCGTACTGGCCCAGTAGACGCCGCTGACATCCTTCGCCAGAGCCCGTCGAAGTCCCTTGTCGCCCTGGAGCGCGCCGTAGCTCGTCGTCGCCGGTTCCGCCGCTGCCTCGGCCAGCTTATTCTGTAGCTCTGGCGGTGGCGGGCTCCCTGGCACGCCTTGAGCGAGGTTGAGGAGAGGCTTCTCTGGTGTCGAGTGGAAGCGAGCACCCCACTGTCCAGCAAGCGGGATGGGCGGAGCGGCAGAGTCGCGCACGTAGGGGTTCAGAGTATACGCAGAGTCCATCGCACGCAAGCTCAAAGCGGTCAAGCGCGAGTCGTCGAGGTCAACTCCAGTCTTCATCGCCCGAAGCAAAGGTCAACAACGATTCACCTCGCCGCTCCTGCCTGAGGACTTGCTGAATCTCCTGTACTGCTGCTTGACCCTGTCAGACTGCTCACCAGCGCTCCCAGCCTGCCGCAAGCTCCGGTGCGTTGCGTGTCCTCACTACCCCGCTCGCCGTCGCGTCGAGCTGTGCATCGAGTCGAGGGCGAAGCTGGGTGTAGGATCGGCCTCAGAACCTTTGATACAGCACAGCTGATTGTTGCGTACGCGTTCTGCAGCTCTCCGTCGCCTCACAACGGTCCACTCTCCCCCTCTCCTCCCCTTGACCTAATCGCCCTCCAGCCGCCATGTCTGTCGAGGACGCTGTCATGTCCGACGCGACCAACAAGGTCGACAAAGGCAAGGGAAAAGCGGGCGAGCTCGGGCTGGCGGATCTGATCGTGTCTGGTGGGTCCTCCTTGCACGCTGCCGGCTTCGTTCACGTGGCTGACCACTCCCTGCCGACTAGACGCATTGCCATGGGTCGAGAAGTACCGACCTGCGACCCTCGACGACGTCGTGGCGCACAAGGACATCATCTCGACGAGTGAGTCTTCTCTTCGCCCCCCTCTCCTGTTGACATTTCGCTAACTCGGCCGCTCCTGCTCAGTCGACCAGTTCATCGCCAAGAACCGCGTCCCCCATCTGCTCTTCTACGGCCCGCCCGGTACCGGCAAGACCTCGACGATTCTCGCCGTCGCGCGCAAGATTTACGGGTCGGGCGCAGCGCTGAGGAATAACTGCCTCGAAGTGCGCTAGCGGAGCCCATGACGGCGCAGATCGGAGCGCTGACCCTTGACTCGCAGCTCAATGCCTCCGATGACCGCGGTATCGATGTGGTGCGCGAGCAGATCAAAACGTTTGCGAGTACCAAGATGCAGGGAGGCGGGAGGCGCGTCTCTCCTCCTAGTTTACCCCAAATACGTCGCTCACCCACTCGATGCCGCCTGCAGCGCCGGCTTCAAGCTCATCATCCTCGACGAGGCCGACATGATGACCTCGCAAGCGCAGTCAGCTCTCCGTCGCGGTACGTCTCGTCCGTCTACCTCGAGTCCGAGTACTGACGCGAATGAGCCGCAGTCATCGAGCAGTACACGAAGAACGTCCGCTTCTGTATCATCTGCAACTACGTCAACAAGATCATCCCTGCCATTCAGTCTCGCTGCACCCGCTTCCGGTATGTACCTCCTCTTTGCCTCCACCTATGGTCCTCGCTGACCTGAGTTCGTGCAGCTTCGCGCCGCTCCCTCAGGTCGAGGTCCAGAAGCGCCTGGACCATGTCATCAAGCAGGAGAAGTAAGTCGACGGCTGTTTCCCCTCATCTTGCCCGGTACTGACACTCCCCGTTCCGTCGCAGCGTCAACTTGACGGAAGACGGACGACAAGCGTTGCTCAAATTGTCGCGAGGAGACATGCGCCGCGCTCTGAACGTCCTGCAGGCGAGTTGTCCCTCTACGGTGTTTCGAGATCGTAGCTAAGTCGTCTATCTTTTTGCAGGCATGTCACGCTGCCTACGACGTCACGGGCGAGAGCCAGGTGTATCAGTGCACGGGCAATCCTGAGCCGGCGGACGTCGAGGAGATCATGCGGACCATGATGAACGACTCGTTCGAGACGGCGTACCAGCGTGCGTCCAGTCTCACCACTGCTTACCGCCACCGCTTCGTGCGTGAACCCAAACAGAGACCTGACACGACAAACCCAAACACGATCGCAGGCATCTCGTCGCTCAAAGCGGAGAAGGGTCTCGCCTTGCAGGACATCATCCAGGGCATCTACGACTTTGCGCAGACCGTCGAGTTCTCGAGCGCGACAAGGGTCTACTTCCTCGACCAGATTGCGCAGGTCGAGTGCGTTGCTTCGCTTCTCCCTCGCTCACCGCTTGCGCATCCGGCTGACTCTGAGATCGTTCCGCAGGCACCGCTTGTCGACGGGTGGGAGTGAGAAGCTACAGTTGACGGCGCTGCTGGGTGCGACGAAGAAGTGCGTTTTCTGTCCATCTCCCTCGCGATGTCCCTGTGCTGACCCTGCTTTCTTAGCGCGGTTGAGCTCACGCCTCGGTAGTCTACGATGCTCCGCAACCTTTGCTTCGCTTGACACAGCCCGAATCGCATGGCAAGCAGCGAGACTAACAGATCCTGCAGCCGCCCGGCTCTCATCCTCGGTGCTACGACGCCTTCCCTCGCTCCGCTCGACTCGTTTCTCCTTCAGCCTACACCTTGCGATCGTACTTCTCTTCCTCCCTGATCGCGTTGAGCGTCACCCATTCGCCTCCCTCGGCCGTTCCCTCGTCGGCGCCCGGCACGCTCGGCAGCTTCATGGCCTTCGGGTCGACAAAGTCCCAGTTCTGGGCGAAGCTCTCCCATTCAGCGTCGGGAACGAAGTCGAGGTCCGTCTTGGTGTACTTCTCGAGAATCGGCTTGGCGGACAGCGGGGCCTGCACGACTTGCATCATCAGCGCGGAGGGCGGCTGCTTGGAGGAAAGCCTCGCACCTTCTGCTTGCGCGCCGGCTCGGGGTACCACGACGCCGCGTACTCGACAGCCGTCATGATTCGCCACTCGTCCGAGTGGTTTGGCATTCCCGCATGCCAGGTGCGGAGGTCGCGCAGCAAAACGGTTCCCATCGGCAAGTCGACTTGACTTCCGGGTCGCTCGAGACGGCGCGCTTCGAGGCAGTCGTCCGCTACGTCGCAGATCGGGGCGCCCGCGTCCTTCGACGGGAAGACCTGGTCCCAGGCTGTCGTATTGTGCGAGCCGCACCAGAACTCGGTCGAGCCGGTGTGCTCGTTGAAGTCTGCGCCCGTCAACCGAGTTAGCGCGACAAGGGGTCCGCGAGGTGCGACGGAATCGCACCGCAGAGAAGCAAGTTCAGGTTCACGATGAAGGGTGCGAGGGGGTGGATCCACGGGAGGTCTTTGTGGACCCGCTGACGGTCTTGCGTGCGAGGCATCGCGACATTGGCGGTGCAGAGGTGGATCTTGATGTCCGGGCCGAGGTACGCCTCGATGAGCGAGTGGACGAAGCGGTTCGCGTATACATCGTCGAAGAGCAAGTCCTTGTTGGTGAGGAGCGGGCTCATGAGGAAGTTGGTCGCGAAGCCCTGGTTGAACTGGGACAGCTTCGTCTTGGAGGCGGCGACTTTGCGAGCGACCGGGTCCATCGCTTCACGCAGCGCCTTGACGTGGTCGATGTCGACGACTCCAGCGACCGCAAGGACGCCGTCGCGGTGCATGAGCTCCATTGCGCGCTGCAAGTTGGCGCGAGACCACTTGCCCGCCGCCTTCTCCTCCGGCGAGAGCGTGATCAGGCCAGGCTGACCAGGCAGAGCGGACTGGGGACGAGTGAGCATGTTGACGTTGGGCATCTTGCGCGAGTGTGGGAAGCAAGAGAGAAAGAGCGAGGCGAGGCGATAAGACGGCGGACAGCTCGGCCGGCTGAAGCGTCTCGCCCGACGAGCGCGCCGTGTCGCCGTGCGGTCCGGAAAGCTTGGCCGCGAGCGAGTCCGCCATCTCCGCTCGACGCGACAAAGCACGAGGACAAGCAGCGCAGCGGATTGACCTTCCCAGGCGAGAGCGGTGCCTTGCTCGCTTCTCCCAGCAGACTCGCGCTGACAGCAAACAACAGCGATAGATGTCACAAAATAGCGGAAGATCCAATGTATAGACCCGGAACACCAGGACAGCCCCAGCTCTCTTCACTTCCCTCGCACGAACTTCTCCTCGTCCGCGACGTGATTGAGCGGCGCCCACTCCCGCTCACCCGCCGGCACCTTCGAAGACTTGCGGTGCCCAACGACGTCCGGCAGCTTGATCGACGCCTCGCTCGCGAGGTCCCAGTCCTGCGCGATTGCGAGCCACTCTTCGTCGGGGATGAACTCGAGTTGGTGGTCTGTCCGCTTCGTGAGAAGCTCTTCGGCGGAGAGAGGAGCCTGCGAAGGACCGAACGGTCAGCGCAAGAAGCTGGAGCAGACGTGCCCGGAAGTGTAGAAAGCGAGTCCTCACCTTCATCCGGCTTTCTGGCTCGGGGTACCAGCTCGCGGCGTATCCGACAGCCTGCTCGGTTGAGTGTCAACTTCAACTGTGGTGATACGGACGTGAGAATACGCAAAACGCACCGTCATGATCCGGTCCTCGTTCGTCGAGTTGGGCATGCCAGCATGCCTGCGCTCCTCCGCGTCAGCACAGCCTTCTCCTTGCTGCCCGACAAACACGACGACTCACCAAGTCCGCATATCCCTCAACGTGATCGTCCCCATCGGTACCGTAATCTGCGCTCCAGGCCTGACCTTCCTCCTCTCCTCAACCGCATCGGGCGCGACGTCGCAGATAGGCGTCTCGGCGTTGTGCGAGAGCCACACTTGCTCGTGTCCTGTCGAACAGACGTGAGAGCCGAGCCAGAATTCGGTGCTGCCGTTTTCGGGGGTGAAGTCTGCCGCGAGGGGAGTTGGAGTGAGCGTGCGAGTTGCGGCGGGCGAGGAGGTCAGGCTCACCGCTCAGAGCGAGGTTGGTGTTGACAAGATACGGGCAGTTCGGGTGCAGCCTGAGCGAGGAGACACGAGCAGGATCAGCGGCCGGTCGCGAGATCAAGGCGAGCAAGCGCGGCGCACCAGGGCGCATCCTTGTGCACGTTCTGCCGCTTGTTCGTATTAGCCAGTGCACAGTTGGCGGTGAGCAAGTTGAGCTTGATCCCAGGACCGAGGTAGTTCTCGAGGACGGCGATCACAAACTCGTTCGAGAAGACGTCTTCGAAGCGCAAGGCGGGGTCGGCGAGAGGCGCAGACATGAGGAAGTTGGTGTCGATGCCGTGATTGTACTGCGAGAGATGCTTGAGGGAGCCCTTGATCTGCTTCGAAGTAGCAGTCATCGATTCTTGCAAGGCCTTGACATGCTCGAGGTCGACGGCACCGCTGATGGCGAGCAAGCCGTCCCGGTGGAGGATCTCGATGGCGCGCTGCATGTTGGCGCGCGACCATTTGCCTGCGGCCTTTTCTTCGGGGGAGAGGGTGATGAAGCTGGGTTGGGTCGGGAGGGGCGTGAAGGGGCGTCCGCCGGCGAGCATGGTAGCGTCGGGCATCGTAAGGAAAGCAGTGACAGCCTCGATGTGCCTCCGAAGAGCGAGAAAGCAAGGGAGCAGGAAGAAGCGGAGCGATAAGCGAGCAATCGGCTCGGCCGGCGAGAAGATACTCGGGCGAGAGTCGGCGAACATCCTCTCGCCAGGACGCGTTGCAAGCGAGCGCGAAACAAGGCGATGTGCTGTAAGGACAGCGTAGAAAGTGAACACGGCCTCCTTCAGGTGTCATCTATCTGAGATTACGCTTCATGAGCGGCGGCCACCCTACGCCGGACCCAGCCGGAGCTGGGGATCCGACCAGTGCGATGGCTGCTGCCTCAAGATTAGCGGTTCTGATCTGTTTGGTTAATCCTGCTGAAGGAGGCGCGTGCTGCGAGAGCGAGGGAGTCGAAGTCGACGAAAGCAAAGGTTGGGGGAGACAGCGAGGCGCGCTGAGGGGAGTCTCCCGCGGGCGCTGAGGCGCTCAAAGCAGACGTTGTCTAGCTTGTCGAACGATGTGGAAGCTCAACAGCAAGGAAGGCGGCTATGTCGGAAGCTAAGGGAACCTGTGGAATCGCAGAACGGGTCAGCAAGCTGCACGAACTTGTACACGATTGTTCCCATCCTATTTCTCGCGTCTTCGGCTTAAGCGTTGGATATTTTGCTTCTTCAAAAGGCCGGCAGGACGTCCTTTGGATCGCCTGTGACCCGGCCCTCGAGCAAACAGATGTTTATATCGTCCTCAGACAGAGTCGGGGGTTTCCGCGTGCGGTGCGGACGAAGGGGACCTAGACTCACGAATGAACGGGCGTACAAGGTCCGTCGACAACTGTAGCGAGTTGCGAGGCGAGGAGGTGAAGGAAAGTTTGCGGGCGGAGCAAGGTCGATGGATGGGCGTGGGAAGCGGCGAGATGGTGTCCACGGTCATGCACAGCGAGTTTCGAGTCTCATGAGCATAGTCAGGCGCGGTCTCGAGCGAGTTGGCCAGCGTCGAGTGAGGTGCAAGAGGGAGAGCGTGCGAGAGCGAGGGTCTGCCAGGTCGACGCACGCCAGATCGCTCAGACTCGCTCGTGGACGGTGCTAGGAATGCTCGAAGGACTGACAGACTGCTGCTTCACTCGCCCAGCTCACATCGCGACCTCGCACGCATGACTCGCGCTCAATGACTCCTCTCCCGATCCACGCGGACGCTCTCTTCCTGCTTTGCCTCTTGCTTCCCTTCATATTTATCTCGTCATTGTCGTTGAGCACTAGATTCGTCAGCCAGACAGCCTCGAACTTCCGCTGTCGTCGTGCTGACGCCGCGAACGTGCAGACTCCTCCTCAACCGACCCCCTCTCACTCCGCCGAGATGTCGCTCGAGTTCCGCATCATTGACGCCTTCACCTCGACCGCCTTCGCCGGCAACCCTGCGGCCGTCGTCCTCGTCCCCGCCGACCACCCTCGCCGGGACGACACGGAGTTCCTCCTCTCCGTCGCTCGCGAGTTCAACCAACCCATGACGGCGTTCTTGACGGCCAAAGAGGGCGGCGACGAGCCAACGTACGCAATTCGGTGGTTCACCGGCATTCAGGAGATCCCGCTGTGCGGCCACGCCAGTCTAGCGGCCGCTGCACTCTGCTTCAACGAACTGAATCCGACTGCTCGCCGCGTTCGCCTACAAGCTGCGGCCTGCACTTTGACGGCAGACAAGCTCGACGACGGTAGCATCGAGATCGCCTTGCCGCAAGATTTGTCCGTCTTCGAGGACGCGCCCGTCCCGCCTGAGGCAAAGGCGGCGGTCAAGGCCGCACACTCGGCTCTTTTCGACGCAATCATCGAGATGCGCAAGATCAAGATTGGTTGGATGGTCGTGTTGGACTCTGCCTTCGACCTCGAACACGCGGACATCAACTATGTCGCCTTGGTGCGTTCGTCTCCAGCTCTCTTAAAACCCCTATTGCCTGTACCGATGCGATGATGTCCTGCAGCAATCCTGCCTCGGCTCGTACACCTTCACTCAAGCTCGACTGACGCCTTCAGCAGTCGGCGAAGCCATCTTCTCCCGCGTCTGCCACCCCTTTATCTCGACTCCCGAAGACTTTGTCGTAGGTCCTCTTCTCTCGCTGCTCATGCAATCTCATGTCTGACCCATCGCGTCTACAGTGCGGCGCAGCACACTGCTCGATGGTTCCCTACTGGCTCTCGCAACCCGCCTCGACTCGACTCCCGCCAACTCAGGGCGGCTGGACTGACTCGACGCCGTTCAAGTCGCTCCAAGGTGGACCGCGGCAAGGAGTACTCGCTGTGCGGTGGGACAAGGAGGCGGGTTTGGTTGCGCTCGCTGGATCGGCGCGCACCGTCATGAAGGGTGAGGTGCTCGTGTAGTCTTTCATGGTCGCTCGAAGGGTCTCAGCGCCTCTTTCGTTTGTACTGGCTGTCTCCCCTTCGCTGGATTCGCTCTCCTTGCGGCGCATATCGAGGCAGCTTTCCTCGTCTTCCCTCCCTCTTTCGCTGTCCTCTTCTCCGCCTTGATTCCGCTCAACTTCCGCCTCTTCTCCTTGTCTTCTCTCCTTCTGCTTCGTCACCTCCTCTCCTCGCGCCACGTGTATCACAACGCACGACCCGCTTCAAGCCGGACTCTCCGTCCTCCCCGCAGCATCCCCTCTCTCCCTCTCCTTCCTCTCCTCTCTCTCACTCTCTCTGCGCTTGACCACCCATGAACGACACTACGATGACTCACGACGCTGACTCGCCCCCTGCGAGCGAAGGGTCGACGACGTCTTGGCCTGCTACGGAGGTGGATTTGTCCGAGGATGCGCCGACGCCTCGTGCGACTTCGAAGGAGGGCAGCAGGACGAATGAGAATGAGGAGGAGCCTTCTGATACGGCCGATGAGCCTGCGAAGGACGTCGACGCCGCCGACACGGCGCCTTCGACGACCGACTCGCTCGCGACGCCTGCTTCGCCCAGCTGGTCTCGCTCCAGGTTGCCTGTGTCGGACGATGAGGACGCCGCGAGCAAGGTGGAGGACTCGGCGCCCGTGAAGGAGGAGGAGAAGGCGGAGAAGGGATCGCAGCTGGAGGAGTCGGGTTCGCTCGGCTTGTCACTGGGCAAGAAGGCTGGAGGGTCCACACAGGAGCACGAGAAGGCCGACGACGACGCCGCTGCGAAGGAAGAGGACAAGGAGGACCAGCCAAAGGTGCGCCGTTTCGCTTCATACCGCTCACCGCAACCGACTGACTCTTCAATTCCCAGCGCCCCGCCTTCGTCCTCACTCGCCCAACCGTGAGCGGCGAGAACGAGCTAATCTCGATTACCCAGTCGTCGACCCCTTCTGGTTCTGTCGCCGGCGACGACAAGGACGAGGACAAGCCCGACCCTCGCAATATCCGCATCACGACCTTCCTCCCCGAGACGAAGACGTTCTTCACCTCGCCGACGACCACGAACGCCATTCCCAACTCGGCTGTCTCGCCACTCACGCAGACGTTCTTCTCGACCGACTTTTCCGTCCGCTCGCCTCCTCGTCCTGGAGGAGCCTTCATCACCGAGCTTCCTTCCGACGCCGAAGTGACGGTATCGCAAGCTGTGAAGATCACGGTCGGCGAGCCCAAGCCGTCTCGCCCTCGTTCGAGGGACCCATCGCGCTCGAGGGACGCCTCGCCGGCGAGGCGTCCGCCTTCGCAGAACAGGAAGCGTCTCCCGTCGCCTTCGCCTGTCCGTCCTCCTCGTCCGCACGTGTCCTCCCACACTCGCGTCTACCGCCCACTCAGCGACTCGGACGACGACACCTCGGATGCTCGTCCGACGCACCTTCCTTTCGTTCGTGGCAGGACCGTCGTCTCGGCTCCTCCGCTTCGTACCGCTCCTCCCGGCTCCTTCAAGATTCACCGACAGCCTCCTCAGTACTCGCATACCCCTCGCACGCCGCTCTTCCAGTACGAAGAACCTCGCCGTCCCGCCTCGAGGCCAGAGGGACCTCGTCGCCATTCACCTCGTCCGAACGAGCGACCGGCGCCCTCGCTCTCCACGCTACTTGACGGCCTGAAAAAGGCGCTCAAGACCGATCCTACGACCTACTACGCTGTCAAGGGCCTCCTCGTTGAGCACGACGAGCGCAAGAGCGAGTCGCGTAAACATAAGGAGTCGTACGGAGCGCCGGACGAGAAGCGCTCGTCTGGTCGCCGCCATGACGAACGCCGTGCACGAGATGAAGAGCGTCCCGCAGATGTCTTTGAGCCGCGCATCCCGGTCAGCTTCGCTTTCATGACTGGTGCGAGCGGGTCGGAAACGGAGGTTGACAAGGCCAGGTCTTTGCTTGCGTGACTTCTTGTCCCATAGGTATCGGGCGTCGAACTGAGCTGTCGTCTTTGCAGACCATGACAAGTTGCGCAAGCCCGTGCGCCCTACTGCGCCCACCTCTCGCCCACCCCAGCCTGCCTCGCACAACGAGCGCTACAGAGAGTCGTCCAAACTTCCAACGACATCGCACGGCATCAAGTACCCTGACGACGACCGCCGCCCTCACCGCCCCATCCCCGTCCGCATCCACCACCCGCTCTCTCACGCCATCCCCTCGCCCGAGCCGCCCTACCCTTCCTCACGCGACCCATCGCCTCAGCGCTTCCTCCCGCGCTCGCAGACACTGACGATGGCGCAGGCTGCTCGTCTCGCGGAGGGGCTCGGCGACAGGCGTCAGGCGGACGACCTTCGCAAGACGGGACTGAAGAGCGGCGATAAGGTGTCGTTGCTCGACGAGCGTGACGGCGGAGAAAAGCTGAAGAAGAAGGAGGAGAAAGTTTCCAGCGGTACGGGCAAGAGCTCGAGAAAGGAGAAGAAGGATGGCGAGAAGAGGGAGGAGAAGCCCAAGTCGGCTCGTCGTCACTCCTTCGACTCGGTGGTCGACTACAAGCCCTCGTCGCACTCTTCCGCCGCGAACAGGCACGCCGAGCAGTCGTCGTCTCGCAAGGCGGAGAAGCGCTCTCGTTCGTCCGCTCGCAAGGACGACGCATACCGCTCGCCCGTCGACAAGTCCGTCGACTACCGGTACTCGACCGGCAGACCTCGCGACACCGTCGACCGCTACATCGCCAGCGAGGCCTCGTCGAAGAAGGGCGGCAAGGGGAAGGAGCGGGCCATCTCGTTCGACTTTGGCGATTTGATGTGATCTCTACCGCCTCATACGTATATGTTCCCGCTCCGTTCTTCGACGTCCTCCGTCCGTCATTCGTTCTCGTACTCGCCACCCGTCTATCACTCGCTCTATCCGTCGTTTCTGTATTGACACGTCTACAGTTTCCCACCGCTCGCATCGTCGTACCCCATCGCTTTCAGCAAACCCTCCGAGTACCGTACGCATTGCTTGTATGTCTTCTCGAAGCCGTCCTTGCCGCCGTACTGCAAACAGTCGAAAGTTGAAGAGTTCGTGCGGACAGCGATCCACGAGAGCAACGCACATAAGGGTCCTGGATGACTTTCCCATCGCCAAACGAGCCAAAGAGCGCGACTGCGAGCGGAGCGAGACGTCAGCGACGGGCGCGGCGCAGGAGGGAGACAGGATGCGCACTCTTCGCCGTCGAGTTTGCCGGCTTCGCCTTCTCGATGTTGCTCATGTTCATCGAGTCCATGCCGATGATGTAGTCGAAGCGAGTAAAGTCGGCTTTCTGCGAGCGGCGAACGCCTGAGAAAGCGGAAGAGCAGAACCGTGCCAGCGGGACGCACCTCGAATTGCCTGCACACCGAGTTGACGGGTACACCGTGTCTTCGGCAGACCTCCACTGATCGCTCGTCTGGCTCCTCTCCGACATGGAAACCTGCCGTTCCTGCCGAGTCCACCGTGAAGTCGTCGCCAAATCCGCGCTTCTTCACCATGTCGGCAAAGACGGCCTCCGCCAGCGGGGACCTGCAGATGTTTCTGCGAATACAAAGAAATGTCAGCCATCCACGTGAGCGGTCGCAAGAGCCCCCCAACGCAATGGACCCGTCCCTTTGCCCTCGACTGATGAGAATCAAGGAATCGCGAACACGAGCTTGCACGCTGCGCCAGCGTCCGCGCTGCGTATGAGGCCCTGCTTGAGACTCACCCAAGGCAGACAAACAGCACAGAAGGCATTCTAGCGAGAGTGAGCGGTGACAGCGGAGCCGAACAGGCGACAGGCGGGTCGGCCAACTTCCTCGTCCTCGACTCGCTTCGATGTCGCTCGAGAGGCTGTCTATGCTGCGATGGGACACATCTGGCCTGATGGACTCGAGCTGGGCGCGTCCTCCTTTGGACCCAAGCGTGCTGGCGCCGGTCCTTCTCCTCGACACCGGGCATCGACTTCCAGCTTGCAAGGCTATCGGGCGGGCTGCGTACGCGCTGGAGGGACCTCTGGACCGGAGTGCAGGCATCACCGGTCCACGCGAGTCGTTCTGTCCGACATTCCCCTCACATCACCTCCGGACTTCGCGTTCGCGCGCGCCCTGTTTGACATTCCTCACGGAACAACGGTCCTCGCTCGCTCATTCCGCTGCTTCGTGCCGTCGTGCGGCTCGCTCTTGTCTGCTCTGCTTCTCTCACCGCTACTCTCGGACGCTTCGCCGACAAGCGCAGTCACCCCAGCAGCCTCACCTTCACTCCCTCCTCCGCTTCTTCACCCAACATGCGCGCTTTCATCCCCTCGTCTTCGCTGTTCCTCAGCTTCCTTGCCCCTGCACTCGTTGCCGCCAGCGCGCAGATCCCCTTGGCCGCTCCCGAACAACTCCTCTTCGACTCGCCTGCTCTCCGTCGCGCACCTCCTTCGACTCGCCCTCAGTCAGGATCGTCGCAACCCATGTTCCCCTCACGACCCAACCCCTCTGTCGTCGTTGCCGTCGTCGACCCCGCTTCACCAACCACGTCCAGCATCGTCGAGCCTTCGATGCTGGCGGAAGCGGACGAGGCGGAGAACGACCAGGAGGACGCGGCCAACTTTGGCGCATCCTGCACTTTCGAGTCTCATTCGTTCAAGACCTGCGGCGACTTCTACGATGAGGTCTCAGGCATCGACCACGGCTTGTTCTGCTCGCCGTCCGGGATCTGCGGTGGAAAGGGTGCGGCATGCGGTGCGAGCGAAGCCTGCGACGATGGTGCGTTCTTCGTGTTGCCGAATGCCCTCGAGATATGCCCTGACGCAGCCATGCTTATCCTGAACAGGCCTCGTCTGCAACCTCTCCACCCACCGCTGCGTCAAGGCTTCCGCCAAGCTCCTCTCGATTGAGAACGCGCGGAAAGCGTCCCGCCGCGAGTCTGCAATGGCACGCTGCCCCGACGGTGCTCAGGCTTGCCCGTCTGGAATCGGTGGCTTCGAGGTGAGCAGCGAATCCGCTCCTCCGCTCAAAGTGCTGGACTGACAGCCTTCCCCTCACCTAGTGCGTCTTCATCGCGACCGAGGATACTGAGTGCGGCGGATGCCTCAACTTCGGAGGCCGCAACTGCGCTGCGATTCCGCACGCCCTCGCAACAAGCTGCCGAGGGGGCGAGTGCATTGTCCGTGAGTCGCTTTCCCTCGCGTCTGCCCTTCGAATGTCATTAACGAGAATGCTCCCGCAGATGCTTGCGTCGCTGGGTACCACCCGGATGCAGGGAACTCGGAATGTGTAGACGACATGTTTGCGTGAGGGAGTCGAGGAGGAGAAGATTGTTGTTCTAGACATGCTTGTTGTATTCTTATCTCACGATCGCATCACGCCCATCTCCCTGACTTGCTTGATGGCGCGAAGCTCAAGGAAGATCTGAAGGAGACGCAGCGCGAACGAGACAGAGCGAAGCACGAGGACGAGGAGTTGGAGCGCACACGCCAACAAGTCGAGGCGGCAGCGATCAGACGCGGCGCGAGCTTCTCGTCTAAGTGTTCAACTGAGCCGCCAGCCGTGCGGGCTGCCTGTCGCGGACTACACAGGCAGTCCGCCGAAAGAAGGGAGAGGCGGGAGAGTCGCGGCGAGAACCACGTAGGACGCTCGCCTGCGGTACGTACGCCATACGCAGCACCCGGTAAAGACGAGCGCGACTCTGACAGCCCAAAAGAGCGATGTTCAGGTCAGTCGAAGGAGGGAGACCTGCGAGAGCGCGCCGGTTGTCCTCCTCGACATCAGCTCACCTCGCTCAAAGTCCTCCTGCTGGACGCTACGAGTTTTTCTCGCTGCTAAAGGTCACACCGGACGACCCGCGCACCCGCAGGACATTCGGCCATGAGCGGCATCCTCACCCCGATCGCAGGCGAGGCAAAGAAGCGAACCTGCTACTTCTTCGACTCTGGTGAGTGCTCGCCCAGCCTTTGTGACGTTGCTACGGCCTCCTGGTGTCGTACGGAGGCCCCGCCGACCGATGCCGTCGAGTTCACCTCCGCTCTCCCCGGCGAGCGATGAGGATGGCAGAAGCGGTTCAGAGGTGTGAGACCAGGTGACTGACTGCTCTGTCGCTCACACAGACATCGGAAACTACCGTAAGCTGGCCGCCTACCCGCCCGCCTGTCCCGTTGGCTGACAGCGTCCGCACCTCACCCGTCCCCGCTTCGTCTCCCTCTTTCCTGCTTCACCAACGCAGACTATGGCCCGAGTCACCCGATGAAGCCGCACCGTGTGCGCATGACGCACTCGCTCGTCATGAACTACGGCTTGTACAAAAAGATGGAGATCTTCGTGCGTCCACCTCGTCCTGGAGGGCACTGCCCATTCGCTCACGTCCTTCCTCCTGCAGCGCGCCAAGCCTGCGACGCGGAAAGAGATGGCTCAGTTCCACACGGACGAGTATGTCGACTTCCTCGCGCGGGTCACGCCTGATCTTGTCGAGGCAGCGGCAGAAGGGAGCGGTGGACCGAAAGTTGCGGGTCTGGCGAGGGAGATGGGGCGTTGTAAGTCGCGCGTCGCTCTATACTCCTTGTGCTCGTGCTGATGCAATGCTCGCCTGACAGTCAACCTCGGCGACGACTGTCCCGTCTTTGACGGTCTGTTCGAGTACTGCTCAATCTCGGCAGGCGGTTCGATGGGTGCGCGAGATCTTCTCACTCTCCCGCACGATCGCTGACGGGTCTTCTCTTCTCGGACGCAGAGGGCGCGGCGCGGCTGTCTCGCGACAAGTGTGACATCGCGATCAACTGGGCAGGCGGGTTGCACCACGCGAAGAAGGCGGAGGCAAGCGGTTTCTGCTACGTCAACGGTGCGTGCGAGGCCTGCGTTTGTGTACTTCGGAACGACTCGCGGACCGAAGACTGATCGTTTGTGATTTCGCCCGCAGACATCGTTCTCGGCATTCTCGAGCTCCTCCGCTACCACCCTCGCGTCCTCTACGTTGACATCGACGTTCACCACGGCGACGGAGTCGAAGAGGCGTTCTACACTACCGATCGCGTCATGACCGCCTCGTTCCACAAGTACGGCGAGTTCTTCCCGGGTACGGGCGACCTCAAGGACATTGGGTACGGCAAGGGGAGGAACTACTCGGTGAACGTGCCGCTGCGGGATGGCATCACGGACGAGAACTACCGGAGCGTGTTTGAGCCGGTGCGCCTGCTTTCCTCCCGATCGTCTTCGCGCGCCGTCGCGCTGATCCAGTCTCGCTCGCACAGGTCATCTCCCAAATCATGGAGTGGTACCGACCATCCGCGGTCGTGTTGCAATGCGGCGGTGACTCCCTGTCAGGCGACCGTCTCGGAACCCTCAACCTGTCCATGCGCGGTCAGTCGCGCTCGCCTTCACTTCGCTTCCGAGCTCGAGCTGATGGCTGGTTTTCGCGCACTGAGCAGGTCACGCCAATTGCGTCCAGTTCATCAAGTCGTTCGGTCTTCCGCTGCTCGTTCTCGGCGGCGGAGGTTACACGATCCGCAACGTTGCGAGGACGTGGGCATTCGAGACGGGTCTCGCGGCGGGCATGGAGCTGGGCGTCAGTACGTCGCGTGACTCCCCAGTCCGCTCCAACCATTCTCGGGGAAGGGAGAGCTGATCCTGATGCCTCACTTGTGACAGACATCCCGATGAACGAGTACTACGAGTACTTCGGCCCAACCTACCGCCTCGACGTCCCGCAGTCCAACACGGAGGACATGAACACCAGCGAGTACCTCGAGAAGATCAAGGCGCAGGTGTTTGAGAACTTGCGGCAGACGGGCGGGGGCAGCGCGCCGAGTGTGCAGAGTCAGCGTGCGTTTGGTCGCAGGTTCGGCTCGAAGCAGACAAGGATATGCTGACGAGGCTTGATGTGTCCGTACCATGCACAGCCATTCCGCGGACGGCGATGGACGAGGACGACGATCTTGAGGAGGACGAGCGGGATCCGAACGTCCGAAGGCACCGTGCGTTTCTGCTCTACAGCTCTCTGCCTTGCAAACACTCACAAGCATACTGACACAATCTGTGCACTTCCTACAGAGGCCGAGGTCGACCGCCGCATCCAGCGCGACGACGAGTTCTCCGACTCGGAAGATGAGGGTGAGGGTGGCCGACGAGACCGCCAGTCTCACCGTCGTGAATCGCCAAAAGCCAGGTCTAAGTCGCCCGCACCCGCCGCGCCTGCCGACGCAGCATCCGCCGCTCCCGCCATCCCGCTCGAAACGACTTCCGCCTCTGCCGCTGCGCCTACCGACGCTCCCGTCACCACGACACAAGCCCCTCTGCCCGCCAACATTACTTGCGGTGCCGAAGAGCCTCTCGCGCCTCTCAAGCCCGCAGGTGAATCCTCTTCGAACGCGACGGAGGCAGCTCTCGCCGAAACTGCTCCGGAGGCAGAGGAGAAGGCTGGCGCGATCGCCGAGGCGAACGGCGACGCTATCGGCGGGACGGTCGAGATGCCTGTGCAGGGAACGAGTGCGGCGCGAATGACGACAACGGCAGGGCCAGGTGAGGACGATGCGCGGGCAGAGGACGTCGAGATGCAGGAGGCGAGCGGGAGTGCCTAGTCGTCGATGGCGCGGCTCGCTTGCAATGTTGTCAACTCGCTTCAATACACCCTTACACGTCTATACAGGCTCACACTAGCCCCCCTGGCGTGGTTGCGAGTTCGAGCTTGGGTCGTCGCCGAAGCCAAGTCGCGGAAGGGCGGACTTGCTCTGCTCGCTCTCGCCGCCAGCCAGCGCTGTTCTCTGTTTGTGCCAGCTGCTAGAGATGGGCAAGAAGGCTCCAAAGATTGCGCCACGGACCACAGCGCTCGCCGTCTCGGTCGAGGCGGTCGCGACAACTCTCACCGCCTTCTCGCCATCAGCAACCCACTACGCGCACCTGTCGGCCGCGCCAGACGCCCATACGCTTCGAGTGTTCGAGACTGCGACCGGAAGGTGCGTCTCGCGCTGGGCTTCGAACGCGGCGGGCCAGGACGAGGGGGATGAGCCTCGCGTCAAGAGCATCGAGTGGTGCTGGGTGCCGTCTGCGAGCGCGGGCGAGGCGGATCAGCAGGGCGAGGGCAAGCGCGGAAAGAAGCGGAGGAAGAGCGACGGTGGAGGAGCGGTCGACTCGCCTGCGAAACCCTCTCTCGCTTCCCTCAAGCCGCAACCTCCTCAACTTAATCTCGCCCTCGGCCTCGAGAGCGGGTCTATCCTTCTCTGGCACCCCAGCGGCACCGCATCTCGCATCATCTCCCACCCGACAAGCACCTCGCCCATCACCGCCCTCGCAACTCCCGTTTCTTCGTCGGTTCAGGAAGACGGACAGCTTTGGTCGGCACACCAGGACGGCTCTGTTCGCGTGTGGGACCTCGAAAGCGGGAACGTCGTTGGAAAGGTCAGCGGCTTGACGGAGGAGCCTCGGTGGGACGACCTCGTTGTGCGGTACGAGCCGTCGACAGAGGGATCGAAGCGGACAGTTCACCTCGTCCTCTCGCACCTCTCGTTGCGGGTGTACTCGCTCCAGCTCGGTGCGGCGTCGCGGAAGGAGGGCAAGGTTCGGGATCTGAAGGCGACGGAGCTGGGTCGTTGCACGGGTCATGTCGAGCCGTGCTCGGTTCGATGGACCGGTCTCTCTTCGACTCCCGCCTCCCCTACCGACTTTGGCTCCGACGCACCCGCCGACAAGCTCACGTTCCTCTCGTATTCGCCGACCGACCGCTTCGTCCAAGTCTGGCAGATCGCGACTACTTCTCCTTCTCCCAACCCTCACATCGGCCTCCTCCTCGCCCGCCTCGCTCTCGACAGCGGTGTCGCCTCTGCATCCGTCTCCTCTCTCCTTCCGTCCACTTCCACTCAGACTCTCGCCGCCATCGACTCCGCAACCGGCAATGTCTCGCTCACCTCCCTCCCTCTCTCCTTCACCTCGCACGCCGAGTCCTCGACACCCTCGAAGAAGGGCAAGAAGCACGGTCTTGGCGTCGTTGCGCTCGACGTCTCGTGCGAGATCACTGCGCCTGCGGCAGGCGGCAAGAACGAGGCCAATGTCGTGGAGGTTGCGTTCAGGGAAGGCGAGGAGGGAAGGGCGTTGCTGTGTCGCGGCGGTGTCAAGCCCGTTTTCGAGTCGGTGGTACGTTGTATTTGTCGCTGACAAGTCGTCGGAGCGCTACTGACGAATCGCTCGACTTGCAGGCTGTCAAGGAGGAGGGCGCGTGGCTCAAGAAGGTCGAGCTCGCACGGAGCGCTTCCGGTCTGCTGGTCGGTAACGGTGTCGCAGATTCTGCTGGGGCGGTGAGTCGACCCCTCCCCTCTCGCTCGTGTCCCTCGCTCACTCCGTCGCTTTCGCAGCCTCAACCGACTCGCTACTCGGATCAAGCCTCTGCGTCCGTCGCAGCTGCCACCTCAGCTCCGGACGCCGCCGCCGGCTCGGACGATGAGGAGGTGATCGGCAACTCGGGCGAGCTCGACGTCGACATGGCTGAGCCGACTTTGGCCGACCGGCTCAAGGCGCTCAACGTCTCGCAGAAGAAGGAGCGCAAGGTTGCTGCGCGGAAACGGCGCGCGGCGCAGGAAGGTGCAGACGACGATGTCGAGGCCGCTTCCGAGTCGGACGACGAGGACTTCGACGAGGAGGAGCTCGAGGACGAGGACGAGGACAGCGCGGGCCCAGCCGTCCCCGCTACTACTCTCACGACCACGCTCGTCCAGGCTCTTCACTCGCAAGACGGGCCTCTGCTTGAGTCGTGCCTCGCCCACTCGAACGTCAACCTCGTCCGGTCGACCATCAAGCGCCTCCCGTCCGGCGGGCTGGTTCTCTCGCTCCTTGAAGCGATCGTCGAGCGTCTCGGCAAGCAGAAGAAGGGTCGCGAGGGGATGGCGTCCGTCAAGCGCGCCCGCGCACTCGTTGCATGGCTCAAGGAGACTCTCGTCGTGCACGTCGGATTCCTCGTCACGATCCCCTCGCTCGTCAACCGACTCGCGGCCCTCCATGCCTCTCTGACGCAGCGCCTAGCGCTTCAGCCGACGCTCTTGTCCCTCCATGGCAGGCTCGAGCTCGTCATGAGCCAGATCGACCTCCGGCAGGACCGGGCTCGCGCGGCGTCGCAGCGTCAGCTGGCGGCTGCTTCGGCCAAGCCTCGGCAGGGCAGGCGGTATGTCGAGGGCGAGAGTACGGACGAGGAGGGAGGCGAGGAGGGCGACAGCGATATTGAGGATGTCGTGCTTGGAGCGGCGGGCGATGAGGAGGGCGACGAGACGGACGAGGACGAGGACGACGAGGGCGAGTCGGGCGAGTTTGACGAGGATGACGACGATGTCGACAGCGACCTGGAGGACGAGGAGGACGGCGCCGACAGCCGGAGGTTGAGGAGCAAGGTGCGTTCCGCTTTCCTTCGCACTTGCCGCATTGGCATGACTGACACGGTGTTTTGATTCTTCACAGCGCAACGGTGTCGAGTCGCTGCTCGACCTTGAGGCGGAAGACGACGAGGACTTTGACGAGGATGCCGAGTCGCTCGAGGGAGAGGAGGGTGACGAAGACCTGAGCGACGACCCCGAGGCGGGCGAGGACGAGGAGTTCGAGGAGTAACGACGTGTGTCACCTATTGCAACCTGCATAGACGGGGACGCTACCCTCCTGCCGTTGGAATACGAGCGCGAGATTCCCCTTGATCCGCTTCCTCGCCTCTCGCCGCGGGATTTGTCCGGCTACTCTTGTCTGTATCGTCACAATGAGAGCAAGCATGACAGCGCCGTCGCCACACGAAAGGAGGCTGTTGCGAAAATCCCTTGTCTCGCCCGCCGTCCCCCTTCGCCTCGAGCTCGATCTTCGCTTCCTCACACACGCCCGCCTGCTCTCGTGCGCACTTTCTCGTTCAGCTCATCGTGTAGAGCCACACTGATTGCCTTGGTCTGCGGCAGCGCGCAGCTCCCCGCCGCCGCGTTCGCCCGCAAAAGCTTCACCTCCAACCTCCCCTCTTCACGATGTCGACAACTCAGTTTGGCGGGCCCGGCTCGGCCTTCTCTTTCGCGGCCCCGACCAGGCCATCTCGTCGCACCAACAGCTCGAGCTCGTTCAAGGATGCCGCCGCCTCGAGCCCGACTGCTAACGGCACTTCCTCCCACTCGAGCGGGCCTGCTCCCGTCGATCCGCCCGCTGCGCCCTCGCTGGGTTCGTTCTCGCCCTCACACGAACGAGAGAACGCCCTTTCGCCAAACGGCACGAGCGGAGGAGACGCAGGATCTGCCCGCTCCTTCTCCAGCATCCTCTCGCCCTCTCTCTCTGCCGCAGCGAACGGCGGCTCACTCGGCGAGGCCAGCGGAGCGTCGGGGAAGGGCAAGCCGTTTGTGTACACGCGCGAGTTCCTGCTCAGCCTGTACGACGAGGAGAAGGCAAAGAAGCGCCCGCTCGAACTCGCCGCCCACGAGACTGCGACGCGGGAGCTCACCGGGTCTTCTGGCGGAGCGCATAAACCGTGGCTGTTGCAGGAGTATCGCGAGGGCGAGAAGGAGGTGCGTGGCGGCTCACTTCCTCCTCCAGCTGGATGGCAGGAGTGGCCTATCCTCCTCTGCCGTCCTTCCTGAGCTCCGAGCGGTGCTATTGACACCTATAATCTCTACAGCTCTTTGCGACCTCGATCCACCCCGCCAACAACCGCCCGTCGCGCATGAACCGCAACGACTCTTCCCTCTCGACAGGCGGTGCGAACGGTTCCTCCTCGACCCTCGACCTCTCCACCCTCGGCACGCTCCCTCGCGACCGCGACCGTGCTCTCGGCTCGCCTTCCATCCGCTCGCCGAGTATCGAGAAGGAGGGTGTGCTCGGTAGTGCTGGACGTGAGCGCCGCACGAGGGAACGCTCGTCCGGCGCGACGATGGGCATCATGGGCGGCGTCCTTGGCGGAATTGCTGCCAGTACGCCTACTCGCAAGCGCGAGGAGAGCAGCGGGAGCGCCACGAAGGAGGGCGTTTGGCAAGGCGGGAGGTGGAGGCGGAACGCACAGGAGGCTGAGGAGGCTGAGAAGGTGCGGCGTCGTTGCTCTTGCGCTTCTCGAGGTTGCTCGCGGTTGACACGCACCAATTCCTGCAGCAGCGCTCCTCGGCTTTCGGCTCGCGCCGCTTCCCGCTCGCTGAGGACGAGTCGAGGCAGCCGTCTCTCTCGACTGGCGCCGCTGAGCCTGTCGCCGAGTCGTGGGAGGACTCGACTCGGCCCGGAGACGTCGAGAAGCGTCAGCAAGGCTCTTCCGCCTTGAACGGGACCAGTCTCAACGAGGCGAACGAGCCGGACGTGACCGCCTCCGTCCTCGGCTCCCTCGCTCTCGATTCGGACCCTGTCGACGAGCCGCTCCTCCGCAAGCCGTCGGACGGTACCGGCACGCCTTCTCGCGTCGCTCCGCCTCCCGGCCTCGGCAGTCTCCCGCCTGCGGACGTCATGTGGCAGTACCGCGACCCGTCCGGCCAGGTCCAGGGTCCGTTCTCCGCGACGATGATGCACGACTGGTACCGCCAGCAGTTCTTCACGCCCGACCTTCGCGTCAAGCGCACGACCGACGCAGACTTCGAGTCGCTCGAGAACCTCGTTCGCCGCACGGGCGACAGCGAGAAGCCGTTCCTCGCGCCTTCTCCGAGGGCAATTGGCACGGCATCTGCCTTCTCGAGCGCTCCTGGCACGCCGCGTCCCGGCTCGGCATGGGGTTCGACGCCGGTAGGCAGGGCGCAGACGCCGCTCGAGCAGCTCACGTCCGCCGTCAGCCAGGGTCGGTTCGGTGCCGCCGCAGCTTCAGCCAACTCGCCCTTCTACGAGCCGTTTGGGAGCGCTTCCGCCAGCCCCGCCCCGCAGGCGCAGACTCTCCAGCAGTCGTTCAGCCAGTCGCCTGCTCCTCAAGCCGCTGTCGACCCGTGGGGCGCTCCCCTCCCCTCGGCGCCCGGCTCATCGTGGAACGGCGTCGCTCAGCAGCAGCAACAGCAGCAGCAACAGCCGCAGACGCCGAACGCGCACGCGCCTTTGCAGTCGCCCATGGACATCCTCCGCCAGCTCGCTCTCCAGCAGCACGGCCTTCCCGGCCAACAGCAGCCGTTCGGCCAGCACGGTCATCCTCTCGACGCTTTTGGTCGTCCTTCGCCTCTCCCCGCCTCGCCCTTCTTCGACCCTTCCCATCTTGCGGCCGCTTCCCCCACCGCCTGGATCGGTCAGCAGCTTCCTCAGCAGCAGGCGCAGCAGGCTCAGCACCCCTGGGCATCTCTCACTGGAGCCAGTGCTCCGACTGCCGCAATCGGCTCGCCCTTCGCCCAGTTCGCCCAAAGTCCCGCCGCTGCGCCGTCGGTCCCCGAGCCTATCGGTACCCCCTCCGCCCAGCCGTCCGCCGCTCAGTCGTCGGCCGCACAGCTCTCGCCATGGGGTGATGTGCAGCAGCAGCAGCAGCCTCAGGCGCCTGTCGTTGAGGTGAAAGAGACGGTCATCGTCGCCGAGTCCGAGACTGCCGCCGCACCTGCTGCCGTTGCCGTCGTCGTTGAGGTTCCGGCGCCGCAGCAGAACAAGACCGAGGCGAGGAAGAGCAAGGCTGCTGCCAAGGCGTCATCGCCTATCGCCGCCCCTCAGCAGGTCGACGCTCCCGCCGTTCCCGAGGCCGAGTCTTCGCCTTCTCCCGCTCCGTCAGCTTCGTCGAAGGCCGCCGCAGCCGCGCCGTGGGCCAAGGAGGACGTCGTTGCTGCCGTCCCGGCCAACCCGTCTCCTTCGCTCCGCGAGATCCAGGAGGCCGAGGCGCGCGAGGCCGCGAAGCGCAAGGAGGCCGCCCGCATCCAGGCTGCGCAGGCCAACATTCAAGCTGCCCAGCGCGCCGCCGCTCTCGAGGCTCAGGCCGCCGCCGAGTCGCTCCCGCCCTCCGCTTCGTGGGCTGCCGGTCCTGCTCAGGTCCCCGCCCCGAAGCCTACCGCATCTTCGTCTGCCGCCAACGCGAACGCCTCGGCTGCCGCGCCCTGGAGCAAGCCGGTCGCTGCTCCCGTTCCCACCGTCGCGAAGGGCCAGAAGACGCTCAAGGAGATCCAGGAGGAGGAGGAGCGCCAGAAGAAGGCCAAGCTCGCGGCACAGCAGCAGCAACAAGCCGTCGCCGGTGTAGTCGGTCGCGGCTACGCTGGCAGCGTCGCTCAGGCTGCTCCCGTGAGCAACTCGCCCTGGATCACTGTCGCCGCTAAGCCGACCGTCGCTCGTCCCGCCGCACCTGCCGCCAAGCCCGTCGTCCCCGGCCTTCCTGGAAGCTCAACCTCGGCGACGTCCGCCCGCACGCCTGGCAGCACCGGTCTTCCCGTCAAGCCCCCCGCGCCTGCGCCTGCTGCTGTCCGCCCCGCTGCTCCGGCTGCCTCTGCGTCGGTCAAGATCGTCGCTCCGCGGAGCATCAACGTCGCAACTCCTTCGCCGGCTGTGTACGACATGGAGAACCCGCCTCCTCCTTCGCCCGAATTCCTCTCGTGGACCAAGCAGGCGCTCAAGGGCTTGAATGTTCCTCGTGCGTCCTAACACTTCGTCTCTGCTGATGGTCTCGAGCTGACCGGTACTTCCTTCGCCCAGTCGAGGAGTTCGTTCAAATGCTGCTCTCGTTCCCGCTCGAAGCCTCTGCCGACGTCCTCGAGATCATCTCCGACTCTGTCTACGCCAACTCGTCAACTCTCGACGGCCGCCGCTTCGCCAACGACTTCACGACCCGCCGCAAGAATGACGTCGCCGTCCGCTACCCGTCCATCTTTGCCAAGGGCGCCGTCCGGACCGCTGCGGGCAAGCCCCCGAGCATGGCTGCCGTTCTTGCATCCGCGCCCGCACAACCGCAGCAGGAGTGGAACGTCAAGGTCTCGGCGAAGAAGAAGAAGGGCGGCAAGTAACGTAGCCTCTCTTGCAACCCTAGCACGCCGATCCATCCTCTCCATCTTGCGCTTTCCCCTCATACGTCGAGAGATGCTCGAGGCATCACGAGTGACAGGCTGAATGTCCATTGATCAGTCGAGTCCAGAGAGTCTGCCGCCCGGCCAGTCCGAGCGGCGAAGGGAGGATACGCCAAGTCCAAAGAGGTGGGCACGACGAGGAAACGTGGCAGACTAGGTTGGGTGTTCTATGTACGGATACAGGTCGTCTCAAAAATGACGTGAAGTGGGAGAAACGCGAAGGAAGGGGTGTAGTTTGGCGAGTCGAAAAGGAAGCCGATACAAATGTCTGTACGCGAGCCAACTTCTTCATTGTCACTTCTTCATGCCCGCTTGGATTTCTTGGCCTTCTTGCAGCGTCCGCTGCCGCCGCCCGGACGCTTGAACGCCGTGTCGAGCTCGTAGCCGCTCGCGCAAGTGTAGACGGTGCAGCGACCCGACTCGCAGGTCACACCCTGCGCGCCTTTGATAAGCGTGCAGTCTTCGCCTTGGCCCTTCGAGGCTGTGGGGGGGACGAGGCGTTAGTTATGGGGCGAGCTCGAGGAGGAGACGGAAGAACGTACTGCATCCGCCGCAGCTCTGCAGCTCAGTCTTGGTGTCAACGCACTCCCAGGTACCGCCGCGAGGGAAGCTGTGGAAAACGAGGTGCGAAGTCAATTTCGGTACGAGGGGGAGAGGAAGGAGCTCGGCGCAAGGCGTACATGGGGCAAGCCGTCTCGCCGAACGGGCAGAGGAGCCTCGAGTCAAGGATCTCCCACGGCTCCTGCTCGATCCTGCGCTTGACGTATTCCATCATCTTTGCAGCCTTGCCGGTACCGTCCCAAAGTGCCGAAGGCTGGGGCGCGGCGTTTCCCGTCCCGGCAGCAGCAGCAGCCTGCGAAGCGCCCGTCGGAGCAGCAGCCCACGTCGCAGACGGCTGAGCATGGTGCGACGAGGCCGACTCGGGTGCACAGGTGGTCGTCGCGGCGGGCGCGTTCCAGGTTTGCGAAGGTCCGTATTGTCCGGCTGAAGCGGCGTGAGCGAGTTGCGACGGTCCCATGCTGCTCCATGGCTGAGCGGCGGCGGTCGCGGTTGCCCATTGCGAGGGACCGTAGCTTTGGCCTTGACCTTCGGCCGCCCAGGTCGAGGAAGGGCGGGCGCCGGCGGCGGCGTGGGCGGAGGCGCCGGCCATGAAGGGTGCGCCTGCAGCTGTATCGACACGACGGAGGTCAGCTCGTGCGATGGAACAGAGAGAGCGCGGACGAACCCTTGATCAGCGCGATCAACTCGTCGGAAACGGTGCGCTTCCTCGGTCCCTCAAGTCCGACCTTGCTCCGCTTGTCCGATCCTCCACGGCGACTCTTGAGCTGTGCGACCGTCGACGAGAAGCGGCGAGCGAGGTTGAGCTGGAAGGCAGGCGAAGTCGAGTTCGAAGGTTGCTCGAGGAGGGCGGCGGCTGAGGCGGTCGTCGAGAGGAAGGCGAGGGCCGAGAGGAGGGCGAGGAGGTGTAGGCGTGCGAGCATGATGGTGCGAGTCGTGCGACCGGCGGGAAGTCGAGGAAGAGAGGATCGGAGTTAGGAGGACCAGCCGTGTGGAACGGGTTTGGAGGGCGGAAAGCGGAGACTGGCTGGGTCGCGGCAGGCAAGAGAACGTCGAGAGGAGTCGGTTCCGCAGGCGACGAGCACAGCAAGGACGACGGGCTGAGGAGGACGAGCGCAAGGGGGAGCAAAAGCGCAAAAGATGGGGTCGCGGGACGTTGAGACACAAGGTTGGAGAGGCTGCTCGGCTTCGCGTCCCGGAGAGGCAAGCGAGCTTGACCCCAAAAAGGCGCTGTTCGGAACCGCCAAGCCAGCGAGGCGGGCAAACCGAAGGCGATCTGATCCACAGAGCAGCAGAGCTATTTCGGCAGGCGGAGCGCTGTGAACCTGGAGCAGCGGCAGAACACGGGAGGAAGGCGGGCTGGCGGCGTGCGTGTCGAGAAGGCGAGCAGAGGTCATGGGCTGGTCGACTTGATAGACGCAGAATCCCGCCTCTAGCGAGAAGAAGGCAGGTCGGCGCCATTGAGAGAGAGGCGGGTACGGGAGGCGAGCGGGCTGCCCTCGCCGCTCGAACAGGCAAATGGCGCGGCCCGTGCCGCTGAAGACGTCGCTCTGAATGCTCTGGACGTAGTCGCAACGCTGCTGGTGCGAGTAGGCGGGAGATAGAGGACGCGTCGTTGTTCGAGGTGGCTGGAGGAGGCGAGCGAGCGTTGTGCGGCCTCGCAACGGTCGGGCGGTGGCTGTAGACGAGTCGAATCAATAGCAGACGCGTCACGGCAGCCCTTGCCAGCCTGTCCAGCGGGTGTGCAGCCTTCGCTCGAGATGGTGACGGCAAGAAGTCCGACGACGACGGGTCGCCCTTCTGCTCATCACCGCTGCTCAACGAGGACGGGCCGAGGAGTGCTGGGCTTGTACTGACGATGGTGCTCGACGGCTGCCTTCGAGCGCATGGGCGCCGCCTGCGCTCGACTCGCTTCTCGTCCTCACTCGCCCTCCTCGCTACGCTTCTTCAACTTGGTGTATCGAGGGCTTGGAGACGTCTCAGCGAATGGAGAAACCTTTGAGGTGGGCCTAGGGTCCGGGATCAGCGCGCCTCTCGGACGGAGAGACCTTTCTTCGACACTTTCTCTTCCTTGCGCTCTCGTTTGCCCTGCAAGTTTCGCAGCTCATGCGCCCGACCTTCACTCTCGCCACCAGCAGCAAGTCATACTGCTGCTCCTGCCGGACAGCCCGGACAGACTGTATCGTAACGCGGACAGGGCTGTCCAGCTGTTACAGCGACCTGTCTCCCGCGACTCACAGCGTATGCTCCGCGATCCTGTCGCAACCTGAACTTTATCACGGTCAGCTACGCTGGGCGCTTGTCTTGCTACCGCTCTGAAGTCGGCATGACCCTCCTGTGCGGATCTTGCGGACTCCCACCCTACGCTGCGCTTGTTCTCAGCGTCGGCATTCGCTGACGATGTACTGATGTTCTGGTACCGCACAGCGAACGTCGCAGATGCCGTCAAGCGTCTCCCGTCAGGTCCTCATTGATCCAGCGACTCTCGCCCGTCGCACGACCAAGGCTCGACTCTCGCCAACTCGCTATGACACCTCGCAACACGTTGGGTGTCCTTCGTCCGTACTGCTCTAGCGGATTACGGATGTACAGCCGCTCGACTCATCATCCGTCCGTTCGTCCCTCAGCCTCCGCTTTTAAGACGAGGCGAACCGAATCGCAGACTGAAATTTCGAGAGCTTCCCTGCAACCGCAAGCTTCGCCCGCCCTTCCCTTGAGACTTTTCAGCCCGAAAGACACCCTCAGCGCATAGCCAGTGCGAAGTCGCGAGATGAAGGTCCAGCTTCGCCCGGAGAGCAAGTCCTTGCCCAGCACCCGCCCGCCATGCTCGCCCGGATAGCGCTGCAGACAGCACGAGGTGCGCACAGTAGACTTTCCAGGCAGACTGGACACACTCACTGACCCGCGCGTGGCTTTGACAGCGCCGTTCGCGGCCACCGCCTCGTCCTCGCTCCTCCCGCTCGCATCGACCTCGTCCGCACCGGCCGCCGCCCTGCCAGCGCATGCACGGCTCTTCTCGTCCACCGCACCCGCAGGCGAGAACAAAGCCAAGCGCAAGGCGCGCATGACCCGCAAGGCCAACCTCGACAAGAAGGCGGCCCTCGTTCGCGAATTCGAACGGACCCGCCCCGATCCTGTGCTCGGCTACCAGCGGGGACACGACCACCTGTGGGAGAACTGTCTGCTGAACAAGGTCACGATCAAGCGCGAGGATGTGTGGGGCGAGATCATCCCTGTCGAGGACTCGGGCGCAGCGGCGGCGGCGGCAGCAGAGGCAGAAGCAGCAAAGGCAGGCGAGGGTGAGGCGAAGGACGGAGCGGCCGCACAAACGCAACGGCGGGAACCGTACGTGCCCAAGTACTTCAACTTTGGCCTCGACGCCGAGATGGTCCAGCAACTCTCCGACGCCCTCCCCGCGACGAGCGCTCTCAAGTCGACTCTCGGCGATAAGGCGACGTCGGTCGATGCCGTCCTGCTGTCCCGCTTCGAGGAGGCCAACGCGCTCGAGGCGCAGAAGCGCGAGCAGTTGATGCGCATCCTCGACTTGCGCAACGCCGACTCGAAGGGTATCGAGAGCTACAACAAGCGGCAAATCGTGCAGATGTTTGGGCGGGCCGAGGGAGACACCGGTTCGTCAGAAGTGCAGGGTGAGTGGCGAGGTTTCCGAGATGCCAGCAGAAAGTAGGGCTGACCATCGTCTCTCGCAGCCGCCATCCTCACGCTCCGCATCCGCAGCATCTTCGAACACCTCAAAGCCTCTCCGCGAGACGTCGAGAACCGCCAAGCGCTGCGCCAGCTCGTCCACAAGCGCGGCAAGATTCTCAAGTACCTCCGCAACGTCTCGGTCACGCGGTACGAGGACGTGCTGCTCAAGATTGGAGTCGAGCCGAGGGCGGTCGAGGGCGAGATCATCATGCGCAAGAACGAGTTGCGGTCGCTCATCAGGGGTATCGACGTCTAGACGGCATGTAACATTCGCAAGCTTTCACCAGGCTATCCGTTGCGTCCGGGTCGGTCGAGAGAGCTCTCGATCGTCTTAAGCGCGTCCCTCAAGCGCTGTGAGAGGACTGGGTATGCATTGTACACTCGCAAAGTCTGCCAACTCCCGCTCAGTCCGTCGAAGCGCATCCTCGGCAACCTGCGCATCGCGAAAAGACCAGTCAGCGGATCGCCTCACTCGCGCAAGCTGTCCATGACGTGAGAGGAGGCGACCACACACCACAATGTGTGCACTCGACGATCACGCCCTCCTTGAGCTGCGCTTTCGGCACGCGGCAGATGCAGGTCGAGCCGGCGTAGTTCATGTCCTGTCTCGCCGTTCACCAATGTGAGTCAGTACAGGCTCAAAGGGAAAGGTCTGGTGAACGGAGGTGGCTGCTTGACGCACCCGTGATTGGATGCACCGCGCACAGCAGAGCTTTTCGTATCCCGACTTCTTCCACTTCGCGATGAGGCTGTGGAAGGTGCTTCGTCAGCAAACGCGTGCCAGTCAGCTGCAGCACCCCGCCGCAGTTTTGACTGGCGAGGTAGCAGCACAGGAGGATGCGCTGCAGCGACGACTCACTTTGCGTCCGCATACTCCTGCTTCAGCAGCCACTCGTACAGCTTCTTCGAGATGGCTTCTCGCTTGTAGTACAGGTCGTAGATATACCTGAAACGAAGCACCCGACCAGAGATCAGCCTGGGTCCTCGGAACATAGGCAATGGCTGAATCTGGGAGGCTAGCGAACGCACCGGCTTCGAGTGTGGGTTATCCGCATGATTGGCCACAGTGCCTCGTTTTTCCGCTTTCCCTCGTGACTTTCCGCCTCAGCTGCAGCGGCATCGGAGATTCAGCTCGCGAACGGTCGAAAACAAGGGAAAGGAGCGTACCGTCCCGCATCTTCCGGCTGTACTCCTCAAGGATGTCTTCAATCTCCTCAAAGCCCTCGGGAGGAGGCTTGGTGCGGCTGGTGCGCGAATTCAAGGGCGAAGGAAGTTGACAAGCAGCGGAAAGAGGTGGAGTCGGAGCCGAGGGGAGGACGAAGTGACGAGGCGTCAGCTACGGTGAACGAGCGGAGCCCAACGAAGAACCTGACACGCACTTGGTCTTGATCTTGGGCATTGCGGGCGACGGAAGCGGGTCGAGAAGCGGGGGTGCAGGGAGGACGAGGACGGCGTGGGACGGCGGACAAGCGATGAAGGTGACAGCAAGCGGCGGAGAGGGTTGAGTAGAGGCGCAACGAATTCGCTTGAGCGGTGTGAACGAGACGCTGTGAGCGGTTTGTGGCCAAGGGAGGGAGGCGAGTTGAGTTGGCGTTCACCTCCTCGCTGTCAACGCTGAACCGACGCTTGCAGCCGCTGAATGGCGTCTCAGAGTTTCGAAAACCCGATCTGAACTGCGCCAGACCCGCCCACATCCCTCGACCCTTCCCTTCTTCCCTCCTCCGTCCTCATCACTCGCGGTCCCTCTAGGACGCCAAACACCCCAACCCGGCGCCTGCGATGGCCGAGTACCAGCCACTTGAGATTGACACCCCCATACGGCCACCAAAGCGCCGTCTGCCCGCCCGTCCACTCGTAATCGGCGCCGCAGTCGGCTTCGTATTCCTCATACTCCTCGGCTCGAGCCACGAACCCTCGCGACAGGCCGTCTCGACCGGCTTGACGAAGGCGAAGGAGTATGGGTCGAAGCTGAACGGATGGGCGGAGGATTTCGAGGCGTCATACGGGCCGAAAGGGAAGGGAACGCTGCGACTCGAGGAAGAATACGCCTTGCCCTCGCGCAAAGCCCTCCGCCGGATCGTCGGCAGCGACCCGAAGTACCTCGTAAAGGACGGCTGGGCGACTTATGGCTATAACAACGGCCGGTACATGCTCGAGGCGACGCTGCTGATGGCCAAGATTGCAGGACGGATACCGGTCATCCCTGATTCGGTGTGGGCCAGGTCATGCGCGACGGACGCCGAGACGTGTGAGGGACATGCGCTGCGCTACTTCGAGCACCGCAACGAGCACCGGGATGTCGTTGGCGCGAAGTGGAATGACGATGGAGCCGCGTACAAGCTGGGTATCGAGGTGCGTCCCGCTGCTCCGGTCTCGTGAGATACTCAAGCTGATATCGAGCATCTACAGAACTTCCTCGACATCCCGCACCTCCGCAAGACGTACGGCCCGCTCCTGACCTACACCGAATACCTCCACCTCTACTCGATCGACCCCTCGCTGTACGACGAGTCGCTGCGATGGAACGTCACCAACTACAGCCCTCCCGGCCTGACAACGGTGACGATGACTGAGCAAGAGTTCCAGGACCGCACGTTTGTCCGCGTCGACCGGCCGCCTCGCATGCGGAGCAAGGAGGACATTATGGCGGATTTGCCGCGTCTGGCTGGCGAAGGAGGCGACGTCCCTCGGTTGAGCGCCGAGACGGTTAAGCTCGCGCTTGGAGCGAAGCCCGCATGGTCGCTCACGGCTGCGCGAGACGCACTCAAGCGACGAGGCGAAGACAAGGTCGCAGCAGACGATGAGCGGTTCGTCTGGCAACTCGAAGAAGCGGGCGCCGTCCTGCTATGGACATACAGCGACGAAGTCCTGATGAACAAAGCGATGGCCCGCCCTTCGACCGAAGTCGCTCTCCCCTCCACGATCCGGCCACTCTCGACCGCCCTCTCTTCCCCTCCTTACTCGAATGCCTCGATAGTCTACCTCACCGGCAACCTCCACGACCAACGCAAGCCCGGCGGCTTGTACTTCACCTCCCCTCTCGAGCGGGACTCGTACACCCGCCTGATCCTCTCCTCCATTCGCGCGCCTCCTCGAATCCGCAAACTGGGCGCTCGACTGGCGGAGAAGATGAGTGCGCAAGTTGAGGGGCGGAGATGGGTCGCTGCGCATCTCAGGCGGGGCGATTTCGTCAACATCGCGTGGGCGCCGGAACGCGATCCGGTACGGCACTTTGAGCGGACGAAGGAGGCGCTCGAGCGGGGGAAAGAGGTCTTGCGCACGCACTTCGGCGACGACGGGCGCTTACCCCGGCCGGACGACCCGTTCTACCTCGCGACAGACGAGACGAACGCCACTTCCCTCTCGTACTTCCGTTCCCGCGGCGCGATCCTCCTCTCCGACCTGCTCACTCCGCAGGACTCGGCTCTCCTCGGCCCTCCAGCGGCATACACCGACGTCCTCGCCGTCGTCGAACAACAAGTCCTCGCGCGGAGCGACTACTTTGTCGGCAGCGAGATGAGCTCGACGAGTGGAGGGGCGGTCAATGCGAGGTTGGCGAGGGGTGAGGAGGAGTGGAGTTGGGGACTTTTGGGGCGTGAGGAGGGGAGGAGGGCGAGGAGGAGGTGGAAGGCGTAGAGTAAACAGGTTCCCGAGCGAGCGAGCGGTTCTTCGAGTGTTGTCGTATTATTACCGTCCTTAACTCGCGGTTCTCCGTATCGTCGCACCGAGACAGAGAAGGAACGACTCGAAAGGATGCTATGCAAAGTTACGCTACTGCGCCCCTAGTCCCCCTCCTCCCCCTTGCTCTCCTTCATCCTCCTCCGCGCCTCCTCCCCAGCGCTCTCCACCTCCTTCCTTCCCAGCGCCTCGACCTCCCCGCTCTCGGTGCGGACGACAGGAATCCCAATCTTCCCAATCGGTCTGGACGTGCCGGGACCTAGGAACCCTTTGTGTGCGCCGGGAAAGACGGGTATCTCGTCTCCACTCTCCTTCAGTCCTTTGCTGGCCGAGGTAGGAGCAGGACGAGTCGCATGCGCGCCGGCGAGTCCGACACGTCCTTTGTGCGCCATCCGGATCGGCGTAGCGTTCCGCGAGCCGAGTCGAGGGGATGCGGAAGGCGAGGCGGAAGACGAGGAGGTCGAGGACGTGGAGCGAGTCATCCCGCTACTCTGCGTCGCCCTTGCTGCGCCTGAGGTGGAGGTGGAGCTAGACGAGAGGCTCTTGCGCATCGGAGAGGACGTTCCCGCCCCTCCGCCTGCTCCGCTCGAGGACGTTCCCGCCCCTCCGCCTACTCCGCTCGAGGTCTGGCGAACCACCCCCGCCGCTCCTGAGCCGAGGCGCGGACTCGCCCCAGCACGACTCCTCGATGGTGACTGCCCCGGCGAGGACGTCGAGGCTGTGCGAGAGACGGATTTGGCGAGTGAAGAGGCGGTTGGAGCGGTGAGGCGCGAGGTGGTGGGAGATGTGGAGGTGCGTCGGGGAGTTGAGGAGGCGGGTGAGGCAAGGGAAGTGGTGGGGGGAGATTTACGTGCCGAGCGAGCGGGAACAGGAGGTGGAGGAGGGGAAGAGTTGTCCGTCGTTGGAGGGACTCGAAGAGCCTTTTCGTCCGCCGCTGGACTCGTAGGCCTCGACAGTCCCTCTCTTGCCTTCAACGACGTCGGCTCCACAGCTTCTTCGGCTGGCGCGGGAGAGGCGGGCGAAGAGAGGAGGTCGGTCGAGCCGGGTACGGGGACTGGAGGGGGGGCGTCGAGGGAGGGTTGGGTGACGACTGGGTGTGGAGGGGACGCTGGAGGCGCGGGAGGAGCCTGTGTCGTCTGAGAGGGTTCGGGAGCGGGCGCGGGTTCGTCTGCCTCAGCAGAAGGCTCCTTGACCTCCTCGTCCTCCTCCTTTGTAGCGTCCTCCTCCATCTCCCGCGCGGCCTCCTCCACCGCGTGCGCCTCCTTCGTATCTGGAAAAGCCTCCTGTGCGTTCTTCCGCCCCTGCTGCTCGACCGGCACAGCAGGCTTCTCCTTCAACCCAGCACTCCGAAAGAACAGCGGTTTCTCCTTGTCCTCGCCCGCCTCGAGCACCCCTTTCCCTCTCCCCGCGCCCTTCTGCTCCTCCTCCTCCTTCGTTGGCTCAGACACCCGCAGTCTAGGGGGCGCAGCAGGTGCCGCGAACGAACTCGACACGGTGAGGGGTTTCTCTCCCGCTGTATCTACGGCGGCCTGGAAGCGCCTGATGAGCTCTGATGCGCGGCCGGGGCGGGACTCGTCGGGGAGGGGCATCGCGCGTCGGTTCGTTCAAAGGCTGGGGGAGGGAGAGCGAGGGGAGCGAGGCGAGGTGGGGCGGCTTCGAGGAGGGGAGCGTCCACAGCACAAGCTGTTGCGAGACTGAGCGCGTGAGCGTGTATGTACGCCGTGACAGCGGGCTCTGAAGCAGTCCTCGTGAGCTCGATGGGCAGGAACACTGTGAGCGAGAGTGACGACGCCTTTGATGAGCGGGTGACAAGGGTTGAGGACACCTCTCCAGCTGGGTCGAGTGCGTGCTAGTCAATGCCATTAGAGTGTAATGCAGCAGACTACTGCCACTGTAAGCCACTCTTGCGTGCGCTGAGTTTCCCGTCGAGGCAACTTGCTGTGTCGGGTCCCGCTCACTCTCACACTCACACCCTCTATCACTCGAGCACAGGCTACAGACGCTTAAGATGGCACTCGCGCGCACCCTCGCGCACTCGCACATCCGCACCCTCGCTCTCGCACGCGCGCCCCAACTCGTCCACCGCGCCGTCGCGTCCTCGTCCCCCTTCCCCGCCGCCCGCGCCCTCTTCTCCACCACCCACCAGGCCCAGTTCCCGCCCGCCTCGTCTGGTGAGTCAAAGCCAGCGAAGAAGAAGGAGACCACCAACCTCGCAAAGAGCGCCGGGTCCGGGCAGGGCTCGCGCGCAGACAGGGACAGGGCAAAGAGGGAGCGCGAGAAGGAGCGCGACAGGAAGCGCGCTGCCCGTGCGTCCCCGCTCCCTCTAGCCGCGCTCCTGTCCGGCCCATCCTTGGACGCGCGCTGACTCGCTTGCCTCCTCCCGCCGACATTGTTGACCCACCTCGACACGCGCCCATCTCACCTCCGCAGGCAAGGCCGCCGAGAAGAAGGCCGCCCAGGCGCGCAAGGAGCGCGAAGAGACGCGCAAGGCCCAGGCCAAGCTCAGGAAGGAGCGCGAGCAGGAGCGCAAGCACAAGGCCGCCGAGCGCGAGAAGGAGCGGCGCGAGAGGGCCCGCCTCCTGGCCCAGCGCAAGAAGGACAAGGCCCACGCAGAGCAGAACAAGCTCCGCTCCAGCCTCAAGCCCCCCAAGCGCGTCACCAACAAGTGGCAGATCTTTGTCAACGAGTTCATCCAGGTCAGTCCGCCGTCCTGTTATTCGCACGCCCGATGCCTCAACGTCGCTGACACGACGCTTGGCGCGCGCAGGAGCGCAAGGCGTCGCTCCCGGCGGGCAGCAAGATGCCGACGATCCCGACGCTCGTCCCCGAGGCCAAGCTCAAGTACTCGCAGCTGTCGTCCGCCGAGCTCTCGGCGCTCGAGCAGCGCGTCGACCAGGCTCGCGCCAACTACGAGCGCGAGCTCGCCGAGTGGCAGAAGACGCTCACGCCCGAGATGATCCGCGAGGAGAACCTCGTCCGCTACAGGCGCCGTCGCGCCGGTCTCTCGCGCAAGGCCAACCTCCACATCCCCGGAGAGCCCAAGAGGCCCATGACGCCCTTCTTCCGGTGCGTGCGAGCGAGCGCTAGCGAGCGAGTGCGTGACCTGACTGACTTTGGGATCCGACACCAGCTTCTGCACCGAGGTCCGCGAGAGGCAGGACCGTGACGTCCTCGGCGACGAGACCGTCATCACCGAGCAGTCGAAGCTCCTCGCGCGCGCGTGGAAGGCCCTCTCGCCCGAGCAGAAGAAGGTGCGTGCTCGCTCCCCTCTCCCCTCCCCGCGAGCGTGCTGACGAGAGGTCGGTGTGTCGCACAGTCGTACGAGGACGCGTTCAAAGCTGACAACGAGCAGTACAAGGCGGCCAAGGCCAAGTTCGACGCGCAGGCTGCTTCGGCCTAAACCCGCGCTTCGCCTCCTGTCTCTCTCCGTCGTCGTTCCATCGCATCGGCTATTCCCCCTACGTAACAGTCTCCCTCTCGTCTACACACCATTCCACAGCTGTTGTTGGGATACCTCTCTCTCCTCTCCGCTCTCCTACAAACTACCCCTTTTTGCTTTTCATCTGTCTTCCACTTACTGCCACGCCGTTTTTTTAACTTCCCTCTTCTCGTCTCGGTTCCGAGTGTGAACAAGTGTGCTGTAAACGAGCCTACCCTCTCGCCTCTCTCCCTCCGAGCGTGCGTGTTGCGAGGAACTGTGAATTCGGGCAAGCTTAAGGGGACGCAGGAAGGTTTTCCTTCTCGGCCACGAGGAAGCGAGGGACCGCCTTGCTTTGATCATTCAGTGGATGACAGCATCCCGTCGCAGATCTCGGACATCTTTCTGTCGTCTCAGCAGCACAAGTTCGGACTCCGAGGTCTTCCTCGCTTCCTCACTTCCCCTTCCTCTCCCTCTCTCTCTCTCTCTCTTCCCAGCTACCACTTAGATCAAAACTTAGAACGATGTCGACCGCACCCGCGCAGTACACAGGCTACGCAGCCTTGACCGAGGTGCGGCCCCTCCCTCTCTTCTTCTTCTCCTCCGCCTGGCCGAACGCAAGCTGACGGAACTTGTTGAGGGATATATAGGAGAAGGGCAAGAAGCTCGAGTTGGAGAAGTGGAGTTGTGCGTTCTCTTCGTTCTTTCTCTGGCTCTCTCTTGCGGTTAGGGGTGAGGAAGGGAGGAGGAGGGAGGAGAATTGGGCGGACTTGGACTGCTGGGTTGTTGGGGAGGCTGGTGTCGGGTCTGCGGTACGATTCAGCGAGACATAGGAGGAACGGTTGGCCGAGTGAGTGAAGGAGGAGGAGGACGGAGGACGGAGGACGGAGGCCGGACTCTGGCTCAAGGGGCGTCAAGGACGGAGCCTGCGCTTCTCCCCGGTCGACAGTGCTCCTCAGATGCTCAGAAATTGCGGGAAGAGCAGTAGGAGCGAAGCGGAGATGAGGAGGAGAGCAAGTCGTGTCTCGAGCGGAGTCCGCTCTCGCGCTTCTCTTCGCTGCTCTCGCCTTTGCGTCTCCCAGTCACTTCGGTTCCAGGTCCGGTCTAACAAGGATGTGCAAGGCTCTACCGATGCCGAGCGTCGTACTAACCGCTTCCTCCGCACGCTTCGCAGACACTCCCAAGCAGTGGACCGAGGACGACGTCGACATCAAGGTCGACTGCTGCGGTATGTGCGGCAGCTGCGTGAGTCTCGCCATCCTTTCGCACGACAGCGAACGTCGTAGCTGACTTCACGCATCTTACAGATCCACACCCTCACGAACGGCTGGCCTCAGCCGACCTCGTACCCGTGCATTGCCGGCCACGAAGTCGTCGGCACGATCGTGCGCGCCGGTTCTCGCACCTCTCACAAAGTCGGCACGCGCGTCGGCGTCGGTGCGCAAGGCGGATCCTGCCTCGAATGCGACTACTGCAAGCAGGGGTTGCAGCAGCACTGCGAGAAGGGACTCATCATGACGTACCAGGGTACTTGGGAGGACGGGTCCGTCGCCCAGGGTGGGTACGCGGACTTTATGCGCTGCCGCGGAGCGCTGGCGGTTCCTATCCCCGACGGACTCGAGTCTGAGACGACGGCCCCGCTCCTTTGCGCTGGTGTCACCGTCTATGCGCCCTTGAAGCGCTTCAACGCTGGGCCCGGCAAGCGCGTCGGTGTCATCGGCATCGGCGGTCTCGGTGCGTTTCCCTTCTCCTGTTCCGCCTCCAACTCGCTGACCTTGCCCGTCTCTCGCAGGCCACCTCGCTCTCCAGATCGCCAAGGCCATGGGCGCCGAGGTCTACGCTCTCTCGCACTCTGCGTCCAAGATGGACGACGCCGAGAAGCTTGGATGCCCGCGCGAGAACTTCATCGTCGCCAAGGACCAGGACGAGGTTCGCAAGAAGTACAACAAGCACTTTGACGTGAGTCCAGCGTCCGATTCGATGCTGGAGGGTGCAATGTTGACGTTACGGGCGCGCAGATCCTCATCCTCACCTCTTCGTCAAACGACATCCCCCTCGAGGGTCTCTACCTCCCGCTCCTCCGCAACATGGGCACCTTCGTCATCTGCGGCTTGCCCGAGGAGAAGCTCCCGTCTATGTACGGCCAGATGCTCGTCTACAAGAGCATCAACCTCGCCGGCAGCCTCATTGGCGGATCGAGCGAGATCGCCGAGTTGTTCGACCTCGCGCTCAAGCACGACATCAAGGCTTGGGTTGAGACGCGTCCTATGAGCGAGGTGACTCAGGTGAGTTCAGCGAGAGTGCGCTGTCTTGTTCTTTCGCCGCCAGGCTGACCTTCTCCCTCCTCGACTTTGATCCGCAGACCGCCCACGACATGCACGCCGGCAAGTCGCGCTACCGCTACGTCCTCAAGAACTAGATGCTCGCAAGAACTAGATGCTCGCCATGTAGAAGCAATAGAACACCGCACCGCAATACATAGACTTGTCGTCCTTTCACCCTGGCGGTCGGAGAGAGAATGTCGTTGGCCGCTTCAGACTGCCTCGCTGGGTTCGGATCTTGCTACGGAGGATCTTGAGAGCATCTGTGGGAAGCGTCTGTGCACTCGGATAGCCCTACGAAGCGAGAGCAGCGGACGAGCGGGATTCCCTCCGCCGACGAGTCCCAACACCGCTTCTCCTGCCTCTGCCACCCGCTCGCGACCATGCTGTCCCGCTGCATCCGTCCCGCCCTCACCGCCCAGCGCGCAGCACCCGCAGCTCAGCGCGCCGCGGCCCTCTCGTCGTCGTCCAAGGCGGCCCTCTCGCGCCCCTCGTCGTCGGTGCGCAAGACGGCGCTCGACGCAGCGCGCGCTTCGGCCGTCGCGTCCGCCCAGGGATCGAAGAGGTTCGCTAGCAGTGCAGAGGGCAGCAGCGATGGTTCCGTCGAGGTGAGTGCCGCCGAGGACTTGCGCTTTCTCCTCGAGGGTCAGTGAGCGGTTGGCGAGTGATGGACGATCTCGGCGCGGGCGGCGTGGTGGGACGCTCTGGGGGGACGCAGCGCTCGCTCAGGTGTACAACTAGCTTGGCACTCTTCCTCACGCGCGCCTGTGCCGTCGTCGCCGCGCCAGCACGCCTGCCACCGCCTCGCGGCCGAAGCTGGGGGAGAACGCTGGTTCCAGCGAAACTCGTCCGGGATCGTTGCTGACCGTGCTCCACGCTCTTGTGCCCACAGATGACCGTCCGTGAGGCGCTCAACTCGGCCATGGAGGAGGAGATGACCCGCGACGAGACCGTCTTCATCCTCGGCGAGGAGGTTGCGCAGTACAACGGTGCCTACAAGGTGCGTACCCCTCCCTGCATTATCTTCAGGCTATCACTGACCTCTTTGCGCGCACAGGTCACCAAGGGTCTCTTGGACAAGTTCGGCGAGAAGCGCGTTATCGACACCCGTGCGTCCCGTTCCCGGGATCCTCTGCTTTCTAATACTCGCTGACTCCCGTTCGCGTACGCGCAACAGCCATCACCGAGGCTGGATTTTGTGGTCTCGCTGTCGGCGCGGCCTTTGCTGGTCTCCGCCCCATTTGCGAGTTCATGACTTTTAACTTTGCCATGCAGGTGCGCAGCGCGTTCCTCTTTGTTCGCACCTGATTCAGCTGAGCTGATATGGTTCGCGCACGCTACAGGCGATCGACCAGATCGTCAACTCGGCAGGCAAGACCTACTACATGTCGGGCGGGTGTGTCTACGCGCTTCCATCTTTCACCTCGAACTTCCAGCTCACCTCCCGCGCCTACAGTAACGTACCCTGCCCCGTCGTCTTCCGTGGCCCGAACGGTGCCGCCGCCGGTGTCGGCGCGCAGCACTCGCAGGACTACGCTGGTGCGTCCGCAACTTTCCCTTCGCGCATCGTCCTTTCCGCTAACCCTGTGCACCACGCACACAGCCTGGTACGGTCAGATCCCCGGCCTCAAGGTCGTCTCGCCTTGGTCGGCTGAGGACTGCCGTGGTCTCTTGAAGGTGCGCCTCGTCTCATCGGCCGAATCTTGCTCGTCACGGCGCTCACGCTTCTACGCCCCCGCAGGCCGCCATCCGCGACCCTAACCCCGTCGTCGTGCTCGAGAACGAGATCATGTACGGCCAGACCTTCAAGGTCTCGAAGGAGGCTCAGTCGACCGACTTCCTCCTCCCGATCGGAAAGGCCAAGATCGAGCGTTCCGGCAAGGACGTGACCATCGTCGGTCACTCGCGCATGGTTGGGTTTGCGCTCGAGGCGGCGGAGATTTTGGCCAAGGAGGACGGCGTCGAGTGCGAGGTTATCAACATGAGGAGTATCCGTCCTCTCGACATTGACACCATCAAGGAGTCGGTCAAGAAGACCAACCGGTGCGTCACTACCACCCTGCTCACACGAGGACGAAGCGCTGACGGTGGTTCGCGCGTGCAGCCTCGTCACCGTCGAGGGAGGATTCCCCATGTTCGGCGTCGGATCGGAGATTGCGGCCCAGATCGTCGAGAGCGAGGCGTTCGACGCGCTTGACGCACCTATCGAGCGGGTGACGGGCGCCGACTTGCCCACGCCTTACGCTGCGTCGCTGGAAAGCCTCGCCTTCCCCGACTCGTCGACCATCTTGAAGGCCGTCCGTCGCTCGCTGTACCGCGTGTAGAGTCTTCGAGTCCTGAACACACTGAGGTCACGGAAAAGTCTGGCTGTCGCGCGCAGCCTGAATGGCCGGAGGATGCAGCGAAGCAGTGAGCTGCTCGAAAGGACGCTTCTCACTCTCCGGCTCTGGCAAAGCCGTCATTCTTCCTCCAGCCGAGGTGCTCCTCCTCCAAGCGGTCTACTTCTGCACCGGACGAGCTGTTCCTGACTTTGGCATCGGAGCTTGCAAGTTGGTCTCGACAGCTCTCCGACCCAATCTTAAAGGAACAGGAAAGCGAATCACACGAGCTTGGCACAGATCAGAGTGTACAGAAGCGCAGGCGTAGGAAGAAGGCAAGAGAAAGAAGAAGAACGGGAAGGTATCCTGCGAAACGAAACGCAAAGTCAGCTGTGTCCTGCAGGAGGCGCAGGCAGGCATTTCGTACAGAAGTTCGTGAGAACAACATCCTGCGGAATGATTCCCTGCTTAGCTCGGCAAACCCGAGAAAGAGGTTGCGAAAAGGACGAGAAGAGGGACGCACCTAAGTAGCCTGTCAACGCGGGGAGCCGTAGCCGCTGTCCCTCTCCACCATCTCGTCGTCCGTGATGACCGGGTTCGCCTTGATCGCCGAGTTGTAGGGGCTGCTGTTCGAGGACGACGCCGAAGGACCGATGTCGCTGTCGTTGAACGAGACTGCATGGGTAGTCTTGGCGCGCTTCGGAGGGCGATCAGACGAGGTAGGGGGCTGGCGGTAGGAGGAGGCTTCGTCTGCGTCTGCATCGGAAGTCGAGGTCGCAAGCTCCTTCGATTTGCCCTTCTCTTCGCTCTTCTCGGGCTGCACCGCTCGAGAACGCTTCAGCAGGATCGCCTATAAGCTGTATCACTCGAAAGGAGCGATGCGCACCGCGAGATTTGACTGCGAGGTGCGGGCTGACCTGCGCAATGGCGTCTGCAGGGCCGAAGGCGATCAGCCGGGTATTGCGTCGAGAATTGCTCAAGCGAGACGCACCTGCTCAACGCTCCTCTTGCCTTTGATGGTTGACTGGTTCTCACCCTTGCGGGGCGTGATCGTCTCGCTGCAGAGGGAGGTGAATCAGCGCGAGAGCGAGCGAGGCTGTCGAGAGAACGCACCCGAGCTTGCACCAAGAAGCAAGTGCACGTTTACCCATCATCGTCATCTCCAGCGAGCCGCCCAACATCTTGCTGCGCTCGTACTTGTCCGACGGAACCGGCGCGCCATCTGCAAGGTACTCGAGCAGGCGGGCTTCAATCGCGCGCCACCTGACCTCGACCGTTACTGTCGACGAGCTTCGGGAGCTTGAGGACGTGGTACCATTCCTTGAGCTTGGCCAAGTAGACGGGCGTGTCGTGCGGCATCGAGCGGAGCTCTTCGACCAGCTCCTCGGCATCCTCGTCAACCTCCTGCAACTTCTTCGCCGCAATGTCGACACGCCACTCTTGGAGCGTAACCTCGGGATTCCAGTACGAGCGCCACCAGACAATCTCGACGTTGCGGCTGTTCTCGACGGTCAACGTCGACTCGACTGCTCCGCCCAGGAACGCCGTCTTGTCCGGCTCGTCGTCGGGGCGTGTCTCGCGGTAGACGGTATCGAAGAAATCCTGTGCAATCGCGAGCATCGGCTGCAGGACGTGGTTGATGATGATAGTCGGCGCGAGGCCGAGCTTTGCCCGCTGCTCCTTGATGACGCTCTGGTTCAGGCGTTGCCCAGGTTCAAGGTTGTGCGTCCACTCGAGCGCCTTCTGAGCCTTCTCCTCCTCGATGACGAGCTCGGGCGGGGACTTGTACCACGATTCGCTGTCGACTAGTCCGCACTCAATCAGGCGCGTGACGGCGTCGCAGCGGAGTCGGCCGGACATATCCTTCGCGCGAATGGAAGTCGTGTAGTAGACGCGCAGCTTGTCGAGATTGCGCGGGTCGGAGAGCCAGGCATCTGCCGCTTCCGGAAGCGCTTCCGAAGCCTGACGACGCTGACCAGCGACGAGCTCGTGCATCCCGCGGTTCTTGCGCGGGCGCCAGATCGGCAGGTCGGCGCTCGAGATGATTGAGGACGACTCCTCCGTCGAGGAGGACGTAGAAGGGAGGGGCGGCTGCTTGAGCTTGTCGGCGTGTTCGCGGGCGCGGCGGACGAAGAAGGGCAACGGCCAGACGTAGAAGTCGGTGCGAAGGATCCAGTCGCTGAGGGTTTGTTCAAGGAGGAAACCGCCACCGTCGACCAGCTCCAGCGCACGCTTGAAGATCGGTCCCAAGACCGGGTACTGGCACATCTCGGCGAGTCCCTGGGCGACGCGCCTGATTGCGGCGCTGATGTGCTCGTCGACGTCGCCAAGCTCGCTTGCGAGCGTGTCGAGGTCAATGCCGTAGGTGGTGAAGACGTCGTCGGACATGCTTCGGATTCGGCGCAAGACGCTGGCCGAGTCGGGAAGGCGAGAGAGCCTCGACGCCACGATGTCGTCGCCAGACGTGATCTGGTAGTAGACGCCGACGACACTGACATCGATGGGAGGCGGCGATGCGGACGCACGCTGGGCGAGGATGCGGCTGAGAAGCGTCTCGGCGAGTTGCTTGTACTGCAGGATGCCCTCGGCGTGATGTCGACCTGCCTTAGCGCGATGGACTGCGGTGATACGATCCTGAGCAGGGGACTCTGTCGAGTGTCCAGCGGCAGAATCGGCAGCCGCATCTTCCTCCTCCTGCTGACGGATCTCGGCAGCGATCTCCTCCCGCTCGCGGACCGCAATCGCCTCCTCCCTCGCCTCAGCGCGCCGTTCGAGCCTGTACGACTCGTTGACAAGCGCAGGAAGATCGTCGAGCGAGATCTCGTGCTTGGAAGCGTCACAACCGATGGCGAGGTAGTCGTCCGACGTGATGAGGTCGGAGGAGAACGGCAGTCCAAACGGTGTGCCGGGTTTGCCCGTCCCGAGCTGCGTCTGGCGGAGTGCAAGGTTCTCGGTGCCGCGCGACGTGACGCTGAAGCCATGAACCGGGACAAGGCCGTCGGCGACAGCTGCCGCCCAAAGGCGTTCAGGGGACAAGCCTGACCCGGGAACCTTTCGCTGGTCGAGCACGCGCAGGAGCAAGCGACGGTTTGCGTTGCGCGGGGAGACGTAGTAGCCGTACTGGAGCGTCGACAAGCCGGTGTCGGGGTCGCGCTGCTCATGACGAGCGTCTGCGGCTGAGGCGGGGAGGCCGAGGTATGCGGTGTAGGCGATGACGGAGCGAGAGAGAGCGTCGAGGTCGGGGTATTCGGGCTGGTGCTGGAGGATGAGCTCGTGGACCTTCTCGATGTCGCCATCCGAGACGAGGTAGTACTGCGCAGCCTTGAATCCGCCGATACCACTCGCCCACATCGGACGCTGGTCGGTTGTTGCTGCCTCGCTGAAGGCGAAGGCCTCCTCGAAGCGCTCGTTGGGAATGTTGTCCAGCTCGGGCGAGAGAATGAGGCGTTCGAAGAGCGAACGTGCGTCGGACGAGCGGGACCGCGCACTCGCTTGCCAGCGCGAAAGATGCTTCTTGAAGTCGCGGCGGATCGTCGCAACGGCATGGTCGCGAGCCTTGTTCGAGTCGATTGCCTTGATGAGGATCTGGCCGTCGTCGAGGGGCTTGAAGAGCGAGTAGAACTCATGGCATGGTCCGTTAAGCACGTCGCCGTCGCGTGCGAAGAGGAAGGCGGCCTTTGGCGGCCTGTGGGAGCGTCGGGCGGCGTCAGGTAGAGCTCCAAAATCTTAGGTGAGAAGGAACAAGCTGCCACTCACTCGATCGCCTCGTTCGTCTCCTCGGGCCTGACTATTTCGACGTGCTGCTCCGTACGCGCTTCGTCGAGGTCGACAGCTCGACGGAGGAGCTGGTCAGCCGTGCGGAGCGGGGAACTCTGGAGAGCGAAGCCTTCCTCGACGGCTCGTTTGCGCGCCTTGTCCGTATCTGCGGAAACGAAGCATGAGCCGGACTCGAAGAGGGAGTGGCGGCGAGACTCACTCATCGACGTGAGAACCGAGATCTTGCTGTGACCGTAGCCCTCCTGCAGCGCGATGTCGTAGGCGAGGTATGCCGTGTGTTCGCCCTCGCCGCGACCATGGTAGACGAGGTACTTGCGCTCCTCACGCGGCACGTCGGGCTCCAGTTGCTCGAGAACCTGGCCCAACATCTTGTAGATGCGGTACTCTTTGCTCTTCGCCTCGAGCGGGATGTCCTTGTTGAGACGGGCCTGCGCCTGCTTGGTCCTCGTGTCGGCCTTCTGGTACTTGCACGAGCCCTCGACGATGAGGCGGACCGTGTCGAAGTAGGTGCCGAACTCGATGGCCTTGCCAAGGGCGTACTTGAGGCCATTCGCCTCGGTCATTGTGACGATGTTGCCGAAGATGAGGGAGGGAGTCTCAACGATGGCACGGCTGCGACCGAAGAGCTCGGAAGATACGCTGTAACACGCCTGCGCGGACTGCACGCCCGCCTCGAGGTAGTGACCTGCCCCCATGGCAAGCGGCGGCGAGGTGGTGCGAGGCGCGGACGGGACGAGTGGGAGGGCGTCGGAGGCGGTTGCGAGAGGTGGTGAGAGGCTGTGCGTGAGCAGCTAGCACGTTCAAGCCGGACAAAGCGAGGTGGACGAGGTCAAGCGCGGCTGGGTGTGGGGACGCGCGACTTTGTCGGGGTCCGTGCGGTCGTCAAGCGAGCGGATGACAGGCTGAACGTACAAGGAGCTGTAGAGCGTCAAATGGCGCTGTAAGACGATGGTACAAAGCCTCGCGATGTCGCAACAGCCAGTGAGGACTATCAGTTTGCGACGATGCCCTCCCTCGCCATCTCGCAGCCAGAACGTCGACGAGGTCCGCGCCGTCGCCGCAATGCGCTTGAGGACGTCAAGTACTGCCGAGTATCGTGGCAGACGACCGCTACGAAGGTGACTGGGCGAGGAAGAGTCAGCGCCTCTCTAGCGAAATCAGCGAGGCCATTCGAGACGCACCTTTCCGTACTTCGACCGGCCCGTTACACCACCTCCTTCCAAACTATTCCTCCGCCGACCACCCGCTCGTCGCTGCGCCAGGAAAGACGACCTGAAAGGGGAGGGGATGGGTGAGAAGACTGTCAGCTTCTTTTGCAGTCCACAAGAGACGGGAGAACGCACCGATGCTGCAGCGTAGACGAGTACAATACTCGCGCACGGCATTGGTCCGCTCGCAGCCAGCTAAGCCGCACAAGTAGGTCGAGGAGGCGAGAAGATCGCCTCATTCAGCCGCATTTGCCGTCTCTCAGGCGAAGTCGACGACGACGACCGATGTACCCAATAAGGTGACGTTCATTCTGCGCGAGGAAAGCGAGACGGGACCCAGGTCAATTGCTTGCAACCCTTGCACTATCTCCCGTCGAATAAACTGAGCCAGCCGTCAGCGCGAAGCTCACCGAGATTTCCGTATCAGAATGTTCCGTCCTGCAGGTTGTACGGCAATGACTTCGAGTTGGTGAGGGACGAAAAACGTGGCGAGTGGAGGGTCGCAAGAGATGGAACCGGCGCGAGTCGCGGGAAACTGGCGGGTCGGAGGTACTGTTGGGCGTTTTCGCTGCCGACTCAAACAGTTGGCGGAAGTCGGGGAGTGGCGGAAGCGTATGGGATCGGCGTATCATCAAGAGGGGGGTACAGCGTCGAAAGAAGGCCACGGGTCGACAAGAGAAGCGAGAGCATCGCCGTTCATGCGACGGCGGTGATGTTGAACGTTCGACTTGGTGATGAGAGTAGAGACAGTGCGGAATTGGCGAGACTGCGAGAGCGAACGATAGTTGTCAATTTCGCTACGAGCGCATCGGGAGGATCAACGCACCGAGATGAGCTTGATGACCCAGAAAGTATCTGTAGGCTCATACGAGGTCAGCTTTGGCAATTGGTGAAGACGGGGGTCTTTGTCGGGTCCGTAGGTCGCTCGTTCAGGTGCCAGGTATGGGCGGGTGCTGGTGACCGACCGGATCTCGTCGCACAGGCGCCTAGTTGCCTCGATACAAAGCTTGGCGTACTCCCGTGACTCTGTAGAGTCTGTCGAGTACCCGTGCAACCCTCCTCGACACCCACATCTTGACCTGCGCCCTGCGAGCCGCCCGCCTCGTCCTCCGTCTGCCAAAGCGAGCGCCTCGCAGACACACCCCACCTCGTTCTCCCGCTGCAGACACTGCTGGGAGGATAGAGGAACGCACTCAGAGCCTTGTCTTCGTCTGTTGCTGATCTAGCTGAGCGCGAGTCCTTCAAGTAGGTCGAACAGGGCGAACGAACGAGGGAAGGGCGAAAAGGTCGTGGCAGGGCGAAACTGGGGTGACGTGGCTCTCGAACCTGGGAGAGTCGCTGCCAGACCCGACGCGGCAGCTATGCGAGTCGAGGAGGTTGAGGTTGCGCTGGTCGTGGTATCCAGCAGCTCTGCATGCTTGAAACTCGGTCAGCAGGCTCAGAACAGCTCTGTAAAGCTCTCGGACGCACTGCTAGCCCTGCGCCTGGTCTGCGGGACGAGCGAGAGCCATCGAAGTTGGGACGTCTTCGGCGGTGTGCTCGGCGGCGCAGCGAGTTGCGAGTGGCGCGGGATCGCGTCGTTTGAGCGCTGTCAGTAGCTAATCAGACTAGCGAGGCTACAGAGCAGGAGGTGAGCGAGTTGCGAACATCCGGTCGGTGTGAGACGGGCGCTCGTTCGCGAAGTCCAGTGCCGCAGAGTGAGTGCCCGCCTCACCTCGACCGCTCCTCGCCTGCTCAGCTACACACCTCCAGGACGCTCAGAACTGCTGCTCATCCCGACAAGATACGCTCTAGCACCACTCACTCCCAATCGCACACCGGCGCCCGTCCTCCTCGTCTCGCCTGATTCACTCACCGCAATCCAGCTCATCCACCCGCCTACCCAGCCAGCACCGCCGTTCAAGGCTCAGCAGGGCTCGCACTACCAGGAGGACCAGTATGCGGACCTGCGTGCGTCCTGTTTCCGTCCTACTGTCGCTTTTGGTCGACTTGGTGGTCGAAGAGGAGAAAGAAGTTTGCTGACGAGGCTTGCGCTCCTCCGCAGCTTATGCGGGCTTCCCTGAGCACACGCCAGAGACGAAGGTGCTCTGCTGCGGTCTAGGCGGTTCCCTCCTCGACTTGCGCCAACGTTCCCCTCCTCAACTTACGCAGCTCGCTCTCCTTCCGTATATCGCATTCCACCTGATGCCGATACTGCTTTTCTGCACGCGGCATTCATCATCTCCGCCTCTATGCGCTCAATCGCTGCTGTCCAGCCGCTCGGACGCGTTCCTTCTTTGCGCGCCAACCTCGAGACTTCTTAGCCTTCGTCTTGCGACTAGGCTGCGGCCCTCGCATCGAGCTCATCACGATATGGACAGGTAGGTAATTGGCGAGTGCAGGACGCAGCTTCAGACGGCCCCGACCAGCTCCGCCTCGCTGCAGCTAGCTTGCACCTGGACTTGCGCGCTGACCCGTCACTCCCCTCTGCGTCCTGTACAGACTCATGCATCTCGCCAACCTATACCGACCTGCGGCTTCTGACACCGTTCACTCACTCTCACCTTCCCCTCCACCTTCGCAACTCTCGCTTCCTCAAAACCCTCCTTGAACAGCCGCAAGTCGCACGGCTACGAATGCTGTCGAGTCTTCGGAGGAGCGGAGACCAAGAGCGGCGGCTTTCGGAGGACTCCGCGCCTCGACAACTTCGACAGGCGCTCAAGCGAGCGGGAGGAGGAGGTGCGAGGAAAGATCGCTCTTGCCTCTTCCTTCGATAGTAACGAGAGCCATAGGATCACAACGGACGCGTCGCAGCTTTACGCACTCGTCGACAGGAGGTCGGCGCCACGCTAGCCTCGCTCGAGACGACGATCCGCCTCTCCCTCTCCCGCCCGCCTCCCGTCCCTTCCCTTTCTTCTTCTCCTGTCTCCTTGTTACTCTCCTCCCCATCGTTTTGGTCTGCTAGACGCGCATTCGGGCGCACCCCTTCGTCGTTTTCCCCTTTCCCCCCTCGACTTCCGTTCCCTCGCCTCTCGCTTCTCCTTCCTCCCGCGTTCTCTGCAGCTTCCCCTAACTCTCGCCTCTCACTCAAGCGGTACACTGGATGGAAAAGATGCGAATTGCCTCAGCCCTGGCGTTTGCCTGGCGTTGTCGTTCGTTGACAGACTTGCTCCTCTCCCTTGGACCTCCTCTCCGAGTGGCCCCTCGACGCCCTTCGATTCGAAGAGACCAGCGCACGACTCTGCAGCGAGCTTGACACTTTGCAGTGTGCGCTGTGACAATAATTTCTAGTGACCCTGTGCGTCATGGTTTGCTGCTCGATCGCATCCCGCAAGGCAAAGAGTCCGGCTCTCTCTCGCTTCCCTCACTCCACCTGAACTGCTGTCTCGTTCGAATACGCTACAAAGCTAGGCTACTCACGCTTGCTACTGCTACGGAGGAGAACAGGCGGACGTCGCTGGCCCACCCGCCTCATCAGTCTTCGGTCGCACAAGTCGAAGGGGACAGGCGTGCGTCGATCCCCTCGCAGCCCACTCGCACTCTCTGACGCCGCTGACCGGCCTGTCCTTCTCCTACAACAGCATCGCAACTGCACAGGGACTCCACGCCAGTTCGAGCGAAGGACGTGAGCGGACGCCAACTTGATCTCACGAGCAAGCGAGCGAGCGATGGGCCCCTCGATCCTCCAGACCCTCCTCAGGGAACCGACCCGCTCGTACCAATCCATCTACACAGACCCCTCGACCCGCCCCTCTCACGCCCCGTCCACCTCCTCACCGAGCAAACGACCCTCCTCCCTCCGCTCCACGACCTCGGACCGCTCAAACTCCTCGGCTTACACGACTGCTGGACCGGCATGGGTCAACGGTCAGTGGGAATGGAGCGCATACGGCGCACGAGGAGGCCTGACAGGCGGAGCGAGGAGCCTCCATACCCCAAGTGTCGTCGGCAAATCGCTCGGAATCGACCGCCGAACGGCCTCTGTCCGCAGTGCGGACTCGCAGGGTGACGAGGCGGGGAGCGTCAGGTCGGGGAGGAGCTTTGGGAGCGTGTCGGTCAGGACGTCCATGTCTGCGCCCGGAGGGGACGACGCCCTTCGCCGGACGAGGAAGAAGAAGAAGGATCGGTACGGTGACGGCGACACCGGCAGCGGCTACAACGTCCCTGCGCGACAACGGTCGGAAGGAGACTTGAGCAGCCAGAGCAGGGGATCGAGTCGGTTCGACAACCTCCCGCCCATCCCGACCTCGTTCTCCTCCAGCTTCGACGGCATGCGCACGAGCAGGCGCTACTCGTCCGTCTCGCCTTCGTATCCCTCATCTCCCGCACTCTCCGCTACGTCCTCCTCCCAAACCCGACCTTCGAAATCCCGCCTCGCCAGTCCACCCTCAGACGACACCACTCCCTCCCTCACTTCCTCCGCCTCTTCCGCGCCTTCCTCGCCTCCTACAACACCTATAACGCCTCACGGTGTCCTCCCGCCTCTTTCGCTCGATGGCAAGCCTCGGAAGAGTAAGAAACGCGCGTCGACGAGGATCGGACAGCCGGGAGCGAAGCAGAGTGAGAAGTTGGTCGTGACGGCTCAGCCGGAGTCGCATGCGCAGAGGCTGGAGGAGATGGTCCAACCTGCGGGGGAGAAGGCGCCTGTGAGTCGCGCTTCGTCCGTCTCTCACGATCAAACGCTGACTGACGCTTCTCGTCCTGCAGGAACCAACCGCCGCCCCTCCCGCCCCAATCCCCGGCAAATTCTACTCCGTCGACGAACTCTTCGCTCTCGCCTCCTCTCCCTCCACCACCACCACCATTCCCACCTCTCCCGCCCGTCCCACGCTCGCCCGTCTCGAAACAGACAACGCATCATTCACGACCGCGCTCGACTCTCCTTCGCCAGAGTGGGAGGGAGAGGGAGAGGAGGTGGTCAAGGTTCCGAGGTTGAAGTTGACCCGGACAGAGTCGGAGCAGAGTAGGATTGGAGTGAGGGGGAGTGTGGATTTGGATGTGCAGAGCGAGGAGGAGGGGGAGGAAGAGGAGAGCGAGGAGGAGGAGCAGGAAGTCGCGCCTCCTCCCCAGGATCACCAGGAGGAACCGGTCCTCCCGCACTTCGTCAATGTCAAGCGCTCGCCGTCGAAGCGCAAGTCGAAGGACGGCTCGTCGCCTTCCAAGTCGCGCTCGGTCGAGCCCGAAGCGACGTACGAGATTGTCCGGTCGTCCAAGTCGGCTCGCTCCACCCTCTCATCGACAGACCCGCACGTCCGCCCTTCATCCCCTACACACTCGGACCTCTCCGCCTCGAGCGACATCTCCGCTTCCTCGACTCTCGCCTCCACCGACGTCCCAGACTGGCTGCAGCGCATCCGAGCTTTGGGCGAACCGATCCAACCGCTCGTCTCCAACCCCTCGCCCACATCGAAGTCGCAGGTCGTCCCGCCGCCTCACTGGACCGTCCAGCAACTGCGCGCTCAGGAAGGCAGCGGCGGATCGGGACGTCCGAGCCTGGGCAGGCCGAGGAGCACGAAGACGCTCAGTTCGCGCGCAAACATACTCGAGGTGATGCCGGAAGATGCGGAGGCCGAGGCTGAAGCAGCGGCAGAGGATCAGGAGTTGCAGCGCCTGCAGCGGGTGAAGGCGGCGACGCCGGCTTGGGTCAAGAAGGGTTCGGGTTTGGCCGAGTCGCCCGCTGGGTCGGTTAGGACGGCGTCGCCTGCTCCGGCTGCTTCGCCTGATCGCCCGCTCTCGCGTACTTCGTCGCTGGCGCCGAGTAGCGCCGGTTCATCGGGGCAGGGCACGACGCGCCGAACTCGCTCGATGGATCTCGACCGCGACCACCTCAAAGCCCTGTCGCCCCTCATCCGTTCGACGTCGCTCATGTCCAGTCGTCCAGGCTCGTCGAGGACTTCGTCGGCCAAGTCGAAGGGCTCGTCCGTCGGTGGTATGGAGTACGACCTCGAAGCGATCGCTGCAGCTGCTTCGAAGCCTCGAGGCTTCAGCAAGCTCATCCAGCCGCCACTTGCGTCTTCACTTGCGACGAAGCAGCCTGCCGTCGTTGCGGTTGTCAATCAGCCTCGGACGCCTTCGCCTGGACGGCCCTCGTCTCTGCGCAACGTCGCCCTCGCGCCGCTGTTCCCGCGCCAGGTCGACGACGATGCGAAGTCCGTCTCGGCCCTGTCGGATTTGTCGATCATGAGCGCACCACAACTCTCGCCGACGCGACCACCGCGCAATCCCGCTCGCCTCTCCGCTCCTCCGCCTGTTCGACCGATCTTCCCGCCCTCTGCGCCACCTTCTGAGCGCGCGAAGTCACCGACTCCATCGTTCCACTCTGCGTACGAATCACCCGAAGCCGTCTCGCCCGCCTCGTCCGTCGTCGCTCGTCCGACCCCTCGTCCAATGTCTATGTCGTTCTCGGCTATCGAGCGGCCGTCGTTCCGCGAACCTCCTCCCCCCGCTCCGCCAGTCTCGACAGCCGTCGCATCTCCCGCACCATCCGTCATCTCTCGCACCTCGTCCGTCCAGCCGCGCCCACTCTCGAGCTACCTCCCTCCCTCAACCGTCGACCTCGCCATGACCGCCCTCGCCATCTCGCCCCGCGCCGACTTTGGCAAGCAAAAGTCCTCCCGGCGCTTCGGTCTCTTCCGCCGCTCGTCAAACGCCAACCTTGCCTTCTCCTCATCAAGCAAGCAATTCGAGCCCTCACTCGACCTCGTGTACGAGTCGATGGACGGTCGCGCGTTCCGCAAGCGCCTCAATACCGAGGAGGTGCTTGTCGAGGCTATCACGGTCGGCGTGGATAGGTGGGACCGCGAGCGGGTTTGGCAGCTTGCGAAGACGGGTGGTGCGGCGGGGTGGGTGCCGGGTCGGGCGGTGTATGGAAAGGTCGTTGAGGTCGGATCGGCGGTGTCGAGGGTCAAGAAGGGCGACTTGGTGTGGGGTTTGAGCCCGCTCAAGAGGGTGCGTACCGCTCGCGGAAATCCTTGGGAGGGTGGCTGACTGACTTTCCCGCTTCTACAGTCCGGAGCGCTCGCCTCGCTCGTCATCCTCCCCCGCGACAACGTCTCGCTCGCGCCCACCTCGCTGCCCGTCGAACTCGCTGCCGCCCTTCCCGCCGCCGCGACGTCCGCAATGCTCATCATGCAGTCGCTCTGCAACCAGCTTCCCAAGGGCTCGAAAGTTCTCGTCCTCAACGCACACCAAGGCGTCGGCTACTTCTGCCTCCAACTCGCGCACCACTACCGCCCCGGAGTCTCGGGTTCGCGAGACTTGTGGATGGTCGCGCAGTGTCCGCTGCATGTACTGGATGCCGAGACGATCTGTCGCGAGGCGGGTGCGACGGACATGTTGCGGGATGAGCCGCTGGCGGCGCTCAACTCGATCCATGAGGGCTCGTTCGATGCGGTTATCGACACCATCGGCGGTCGACGATGTGCGTGCCAACTCTTTCCTCTCGTCGACAAGCCGTCACTGACCTAGAGTCCGCGCGCAGTGTACGACGCCTCACGCCGCATCCTGCACAGCTCGGGCAGCTTCATCACCACCGTCGGCGACGAGCTCACCGCCTCTTCTACCTCCTCCTCAAACGACTACCAGACCTCGATCCGCTCGCTCCGCCGCGCCTTCTTCAAGAAAGACAAGAAGAGCATCGCGTATTGGAAGGTCGAAGTCGACGGGACGGACGCGCCTGAAGCGGTGCGCGACACGCTTGACAAAGTCCGTGAGGTGGCGGAGGCTGGGGCGCTCAAGCCACGGATGGGCAAGGTCCTCCCCATGAGCGAGGCACGGCGGACGTTTGAGACGAACGAGGCGGACGAGGACGCGACTGTCGTACGCGTCAAGGAGGTCTGATGCCCGCCGACTCCCTTTCTCTCGATCCGGCCGACTCCCTTTCTCTCACTTATCTTTCGCAACCTACACACCCTCTCCCACGTTGTACATACGTGTCGTACCCTACTCTACCACCCGCAACAACACTCGCTTTCCGCAGGACCCTTTCCATAGACGTTCTTCTTCCCTTCGCATGCCTAATCGTCTCGCAATGCACAGTCGTCGTCGGATATTGCTCTGGAATGGAGAGAACGCGATGCAAGGGTGATGCAACAATGAGAGACTGATGCTGCTGGGATACCGAGGGAAGAGGATGCAAGTCTATGAACGAACGAGGGAGGCCGGGCGAATCTAAGAACAACAACGAGGGCACTGCAACGGAAGTCTAGTCGATACTAACTCAGAGAAAGATACAAGGCGCAAGAGACGCTCTAAGCGGTAACCGCCTTCTCCGCCTCCGCCGGCGGGACGCCCAACTTGACCTCCCTCCTAAACTTCTCCACCTCGTTCTCCACCCGCGTAGTCTCGTCATCCACCTCTCCATCGTCGACTTCGGGGATATGTTCCGAGTCGCGGCGGGAGCGGCGGCGCGCGCGGTGGGTGGTGAAGGGGAGGGGAACGGCGAGGGGGACGGAGCCGAAGAGGGAGGATGTGGGCGAGTGGGACGAGAACATCGTGTCGATGCTGCGTTCGTCCATTCGTCAGCGAGAGCTAGGGGGACAGGAGAAGGAGGACGTGGACGCGCCACTCGAGCGAAAGATTTTTCGTCTCGGGCATGAAGAAGAACGCGAAGAGCGATGCGAAGGCCGTGAGAGCGCCGTAGCTGCACGCACGTCTTCCGTTAGCTTGTGCTAGCGAAGGAGGCGAGAGAGGGGCGCACGTGAAGTAAGGACCTGAAGGGGACTTCGAAAGGAAGACTGGGCCTGTGAGGGCGACCTGCGACTATGCCTGAGCTCCAGGAACGATAAGAGAGGGAGGATGAGGGCGGAGACGCACGGCAAAGTTGATGGCCTGGTTGATGGCTGTCGAAAAGGACGCGGCAGCGGCTCGAGTCTTCGAAGGCTGGATCTCCGAGGCGTATCTGCGGACGTAGTACGGTCAGCAACGTCCTCAGAGACAAAAGGAGCCTTCAAAGGACTCACAACCGCGTAATGACCGCCCACGACCCGGAAAACGCAATCGCAAACAGCTCAATCATCACCACCACGACCCACTTTCCCCGCTCCGTGCCCGCCTTTCCCGTCGCATACATCGCTCCAATCACGACCAACGTCGCACTGATTGCGCAGCCGCCACCGATGTAGATTGTTCGGCGGCCGAGACGGTCGACCCAGAGGAGGGTGAGGATTGTGGTCAAGACGATGAGGACGCCTGTTACGCCGCCCGCGAGGAGGGAGGAGGTGGTGCCGCTCAGGCCGGCTTGTTTGAAGAGTGTCGCGGCGAAGAAGAGGACAAAGTCCTGCGCGACCGAGCGTTAGTCCCGAGAGGGAAGGGCCGGGAGTGGGAGACGCACGATGCCCGACAGCTGCTGCATGCCTTGCAATAGCGCCCCCAACGTCGTCCTCCACCAAACATCCCTCCTCCACATCTCCACGAACGCAGCTCGCTTCCCACCCTTCACGACTCGGGGAACACTCATCAACTCCCTCCGTTCATCCTGGACAGCGTCGCCCGTCCCGACGAGCAGGTCGAGAACTCGTTCGGCTTCGTCGCGGCGGTTGTGTAGGAGAAGCCAGCGGGGGGAGTAGGGGAGGATGAGGGGCGCGAGGAGGGTCACGAGGAGGGCTAGGAAGGTCGAGAGGGCGAAGGGGAGGCGCCAGGAGAGGGAGGAGTCGATTCGTGCGGAGCCTGTGGGTGCGAGAGAGTTAGTTGAAGGCCCGGAAGTGCGGAAAAAAGCGTGGCACGCACCGAAACAAACGAAGAAACCGCTCGCGACGCCGCTCGCGATCGCCAACTGAGCGACGAGCATCATCCGCCCCCTCATCTCCTTCGGGCTGATCTCTGCGACGTAGACGGCGACGGTCCCGAGGAACAACCCCTCTCCAAGTCCCGCAACGACCCTCGCGGCAATGAGCATGCCTAGAGACCTGACGCTCCCGCACGAGACTGCCTGTCCGACTGCAAAGATGGCCGCCCCGAGTGCGATGGTGTGTTTTCGCGAGATGCGGTCTGCGACGGATCCTGCGACGAGGCCGGAGAGGGTCGAGGGGAGGAGGATCGAGGCGACGACTATTCCTCGCACGGTCGACGAGAAGTGTCCGAAGGTCGCGACGAAGCTGGGCATTTCTGTGACTGCGCCTATTGTGCCCGTGTCGAAGCCGAAGAGCTGTAGCGCGAGCGAGAAAGTGAGCTCCGTGCGGCAAGAGACGCAGAGAACGGGAAGCGTACAAAGGCGGCGATGGAAGCGACGAGGACGCTTCTGACGACGCGAGTCGTCGGCGACAGCTTCATGAGCGCGTCGTCGTCGCCTGCGCGTGTCCCAGCGAGGTGGGAGAGCGAGGTTGAGCGAGAGAGCGTGAAGATGCGCGGCGGAGCGGACTCGAGCGACGGAGCACTCTCACCCGAATACAAACGAGTATTACAGCTGAAAGTGTATTCAGTTGTATTGCATTACAAACTCATTACAACTGCCAAGTGTATTGCAAGAGGTAATGAGCGGGGCGGTGCTCTTCGCAACCAAGCTCGCACTTCACTCTGCTCCAGGCTGCTCCGTGCCACCGCCAGCTGGGATGGGCCACTCACGAACACGCTACAACCAGAAGGGCCGCGCAATCGGGCGCGAAAAGGGCAAGAAGCGGGCGAGGACAGTCGGCGAGGGAGATGAACCGCAAGACGACTCGAACGCGCTCGTGATTGACCCACTGCAGAGGAAGAGGAAGAGGGACGAGGTGAGTCGCTAGGACTGGTCAAGCTGGACGCACGGGGGCGAGGGCGGACGAGGGAGCGAATCTCGCTCAAGAAGTGGAGGAGACGAGCGGACGGCTGTCGATGCAGTTGGCCTGGCTGGACGCTGCTGGGAAGGTTGCGCTGTGCTACCTGCGCCCTCTCGGCTGATGACCCAGTCCAGTCGCTCGCATCGCCGTGCTGACCCTCCCTCCTTTCCTCTCACCCTCGAACAGCTCCTCAACTCCGCCCCCGGCACATCCGACCACGAGCCCAAGATGTCCGCGAAGAAGAAGAAGCGACTCGACGCCTTTATCGAGCGCAAACTCAAGAAGGAGCAGCGGAAAGACTTGATTGCCTCGCTTGCGTACGTCTACGCTCTTCCTCCTTCTGCCCGTCCTCGCCTCCTGGCGATATGAGGCTGATGCGGGGATGCGTTCATCGGAACACAGCCAAACCCAAACCCAGTCCCTGAATTTCACCTCCTCCTCCTCCCTCGGCTCTCGCCAATTCCTCTCGCAAGCCTCGAAACTCTCGCACGCATCAGCAGTCGAACAATCCCGGCGCGATAGGGCGCAGAAGATCCTCCAGCGCGCCAATGCGGGCCGACTTCATCTGAGCGATGAGGAAGAGGAGGAGGAGGTGAGGGATGAGCGGGGGGAAGAGGAGGAGAGAGAGTTGGAGAGGGAGTTTGTCAAGCCTCAACAGGCTCTCGCCATGACGACTGCCACAACCGCCTCAGCTAAAAAGCACACTCAGCCTTTCAACCCTTCTGGCGCAGTCGGAGTCGTCGAATCCCCTTCGCAGCCGGTCGCTTCCACCTCTTCCACCTCCTTCACGCCCGCCCAAGCGCCGGCGGTTGGCTCCGCGCTGGCGTCGAGCGCGACTGTGACGGTTGTGAGGAGGAAACCGAAGGAAAAGGGACGGATGAGGGCGCTTGTTGCGAAGGCCAAGATCAAGGGCAAAGGCAAGGGGAAGCAGGAGGTGGTGGAGGAGGAGGAGGAAAGCAGCGAGTTCGACAGCTCGGAGGAGTCGGAGGGCGAAGGAGAGGAGGAGGGAGACGTGGATGTGCAAGAGGAGGAGGAGGAGGAGGAGTGGGGCGGGATCGAGGTTGATGGGGAGGGTGAGGGGCGGGATGCGGAGAGTGGAGCGGCGGCGGAGGGCTCGGATTCGGGAGAGGACGGCGAGGACGACGAGGAAGAGGAGGCGGAGAGCGAGGAAGAGCAGGATGGCGTACGGCGACCACCGCGAGAACGGGGTTCATTCCGGGCCTGGGCAGACGCGCAGGTCCTCGCCGCCGCCGGGCTCGACTCGACGACCTCGACGACGGCAGCTTCCGACGACGGGACGTACAAGCCGCTTCTGCCCGCCGGCTCAGGCGTCGCGCCCGCTCCTCTGCCCGAGGGAACGACCGGACCCCTCGGCGCTCCCCTTCCCGCCTCCGACCTCCCAACCCTCCCTCCGCAACGCACGATCCACGTCCCCGTCACTCGCATGCCCGAGATCGAAGCCCAACGAGCAGAGTTGCCGGTCGTCAAGGAGGAAGATCGCGTCATGGCCGCGATTCGCGGGAACGCGGTCGTGGTGATTTGTGGAGAGACTGGGTCGGGGAAGACGACGCAGATTGGACAGTTTTTGTGGGAGGCTGGATTTGGAGATTCGAAGAGCGGTGAATCGTCGTGATTCTCTTGTTCGAGCGGGATGAGCTGATCGCCCCCGTGTGCGCAGATAACCCCGGCATGGTCGCCATCACTCAGCCGCGGCGAGTCGCCGCGCTCTCTACCTCCGCCCGCGTCCGCACCGAACTCAACCTCGCCCCAACCTCCTCCCTCGTCGCGCACCGGATCCGCTACTCCTCCACCACCTCGCCCGACACCAAGCTCCTCTTCATGACCGACGGTGTTCTGCTACGCGAACTCGCGGCCGATTTCCTGTTGAGCAAGTATAGTGTGGTCGTGGTGGACGAGGCGCATGAGAGGGGCGTCAATACGGATGTCTTGATTGGTGTGTTAAGTCGGGTGGCGAAGCTGAGGGAGAAGCAGTGGAAGGCGGGAAAGGACAGTGCGAAGGTGAGTCTCTTCGGCCATTCTTCCCTTTCCACCTCCTCTGACCTGTCCCCGCGCAGCCCCTCCGCCTCATCATCATGTCCGCCACCCTCCGCGTCGCCGACTTTGCCGAGAACCCTACTCTCTTCGCCCAGCCCCCTCCAGTCCTACACATCACAGCGCGCCAGCACCCCGTCACGCTGCACTTCGCCCGCCGAACAGCACACGACTACCTCGAGCAAGCCTACAAGAAAGTCGCGCGCATCCATGCCCGTCTTCCGCCTGGTGGCGTGCTCGTCTTCTGTACGGGGCAGAACGAGATCGTTAGTTTGGTCAAGCGGTTGGAGAAGAAGTTTGGGCCGAGGGCGGTGTTGGCGAGGAAGGAGCGGGTGAAGCGTGCGGCTATGAAGGGTGCGAGAGGTCACGGTGATGGCGACGAGGACGAGGAGGCGGAGCGAGAGGTGGAGGACTTGAAGCTGCGAGGCGGGAAGGTCGAGATCGGCGATGACCTCGAGGCGGAGGAAGTCGACCTCGGCGAAGGGCGCGACCTCGCTGCCGACGTCGACGACGGCGTCTACGATGTCGACGAGGAAGACGACGAGGCGCTCGAGTCGGACATTGACGGGGACGACGAGACGTTCAAGGGTATCGACATGGAGGAAGACACGGATGAACCGATGCACATTCTCCCGCTCTACTCGCTCCTCTCGACCGAGAAGCAGATGAAGGTCTTCCAGCCGCCGCCCGAAAGCCACCGGCTTGTCGTTGTCGCGACCAACGTCGCGGAGACGGCCATCACGATCCCGAACATCAAATATGTTGTCGACACTGGCCGTGCGAAGGAGGTGCGTGGAGTCTCTGTACTCATCTGTTTGGCGGAAATTGACTCAGTCCTGCTCCGCAGCGCAAGTATGACCACGCGAGCGGTATCCAGTCGTTCGAGGTCGACTGGATTTCGAAGGCTTCGGCTGCGCAGCGCGCCGGTCGTGCGGGTCGTACTGGCCCCGGCCACTGCTACCGGCTCTATTCGTCGGCCGTCTTCGAGCAGCACTTTGACCAGTTCGCCAAGCCCGAAATCCTGCGCATGCCGATCGAGGGCATCGTCCTCACGATGAAGAGCATGAACATCGACGCCGTCGCCAACTTCCCCTTCCCGACACCACCCGACCGCGACGCCCTCCGACGAGCCGAGAAGACGCTCGTGCACCTCGGCGCCCTCGAACCTGCCGAAGTCGATTCGAAGGTCGGAGGCAAGATCACGCCTCTCGGACGGTCGATGGCGCTCTTCCCGCTCTCCCCTCGTTTCTCGAAGATGATTGTCGCGGGCCAGCAGCACGGCTGCTTGCCGTACGTCATCGCCATCGTCTGCGCCCTTTCGGTCGGAGACCCCTTCATCCGCGAGGCGAATCTTGGCGACGACGAAGAGTCGGCTGATGCGGTGGACGAACCGGAAAAGACCCTGACTCGGGCGGAGATTGCGCACATTCGGGATCCGGAGATCAAGGCGAAGGAGGAACGCAAGCTCCTCCGCAAGGCCTTCTTCCAGGTCCAGCAGGTGCGTCCCTTTCAATAGTCTTCTACCGCTCCTCTCGCTTACAGGTACGCTTTGCAGCGCTATGCGGCTCTCGGCAAGGACACGAGCGACGTCTTCAAGCTTCTGAGCGTCGTCGGCGCGTACGAGTATGAAGGCGGGTGCGAGTCGTTCTGCGAGGCCAACTTTGTGCGGACCAAGGTGCGCTCATCCAACTCCTGACCCTTTGATTCGCCCGCTGACTAAAGATACTCCGCAGGCGATGGAAGAGATCCACAAGCTTCGCGCCCAGATCAGCCGCATCGTTTCGTCGACTTTCCCCGGCACCGACGCCGGCTTCGTCCCTAAGCTTCCGCCGCCGAACGAGACGCAGGTACGTCGACACTCCGCCTTACTTCCCTCGCGCCTTATACTGACCCCCTCGGCCTCACTCGCAGCTCAAGGTCCTCCGCCAACTCCTGACGGCCGCCTTCATCGACCAAGTCGCCATCAGGAAAGACATAGCCGACAAGTCGAGCAGTCTCTCATACGCCAAGGTCCCCTCGACACGCGGCGTCCCCTACCGCGCCTTCGGCCTCGAGGAAGACCTCTTCATCCACCCCTCCTCGAACCTCTTCCACGGCCCGCCTCCCGAGTTTATCGTCTTCAACGAACTCCACCGGACGCACAAGGTTTGGCTGAAGAGTGCGTTCGCGTTTGATCCTCTCTTCGCTCGCCGCCCGACTGACACACTCTCCCTTCTTCGCAGCCATCACGAAGGTCAACCCTGCCTGGCTTCCTGTCCTCGGCCGGCCCATGTGCACGTTCAGCAAACCGATTGAGACGCCCGCACAGGCCATTGCCGCGAAGGCTGCCTCTTCAGCTTTGTCAGGCGACACTCGACAGATTTTCGTTATTCCTCGGTTCGGACCAGGCGTCGGCGTCGAGCTGAAGCCGATACAGATGACGCAGAAGCTCGTCAACGGACGTTGGCTGTTGCAGTAGAAACAGCGCCGCCCATACTTGCACTGTATTCGCAGCCCCCTCCGCCTCGTCTTCCAGTTCTTCCTCGTCTCGCCCGACGCAGCCACTTCAAGACCCTGCTTCTACAACTGAGTCCAGTCTGATGCGTCGACTAGTGCGATGCTTCGCGCGCCTGCTGAGACTCGCCCTCCTCTCTTGCGCATCCGCGGTCTCCCTTGCTCTCTTTTCAGGCTAGATCCCGCCAACGGCTCCTGGATACTCTCGTCTCGCCGCATTATGTAAGCTACAATGCCTAAAGTTACAGCAGGGTTCTACAAGACAGGTTCGACAGCCGCAAAGTCAAGATCAGAGGATTCTGGGGTAGGGCGGCGAAGGCTGCGACCTGAGGTGCCAGGCCGGACGTTCCTAGACAGGAGGAGGGGGGCCATCGTCACGGGAAGCGCCGGTGGAAGGGCGGAGGGTGCGGGAAACCGCCGAAGGCCAACGGTGGCGGAGGAGGGAACAGCGGAGGTGGGCCAAGAGCGTGGTGCGGGCGGTCTGGCCATCCAACAAAGTCAGCCATGCTGCTGAGAGAACCAGGAGGAGGAAAGGGCGCACGGCGATGCCTCCCCTGCTCGTGGTGCGCGCCGTGATGCCTCGAGAAAAGAGGTGCCGGGCCTTCGCCGTCCGAGGCCTGGTCGAGGGTCTCCGACTCGGATCCTGAAGACTCGTCGGGGCAGTCGAAGCTGTGGTGAGCTGAACGGCGGCCTCGGAAGCCAGCAACGCCGCCACGCCCGCCGCGCCTCCGCCCAAACTTGCCGTTCGTCTCGCCGTGGCGCCTGTGGGCGTGGCAGCCATGCAGAGACGATAGGCGACCCTTGCAGTGGTGAGAGCAATTGCCGGGTCCAGCAACAGACTTGACAAGACTGTGCAAGTCATGTGCCATGGACGGGTTGCTTTCGAGGGCGTGGCGAACCGATGCGAGCAGGGTGGTGGTGTCGATCGTCGAAGCGCGGGTCTGACTGGGGCCGATGCTGAGGGAAAGCGGGCCGTCGTCAAACGCAGTGGCCCACAATTCGGCGACCTCTTCAGAGGCCGACACGGTTATTTCGTCTTCCTGGCCGTCGATGTAGGTGAGGGCGGCGGGGGTCGCGTTGAGGCCGAAACGGTCTTGGACGAGGCGGGCAAGGGCGCTCCACGAAGGAGCGGGCTCGGCGGGAAGGAGAAGGGAGCGGGTGATGGCGTCGTCTGCGTCGCTGGCGGGAGGGAGGGTGACTTTGACAATAACGGAAGTCATCTTAGAGCGTAGGCGATGCAGGGAGAGAGAGAAAGCGACGGAGAGCAGCGCTTTTGAGCAGCTGGATCAAGTCACGAAGAGCGGAGTCATGAGGGGACGCTGCGAAAGATGGCGGCGCAGTCGCGCAGTACGGCCTTGCGGCCGCCGCAGCTGTCTTATCGGTGCTCTAGGCGGCTGCCCCGGCGCGACTGGATCCAGCGAACAGCTTGGATGGCGAGAGCGCAGAGCGAGGGCGCGCTTGAGAAGGTCAGCTTCTTCCTCGGCTTTTTCACGCTCTCGTGCTTCGAGCTACATGCGACTGCTCGCTGCATCTGCACGGGTCATGGTCTGTCTACCAAGTAGACTGCGAGGAGCGCAGGGCAGCGGGAAACGCCGCAATATCGAGTGGAGCGGAGCGAGGGCGGCGGGTGTGGTGCGCCTCGTCGTGTGACGGGATTACTGACACCTCCATTCAAGCCGCCCAATGCCCTGCGCGAGGCGAGTAGCCGGCGGGAGCAAAAGAGAATAACCGGTGCGAGGCGAGAACGACAGGAAGCGACGTCGAGCGTTGGAGGGGGAAAAAAAGCTTGTCCACGCTGGGGTTCGAACCCAGGACCTCGGCTGATCAACATGTGAATGTGAGAACCAAATCATGACCACTAGAACACGCGGACTTTGTTGAGAAGCGGACAAAATTTAACGTATATCAATTGCTGGAATGTGACTTTTGCTCCGTCGCCTATTGCAGCAGCATCGGGACTCTGGCAGAGAGAGGGAACTGCCTGCACTGTCTACAGACACGTACGAGCGCTACCCAGGGCGAGCGTTCATTGCTTGTCCTCGCAGTTGGATCTTCCTCGCTCGGGCTTGTCCTCCCCTCCCACAACGACGGTGAGGACCATCCAGCTGTCTGCGAGTATACTTCGAATGTAGATTGACCGGATACGTTGCTGTTCAAGCTCCACGAAAGGCCTAGCGTGCTGCACCAGCCGTCGTCGCTCCGTCGCGCGAGGACTTGCACTGTGCCCATTCTTGGACGAAGGGCTACAGCTTCTCAAGTCTATTATCCACTGGGTTTGTTGCCCAAGGAGCGGAGGCTGGGGCAGAAACTCTGTCGAGATGGATAACAACCGCTAAGTTACCAGTTGGCAAACAGCGCCGCTACTTCCGCCGCCTCCTCCTCCTCAGACTTGGCCTCCTTCTGTGCATCGGGCGCACCCGCACCATTCGCGATCAATGGAAGCGCCGGAGCCTCCGCCTCGTCCCGCTCCACCTTCACCTTCCCAACCTGCCGCTCCACCTTGCGTTGGACCCAGAAACCCTCGCCTGCTTCGACGTCGCCGCCGTCTAGTGCACGAGGACGATCCACCTGCCCGCCACCCACCGCGCCAACCGACGTCTCGAGCGGAGAAGGCGGTTCGGCAGACAGCGTGTCTGACGAGTCTCGCTCGGACACGGCCGCCAACCGTGCAAGCGATGTAGCGAGAGATACGCCACGAGCGGCTGCATTCGTCGACGAGTAAGTCGAGGGTAGAGGTGGCACGGGCGCTGCTGTCGAGCTCGAGAGGCCGACGGGAACAGAAGCGGGTGGGGCGGTTTGAGGGCGATAGATGCCTGGCGCGAGGGACTGTAGACAGGTCTTCGTCAGCGTCCGCTCTTTGAGCGAGACGACGCAGATGCCGCAACTCACGCCCTGACTCGAGACCATCCGCGACATGGCCTCATCCGTCGGTGACGCCGCCTGCACAACGCTCAATGGCCGCCGCTCAACCCCTTGTCGCTGTAGCCACCGTTCCGTACGTTCGGTATGGTTCGGGTCCTGTGCCGCACGCGCTAGGTCGGCTTGGGCGAAGGAGGAAGCGAAGGCTGTGACGGCGTCGAAAGCTTCGTCGAGCGGGTCAGGCCCGTCTTCCGCTACACGGCGCAAAACGTCAACGGTGAGCACGCTAGATAGAACGCTCGAGTACGCACTATCCTCGCCCTTTGGACTGTCGCTCATCTCAGGCAGAGGCAGCGGATCCGCCACCTTGTCGTCTGAAACGAAGACGGAACCTTCGGCAAGCGCGACCGAGGCATCGTCCCAAGCAGCGCTGGTTGCAATCGGGCTGAAGGCGAGACTGCCGAGGTCGGGCAGCGACCATCCCAGTTCGAGGGGCTGAAGTGCCGGCGTCGGCTCAACCTCCTCGACCTGCCCTGCTTCGTTCGATTCGCCCTCTACTGCTAATTCCACTGACTCAGACGGTAGCGATTCCTGCGCGAAGAGCGAAGGTCGCGGCCCGATGGGAGTCGGAGGTTCGACGACGATGCTGGCGACTCGCAAGCTCGTCTCGCCGCGAGATGCGGAATTGGCGGCACTGTCGATGACGTCGCTACGTTGCGGCTCAGGGAACTCCGGCACGAGGAGGCTCTTTGAGTCGGCCAACACAGGCGGCGAGCTAGGAGATGGAAGCGTCTCGTACGAGGGTGGCGCGGGACTTGGCGGAAGCGGTGTGCTAGAGGCGAGCGAGACGGCGTTCGTGAAAGCTGGGCTTGGCGTTGTTTGGTGGAACGCAGTCGATCCCTCCGCTACGAGAGACGCGTTCTGCACCGCCAGCAACGAGACCAGCGGTGCCGCCGCGTCGCTAGAAGGCACCGGCGTATTCGCACCCTGTCGCGCAGCGTAGCCAGGCAGCTTTGGCGGCAGAGGCGGCGGTAGGGGCGATGGGACGAACGGAGGAAGAGGCGCAGGCCCGCTGCGGAGCTGTGAGATGGCGGCAGGAGACGAAGAGACAGGCGGATCAGGCAGGCTGAGCGAAGACAGGACAGGTTGCTGTACCGTGTGAACAGTTGAAGACGAAGGAGCGAGGGGCGGGACTGGCGGCTGCGGCGGCGAAATTTCAGGAATCGGGCGCGGCTTCGGCATAGGCGGCAGGTCGCCCGCTTGAGCCGGAGACGACGCAGCTGTTGTTGGTGACGAGGTGGCCACCGCCTTCGAGGCAGGAGGCGCCGCAGACGCCGGCGGCTGAGTCGGTGGAACTGCTGCGGAAAAGAGGCGCGAGAGCGAGGGGAGAGTCGGTAGAGCGGGGCCTCCAGGCGGCGCGCCTCCTTGTACTGGAGCCGGAGCGGTCGTCGCGGCAGAAGGAGCGGCAAGGACTGTCGGCATTGACGCGGACAGAGGCAGACTGACCGCCGCAGGAGCTGCCGCTGGTGCCGCGGAGCTGGACAAGGACGCTGGCGGTACGAGAGGCGGGAGTGTCGAAAGCGCAGCCGTGGGTTGCGGGACGCCTTGCGGCGGATGCGGCGAGGAGGAAGGGGGGATAGGCGGACCGTAGCTGGGGAAAGATATCGGCGCAGCCGAGGTCGGCAAAGTCGTCGGATAGCCGCTAGGCGGCGCGGCGGTCGAAGCGGGCGCAGGGAAATCTGGGAGCGAATCGGGACCTGCAGCGGAACGAGGCAAAGCTGGCTCGACAGGCTCGCCTTCTCCCGCCGCCGTTCCGCTCGCAGCCAAGCGCCCTGCAGCCGCACTCGTCGTCCTCGTCGCGCCTCCGTGTGATCCTTGTTCAGCCGGAGCTGCGTACCCCGGAAGCGGCTCTGCCGCTGCTTCCGCCGTCGAATGAGACTCGACAGGCGCAGGCTGCGCGACTTGCGATACTGGCTGCCACGCAGGTGCGACGAGCGGAGGCGGGTCGGGCGCCGCGAAGGAAGTTGCGGTGACCATCGGCGCGGGAGGAGCAGCCGACATCGCAGCGGCGACGGCGGGAGCATACAGTTGTGGTGCAGGCTGAGGCTGAGCCGCAGCTGTGGGAGGCGCAATGGGCGGTGCAGAGGTTGGCTGGTGGGAAGGCGGAGGGGGTGCGGCCATCGGTGCTGCCGGAGCGGCCGGAGCGAAGGCAGGGGGAGGTGTAGAGACGAAGTGAGGCGGGACGAGAGGCGGTGGCGCAAAGGCGGCTTGTGCGTGCAGCGGCGTCGTGGCGGCGTGACCAGGCGCACTGCACGAGGAATGCGTCAGTCGGTACCGACGCGAAGAAGTGCGAGAAACGTACGAGAAGGGCGAAGTGACTAAACCAGCTGATGCCGCTCCAGCCATCCCCCCTGCAGCAGCAGCCGCCGTGTAAGCGTTCGACGGATGCGCCTGATCCGCAGCGATGGCAGAGATTGGCCGCGGGGCCCTTGCAGCTCTCCCCGCTCCACCTCGCCTTGTAGCCTTCTCCGCCCCGGTCCGCAAGAACAAGTACGGCTCGAGCGGCAGGTCGCTGTGCGGGTCAAGCCAGTCGAAGGGCGTTGGCTGGGATCGGAAGCGGCTAGTCGAAGAGCGTTGGCTATCGCGGGCGTGAAGCGAAGTCGGGCGATGGTAGGTGATCGGCGAGACGGTCGGGTTTGGCGCCGACTGTGTGCGAAGGAGTGCAGGCTGGACGGATGCGGCTTCGTGAGGCGCGAGAGCTGCAGCGACGAGAGGCGGGACGACAAGGGGTCGAGTTGGTTTCCGGTTCTCCTCCTCAGCGCCTCGGGCTGCCGCTTCGAACGGCGTGACATGCGACTCGGGAACGGGCATGTCCGACGTCACCGAGTCTTTGCGGGCCGGCGTGATCTCCTTGACACCGTTCGCCTGCGCTGCGCCCGTCGCGCCGCTAACCAGCTGGCTCGCCCGTCCCCATAGCGACCCAAGAAAGCCCTGCGCAGGCTGTTCGGGCGCAGTCTGGGACGGCGGCGTAGACTCGCGAGCAAGCGGAGGCGAAGGTATGCGAGAAGCCGGCGCGACAGGCGGAGGAGAAGAGGCTCGTCGGCGATGCTGAGTAGGGGGCGGGCTGCGCGATCCGGCGCGACTTTGCGGTCGTGTGCGAGTAAAGGCCGACGCTGATGTTGACTGTGCTCGCTGTCGGCGGACAGGCGGAGGCGAAGGCGACCGCTCGTACTCCTCCTCGGAAACCTCCGGTTCAGGCGAGGGCGTCCTCGCCCGTCTATTCAGCCCAAGCCGCCTCGCCCGAGCAATACTATCGCTCGAAGCAAGGCTCTTCGGCTGCGGTCTGTCCTCAGACGCCGACTCAGGCCCGCTCAGGCCTTCGACCCGCGCTCTTGCCAGCCTGTCCAACCTCGAACTGCCGTTCGCGCCTGGCGAGCCCCCGAATCTCCCACTTCCGCTCCCCTCGCCGCTCCCCCATCGACTCATGACCGCGCTAGGAGTCGCTGCTGGTTTGTTGGCGGGTGCCGAGGAAGACGGTTGTGGGGAGCTGGAGGGGGCGGAAGCGAACATGCCTGGCAGGACTCGCCCGCCCGGCTGGACCTGTCGTCGCTCGGGAGCACGTCCAAATGCGCCCGCCTTCATGGTCGGCTCAGTTCAGCGAGAGCAGCGTCGCTGCTGCTTGTGAAGGGAGGGTTCGAGGCGAGTAGCTGGCCGGAGCGGCAAGTCCGCGGATGGGTCTGCCACTGTTCAGCACGTGGCAAGATCCTCAGCGGTTGTTTCTGGGCCAGCTGGAGCAGCCAGGAGCGCTGGAGCGAGTCGGTGGACGTTGGAGAGTTATGGCTGATGAGGATGGAGCGAGGCGTGGAGGCGTTGGGGCCGCGTCAAAACAGGTCCTGCGTATGCTTGAGGGTCTAAGCCAGCCATTGTACGCCGTGCAAGCAACTCAGCGCGTGGTGGGTGAGGTGGGAGAGCGAGAGAGGCGAGGAGGAGCAGGTTGGTCTTCGTCCATCCCGCTGCACCCACGGAGACTGCTTTCCGGGCATCGCAGAGCTGTCAACGAGTACTTCTACCTCCCTGGGGCAGCTACTCCAAACGCCACGCCGCCGTCTGGCTTCTTCTCCTCCCCCTCTCCCCGTCGCGATGGCCTCCCTCTCGACACTGCGCTTCGCCTCGTTCCGAGTAGCGCACCAGGTCTTCTTCCAGTCCGCGCTCTCGTACGGCCTCGTCAACCTCAAGCCGCTCGTTCCCGGTCGTGCGTTCCGTTCCTCTCCTCCTCCCGAGTCTCGCAAAGTGGGGCGTGTGCGTCAAGAGGATTCCAAGCTGAACTCTGTTGCCCTCGCACAAACAGACGTCCTCGTCGTGCCACGAAGAGTGACGCCCCGCTTCCGCGACTTGACGCCCGAGGAGGTGACGGATCTCTTTCAGAGCGTCCATCAGATCAGCCGCGTCATTGAGCAGGAGTACAGCGCGCAGTGCGTCTCTCCGTCACTTCGAAAGGTCTATCGAACGTGCTGACGGCTTTTCTGCCGTCAGAGCACTCAACATCGCGCTGCAAGACGGGCCTTTAGCGGGTCAATCTGTTCCCCGTGCGTCCCTGCCCACCTCCTAGGTGTTCAGCAGCTAAATTAACGTCCTGCGCAGACGTCCACGTCCACATTATCCCGAGAAGAGCGAAAGACTTCGAACCCTTAGACGAAAGTGCGACGGGTCTTCAAGCTCTCTCGCTGGGCAGCGTTCGCTGATCCCATTCTTGCGCAGTGTACAACGCACTAGACGCTAAGAACCTCTCTCAAGACTTCGCCGAAGCCTACGCCTCCCGACCAACCCGCGGCGAACGAAAAGCGTTCGAAGCTGAGTTACGCGAGCGGGAACGAGGGAACGTCGAGTCGCCCTTCTCCGGCATCGAGGGCGAGCGGAAACCGAGGGCCAGGGAGGAGATGCAGAGGGAGGCGGAGCGGTTGACGGGTTTGTTTCCGGAGGCGAATCGGGCGGTCTTTGGCCAGGGCGAGGAAGAGCGGGCGGAGCAATGAAGTGCGGCAGCATTGAGTCCCCGGCCCACCTTGTCCAACTGTGGGTCTCAGTGAATTGCTTGCGCTCCATTCAGGCCGATATCTGCGTCTCGCCTGCGAGGAGGTGAGGATAGAAAGGGTCGCCCTCTCGCTTCTCGCATGTCATTGTGTCCAGCGACTTTCAGATGGCATCAGGAGGCTACTGAGCGTCTAGCGGACTGCAAGAAGTGCTCCTCAGCGATCTTCGCGATGTCAACTTGCGATGTCATCCTGCTCGTCGCCGCTTCGCCTCCTCCCGCACGCTCACAATGCCACCGCGGGCAGCGAGCAGCTCTGTCTCGCCCAAGAAGGGCACGTCGACCAAGCTGACATCCGATCCGACTCCCCTCGCCCTGCCCGCCCTCCTGAAGCTTCTCACCACCTCCGGACCGAAACCACCCCACCTCTCGATGTCGCAAGCCATTGCGGCTGCGTCGAAGCTCGTGCCGGGAGGCTACATCTCCCACGCCAAGCTGCGGCTGTTGAACCAGGCGGACATGGTCAAGCTGGGCATCGCGGACGAGGAGATCCGCAAGGGCTTGATGGCGGTCATTGGCAAGGGCGGCGGGAAAGGGTCGGGAGACTCGCCAGAGGTCAGGAAGAAGAGGACGAGGGAGAGCGACTTGGACAGGCCGCTGCCGACTAGGGCGCCGAAGGAAACGGTTGTCGACGAGGACTTTGACTTTGAGGAGATTGAGGCAGAGGAGGTGCGTCCCGCTTCCACGCTCTGTTTTGTGCTACACTGACAATCTATGTACAGGCCCTCGCTCCAAAGGCATGCCTCGTGAATCGAGCACCGGTCATGACGGCCTGGGCATGCGTCGTTGCTGAGCGACTCGGTTTCCGGCGGCAAGAAGCGCTCAGCATAGGTTCGTAAAGCTCCCTCACCGCATTTGAAGCACGCTGACCTCTTCCATCGCAGCCCACGTCTTCACCGACCTCAACGCGACCTCAAAGGGCGTCTCGCTCGGCTTGATGGGTCCGGAAGCGCTCAAGGTCGAAGTCGGCCCGTCTCAACCTTTCGTCGACCTCCTCGGTCGCAAGGTGCGTGTCATGGCAGTCTGTAGGCGCAGAACAACTTGCTGACTCTCGGGTTCGTGCAGGTCCCCGTCCTCTCGACGCAGACAGGCGAATGGCGCGCAATCTCGAAGGGCCATGTCGCGGACCCAAGCAAGGCGTTTGCTTACATGCGAGGCGCGTTCAGGCAGCAGCTCGGAGCGGTCGTCGGTGCGTTCGGATCTCGCCTTTCTCGTCTCGCTCTAGCTCACCCATTCCTCGCTCTCATCATAGGCGCTATGCGCCTCCTTGCAGCTAGCTTCTCACCCAAGGAGCTCAATGAGAAGGTATACTGCCCATTCCCGCAGTCTTTGAACACGATTGACCCGACCTTTCGCAGGGCTACCACCTCTACCTCGACTTCCGCCCCGAGTCCGACGGCTGGGGCAAGAAAGCCGACTTGCGCATGTCGAGCATCCTCGACTTGCGACGACACTTGACACATGGCGGACCGGCGAAAGAGGAGGAGGTGGAGGATGACGGGGCGAGGGAGGTCAAGCGCGAAGAGGAGGGTGAGGACGGGGCGATTGGGCAGGTTAAAGTCGAGCCAGATGAGGAGGGCGCGCCGACTGCGAAGAGGGTCAAACGAGAAGAGGGGGAGGAGGAGGTCAAGCCGGAGGTAGCCGGGTTCGATGGGGCGAAGGAGCCGGCAGGCGAGAAGGACGAGTTCGACGAGCTGCTCGACCAGGACGACGACCTCTTTGCAGCAGTCGACGTCTGACGGGGCAGTCAGGAGCTTACATGTAGCATAGCGGTTCTTGCTCTCCTCCTTGTTGGCAATATTACCCGCAGCCATTCTCTTGCGTGCTTTCCTCTTTCGTTTCGCTCGCTCCTTGCGGCGCACCTGAGAGGCGTTCTGACGGACGGATGCCTATGCGTATTGCTGCGAGTCCGAGAAGTGTCGATGAACGAGCGAGACTGTCTATGAGGGGAATCTACAAGCCGAGTGCGGACGGAAGGAACGGGGATGCGATGTATGGGATGCGTAAGGCGGAGGAGTGTCTATGCGACCTCGTCGTGACGTCTAGGCAAGCAGGCCAGCTGCGACGAAGAAAGCGAGGGGAACAGAGAATGAAGAGAACGCCGGACGCGGTGTCGCGGACGAGGCGAGGTGCTGGACGGTCTGGCTGACTGACTCGACGGCGGCGACTGGCGATGTCACGGATGAAGGTGTGCCTGGCGAAGGGGTGGTGGCAGCTGCGTCTAGGTTCGAGGACGTAGTGGCAGGGGAAGAGGACAGTCCTGCGCCGATGCCGACGCTCGAGTCGATGGGCTGGCTGTCGCCAGGCGAGTTGAGGTACCAAGAGAGGTCGAAGAGGTCGGGAATGCACCTGCGAACGGCAAGGATCGTCAGCGGAGAAAGGGGATGAGGCGGGCGGACAAGACGCACCGGGCATCCCACCCGTGCTGCTTCAAGCCCGCGTACGTGTTGATGAAGCCGCCGACCGACTTTGACGTGAGCTCGTGCTCGAGGCCGATGATGCCAGGCGAGACGCCGCCCACAGCCCAGCTGCGCAACTCGTTCTCGAGGTCCTCGATGCTTTTCGGCCCGTACGATCCGCATGATCTAGGAGCCAGCACCATCAGTGACGGGTTTCTCGCGAGCGATTGCGGTCGCTGCAGGATAGCAGGCCAGACTCGACGGCATGAGGAGGGTTGCGTTACTCACGATCCGCCGCTCTCGTTCAAACACCAGTCATCCGAGTCGCGATTCCAGCCAACGAGGGTCAGGTTGAAGACCTCCTTGGCGATGGCTCGCACACGGTTGTCGGCGTCACCCTGCACGAAGGGGAATAGGATGGGAGGTTGGGAAGGTCAAGGAAAAGTCAGCTTCGATGGCAGAGCGGCGTCGGGGGCTCGGCGGTGGCTCGCCATCATGATGGCAGCGATAGGGTACACGTACGTAAGGCGGACGCCAGAACTTCGGGATGAGACCGCCGCTCAGGTCGTGAATCGCTTGCACCGTCCAGCCGAGTTCGCCGAGGACCTGGGTGTCGTTCAACGTTGTCATCTACGGGAAGCGAAGCGTCAGTCGTCAACTACGTAGCAAGCGATTAAGAGCGGAGCGCGATGCACGTAGGGGTGACTCCAGGTGTGTACGCCAATGTGCGCATTCGAAGCGAGGGCTTGACGGAAGACGTCCGGGTTGTTGACGATGTTCGTGCCGATGAAGAAGCTGCGGAAGCGGCCCGGGACGAGTAAGCCCAGTCAGCGACGACGCGAAGAGGAGGCGAGGCGGCGCTCGCACTTACTGCGTCGCAGTCTGGTTCTGCTTCTGCAGGAACTGGTAAAGAGCCGGCGAGCTCGGCAGCGGCTGGGGATACAGGTGCTCGTCAGCGCTCCCTTGCGAAGAGGAGGACGAAGGAGGACTCACGCCGTCGTCGAACGAAACGCCATACATGCCGTCAGGAGCGTCCGAGATGTCGCTGTCCCCAAAGCAGGCGGCAACTGCGTGAACAAAGCTAGGGGAATCAGTGACGAACTGCAAGAACGAAGAAGACGGAGTGAGCGTGAAGGAAGCGACCCGCCTGACCACGAGCAAACGCCGTTCTCGCCCGTATCGACGCCCGGCGGATAGTACGGGTTGCCCGCACCGCTCAGCTTGGCCGGCGCAAACGTCGAGATTCTGCCAGCCGCTTTGGCAACTTCGTAAACCGCAACCCATTCAGACTCTGCGACGAGGCGCAGGTCAGCGGAGGAATTCGAGCGGGGCGTGGGCGACTCACTCGGTGCAGGACCGCGAGTACCGGGCGCCGGAAGTGCTGCAGAAGGTGAACGAGATCAGCGAGTGTGTGAGGAGAGCGGAGTGGGAGGAGCGGGACGTACTGCTCGTCTGCCTGGAGTAGAGGGGAGAAGCGAGTGTCGAGGTGAGCAGTCCGAGCGTAACAAGCCAGAGCATCGTCGCGAGTGAGAAGAGCGAGAGAGAGAGGGAGAGAGAGAGAATGGGAGCGAGAAGAGCGCGAGGCAACCCCCAGATCGAGGCGAACCTCCTCTCCGCCGCAGCCAAACGGCTCGAGCGTGATCTCCCGCTTCTCCAGTCTTTTTGCGTCGTCGAGCTCTTGCAAGGCGCGTTGAATGCTTGAAGAGATGGCAATGCAAAGCGGCCGAGACGACACAGGCAACAGGGACGATGGGCGGACGAAGTAGGCGCGGATGGACGATATGGATGGCATGCGAGGGGCGGGAATGGTATAGCGGACGAATGTGTATGGTGGGAGCGCCGTGTAGTCGACGAGGGGTATCTAGCGGATGCGTCGGCGGCGGTCGACGATCCCGAGCGTCTTTTGAGGTCCTCTGCGAGAAAGGAACGGCGTCAGCACGTCTCTCGAAGCAGACGAGCGACTCGCACTCACTGCCAGACCGCAAAGACGATGGCCATGCCGAGGATGGTGAAGAAGCGGATCCAGGTGACGAACGAGACGATCTTCTGGACGACCGAGTCGGTCACCCTCGCGACGACCATTCGCGGGCGGTAGCGAGCGCGAATAGAGAGCGGGTAGTAGTCGGACGAACGCCGCAGAGAGTGATTGAGGTGGTCGTAGTCGGACGAGATGTCGGACTCGAAGTCGTCCGAATCGTACTCTCCCTCGAACGAGTCAACCGTAGGCCGCCTTCGCAAAGCAAACTTGCCGCGCCTTGACGACGCCTCGCGTTGGAGACGACGCAGAGCGTGCCACCTGCGAGAGCTGCGGGGCGACTCCTCCTCGTCCTCGAAGTCGTCCTCGTCGCTGTAAATGCGGTCCGGGTGGAGGACGACGGCGGTCGACCGTCCTGCCGCACGTCCGTCGTACTTTGCAAACTCGACATTCTTCCCCTTGGCGATCGAGTGCGGCGGAAGAGCTTTGCGTCGTCGCGACTTGGCGGTCGGCAGCGCCTCGTCGTCCTCCCAAGCCGGCACGAGACTCGCCGCCGCCTTTTCGATCTCGTCGTACGTCTCAGCGTCGGGGTAGCCGGCGTAGCGCAGGATTCCAGAATGAAGCAGGTCGTCCGCCGTGGTCGTGGCAAAAGGTGGCGTCGGGCAATTGTCGTTGTACTCATCCTCGGAAGGCGCAGAAGTGGCGAGCTCGAGCTTTGAGTGACGGATATCTGGACGAAGGCCGTGGTCGATGACGGACGAGAATGACGGCTCGTCGAACGGGTCGTCTCGCTCGTACACGTCGGTCGACCACTGCTCGCCTAGCTCGTTGCTGAGCGTGCGCTCCGGCGGCGGCGGGAGCTTGGCGAACGCTGTGACAGGCGAGCTAGTGCAGGTCGGTCCCGAGAGGCCGGTTGAGACGGACGAGGATGTGCTCGAACGCTTAACGGTCAGCGGACGAGTGCGAGTCTTGCGAATGCTGGAGGGCTCGTCTGCCTCAGACTCGGCGTCGGCGTCCTCTTCGGCTCGCCATTCGATAGCGCCGATCGGTCCCTCTGCGTGCGAGAAAAGCGTAAGCAAGAGGTGAGCCGTGAGCGAAGAAGACTGGCGACTCACCCCACCCGACAAGGCGGTTCTGCACGATCTCCTCCTCGAGCTCCTCGCACCTCTCCTTCCACTCGAGCACCTCCTCCTGCACCTCATCAAGCCTGCAAACCATCTCCTCCCTCTCCGCCAGAATCGCCTCGTTCGCATCCTGCAGCTCATCGATCTTGGCCATGAGCTGGTCGACAAGCTCGTCTTGCTGTTGTTCGAGCGAAGGGTCGAGCTCGATTGGCGCGGGGAGAGGCACGAGAGACGAGGCGGAGGCGGAGCGGGAGATAGAGCGAGGGAAGGAGAGCGGGAAGAGCGAGCCGTGGCCCGGCTGGCGGAAGGGCGAGAGGTGCGACTTGTCGGCGAAGCCTGGCGAGAACGGCTCGCCGCTGGGCGCGTGAGAGGTGAAGAGGTCGTCCTTGGGCGCAGATTGGCTCGCGCGAGGGTCGTCCTCGTCGTCCGAGACGAGACTGCGCCCGACCGGCTGGTCCGCCCTCGACTCGGCAGCAATCTTACTCTGCATGGTGTCGTACCGCCTGATCGAGCGCATCAACTCGTTGTTGCCTGAGATGGCCACCTCCGCCTGCGTCTCGAGCACAACATTACGCTGCTCGACCCGCTCGAGGTCCTCCCTCAACGCCTGCAACTCGCGCTCGAGTTTGCGAAGCCGCTTGCGACCCTCGCGCTCGGCGACTTCCGAGTCGGCTTGGAGGTCGGAGAGCTGGAGCGAGAGGGCGTAGTTGGCTTGGTTGAGGGAGGCGACGTCGCGCGCGGCTGTTGCGGGAGAGAAGACGGATGCAGGAATGCCGAGGCGAGCGGCGGGAGACTTGGGCGTAACGGAGGAGAATTGGCGGCGGCGGGTGTTGGTGGGCGAGTCGTCGGGCGTGAAGACCGAGATGCGACTCGAACGCCTCGACGCTTGGGACGGGCTCTCCGGGTCCGATGCAAAGCTGCCCTTCTCATGCAGGTGGTACGAGCTTGCACCGCTTGCGCGACGCAGGTGGCGGCTCGAAGCTGGCGAAGGACGGCCGAGCGATTCGCGCGAAGGGCGAAGGCGAGCTGGCGATTTACCCGGCGGCATGGGCGCGCCTGGCAGCGTTTGCACGGATGCGGAGAGCGACGAAGGCAAAAAGGGTGTCGCGGAGCCGGAGGTGGAGGGCTTCCGTGCCACGAGCGATTCGTGCCGCTGGCGGAGGGAGTGGTATTCCTGCAGGAGTTCTGCGAGAACGTGCGTGTCAGCAGGGCGGCTCGAGTAGGAACGAAGATGCTTGGCTCACCCTCGCCGGCATGCGTGAAAACGGAAAGCTCTGCAAAACGAACGTTATCAGCGACACACGTGAAAGAGACCTCAAGGAAACGCACCCTGCTCCTTTGCGCGAATGATGCGATCCGCCTCGGCAAGCATCTTCTCGAGCTCTTCTCTGCTCAGGGACTTGAGGTGGTCGGGACCGAGAGCGGCTGGCGCGAGGACCGGTTCGAGAGGGGATGTTTGGCGATTCGAGGGAGGCGTCGAGGGTCCGCTGCTGGGCTTGACGACGATGACGGGGTCGGATGTGGCAGGTGTAGGGTCTGTCGAAGGAAAGGGGACAGGCGAAGGAGCGCGCGACAACTTTGTCGTCGCCTCAACAGGATCCCGTTCGACGACTCCCTCGGCTGAACCTCCCGCGTCCGCGCCTGTGTCCACGCCGGTGCCTTCGCGTGACCCCTGGACCCCACTCAGCGAGATGCGCCCGCCCAAGGACGTCCTCTCGCCCCTCATCTCCTCCCCGTCGCTCCCAAACCCAAGCGCATCCAACGACCTCCTCTCCCTCTCTCTCGCGCGTCGAGCCGCACTGCGCGGTGTCGAAGGCGTCGGGAGCGCTGTCAAGCGTGACGAGGTCGTGCGCTGCGTCGAGGGGCGGCCTGGTGGTCGGGGTCGGGGAGTGAGCAGCGGTGTTGGACCTTGAGCGGGGGGCTGCATGGCCTCGCTTTTGGCCCCGGGGTTGAGCGCGGTCAGAACGAGCGTCTGGGCAGAGCACAGAGTGCCCAGCTGGCGAGCGAGCGAAGGAGGAGTCCCGCGAGCGAAGAGTGCGGAGAGTTGCAAGAGCGAGAGGCTCGCAACTTGGAGGCGATGGGGATTTCACGTGCACCCCTTCTGCTGCTCGGGAGACGGGATCGACGAATTCAAAGAAGATTGGAACAGTCGCGGGGAGAGAGACGCGAAGAGGCGCGGTCGAGGAATGCTTCGTCTTGCTTGGAGATGCACGCAGAGACGACCCGTATGATATGCTATTGAGAATGCAGCAATTAGTCTATCTCCAAGGCGCGCATCTATAATCCAGTCAAAGTGTCTATCCCTCCCGCCTCGCGCACTCGCTCACGGCGCCTGATCATACGCCTGCCTAACCTCGATCCCGACCTTCCTCCTACGCTGCGCATCAAGCCACTGCATCGCCTGCCTGTACGTGCGCGGGAGGACGTAGCGCTGCAGGGGCTTGTCGGCTGCGAAGGTGTAGTGGAAGACGTTGGTGACTTTCTTTTCGCCCGAGTAGAGGTCGCAGGTGGCGGCTGCGGAGAGACTGGGGTCAGCTGCATTTGGGGAAGGGAGAGAGGAGGCACGCACCCTCGACCGAGACGTGGAAAGAGTGGTGCTCGCCGAGCAGCGGCGAGAACGTGACCTTCGAGTCGAGCAGCAACAGCGAGCCGATCTCAACGGGCTGAGCGAACTGCAACTCGCTGCGCGAAGGATGACGAGGGTCGGTCAGCCAGACAGCTGGGGCGAAAGCTGGAACGGTCCGGACGCACTCGAGAGCGACGAAAGTGACGGCCGACCGAGAGAACAGACAAGCAGTCGAGTACGCCGTCTCGTACGCCAAACGCATGAGGTAGCCACCGAAGACCTTGTTGTGCACGTTGCGCTCTTGCGGGTGCATCAGCTGTGCCGAGTTGACGCGCGTGTCGGACATCATGACGACGTCGGCGGGCGTGGCGGTCTTGCGGTCTGCGAGGCGGGAGCAAAGCGGGTCGAGGAAGGCGTAGAGTCGAGACGAGGGCAGAACGAGAAAGGAGACGACGAGGAAGGTGCTTCAGTGATCCAGGCGGAAGCAGGACGAGGCGAACGTCGAACGCACCATACACCTCGGCCCTCTGAATGAACAACTCGTGCAGCATGGCCGCCTCCTCCGCCGTCGGGGGCGTCTTCTGCAGACTCTTCTGACTGCGCATCTTCTTCCCCTCACGCATTTCCCTTCCCATGGACCAGATCGCCGCCTCTTCCGGTCCGTCCACGACCAACTTTGGGACGGGGTGTTTGCCACCTTGCGCGCTGCGGCAGGCCATTGCGAAGCGTCCGAGGAGGATGGTGGAGGATTCTTCGGAGGCGGAGGAGGGGATAGTCGACATGCGGAGGAAGACTTCGATCGAGGAGGAGGTCGCATACGAGACGTGGCCTGACAGGCGTAGGTCCGGGACGGCCCCGTCGGGGTTCATGAGAGGGCGGAGGAGGTCCATGCGGTCGACGGCGGCGGTGACGAGGTAGAAGCCGTATTTGTGCGCCGTCGCGATGTCGGCGCCGTCGGGGAGGACGTAGCGGTATGCGGCGGCGCCGGCGAGAGAGTCAAAGTCTGCGGGAGCGTTGTAAGCCTCGACATTGTGAGCGAGCAAGAGAAGTCTGCGAGCGCACCCTCCATCAACCGACCCATCCTGACTTTGCTCAGCCCGCCGACGTATTGTTCCCGCAGCGACTCGTCCTTGGAGAACAGCAGGTCCATCTGGACATACGAATCTCCCATCCTCCTAACCTGCGGCAGCGGCGGCAGTTCTTCTCCCTCCTCCAGCTCGACGAGAGGCGCCTTGCGGTCCTTGTCGTACACGCCGATCCCGCGCAGCTTGGCCGGCATCGAGAAGTCGCCTGCTTGAGACGCCAAGCGCTCGCCGAGCTTCATGAGGCTCGTGATGCGCGTCACGGCTTCGTTCTCGCGCTGAGGGACGGAGTGTTCTGTAAGGAGGGTCGAGGGGTTCGCATCGGCTTGCTTCGACGAGCTCTGCGTGCGCAAGAGTCAGCTGTTGAATCCCCATGGTGAGTGCGCCTACACGCACCGAGATTGAGCGCGAAGTCGAGGCAATCGGCAGCCGAGGTTGGGACTTCGAAGAGAAGCACGAGCACGGGAGTCGCTGCGCTGGTTCAGCCTGAGCATGGGCGAGTTGCCTGCGCAAGAGAGCGGGAGTGCTGCGCCATACGGAGCTCATCCTGGCCGGCAGTAGTGGGTGAGGGGAGGAAGCGAAGCCGCGAACTTGCTTCCTCCCAACGACGACAGAGTTGACTCGCCATATCCAGCGGGCGGAATGAAGCCAGCGCTAGACTACGATAGAGCTGGGTAGTGGTCTGCTGGTGCTGACAGCTCGCAAAGTTGCGATGGACGACCACTCCCTCCTCCTCCCCTTCTCCTCCGTCCTCGGCGCCGAAGTTCCCCCTCGCGCCGGTTCATTCCTTGGCGGGCGACAGTGGGCCTTGCATCTCCGGGGCACGCACGCGTCGAATGTTTGCACGGCGGGCAGAGCGGGCGGAGTGAGGGCGCTGGCAGGGGAGGACACGGTCGACTCCTCTCCTCGCAAGTACGCCCGCTCACCTCCTGAAGCACACGGCGTCGACGAAGAGGAGTTTTCCATTCGCATGGCGACCCAAATTTACGGTTGGACCCGAGCACTTTCCGGGGAAGGAGCCCTTCGCGCTTCCTCGAGTCGATCTCCTTTTCCTCGTCGCTTGCTCGCTCTCTCTTCTCTCCCTCCTTCGTGCGCTTAGTGGTTACCCTGGTCTGTGCTGTTTCGACTCTCTGTGCCCTGCTACACCCACCGCCAGCCCCAGCTCGCCAGTCTCGCCAGCCCTCGACTTCTTCAACCTCCCGGACTTTCCGCTCAACCCCTTCGCCCGCGCCAGCATGCTCCTCCCTCTCCTCGCGCTCGCTGCAGCGCCAATCACCCTTGCATCGCCACTGTACGCTCGCCAGACTGGAGGTGCGTACTCCAAGCTTTCGCGACTTGCGCTTCGTCCCATGGTTAACCTCGGCCGAACGCGCGTGTTTGTTGGGCGACGACAGCGTACCCTCCCGCACTGCAGAAGGGTCCTACACCGAGTTCGTTTACGACTACTTCCCACGAAACACAGCGTAGCTGACCACTTCGACCCGCTGCAGAGCAAGAATGGGTCGCAACTTACAACGCTGCCAAAGCTGCCGGCAAGATCCCCTCGTTCCCTGCTGCAACGCTTGTCGGCGGTAACCCGACGTATCCGAGCGGTACCAACACGGGCGAGAACGGCGTCTGCTCGTGGACGGGTGCGCTTCGACTCCTCTGCTTTCTGAAGCTGGAGTAGGCATGCTGACGCTTTCTCGGCACAGTCTCGCACTGCTTTGGCGACAACGACATCTCTGATGCGCCCGACGGCATGTACGCCATCGCCTTTGACGACGGCGTGAGTCCGTCACCCTCTCTCGCGTCGACCCGAGCTGACCTTCTCCTCCTCAGCCCCTCCCTTCGTCCGTCAATCTCTACAACTTCCTCAAGCAGCAGAACCAGACTGCGACGCACTTCCTCATCGGCACCAACATCGTCAACAATCCGGACGTCTTCAAGCTCGCGCTTTCGATCGGCGGACACCTCGCCGTGCACACCTGGAGTCATCCTTACGTGCGTCCGTTCCCTCGCACACTTCGGCACGTGCGCTAATAGCTGTACGTGCAGATGTCGACGCTGACGGACATGCAAGTCCTCGGCGAGCTCGGCTGGACGGCCCAAGCGATCTACGACCAGTCTGGCGGCCTCGTCCCGAAGTACTGGCGCCCTCCCTACGGCGACACGGACGACCGCCTCCGGGCGATCGCAGAGGAAGTCTTCGGCCTCACGCTCGTCGCTTGGAACCGCGATTCGAACGACTGGTGCCTCAACTCTGGTCCCGGAGCTTGCCGGAGTTACGGACCCCAGAGTCAAGCGGATCTGGAGAGCGAGTTGAAGGGCTGGATGGCGGGGAGTAAGAGTCCTGGACCTTGCGGGCTCGAGCATGAGAGGGGGCCGGAGACGGTCGGCGCGTTCATCAACACCTACCCGGGCATCAAGCAGCACGGATGGGACGCTCGGTGCGTTCCCTCTCGCCTCTCTCGCGGGTCTCCTCTCAATGACAGGCAGCTATCTCCCACAGCTGCATCCCGGATCTCTTCGACGCCGACTGGTACCAGAACGCCGCGCGCAACGGCACTCCCGTCCCCGTCCCCGCCGCCAGCGCCATCGGCCACGGTCCCGTCTCGCTCGTCGTCTCCGCCTCGTCGTCAAGCGTCGCACTCAACTCGACTTCGGCTGCGTCAACCGCCACCGCGCCCGTCACTACCTCGCGCTTGTCGACCGCCTCCGCCGTAATCTCCTCGACTTCTCCCTCTGCCGCCGCTCAGTCCGCCAAGTCCAAGGCAACCTCTGCCGCTCCGGCCGGCGCTTTGATCGGCAGCAGCGTCGCCCTCATCGCCGTCGTATGCGGCGCAACCCTTCTTGCTTGAGAAGGTCGCCTCACTCTCGTTTCCCTTCCTCGTCTTCCTGGATCCTCTACACCATCGCGGCATGTATAGACACCCTAACTATGCACATATCAGAGTCCCTCAACGCACGTCTCACTCTCTTCAGCATCCGGATAGACACTAATCTTCCCTCGTTCCCTCGCTCGCTCGTTCCTCTCCCTCATCACGAACTCTCTGGTTGTCGTAGCATTGCATAGACACTGTGAACACGCATGTTTGACGATCTATACGCCTCTCGAGTCGCGACGAGTCCAGCTTGCGCACCGCTTCGAACGAGGGGCGAGGAAACAAGACGACAGCCAGCTGCGCCCATTCCACTTCCGATACACTCAAAACGCGTCCTCCTCCGCTTTCCAACTCCGTTCCGCCCTCCTAGCCCTCCTTGTCGCCCTATCAAACTCCTCCGACGCCTCGTGCGCATCCCTCGCCTCGTCTCTCCGCGCATTACGGCCTTCTCCTCCCGCAGCCCACGCAGCGCGGAAATGGTTTCCTCGATGTCTCCACGTGAACTGCTCGTGCATCAATCAGCGAGGAAAGGGAGGAAGAAGGGGAGAGGAGGACCGACTTTGATTAAGGCTGTTGTGGCGCCCATGGCAGCTGCTACGGGTACACTGGGGAAGACGAGCGCTCCGACCCACGGTAGTGCTGTGCCGATCACTGTGCCCGCGAGCGCCGCACTCCCAGCTGCTATCAGGGTGTATTTCTGCTCGAACATGCGGAAGTCAGCTCGACGAAAGCGACGCCGCGAGAGGCTCGGGACGCACCGCATACCGCAACAACCGCCAAAACACAAACTTCAGCACGTATCTGAACGTTTTGAGCGACGAGCGGGTAACGAGCGATTTCGGCGCAGGCGAGTTCTTGGGATTGGCGAGGTAGGCGAGATGTGAGCGGGTCGTGGATAGTCGAGACGAGTGTTGGGAGTCTGCTGGCGCAGCGGCAGGGGCTGGGGAGGACATGCTGGCGAGATAGAAGGTTGTGACGTCTCGAGTGCTGATGAAGATGGGGAGGAGGGAGACGTTGGCTGGAAAGGTTGCAAGCTTCGTGATTGCGTTCAGACAGGTTTCGGTGACAGTAAAAGCAAGCAAGCAGCCCAAGTTAGCGACTTCGAGTGCGAGGAGCAGGGCGAACCGCCGCGGTCGCAGGTTCGCCTCGTCCACCAACCACGCAACACTCGCCATGAAGCGCGGACGAGACCCACACGATGATCCGCGCTCCGGACCCTCGAAAAATCAATTACGCGGCCTGACCTTCACAGCTCAGCAACCCGCCTTCCTTCGCAATGCCATGGCAGCTCTCTCTGGCCAGCCGTCCTCCGCACCGGGCACGAATGGGCGCCCTGCGATCCCTACTCGACCAGAGGGGATGGAGGATGAGCCAGAGTCGGATCCAGACGAGTGGGATCTGGGAAGAGGAGAGGAGGCGCCGACTGTTGTGGTGCTGAAGGAGGGGAAACACATTGACCAGTGCGAGGTGGACCGATTACGGGCTCAAGGTGCGCTTGCGAGTCCCTTCTCAGTGTCTGGAAGCTGACCTGTCTCGCTCGCAGCCAAAGACAACGATTCAGGCGACCCCTTCGCTTCCTCGACCGCAACCGACTCTTCCTCCAAAGCCAAGGGCTCTCTTTCCTTCTCTTCCGGCTCAGGAGCGAAATCAAAATCTGTGCGAGGGGGTGGCGGGACAGGCGACTGGTCGGATGTGGTGAAGCAGTCGAAGGGGGACAGCGAAGTCAAATCGTCAAAGGGCGAAGCGGCGAAGGAGTCGGCGGGCAAGACGGCTGCGCCTGCACGAACGGCGGAAGAGGTAGTGAAGGACAAAGAGAAAGAGGCGAAGCGAAAGGCGAAGGAGAAGAAGGCGGCGAAGAAGAAGATCGCGATGCTGTCCTTCAACGAGGAGTGAGACAACTCGGACTGTTGTACTGGAGTCAGCGGACAGACGCAGGCTGTTGTAACTCGTATCAACCACATCCGCTCTCACGCGACGCGCAAGGAGGACGAGGAGAAACGATTCTACTGCTGGTATTGCTCAGGGTCGCAAAAGCGCGAGAGGGGGGGATGGAGCGAGAAGGAAGGATATCTACGCGAGAGTGAGCCTCTCGGAGAGGCCAACAGATATGAGCTAGGTACAGGGGAATCTTGGGTGAGTTAACGACCGTGAAAGGCCGTTCTAAGCGGTCGCCTCAGTCTTGCCGTTGATCTGCTCCGGTTCTTGCGAGAGCGGCGACGAGCCGACCTTGTCGCCGTTCCCGTTCCCGTTCCCGTTCGCAGCGCCATCCGTCTTCATCGAGTCCCACTTGGCCTTGGTGTCGTCAACCATCTGCTTCCAGTCAGGCGGAACAGCGACGAACGACCCGCGCGACCCATGACGAGGGTGGTCAGGCGGGTGCGCATCAATCGTGATATGGATCGTGCCGTCCTTGTTGCGACGCGCATGGACACAGTCGAGCGAAGGGACGATGTAGTGCGCGCCCTGGGAATTGATCTTCTCGACCGGGTGACTGGTGCAAATGGCGATCGTCCGTGCGCCCGAAGCGACACCGGCTTTGATACCCGACGGAGAATCCTCGAAGACGAGGCATTTTTCGATGGGGATGCCGAGGTCTTTCGCGGCGAGGAGGAACGGGGCGGGGTCGGGCTTGCCGGCGGTCAGGCGGGGGTCGTCGGCGGTGACGGTCACCTTGGGACGCTTGATGCCCGCGCGAGCGAGGGCGCCGTGGCAGTCTGCGCGGAGCAGAAATGATCAATCGTGGCCGGGAGAAAGGCGAGCGAAAGGGGACGAACAGGTCTTCGCGCCCGAAGTAGCGACGGCGAAACGACCAGCCGGAAGCGACTCAATGAGGCGGCGGACGCCGGGAAGAATGCGGACGCTCTTGTTGGTGCAGCTGCGGGAGGATAGTAGCGGTTAGCATGCAAGTCTCCCATCGTTTCGGGCTTCTCGAGTACGTCTGGAGGAGAAGAGCGCACCCAATCTCCTCCTCGGTGTACTCTGTGACACCGAAAGGAAAAGACAAGGCAGAAGTCAGCAACAGGAAAGCAGACCAAGCCAAAGCCTCCTCGCACGAACGCACCATTCAGATCAAACTCGTTGTCCTCCTCGTCCTCCTCATCGCTATCCGCAAACGGATCCGCATCGAGCTGGGCCATCCTGTCGTCGTTCGGGTCGAGTTTCGCCAACTTCTGATTGACCGTATCCAGATCCGCATCCGTCTTGCCACTCTCCGGCGTCCCGCGTCCTCCCTCGCTCGTCGCCGCGCCAGTGGAGATCTTGCTCAAGGAGAACTGTCCGCCCGCCAATCCCGACAAGAGGGGGTTCGGACCGGACGAGCTGGATCCGCGACGGGAAGGGCGGCGGGAAGACTGGTTCGAGTTGCGCCGGGAGGAGCTTTCGGAACTGCGGCGCGAGCGGACACGTTCGGTGAACTCGTCTGCTTCTTTGAGGATGCGCTTCTCGAACTGCACGTCGAGCACTCTCAACGCATCAGCTCTCAAACTCCCCTTCACCAAGAACCGAAACAGGGGACGCACCTCCTCGACATGCGGCTCCATCTGCTCGTTCGTCAAGCGCCGCAGCTTGGGCTTGAGGTCGCGGAGGTTGTCGATCGCGCGCCGGCCGTGCGTCGCGGCGATGACCTCTTCGGGGTCCTGACCGATTTCTTGCGCGACGCCGGCCCAGGCGGCTTCGACTGTGCGAGCGAGACTCGTGTTAGTAGCTGGAAGATGGGACTGAAGTCTGCAGGAAGCGGGAACGAACCAGCCTGCGAACGAGCGAACAGACGGTGGTCAGCCTTTTGTGAAGTCGACGAGAGACAGACTCGTCAGCGCACCTTGATCGAGTCGACGAGGGTGCCGTCCATGTCAAAGAGGATGCCCTCGACGTCGAACTCGGCGTGCTCGACGGGATGGGTAGGGGAGAAGGACATCTCGGCGGTCGACATCGTGCGAGTTCGAGGGGTGCGCAACTTCGTGTGGTGCGAGTAGGCGTGTCCTGTGAAGGCGTGTAAGGTCTGTGGCGAGAAAGAGAGAGAGCGCGATCGCGTGGGTCGTGGGGTGGAGAAGAACACCGATGAGCGTACGCAACGGGGTTCGAGCGGGAGAGTGTGCGCACCTGGTCTGGCGTCGCTGTCTGCGCTGGCCCAGTCTGTAGCCCAGTCCAGCCGTGTGTGCGAGTGAGTGGGAGCAGGAAAAGAGAGAGCACAGCGCGGGTTCGGCCACCTCCTGCCCCGAATCGAGCGACGACCACCCCCGCACAAACTGACGCACTCGTTCAGTCCATTCCCCAGAGACGGTGAAGTGGTTGCACGTCTCGCAGACCTTTGTGTGGCCCTGCTCGTCCGCTGCATCCACGACCTCGACGACGCCCGCCAGCGCCAGCGCGAGCGACCAGCTGTTCCTCGAGGTGGAGCCCGAGTTGGGGGTGTCGCACCGTGCTGGTTCCGAGAACATGGGCCGACTTGGCTCGACGCTGGATGCATGCAAACGCGGACAGCCGCGCACACCTTCGATCAAGTCCGACTGAGCGCCTCGTCGTCGTCGTGAGCGAGCGAGGAGAGGGAAGCGGTCGAGGCTGTCCACCTCACACCAACGCGCTCGCTGGACGGGCAGACGACGCCGAGAGCTGCGCAGATACAGTGTGAGTACTGCCACGTCGACAGCCTGTCCCGCTCGTGCACTGACGCTCGCCTGGCCTTGTTCGCAGTCGACGGACGCGACTCGAACACCCTCACAGCGTGAGACGGCTTGCGGGCCGGCCGGCGTGCGTACAGGCTCGTATCAAAGCCATCCAGAGTGCTGCTAACCTCGTACGACGCCCACAGACCCGACTTCCACCTCCCTCGCCTGCACCGCCTCCAAACCTCATCACTTCGCCTCACTCGCACCCTCCAGCGCCCGCCAGGCCTTTCGACGCCATCCAGTACCCCAAGGATGGCCCGCTCGCGCCTCACGACCCCCTCCAAGCTCAACCTCTCGTCCCTCCCGTCTCCCAACTCGCACGGCCCCCGCTTCCCCGTCTTCGTCCTCCCCTCGATACCGCCAAAGACGCTCGTGTCGCCTGTCAGGCCGAGGAGTCTGAGTGGTGGGGGCGGAGTGGTGCTGGGTCGTCTGCCGAGGCTGGAGCAGTAGCGAGGGGTGATCGTCTTCGGGTTGCAACGCGCTGGTCGCTTTGCTTCCGTCACTCGCGCTCGCTGCCCAAGATGCTTGTTGAGTGGTCCGCAAACGTCGGCTCGCTGCAAATGTACAGTACTTACTCCGGTAAATGGCAGGCCTCGCCGCGATCCCTCGTTCTCCCCGCCCTCGTCCCAGGCAAGTGGACAGTCAGTCTGAATTTCGACACCGCGCGCCTGGCGCTTGAGTGGGACGCGGACGGGGCGTATAAAGCTTTGAAGGCTGGCGGGGGTACGATCGAGGCCAAGGCTGGCGGCGTGTCGGTGTGGAAAGTGGACGTTCCGGCAGGCACCTTTCCCCCGTCGCACGGCGGCGTGTACAGGGGCGGCTGCGTCAGCCAAAAGGGATCAGGCCGTGACATTCTCTATTACCCTGCACCATCCGGCCGACTCGCCCTGGGATCTTCCGAAGCTGGTCGAGCAGACCGCCTGTACGTCGTTCTGCTGGCCTCTCGCGCTCGCTGCAGCGACTGACTTTCCTTGATGACAGCCTCTCTCACCAGCCTCTCACCAAACAACGTCCGCCTGTTCTTTCCGCGAAGCGGACGGTCGCTCTACGCCAACGAGACGTTCCTCTCGAATGCGTCGCCCTACTTCAAGACGCTCTTTGAGGCCGGCTTCTCCAAGGATGACAAGGCGGCGGCAGACCGAACTTCGACCGCCGAAACCCTCCCGCCTTACACCTTTGACGACTCGGACGACGAGACGGACGGTTTCCTTGACAAGCCAACCTCGTCCAGCGAGCCGTCATCCATCCCCTGCAAGACGATCAAGATCATCGACACGGCATACTCGACCTACTTTGCCGTCCTCGTCTGGCTCGTCACGGGGAAGATCTCCTTCGCACCCTCCCGCTCGTCCCGCACGATGCCGCCTCCTCGACCCTCCAGCGCCGCCTCAACTCGCTCAATGGCGATCAAAACCGCCATCGATGCGCAGACGGTTCCGGTCCCTCCTCCCGTCTCGGCCAAATCAGTCTACCGCCTCGCTCACCTCCTCAAACTCGACTCGCTCGCTTCCTTCGCCCTCTCGCAGATCCGCTCGCAACTCACGATCGAAAATGTCGCCTACACGTTGTACAGCGACATCGCTTCTGCCTATCCGGAGGTACAGAGCGCAGCGCTGGACTTTGCGGTGGAGAAGTGGGAGAAGGTTGTGGGTGCTGAGGCGACGAACGAGATGGAGCGCTTGGCCGAGGGAGGAGAGGCGGATTCGGCGATGGCTGCGACGGCGATGAAGCTTGCGAAGAGGCTGGCGGGGAGGATCAAGTAGCTCTCACGTTGCGAGAAACGAAGAATGCCAAGTTTCGACACAGATCACTGCAGGGGGCTGCACCATGTACCACAACCCGAGAGATAAGGGGGGACGAGGGCCAGATAATTAGGTAATACGACAGGCGAACGATTGAGGGTGGGGTGGCAGACGCTCTACATCTGGACGGAGAACCTGCGGCGGATGGATGGGCCGAAGAACTGGAGCGGGATGACGATGACGATGAAGAGAGCAGCGCCGACGCCTGCCTCCATTCCGAATACACGCTTGGGGCCGCCAGTGAAGGACCAGGGGACTTGGTAGTAGGGGATGGCGAAGCCTCCGAGCGTGCGCGCGAGGTTGATGAGCGCCGAGACTTCGCCCTGGCGTGTCGGGAAGCAGTTGTTCAGGTAGGCGTAGGTCGCGACGGTGAGGATGAGGATGCCGAACTCGGCCATGCCCCAGCCGAAGATAACGGCCGCGATGGAGAGCTTGTTCTGGAAGGCGACGCCGAGGAGGCAGAAGCCGACGATGTCTGCGAGGGCGGAAGTGTAAGGGTGCTGTATAGACATCCCAAGCACGAGGAAACGAACGCACAGAAGGGCATAGCGAAGTAGATGGTGTAGAGACGCATCTCGGCGAGGAAGACACCCGAGTTCTTCTTGATGAGGCGGTCGGCGATCTGTTTGTGGGTGCAGCATTGCGTCAGTACTCGCGCTAGACACATGCACGCTCGAGGACAAGCAGAAGAGGCGAATAGGAAAGGAGACTCACGCCGTCGTTAAGGTAGCGACCGGCGAGCTCTCCGAGAATGACGGCGACGATCGGGGTGGCGTAGAGGGAAGCGGTGGCGTAGGGAGAGTAGCCGTAGCCGAGAGGAGGGGGCGAGCCGCTGCAGAACGACGTGGGTCAGCGTGAAATCCCGCTGAGGGAGGAGCAGGCGCACTCACATGAAGACGGCCTGGGTGACGTTGATGCCAATACCGCAGCCAAAGAGGAAGCCAACGACTGCATGAAGAGGGGTCAGCAACCACGCGTAAGAGAGGAAGCAGAAGGAAGCGGCTCACAAACGAGCATGAGGAAGACGTGAGGGCGCCAGACGATGTCAAAGACGCTCGAGATCGACTCCCACCAGGTGCAGCGGTACTTGCGCATCTTCCAGCCGGTGATGCCGATGAGGGTGTCGATGCGGTACTTGAGGCCGGTCGCGTGGCGCTCGGGGAAGGGAACGACGTCGCGGTCGTACATCGTCTCCTCCATGACGAAGCTGATGAGGAGGACGACGATGGCGCAGTAGGCGACACCGACCCAGTAGACGTCGCGGAAGTTGGTCGTGGGGATCATGTAGCCGAGGAGGAAGGGGCTGTGAGGATCGAACGGTTAGCGGCCTGGGATCGCCTGGGACGGCTCGGACGTCACGAACCTGATGAAGGGCGACACAATGAAACCCATCGTCCACTGCGGACCAGGCAAGACGATGAAATCTCAGCGAAACGCTCTGAAGAAGCTGGAAGATCAGAGAGACCCACAAGATTGAGCTTCCGCGCTTGCAGGTGGAAGGGGAAGAGGTCACAGACAGTCCACAGTCTGCAGAGCAACTACGTTAGCAATCAGTTGCGCATTGAGCCCGAGGAAATCGCATACCCAACGCATTGAGGAGCGGTGGAAAAGAAGGCCGTCAAACAACGCATGGCGGCGAACGTCTTGAGGTCAGGCGAGACGGCACAGCCAATAAGGAATCCGAGACCGATGACTTGAGACCAGAAGAGGACGGGGAGACGACCGAAACGCTTGATGAAGAAGACGGCGGCGATACCACCGGGACCGAGGAGGAAGATGGACCAGTTGGACGTCAGGTTGTTGATCTCCTCCGTCGTGGTCTTGAACGTTTCGGCGAGGTTGAAGAGCGAGGCGATACCGAGACCGGAGCAGAAGTCGGGGACGAAGGAAGCCATGGTGAGGACGAGGAGCTGGATGTTCTTCTTGACGGGACTCCAGTTCTGCGGGTCGTTCGGGTCGTCCGAGGCTGCAAGAAATCGCAACGAAGTCAGTACACGGCGACTACATCGCAACAACGACGCTGCTCACGCTGAGGCCACAGGATCTTGGTTCCTTTCCGGTTCGTCTTGAGCCTGCTAGCGACCTCCTCGCCGTACTCGACGCGGGCCTCGGCGGGGTCGACGACGAGACGACCAGCCTCGGGCTTGAAGCCGTGAGCCTCCTGGACGGCGGCGAGGTTGGCCGAGTATCCCTGGGTGTGCTGAGCATAGTGCTCGATGTGGTCGGCAGTCGGGGTCGGCTTCTGCTGCTGCTGCTGCTGGTGAAGGGGAACGCCCTTCTCAGCGTCGAGCGAGCTGGTCGAGTGGGTGTCGGCCTTTTCAGCCATCCTCGGCGTGGAAGAAAGGTGGACGAGTGTTTATCCGAGCGAGGCGGGCGCTGTCGACGTGCGCAGGCTGTGGCGGGTAGGCAAGCTGGTAGGGTAGCGCACGAGCAAGTCAAGGAGGAGAACGAGCGAGCGTGCGGAGTCCCAGGGAGGAGAGAGGGAGAGATAGAGAGGGGAGCCGGAAAAGGTGCAGCGGGCCCCCCATGCCTGGGCAGGGACTCGCCTCGCGCGCTCGTGGCGTCCGAACTGCGATGTCTCGAGAACCCAGAAATAGCGCGCGTACGATCGACAAACGGCGGAGGCGGAGAGAAAGCAGGCTCGTGAGCTCAGAGCCAGCCAGCAGCGTCCTCCTTCGAGCTCGTGCGCACAGCAAGCAGCCTTCTGCGTCCACCCGTGTCGGTCCTCCCCCCTCCCACCTCCTCGAGCGAGCGCAGGATGCTCGATGGCTGGTGTTCCTCGACTCCGCCCGGCCATCTCGGACACGCTGCGGGCCAGCAGCACCGGACAGATGCGAGCAATCGAGCCAATCAGCACAGCAGCGGTCGGTTCGACGGTTGAAGCGCTTCGCGGCCCGAGGTTGGGGAGAAGTGCCGGACGAGGAAGGGCAAAGGCGGACCGCGGCTGCGATGGCGGAGCGCTTGTTCCGTACCGCGGTACGCGGCGTTCTCGCCAATGCACGCAGCGAGGCTCGACCAGCAGGAAGCGGGCCGAGAAGCAGCGACTGTCGAAGTGGAGGGCTGTCAAATCGCCTCTCCTCGTCTTTGCAAGAGAAGAGTCTCGCTCGCGATGCATCTGTTCGCTCCGCGACAGACGTGTGCTGCTGGCTCTGGACCCGTTGCATTCGCAGGACGCTGGGAGATAATGGAATCAGTACCGCCTGCCACCACCGTATCCGCCTGGTCCGCCTCCTCCTGAGAACGCAGGAAGGGTCAGCAAGCTCGTGGAGAGGCAGACACAGAGCTGAACGCACCTCCTCCTCCTCCGTATGCCGGTCGCTGAGGCTTCGGTCGCGGCGGGATGCCCAACCGTTCTCCGGGCAGACCAGGTCCGGGCGCGCTCCCAGGCAAGATGGTCGTGCCGATGATGTCCATGATGCTGGCGGGATTGAGGTGCGGCCCATTGAAGCTCGACGCGGGCGGGAGGAGCGAGAGGAAGAAGACGACCGCGTCGGGGAGGATGGCGACGTCGTTTCCGCGCGGGTCGAGCATGTATGGCTGAGCGCGGTTGAGTGCCGGGGCTGCTTCGCGCGCACTGCGACGGTGGTCTTCCGAGCCGTGAGGGCGCCAGCCTGAGCCACCTCCGCCACTCGAGGACGGAGCAGGCGAAGGCGAGATCCCCCGTCGCGCACGCTTCGCATCGCCGCCATCCTGGTCCTGCCCGTCTGTGCCGTCGCGGTCGACAGAGAGACCGCGCTTGTGTCGGCTTCGCTGCGGAGAGGGCGAGCGCGCGCGGGTCTCGCGTTTGATCTGCCTGACGAAAGAAGGTCCGAGGTCGAGCGCGAACGCATCCTCGAGGCCTGCAGACTGGTGTTGCTGGGCGAAGCGGAGAGTTGCAGCGGCTGCAAAAGCGAGGAGGATCAGCTGGGCGGAACGGAAGACGAGATGGAAGCAACGCACTATCGGGAAACGTCTCCGCATAGCGCTGCGCCATCTTCTGCGCCGCGAGGTAATCACCGTACTGGTACTCGTACTGCGCCATCCGATCCCAAATCGGCTTCGCCTTTGCCGGCTCGATGATGGCGATCGTCCGCTCGAAGAGAGCACGGGCGTCTACAAGCAAGGTGAGTCAGCGAGAGCGTCGTATCTGTACCGTGAAGACGACGCACTGTTGCTGTTGTTTTGCGAAATAAGGAAGTCGAGGTACCGCAGGACGTATTCGGGCTCTTTGGCGAAGCTCTTCAAGCCGAGCTCGAAGACGTTCGTGGCAACCTTCGGCTCGCTGTTCCAGTACATCTCCATGGCGGCTGCGGGACACACGAGTCAGTTCGCGAGCCTGCGAAGGCGACGATGGCGGCTCACCAGATGCCTCGACGACCTGCCAGGTGAGGTTGGGCGATTTCTTCGCCTTGAGGAAGACCTGCCGCGCTTGTCGCAAACCCTGCAAGACGGGCCAAGTCAGCCAACCAGAAAAGGAGACTCGTACGTGCGGACGTACATCTGACCGCCTCGCAAACCGCATCTCGGTGATCCACACATTCGCGACCGCCTTCTTAACCGTCTCGATCTCGGGCGCCTTCCGCTCCCGAATCTCCTTCTCCAATTCCTCCATCTCCTGACTCCGCTTCTCCCTCGCCTCGACCGACTCAGCCTCCTCCTCCCGCCCGTCTTCCTGCGCAGCCTTGATCTGCGCGAGGTGCTCGACCTCCTTGTCGGCGACCGCAGAGGCGATCTCCGCTTCGACGTCCGCCTCGAGCGACGAGATGCGCGTGTTGAGGCGCTCGATGAGCGAGTCGTAGATTCCATAGCAGGCGGTGAAGTCGGATCGGCCTTCCTCGATGTCGGCGAGCGTGTAGGCGAGAAGGAGGCTGTGCGGATGAAGGTAAGCAGCTGCGAGAGTCAGCATGCGGGGAGGGTTCGCACCTTCCAGCATTCGCCGTCAACCCGTCGCGAAGTTGCTTGCGAGCATCGTCGACCCGTCCGCTCTTCAGATTGTAACTCGCCGCCAGGTACCTGCAGGAAGATCGCCATCAGCGCTTGCGACGGCAGACGCTGAGATCGACGACGCACCAAACCTCGGGATAGAAGCGCAAGTTGGCGATCGCCTTGCGGTACGCAAAAGCAACCCGCTGCGCCAACTGGCCCTGGTCCTCGATCTCGAGCGGGTTCGTCTCCTCGTACGCGAGGTAAGCCTTCCACCCATCGAGCGCATCGCGGTCTTCGGCGGATGTCCAGCTTGGTCGGTGAGGGAGGACGGGCGTGTAGAGGTGGTCGTGTTGCGCGCGGAGTTCGCGGAGGGTCTTGCGGGCGGTCATGTAAGCGGGCGAGAGCTCGGCAATGAACTTCTTGGCCTGCGCGCGACAAGGCGTCAGCTCAAAGACCCTCAGAAGAGGCGAGGGCGGCGGAACGAACCGTCATCTTGCTGAGGTTATTCTCGAACGCGTTGTAATCCTGCCAGATCGCCTCGACGTTGTTGACGGGCGCCTGCAAGGCGCGCTGGAACGCCTTGCGCAGCGAATCCATCTTTTGCTGATCCTCCCAGTTGCCCCGCGTCTGTACGAGCGAGACCGTCAGCTCAAGATGCGAGCGTTCGGCGGCGGCGGGGCAGTCGAACGTACCGGCGCCTCTCGCAAGAATGCGATGTACTCAGACCAGATCTCGCCTGCCCTCCTGTCGTGCCCGACATGCGACAACGCGAACTCGAATGCCGCGCCAATGACCGCCCGCGCCGTCTTTGCCGCATCGATGTTGGCCGGGTCAATCGGGTTGACGCGGCGGATGTAGTCGAGGTAGAACCGCCAGAGGTCGACCGAGGTCGAGTTGAGACAGCAGCGGCCGAAGATGGCTTCGACGCGCTCGAAAAGGTTGTGCGAGAGCTCGAGGTTGCAGTAGGCGATCCATTGCTGGGCCTACGAAGGACGATGCGTACACAACCGAGGCCCTCCGTCAGCGCTGTTCACACACTCTCAGTCTCGAAGTCGCCAGGGAGTGGAATGGGGAGCGAGGGGGGCGGGACGAAGCCGCGAGAAAGCGGCACGACCACAAAGGCAGAACTCACGGCATCGGGGAAGACACTCAAGAACCTCTCGTACACCTCGCGCGTCCTCTCCAAGTCTCCCTTCTGCTCGGCATCCTGCAGCAGCGCGAGCTGAGCCTCTCCATCGAGCGGGTCCTTCTCGACTCGCGCCGTCAACTGGGCAACCCGAGAGAGCGAACTCGTCGCGGCACCCTTTCCCTTCGTGTCCGCCGACGCAGCGTTCGAAGATGCAGGAGGGGCAGACGAGGACTCGTCAGCTGCCGCAGCGCTCGTCGCTGGAGCGGCAGGCGGAGGAGTCGCAACAGCTCCGGGGATGTCTCCCTGAGACGCAGCGGCCGTGTACAGGGTCGGGGTGCTCGCCTCGTCTCTCCTGATGGTCTCGGCGACCGCTGCGGCAGTCGATTGCAAGCCGTTACTCGCAGTCTGTCGGTCGTCAGTCTCCATTGCGAGGGTAGCTGCGATCGCTGCGTCCATGTCCTGCGAAGTCGCGCGGTCCTCGTCGACAGACGCCGACTGACCTTCGGCTGCCGGTGTCGCCGTCGCGCTGTCGGGTCGGATGGTTTCTTGCTGAGGTGCGGGAGAAGTGGTCGCCTGAGGGAGGGAGAGAGGGGTGGTCTCGGCAGAGGTGGCGGCGGCTTCTGCGGTCGGTTCCGCTGGTGCTGCAGTGATCTCTGCGGTTTGTTCGGCGGGTGCAGCACTCGTCTCTGCCTGCGCTGGTCCTGTTTGAGGCTGGGGAGTCGCGGGAGATGAGGCGGTCGCCTGCGCGTTCTGCTGCATGCGGGCGCGGCGCGGGTCGACAGTCTGCATCGATGGGTCCGACATTGTGCTCTGCAAGCCCTTCGAGCACCACCCAAGCGAGTCTGAGCAGCGGGTGCGAGTGGTCCTGGTCCAGGGGAAGACACGATCCTCGCTCTCGCTCACCACGCTCTCTGCTCGCTCGGATGGACGACTTGTTCGGCACGCAGGACTCGCAGCACACCGCTGACCCGGCCAGCGACTTCCTCGCACGCGAACGCGAGCTGCTCGGCGCAGACGCTGGCCAGTTCGCTCACCCCACCGACTCGACCTCGCTCGACAAGGACTACGAACAGTCGGCTGCGGCGTTCCCTGACCTCGACGACGCGGGAGACGACGCGCTCGGCAGCTTCACGGGCGCACCCGTCCAGGCGAGTGGTGGAGCGCCCGCTCAGGTCGGGCACCAGGTGTCGGTGACGGGAGACAACGAGTTCGCGGCGTTCGAGCAGGAGTACCCCGAGATCGAGCTGCCCAGCGAACAGGTGCGTCACTGCGCTCCAGCTTGCGATTCGTCCGGGCGTCGTAGGCTGACTATCCCCTCGTCCCCTCTTTCGGCCCCTCCTCTTCGACCCTTTGTCCGGCGTGTTCATGCTCCAGCCTCACGAAAATGGCATGAACGGCATCCCCCCAGCACCCTCTCCTATCGGCCTTGCCGCTCCCGCTTTCAACCAGTCTGCATCCGCAACTCCCGCTCCTCAGGACGAGGGCGAGAGCGAGTTCATCAAGTCAGTTCCGTCCATTCAGCCGGCATGCTTGCTCTCTCTACAGGAGCAGCGTGTTGTCGACTTTGCTCACCGTAGCTGACTCCTTCCCCCGCGCAGGTCATGGCGAGAGAAGCAGGCGCAGGAGATCGCGAAGCGGGAAGAAGAGGCGGCGCAGAAGAAGGAGGAGACGATCGCAAAGGCGCGCAACGCCATCGACAACTTCTACAAGGAGTACAACGCGAAGAAGGAGAAGGCAATCGCGCAGAACAAGTGCGTCTCGCGCATTCTCTGCCTGCGCAGCGTGCTGACGGGCTGGTGTCTCGCAGGGAGGACGAGGAGAAGTTCAAGACTGAGCTGTCCGACTCGCTCGCCAAGGGCACGACGTGGGAGCGCATCTGCACACTGATCGACCTCCAGGACTCGCGCTCGAAGACGACGACCAAGAGCAAGCAGGACTTGACTCGCTTCAAGGAGTTGTTGCTCAGCGTGCGTCCCAAGTTCTGACTTGCTGCAACGCTGGAGCTGACGTCGCCACGAACAGCTGAGGCGCGAGGGCGAGACAGCACCGGGTGCAGCAGGCTACTAGAGGCGGTCGCAAGAGCTGTACGGACGATACCACACTCTCTCTCTTTCTGTAACGCTGTCTACTGTCTTTACTCGTCGGAGTGCCGCTTCATCGATGCGAATAGATATGCAGGAGGATGCGGAGAATGCTACACTGACTAGGAGATACACCACGACTTGGCACAGAACGGCATATTCGATACAGCGAGGAGACGGGCATGCTCATCGACGTCCGGGCCTGCCGAACGCCTTCATTCCCGCCCTCAAGTCCTTCGCAACCCCGGGAACCCACTTGCCCTCCTTGATCGTCCGCAATTCCTTGAGGATCATGCCGAACGCATCGAGCGAGACGGGGTGTCGCGCCTCCTTTTCGAGCTCGAGCGTGCGGTTGTACTTGGTCACGCCAGCCGGCGCAGGAGTCGTCGACGCCGCCTCGAGCCACTGCTCATCCTCCTCGTCGATCGAGTACTGCATCTTGTGAGCGATTCTTTGGAGGTGCTGCTGCTTCCGCCGAACGTCGACAGGACTGATCGCCTGCAGACGGTCGATGAGCGAAGGTCCGACGCCGTTGATCATCTCCGTCTCGTCGACGAAGACCGTGTACTTGGTGAGGTCGTTGACCTCAGGCGACGAGGGCAAGAGCCTGCCGAAGCTCTTCTCGCGGAAGATGACGGGGATGCAGCCGAGCTGAATGGCCTCGTAAAATGCTCGGCGGGTCGGAGAGTCGCCAGCTGGCATTGGGCAGAACGTCGCGCTCGCCATGTGCTCGTGGAAGAGCGTGAGGTTCTGCGCGCCGTCGACCGACAGCTTGATGTCGTCGAAAAGGATCCGCGACGAGGCGTTGATCGGCGGCGAGTCGACGTAGGACTTGAACTCTTTGTGCAGGACGGCGCGGAGGGCAAAGCCGTTGAAGGGGTCGCTGGCGGGGAGACCCCAGGGGTGCGTAGCGGAGGCGGCGTAGTGGAGCCTGCGGAAGTGAGGGATCAGCTATCGCTACGAGGAACGAGACGAGGTCGGACGAACAGGTAAGGGCGCTCGGCGTCGAGGAAATAGTTGCCGACGTCTGTCTTCTGGCCGTCCGCAAGCTTCGACAGGTGGAAAGCCGTAGGATCTGCAGGATGGACTCGTCAGTTGCGGAAAGATAGTATGAGAAAGACGGCACGCACAAGGAACGTCAATCGTGTACTTCATGCCCTCTCGAACGTTCTTCGGTGCATTCTCGATTGAGACAAAGACGACGCTGTCCCGCAGCTCCTCCATAAGCTCGGTCGTGAAGACGCTCTCGAGGTTACTCCGGATGGTCGCGATCGGGAGGACGATGCGAGGGTAGTCGGTCTTGCCGACGCTTGCAGCGAGGTCGCGGACGTAATTCGTCGTCCGCTCAATCGCCTCCTTCAGCTCGGGCGCTTGGCAGCCCCACGGGTTCGACCACATTTGCGAGAGGAGCGGAAGGAAGATGAAGTCGGGCGCGGGAGTAGAGAGGAGAGACACCGTCTTGGCGTAGGTGGCGAACTTGGTCGTCAGGATGTCGTCGAGGGCGTACTGATCCGTGTTGGCCACCCAGTATGGGTAGTCGGACGGGACAGGGTGCGCAGGACCGAAGGCCGACTTGGTCGTCTCGCGATGAGGACGGGTTCCCCAGCCGCACACGCCGGCTGCCTTGACCATGAGGTTGTTGATCTGCCGCATGTCGGCGACGGCGACTGTCGGCTGGTGGTGCAGGTTGATGTGCTTCTCGTGCTTCTCCTTGACGATTTCCCAGGCGTTCGGGAGGGGGAACTGCCGGGACGGGAGGAGGGCCGCTGCGAACGTCGTGCCGAGCAGGAGGAGGAGGAGACCGTGCCATCTTCGCAAGAGGGGCTTCTTGTTTCCGTAGGCGTCCGTCTCGAAGAGTTGCCGAATGTCCTTCGGTGAGACTTCGAAGATGATGGTCGAGAGGACGACGGCAAGACCGCCGACGACCGAGGGAATGGAGAGCTGGAAGTTGAAGAGGATGACGGAGAGGAGAAAAGTGAAGACGATCGAGACGGAGAGCGCAAAGCCCTTGGCGACGTTGTCGGCGTACTTGATGGCGACTGCGATGCAGAGACCGCCGACCGTCTGGAGGAAGATGACGGTCCAGACGAGCGGCGTGAAGCCCTCGAGGAAGCCGCTGCCAGCCCTGACGACCGGGTCGTACCAGTGCTCGAGCGGGTCGAACAAGCCCTTGAAGTCGAGTGAGAGACCCCCGACGGCGTGGATGTGGACGTCGTTTGCCTGGAAGAAAACGACGAAGAGGCCGATCACCGCGCTGAAAAGGCTCAGCTGGATGTTGCGGACCCAGAGACTGGCGGGCTTGATCGTAGGCGGAGCGACGAGGAGCGCCTCTTCGACAGGCGGAACGACGGGTTTTCGCTTGAGGACCAGCTCAAAGTAGGTCGCGGCGAAGGCGCTCGAGAAGCAGGAGACGAGAACTGCCGTCACACCGGCGACGTAGTTCATCGACTCGGGACTCGCCATCGCCTGGTGTCCGTGTCCGTCCTTTGCGCGCGCCTGAATCGCTCCGAGCTGCATCGTCGCGACGCCAAGGCCGAGGGTGACGAGCGATACCCACTGCAAGGCGCCGAGGCGACGGCCGAGCATCAGGACGGCGCAAATTGCGGTGATGAGAGTTTTGAGCTGGAAGGTGATCTGGAAGACAGGGACGGAGAGGTTGCGAGCGGCGACGTAGCTGCGTGCAAGAGGGTCAGCCGCCTCTTCTAAGCGCAATGAGACGCTCAGACGCACATCAGGTTGTTCTGAACCGCAAAGAGCACCGCAGGAACCGCCATCTTCCACCAGTCTCCGCCGAAAATGTCCTCGAGGAGCATCCTCACGGCGCCTAACCGCCGTCTCCGCACCCACATCTTCGGGTCGTCCAGCAACCGCATGACTTGCGGATCAGGCTTGGCACTCACGCCCTCCATCGAGATCTTCTCCAGCTTCTCCGCGACCAAGCCCGAGATTGGCTTGGTTGGCCATTGAAAGTTGGCGAAGCTGGCGCGCTCGGGGAACTTGGCAGTGTTAGGCGAGAGCGGGCCGTTGTCGAAGGTGATGGCGAGGGAAGGAGGCCGAGTGACGGAAGAACGGCGACGAAGCTGGTTGCGAGAGCCCATGAGAGGTTCCCGTGCGCCGTCTCCTCGGGAGGTGTCGTAGGGGTCGTCTCGCCATAGCTCCTTCTCGTCCTTCGGCTCGTTTTGGATGTACAGTTCGGGCGAGGGGAGGTTATGCCGGGGAGCGAGGAGAGTTGCCCTTTCCTTCAGAGTGTCCCGGAGGGCGAGCAGGAGAGAGAAGACGAGCTTGCCGAGTTCTACAAGGCGCAAGGATCGTCGGCATAACCGTCGGGCAGAAAGAGCTTGAACTCGACGCACCGGTGAGGAGGACAGCACTCGCCGCCTTGTACTGAGCCTGACCCGGTTCGAGGTTCGCCTGCGAAACATGGAGTCTAGCGGACGACAAGAGCCTGTCAGTACACGCTCAGAAGTACAGGAGACGGAAGGAGAACGCACACAATAGCGAGGGCGGTCGACTGGAAGCAGACTGCCGCGAGCGACAAGGACCTTGGGGTGAGGATGGATCCGCTCATGGCGAGCGAGGGCTGCGGCCGTACAAGAGTGACGCAGGTGTACAGGACCAGCCAGTAGCAGCGCTAGCACAGCAGCGGAACGTGAGCGCGGGCACGATGAGGACAAGTGAGCAAGCAAGTCCAGAAGTCGCCCCGCCGAGCGAGGCGCTCGGGCGGGTGTGCGCAAGGCCCAGTGAGACCCCGTCAGGCCGTTTTGGCGTGTCTCGAAGCCGGAAGCGAAGCAATGGCGGGTTGCAAGGAGGGCGCCGGAGTCGGAAGGTGTCGTCGACCAGCCTCCTTGCGGCGTCGAGGGATCTGCAGAACAATGGGTCGTGGCTGGCCTAGCACAATGAACCGGAACCCAGAGTCCAGCCCCTGGAGCTTCTTCAGCGGCGGCGCCAGCGGAGTACGAGGAGGAGAAGCCGAGGGGAGAGCTCGAGGAGCGGATGGCGTCGTTCTGTCGCTGGACAGAGAGCGTGTTCCGCGCCGTCGAATAGCTTGCAGTACTCGCTAGAACCGATCAAACAAGCAGCAGACGAGGAAGCGAGACTTTGGAAGCATAAAATGCAATCCGCGAGAGCTACAAGGGCTGCTAGATAGGAAGGCAGGAGGATACACAGCGAGGAGGGAATCGAGAAGAGCCCGCCAGCGGGACTTGGTCGGCATATCTAGGGGCGAGCGGGAGTCGAGGGGTATATGGGGGCGAGGGCGATTAGGCGTGCTGAGAGCAGGCGAGGCACGTTCCGCCGACGCAAATGCCCTTGCCAGGGATGCTGCAAGCGTAGACGAATCTGTCAGGACCAGGCAGCGTGCGAGGATGCGGATCGCTAAGACGCACCAGAACTGGGTGTTCGCTCCGCCCTGGTCGCAAGACTGGCCGTTCTGGACGCGGACGGCGCCGGTAGGCGGTCTGCAGCGACTCTTGTAGCAGGTGTAGCCGAGCGCGGCGTTGCAGGGCGTGCTGGCGTCGCAGTACGCCTCGGTCGTGTCGATCGTGCAGACGGCTTGGCAGGCGTTGTCAGAGCAGGTGAGACCGGTTTGGCTGGTGGGAGGACACGGTCAGCCTGATAGTCGTGAAGCGCAGTATAGAGGATCGGCGCACCAGCAAACACCTGCGTTCGGATCACAGAACGCTGCGAGTCCTGCACTCGGCGCACAGACGAGCGGTGCGACGGGAGCCTGGGTCGCGCCTGCCGCAGCTGCGGTCGTTCCCGAGGGTGCGGCGTCGGTGTTGAGGATCGTCACGGCGGCAGTTGCGTCGGACGGGACGGCGGACAAGAAGGTCGCAGGGTCCGGGTTGTTGAGCTGGCGGCGCTGGCCCCTGCAAGACCGTCCGTGCCCAGTCAGTCATGACCCTCTAGCTCCTTCGTACGCTCGACGACGCACCAGGCACGCTTCTGGCGGAGGTGGGTGCGAGGCTTGCTGTTGTGGTTGGCGCCGGCGGCGGCTGAACCAACGAAGACGGCGGCGATGAGGAGGAGAAGAGTGGAGCGCATGATGGGTATGGTTGTGAGTCGCTGGGGGAGTACGGCGAGGCGGCGAGAGCGAGTGAAGGAGCGACGAGGGGTCCTGCGAAGGGATCGACGAGGACTGCGAGCTGGAAAGAGCGACTGAGGGTGAGGCGGACGGCGGACGGGGGTGCAGGCGATGCAAGCAGAAACCCAGCGACGCGTACGGGGCAGCAGGCGAGCGTGAGCGTGAGCGGTCGACTCGAGCTGATGAAGACGAGGGAGGCGGGCGACCGCAACGGGGACAGATGAGCGGGTTGGCAGAGACAGTGTCCGAGGTCCAGCCCCTTGCTGGCGAGACAATGCGCCCTGCGAGACACCCTTCGAGCGACATTGACTGGGAGGGAAGGAGGCGACCCTCGCAGAGGCCAGCCTCCTTCATCTTTGCCCGTCGCGGCGACGCTGGCGGGACCGGGCTGGCTGCCGTGCTGCAGTGTCGGAAGCCTCGAAGCTGTCTCAACCACGCCGAGCAGACTGCCCGCCGTCCAATCCCCTTGTCGTCCCGCCTTGTCTCGAACCACGACTGCTCTCTTCGGCTGGTGGTTCTGCGTCAAAGGGATCTGCAGGCCGCTTCTGGCTCCATTCATATCGCCGCGATCAGCTCTGCGACCGGCGTCGATCCGCCCTCGCCAGCCTGCCCGGCAGGACCATCCGCTTTTCCTCCTCACCCATTCCTCCTCGCCTCACGCTTGCTGTGACTTTCGTGCGACTCGTGCTACTGGCCCGAGGCTTTCGCTGTGTGTTCCTCATCTTCCCCTACGCCGGCGCAGGGTCGAAGCCTTTCCGTCCGCCTTCTTCGTGCGTCCTCGTCCGTCCTGCCAATGCCTGCCAATCCTCAAGCTGACCTCGCTTTCAATTCACAGGGCGTCGACTCATACTAGAACCAGGCCTCTGAGCCTCCCACACGCCTATCCGGCACACCGACGCTCCTTCCATGCGGTCCTTCTACCACCTCACGGCGCTTATCGCCTCTGTCGCCCTTCTTTCGTCGCCTCTAACCCTCGCACAAAACACCAACCCGGCTAACAATGCCGCAAGCGGAGCTGCGGGAGCACTCTCGAACTCCGGCACTGCGGCAGGAGCAGCGTCGACAAACGCACCGTCGTCTGCCGCCCAGGCCAACTCGAAGGCCTCCGCGAACGGCCAGTCGTCCGGCGGCGGCGCGACCATCTTCAACTGCGCCGGCGGCGTCGTCGCAGGCATCGCTCACCCGGACGACGACCTCCTCTTCCAGTCGCCTGACCTGCTCGCAACGGTTCAAGGCGGCGCATGCTACACGCTCGTCATCGCGACGATGGGCGACGCCGGCTCGACGGGCGAGGCGTATGCGCTCAGTCGCGAGCAGGGCAACGCGGCGGCGTATGCGCAGATGGCGGGTGTGCCAAACGTCTGGACGGGCGTCAACGCGTCGATTGCGAACCAGCAGATTCTCGTCACGACCCTCGTCGGCGCGCCGCAGATTCAGCGAGTGCACTTTCGCCTTCCTGACGGCAACATGGACGGTTCTGGGTGAGTCCGGCTGGCAAATAGCGCCCAAGCGCAATTCGCTGATCTTGACGGTTCGCCAGATTCGCTGCAACGGGCTACCAGTCGCTCCGCGCCCTATACTTCGGCTCAATTTCGCAGATCACGACGCAGCCCCAGACCGGTCACTTCACGCTCGCTTCACTCAACGGCGCGATCAGCGCCATCATCGGTATGCGCCAGCCCACCGAGATCCGCACGCTCGACTACATGTCTGATTACGACGCGGGAGATCACGCCGACCATCTCACTATCGCTCGACTTTGGGCTGCGGCGGGCGGAAACCACGGCGTGCCGGTGAACGGCTACATGGGATACCCAGTTCAGAATCTCGCACCAACTCTCGGCATGAACGACGGCGCCTTCATCTCCAAGACGAACGCTTTCTTCTCGTACACGCCCTACGACTACCAAGAGTGCACCTCGCTCTCGAACTGCTTGAACACGGGTCGTGGCGAGGCCTACTGGCTTCTTCGGTGCGTTCGAGTTCGCTCCAATCGGAAGCGGGACAGGCGTTCTCGTCGAGATGTTGCTGACGCCGTCATTCTGCAGCCAATACGTTGTCACACAAGACCTTGCCGAGAGGTCGTACATGGGCTCCGCAGAGGCGCCAGTCGCGCTTCCGAACTCTACCAACCTCGCCCTCCAAGCAACCGCAACGGCCTCGTCGCAGTCCAGCATCCAGCCCGCGTCAGCCGCAATCGACGGCAACGTGCAGGGTTACCCTGGCAACTACTCTGCGGAATGGTCGACGGCCGGCGAGAAGGTCGGCGCCTGGCTCTTGCTCTCTTGGCCTCAGCCTATCAACCTCACGTCGCTCGCCCTCTACGACCGACCCAACCAAAACGGTGCGTTGCCCACTTCTTACAACGAAGCTCTCCCGACACTAACGACGTTCGGCGCAGATTGGCTGCAAGGCGGAACCCTACTCTTCCGCGACGGTTCGACGATCTCCTTCGGCGCTCTCGCCAACGATGGTTCGGCGACGCTCGTCACCCTTCCTGGCTCCGTCGTCACCGACGCAGTCTTGATGACCGTCACCTCCGTCTCTCCCGCGACTGGATCCATCGGTCTCGCCGAGATCCAAGCGTACGGCAATGTCTGCCCGGGATGCACGATCGGCAACAACTTCCAGAACTCGTCGGCGACGACGCAGACCTCGACTGGACTCGTCAGCGGCACGGGTGCCTACCAGGACCTCGCCCTCTCCGCCGAAGCCTTCGCCTCTTCCGCCTTTGCTCAGCAAGGTCCCGAGAAGGCCATCGACGGCGTCGTTAGTGGTTACCCTGCCAACTCGTCGGCGGAGTGGGCGTCGTACAACGAAGGCGTCGGAGCGTGGCTGAACATCACCTGGCCTGCGTACTACCTCGTCGACTCCCTTGTCCTCCACGACCGCCCCAACTCGAACGACCAGATCACCTCGGCGCACATCGATCTCTCTGACGGCACGGGCTACGACATTGGTGCGCTGAACAACGACGGATCTGCAGTCGTTTTCAATTTGTCGGTGCCGCTCAACATCTCGTCGCTGAAGCTCACCGTCACCGGCGTTTCGGGGACGACTTCGAGCGTCGGCTTGTCCGAGATCGAGGCGTACTACTCGCAGCCGCAGACGCCTGTCAACCTCACCGCCGTCTCGCGCAACCCTGGCGCCGCTGCTCCCGTCGTCGGTGATCTCGACAACGAGTCGTGGGACGACGACCTCGCATTGCAGAACTGCACGGCGACCGCCTCATCGTCCGCTCCGGGACAGGGTGCCTCCCAAGCGATCAACGGCGTCGTCAACGGTTACAAGGAGGACGGAACGGGCGATTGGACGCAGGAATGGGCGACCGTCAGCCAAGGCGCCGGCGCGTGGATCAACCTCACCTGGCCGTACAGCGTCAAGATCTCGCAGATCGGCTTGGCGGACCGTCCCAACCTGAACGACCAAATCACCGGCGCCGTCTTGCAGTTCGACGACGGCTCCTACGTCTCGACCGGCAACCTCTACAACGACGGCACCTTGACGAACATCTCGATTCCCGGTATCATCACCACGTCAATCCAGCTCACGGTCACCGCCGTCTCGTCAACAACTTCGTCGATTGGTCTGTCCGAGTTTGCCGTCTTCGGGTCTCTCGTCGCCGCGTGCGTACACCCATCTCCGCCCTCGAGTCGCGAGCGAGTCTGACGTTTCTCCCCAACGTAGCAACGGCACGATACTCCCCAATGCCACCGACACGAGCAACCCGGCGTTGACGAACAGCACCCTCCCCATCAACGGCACGCTTCCCCTGAACGGCACTCTTCCTCTCAACGGTACTCTGCCTCTCAACGGAACCTACCCCCTCAACAGCACTCTCCCGCTCAACGGCACCCTTCCGCTCAACGGCACTTTCCCTCTCAATGGCACGCTTCCCCTGAACGGCACCCTCCCGCTCAACGGCACCCTTCCGCTCAACGGCACTTTCCCTCTCAATGGCACGCTTCCCCTGAACGGCACTCTCCCGCTCAACGGCACCCTTCCCTTGAACGGCACCCTTCCCCTGAACGGCACGCTTCCCCTGAACGGCACTCTCCCGCTCAACGGCACCCTTCCCTTGAACGGCACCCTTCCCCTGAACGGCACGCTTCCCCTGAACGGCACTCTTCCTCTCAACGGTACTCTGCCTCTCAACGGAACCTACCCCCTCAACAGCACTCTCCCGCTCAACGGCACCCTTCCCTTGAACGGCACCCTTCCCCTGAACGGCACGCTTCCCCTGAACGGCACTCTCCCCTTAGACGGCACGCTTCCGCTCAACGCAACGTTGCCGCTCAATAGCACGTCGACTCTCAACGGGACGCTTTCGCTCAACGGGACCCTCGCCGGAAACACCTCCTCCATCTTTGTGCCGAACGCCACAATCTCGAGCATGTACAACCTCAGCTCGCTTCTCCCGTCGGCAACAGCGTCCGCAAACATCTCGGCGTCGCTCAACCGCACGTCGGTACCGGTTTCGACGGCTGACAACTCGTCCGCCATCTTCCCCTCCGCGACCGGGTTCAACGCGTCAAGCCTGCTTCCGTCGATCACCGCCAACCTTTCGAGTGCCCTGCCGTCCGCCACCGGCAACGCTTCGTCCAGTCTGTTCAACCTCACAGCTCCAAGCGCCGTCGCAACGGCTTCAGGCAACGCCTCCTCCGCCTCCTCGACTAGCGCATCGTCTTTGTACCTGTCTTCATCGGCTTCGGCGAACGCGTCGAGCGTTTCGAGGAGTAGCTCGGTTGTCAGCTCGACTTCGTCGTCGAGCGCTGCGGCGCCTTCTGCGACATGCGCGGGATCTGCCGTCGCCTACGGACAATGTGGCGGATCGGGCTACGTGGGTCCGACGTGCTGCCCATCAGGGTTTGACTGCACTTACCAGAACCCATACTGTTCGTCTAGCCTGACCCTCCGCTCCGTGATGCGCAACTAACCGCTTTCTCTGCTCTGCAGACTCGCAATGCGTGCAAAGCAGCTCTTCGGCGGCCGCCTCGTCAACTCTCACCGCTGGCGCAGTTCTGCCGACAGCAGGATGCACTGGCACCGTCCCCGCCTACTATCAATGCGGCGGAAGCGGATACATCGGCTCGACTTGCTGTCAGACCGGCTACGTTTGCCAGGTGCAGAACCCGTACTGTAAGTCTTCGCAGTCCGCTTAAATCGCATATCGCAGCCATTCTGACCGTTTCCTTCGTCTCCAGACTACCAATGCGTCGCTAGCTCCGCGGTCACGACGTCTTCCTCGTCGGCCTCCTCCAGCCTCGCCTCCCTTACCCCCTCCTCGATCTCCAGCGTGCGCTCCAGCAGCACCATGGCGTCGTCGACTGCTTCTTCGGTCGGTGCCTCATCCACTCTCTCCAAATCGGCGGCGTCCTCCACGGTCACCTCTGCACCCTCGGCGCCGCCCTCCACATCGAGCATGGTCACCGTGACTCGCTCAAGCTCCGCAACATCGTCGTCTACCTCGTCAAGCGCGACCGCCGCACCGACATTGACTGCCCAGGCTTCGACGGTCAACATCGCCCGTCTTGCCGGCGTCAAACTTTCCGCGTCTTCCTCGATTTCGGCATCCCCGCCCTCGGGCATCAACGACGGCTCGTACGGCGGCCTCACTGCGCTCGGCTTCGGCAGCTCGAAGAACGAGTGGGCGTCGTCCGGCACGACCAAGCAGTGGATCCAGATCGACTTCCCCGCCGCAACGCTCATCCGCGACATTGTTATCTTCCCGCGCGTCAACACCTGGCAGACGGTCACCTCGATGGCGCTCAACTTCACGACGGGCGACGTCGTCACCGCCAGCGGTTCGATTTCGAGTTCCGGTTCGCACGTCTCGCTCGGCGCCGGCCTCGTCACGTCTGGCGTGCGTGTCACCATCACTGGCGTCGGCTGGACCACGACTCAAGCAGGCTTCGCCGAGATCGAGGTGTACAACCGCGCTCCGCCTACGACCGGTCTTCTCGGTACGCTTGGCAACGCCGCTGGCTCGACGCTCAGCGGCATTCTCGGCCTTTTCGGCCTCCGCGCATAGCGGGACGTCCATACCACCTCCTATAGACCCGCGACACCTTGAGGCTGGTCCTCGAGAGTCGCTAAACTTGCCTGTACCGATACCTCCTCCTTTTCCCTCGCTCGTGTAGCCACTCTTTACCCCGGTCCCCTCTGCTGTTTACATACCTGGCTCGACTCCTGTAGCCCCTTCCTCATCTCCCAACGCCGCAAAGCAGTTCATTCCTTCCTCCTTCACTCTGGCCTTCACATCCATCGAGCGAGCAAGCTAGCCAGCAGAACCGGGCTGCTCGCGGAGGAAAACTGAACGAGGAAATGTTTGATATTGCGTCGATATAGGCAGGGTGAGGAGCTAGACAAGGAGTATGTGCGAGTGGTGCGGCGACAGGTCGAGGAGAAGAGGAACGACAAGGCAATGCGAGGGAGCGGCGAGGATCGAGCAAGGAAAGGAGTAACGAGCGGTCTATTGTCGAGATGCGAGTCTTGACTTCCAACGGGATACGACGGCGAGGGATTCACTTCTTCGAGTCGGGCTGCTCCTCCTTGGGCTTGGCGTCCTGCTTGTCACCGTCGCAGACCGCCTTCTTCGCCTGCTTGACCTTCTTCTTGCCGGCTGCGTAGCGTCGGACAAGAGTCGGCACGGAAGACAACGCGAGAGGGAAAGAAGGAGAAGGGGGACGAACCCGAAGGTCAGCACGCTTGAACTCCTCATCATCGAGACCCAAACCAGCCCTTCGCACCTTTCCACAAGTCGCCCAGCAACGAATGACCGTCCTCTCCCTCCTCTCCTTCCTTCTTGACGCCCTTCTTACCCTTCGCCTTCTCCTTCTCGAGGTTATTCACCTCCTCCTTCGCAATCTCCTCAAACACCTCCTTCGCATGCCTCACTTCCTCCTCCTCAACCTCCTTCCCCTCCTTCCCCTCGCGCTTCGGCGCAGAAGTGATGTCGTCCCCCAAACTCGCCCACCACTGTGACTTCTGCCCGCCCGTCTCGGCATCCTCAGGCGGCGGTCGGGCTTGTTGTGTGAAGCCGGGGGCGTCGGTGTCTACTCGGGGCTTTTGAGGGGTGGGAGCGTCGGATGGAGGCGGGGAGGGGGGAGAGTCGGGAGAGGGAGAGGAAGTGAAGGGCGAGGTGGACGAGGAGCCGGGCTCTTCGGTCTCGCGGACGTATTGCTCGAGAATCATGCGCTGGATGGGCGTGAGGGACCTGCATGTCAGAGCAAAGTGTCAGTTCGACCCAACCGCTGGAGAGAGAAGGTGCCGCCCGAAACGCACCTCGGCATCGACACGTTGAACCGGACGATCAAGTCGCCATACTCCTCCTTGTACAACTTCTTCACGCCGCGTCCTCGCAACACCATCTCCTCGCCCGGCTGCGTCCCCTGCGGGACCTTGACCTCGACATCCCTATCGAGCGTCTTGACCGGCGCGCGACCTCCCAGGATCGCAGTGTAGAACGGCACGCTGACCGTCTCGTATAGGTTCGACCCTTGGCGAGTGAAGACTTTGCTGGGCTGGACGTTGATCCGCACGAACAAGTCGCCGTTCCGCCCCTTTCCGCCGATGGGCGCGTCGCCCTTCCCGTCGAGTCGGATCCGCATGCCGTCGTCAACACCAGGAGGGATCTTGACCTCTACGCTCCTCCTCTCCCTGACCTTGCCCACGCCAGCGCAAGTCCCACAGTTCGATCCAGGGGGCGCAACGCTCCCCGACCCGCCGCACGCCGCACACGTACTAGCCATCTGGAACCCGCTCTGGATCGTGAACGTCCTCGTCCCCGTACCGCCACACGAGCCGCACGTCGTCTTCTTCATCCCTTCTCGCAGGCCCGAGCCATGGCAGGTGTGGCAGTCGACGACGGGACTGGTCTGAATCGTCTTGCTCGTTCCCTTGGCGGCTTGGATGAACGGAACAGAGATCGAAACGTCAATGTCGTCGCCAACAGGCTGGGTCTGTCGTGGTCCCGCCGCGCCGCCGCGCCCAAACGCTCCGAACAACGACTCGAAGATGTCGGCGCCTGAAGCGCCTCCTGCGCCGCCGCCGAAGAAGTCGCCGAAGCCTGCGCCGCCGAATGAGGACGTGGCGCGCGCGAAGGCGTCCGAGTCGAAGCCCGGTTGTTGAGAGGCGGAGCCGAAGCGATCGAAGTCGGCGCGCTTTTTGTCGTCCGAGAGGGTCTGCGCGGGAGGAAGTGAGTATGAAGGCTGGTCTACGGTCGAAGCATGGAGATGGGACGCACGTCGTAGGCCTCCTGGATCTCGACAAACTTCTCCTTCGCGCCAGGCTCCTTGCTCGAGTCGGGGTGGTACTTCTTGGCGAGCTGCAGGAGGTCACAGCGTGTAAGCTAGTCTTCTCGCAGCAACGAAAGCGCGGCGGGCGCACCTGGTAGTACGCCTTCTTGATCTCGCTCGTCGAAGCATCCTTTCCTACGCCGAGGACCGAGTACGGGTTCTTTGCGAGCTGTCGACTAGACGCATGGAATGATCGCTGGCCCTGTCACAAACACATACGAGGTTAGCAGGATGTCCGAGGTGTTACATCTCGCGAGGGAAGAAAGAAGCGGAGAGAACCGAGAAGAGTGAAAGCGGGCGGCTCACCTTTGCCTGCGCCTGTCCGGCGGTGATCCAGCTGCCCAGCCGAGTCTTGCCGTGTCTCTGCCTGGTCGTCGCAGCCGCAGCGGGTCTCGAGTACGCCCTCGAGTTGGTCGGAGATGGATGGCGGCGGAGTGGTGCGAACGGGGCGGGGCAAGCTGGGCGGTGGTGCGCTGCGAGTTGTACGATGTTGTGTGTGCGTGCCATCGTGTTCCCACGCTGCTCAGAGTGAGCTCGAGAGCGAGTCGAGCGTTGTCGTCGAGGTCAAGGAGATTTCTCGAAGTCCCCAGGATGACGGGACGCAGAGCGAGCAACAGCTCGCCGGGTAAGCGTGAATAGCTAGTAATCCATGCAATACATTCACATTGCTACTCTCCTTTTCCCGCTGCACTTTGAACGAGGTTGCGAGACCGTCTCCTCGTCTCCCTCATCTCTTCGACTCGCTCTCTCACGCTGACAAGTCGCTGGACTGCGTGCTACACGCTGAAACTGACCGCTTGACCGTGGAGTGTCCGCCCGCCATGTTCTGGCTGTCCGCGCTGCCCTCTCACTCCATCTTCACCCTCCCTTCCCCGTCAACCGACAACACCCTTGAAAACAACAGCCGCCCAAGTGACCGCCTCGCAAAGAGCACCATCTCTCATTCCGCATCAAGCAAATCCCTCTTCGGACTCTCGACCCCAGCTCAACCAGACTCGCCCTCCCGCACTCATGCCTCGACACCGCGACGTCCTGCACTCGCTGCATCCACGTCGCGCACGCACACGCACGACGTCGAGCGGAGACTGAAGGGCGCGAGGACGAGCAGGCTGGTCGTTGCGAGGGGGACGGACCTCGTTGTCGCGGTCGGGAGCGAGTTGAGGATGGCGAGTTTGGCGGAAGTCAAGGCGCGGAGCGGGGCTGATTCTGCGGATGGCGAGACAGACCTGGGAGAGTACAAGGTGCGTTCCGATCTCGCTGTGCCGACTTCGCCTGCAGACTGACGACTGACCCACCCTTCTTCAGGTCCTCGACACCCCCGCAATCAACTTTGAGATCCAACAACTCGTCTTGAACTCGACTTCGAAGCTTCTTGCGGTCGTCGGTGCGCACTCAGTGGTCGTGGTGGTCTTGCCCCGACGAGGATGGGCCAACACGGTGGGAAAGACCATTGAGTGCCGGTGAGTTGCGGGCTTGGCGACTCGTTCAGCTCGTTCACTATGGCAGAGCGTGTGCGCTGATGGAAGTCGTTTCCCTGTGGCCCAGCTGCCTCCCCGTCGGCGCCTTCTACCACTCCCTCCCCGGTTCTCCCGCGATCGCCTCAGCCCTCTGGCACCCCCTAGGCGCCGACTCCTCCTCCCTTCTCCTCCTCACAACCGACTGCACCCTCCGCGAATACTCCATCTCAACCGACGTTTCCGAGCCCTCCCAAACCCTGTCGTTCCTTCCCCAATCCGAGCGGGAGAAAGGAAAGAGGAGGGGATTCGGGTTTTCGGCGGTTGACGAGGGCGCGAGAACCGCGACGGGAATGTGCGTGGGAGAGGGGAAGGGCGATTGGGGAATGATGACGCTTTATGCGGTGATGAGGAATGGGGACGTGCTGGCTTTGTGTCCGTTCTTGCCGAAAAAGGCGTGCGTTCGACGTTTCTTACTCTCGTCGGTGCTCCAACGCTGCGTGGATGACTGACTCCAAGTTTCGGTCGTTCGGGTGCCCAGCGCTATCCCCCCCTCATTCATCCACTCCCTCTCAACCTTCGTCTCCTCTAAAGTCAATTACCTCTCCTCCTCCCTCTCGACGCGCATCACTCCCTCCACCCCCCCAACTTCCGCTCGCGCACAAGAAGCCCTCGAAGCGCGTTACACGACCCAACTCGCGTTCGTCAATTCGCTCGTGAGGCAGGTCCAGAGCGCTACGTCTCAACGACTCTCCGCCTTCGATGCTGCTGAAGACCACGACGAGGAAGACCTCGATGCGCCGGTGCGAATTACAGCTCCCTCCAGACCTGCCTGGCTCCCCACCCTCCAAGGCCCGTTCCTCCTCCAACCCGCCCCATGCGACCTCTCCAACAGCGCCGACGATTCCGCCTGCGACATCTCTTACCTCTCCTCGGGTGAAGGTGGGCTCGGAGTGCTGGTGGTCGCGTATAGGGACGGGAAGGTGGATGTGATGCTTGAGGTGGAGAAAGTTGAGGGGAGGTTTGTGGGCGAGGAAGAGGGACGGAGGAGGGTGGATGAGGGAGCGGTAGTGCTTGCTCGAAGGGGCGGGAAGGGGAAGGGCAGAGGGTTTAGCGCAGACTCGGACGACGACGCCGACGACTCAGCAGACTCAACAACCGACCTCCCGACTCTGGCAGTCTACGAATCGATCGACCTCGGTCTCGCATCCGAACTCGCCTCCTCCGCCGTCTCGACCGAACTCAGTCACAACGCGCCCGTCCTCGTTCGTGATCCGCTCTACTCCGACACGGTGTATGTCCAGCACAAACTCGGCGCGCATTGTTTGTTGTTTGGACCGTGGTTGGAAGAGGTGGGTGAGGCTCTCAGGGTGGATGCGGAGAAGGACGATGCGGGTGGGAAGGAAGGGAGCGAGGTGGAGAAGGTCTTGCGGAAGGGAACTGGGACCGAGGTCTTGTGGGTGCTCAAGACGGTCGGATCGGGTGAGGAAGAAGGCGAGGAGCGCAACCCGCCTGTCGAGGGGTTGGCGATCGTCAACGACGTCTACCTCGGCTACTCGCTCCTCCTCCTCACTTCTTCCCTCCAACTCGTCGGCATCGAGCTCGCACTCCGCGTCGACCCGTCCGCCTCGGCACTCGCCTTGCCTTCGTCGCCCGGTCCTTCAGCCTCGTCAACGACCGACAACAAGGCTGCCGAACCCGCCTACGTCTCGCTCCTCGACACGCCTTTCACCGTCCCTCCCCTCCTCTCGACCTCTTCTCGCTCCGGCGCCCCCGCCATCCCCCGCCTCGCGCCAACGAAACAACCCCTCGAAATCACGCCCGACACGCTCCGCGCCTTCGGCAAACACGTCTCGACCGTCCAAGACGCGATTCGTGACCTTGTCGGAGCGGCGGATAGCGTCCAGAGTCGTCTCGAGTTGCAGATGAAGGAGCTGTCGAGGCAGGTTGGGAAGTTGGCAGAGTTGGATTCGTTGAGGAGCGAGTTGGGGAAGAGTGTCTCTGCGACGGGCCTTGAAGGACGGTTAAGGAGCGTCGAGGAGAAGCAGCGCATGTTGCTCGCGAGGACGGACCGTGTCCTTCAGCGATTGGTCGAGTCGCATCAACCGTCGATCTCGGTTTACGAGCGCAAATGGTTCGACGAGCTCGAGAGGCTCGAGGGGCAGATAGTCGGCGACGAGTCGGGCAGCTTGGAGAGTCGGACGAGGAGGCTCGAGGCGATGCTTGAGGCGCTCAGGCCGGGTTTGGAGGAGTTGAAGCGGAAGGAGGCGGGAGGAGGCGTGCAGGGAACGCCCGGCAGGAGAGGCGGGATGGGCGAGGCGCAGGTCAAGGCGCTCGAGGCGAGGTTGGCGGAAGAGTGCGTTGCCGTTCTTACCTTCTGCCCGGTGGTTCGGTGCTGACGTACTGCGCCCACAGAGCGAAACTTATTGCGGATGCGAAGCGCAAGGTTGAACGGTTGACGAGCTCGCTGTCCGCCACTTCGCTCGCTGCGTAGCTTCAAGCCTCGAGATGCAAAGCACAGACGCACAACAATACGAGCTTCACTGTCCAGCGTTGAGGTATCGACGGCGGCAAGCAAGGATGGTCGTCGACCGTCTCATCCTCCTCACTTCCCCTTGCTCACCCCGCTCCTCTCCGCTCGGCTTTCCCTTCCACTCCCTACCTGGATCATCGCTCTCCTGGCTCGCTGCACCCGTCATGGCTGCGATAAGGCGAGTCGGCTATCGCGGCAAGGCGGCAAGGACGGAGCCGCCGCAGACGCAGCTCAAACTCGGCTTCTCCTCGCTCGCTGCTCTCTCCTTGGACGTCTGGACTCGCTGTGCTACTTCTGTCAGCTCTTGTACGATTGCACGACGCCTCTCGTGAGTCCCGCGAACCGCCCCTTCACCGGCGAATCCTCATCGCAAGAAGCGTGGTCAGGGTGAACGGCTCTAGTCTAGAGGAGGCTGCGTACCTTGAGCAGCGTACTGACGACCATCATTCACCGCAACGCACAGATTAGCTTTCCATCGAGCCGCCTTCGATAACCTCGACTCCCTCAGGACAACTCCCCCTCTTCGCCCGTACGGTCACCGAGTTCCACCTCGCCTTCCCTGCCTGGACTCGAAACTATCGAGTGACGCCATGTCGCGCTACACCGCGGAGCAAGTTACTGGCTGGTTCGGGACGGTGCTTTGGTGCGTTTCGAGGTCCTCCTGCTGCTCTTTAGATCGGTCGACGCTGATCGTGCCATTCCCTCCAGGTGCATCCAGCTTGTCCCGCAAGTCTACATGAACTACCGGCGGAAGACGACCGAGGGACTGTCGAACCTGCTCTGGTGCGTTCGGCCGAGGGAAAAGCCGTTGGCCTCCTTCCGAGTTAACTGTCGATGATGCAGCGTCTGCTGGATGCTTTCGGGAGTTACGCTCGGCATCTTCGCCATCGTCGAGAACATCAACATCCCAATCAGTGCGTGACCTAACGTCCTGCCCGATGCCCCTCCTGCTCTGAACCAACAACTAACCTGCTTCTTAATAGTTGTTCAGCCACATTGCTACGGGAGCCTATGCTTCCTAATGCTCTGCCAGATGTTCTACTACGACCGCAAGTGGCAATGGTACGCCGCGGCCGGAGCCTTCGGAGCGTACGCTTGCGCGGCGGCCGGGTTCGAGGTCGGGATGGTCTACGCCAGCAGGGTGCGTCTGCCCTGCGCTTCCGAAGCCTAAGAAGCAGCACTGACAAGGCTCAACTACGCACAGGCCGTCGAAGACCGCGGTAGCAACGGCCTCACGATGCTCTGGGGCATCCTCTCGGACGTCTTTCTCGCCGTCGGCTTCATTCCGCAGTTCATCGAGATCTACAAAGCGCGCGAGGTCTACGCCCTCTCGTACACCTTCCTCGCAATGGACTCGGCCGGAGCGGTGTTCTCGATCGTCTCGCTGGCGATGAAGACGACGTTCGACGGGATCGCTTTCACCGGCTACTGTGCGTTGCTTCTTACGTTTCATCCCTTGAGCCCTCGCTGATCTCCAGCTGAACTCAATGCGGCAGTGGTCGTCCTCGTCCTCGAAATCGCCATCTTCATCCTCGCCCTCATCCTCAACCCGCGCGCCCGTCGACGCCGAGCAGCAGCGGAAAAGAATGGCGGCGTCGAGGTGGGCGAGTCAACGCAGATCGCGCCCGAGGCGAGCGAGTCGGGCATGCCTTTGCCGTCGGAGAAGGTCGTCGAGCGGGGTCAAGGGGCGAAGGCGGGCGCAAGGGAGCGCAAGGAGGTTGAACGGCATGAGACAGTGGAGAGCGGGATGACGCTGACGGAAGAGGGGCGGGTGGGCGAGGAGAAGGCGCATGTACAGGCGCGGGCGCAAGGAGAAGAAGCGGTATAGACGGAGGGAGCAGCTTAGAACTCCTATAGACGCATCTTGCATTGAACAAGCATCTAATTTCGTGTCTACGTCTGTCTTTGACGCAAGAAACGGCGAGACGAACCTGAGAAGGCCGGCCTCTCCTTCACATGTTCGGTCCGTAGCGAACACCTCGTCGAGCCAGTGCCTCCGTAAGCTGTGTCGTAACGACTGTTGCCTCAGGCGGCGTGCTATGTAGCTTCGGGGTGAGTCGGTCGACCCAGTACGACTCCTTCGCTTCGTCCCAACATTCCGCCAGCATGGCGACGAGCGGATCCCGCAGCTCAGCGTTATGACACGACGCCATGGTGTAGACCTCGTAGAGGGCGGTCAAGGGCGTGACTTGCTCGAGGACGATGGGGAGAGCGAAGGCGGCGAGTTCGTCGAAGCCGAGGATTTTGGCGAGGCGGAAGACGGATGTGGGCGAGACGGGCAGAGGGAGGGAGAGGTCTGGTTGTAGGGGTACTGAAGGTGCGTCCTCAACGGGGAAGCCGTCGTCCTCGACTTCGCTGTGCCACATTGGCGCGAACGAAATGAAGCCCGACTCTCGCCAGACAAGTACGGAGAGGAACGTCGTCCAGGACGCCTCCCTGACGGTTGAGAACTTGGACGGCATATGCGACTCGTCCAGGTGGCCGAACTGCGGATTGCCAAAGTTGCGAAAGACGTCGTCGCGCTCGTTGTCCGAGTCGTCTTCGACCGGATACCAGGCCTCGGGAAATCGGTTCGCCGCGAGTGGGCGCCGACGATTTGGGTCCTGGAGCTCGTCCTCTAAGAGCGCAAAGAACGGCGAGTACTGGTGCAACCGCTCCTCGACCCAGATCTGCCGTTCAGCGCTAGGAAAGTCGAGACATACATTGTTCCGGCGAGGCGTCTGGAAGTAGGCTGCGAAAGAGCGACTGTAAGCCTTTCAGCGGTACTAAGAGTGCTTGGGTTGCGCACTCGTTGCAGCGCGAGCGGCGAGGCGCATCGCGTCGTTGGCTGCCGGGTCTTCGAGCGTCGCCTGCGCGTAAACGTCGTCGTCCTTTCTCCCGCGAGCGTTCTGTTGACGTCTCGGCATGTCGCGCTGGTGTCGAGCTGAGCGACTTAAGGATGATGCGAGCGGAGTCCGGAGGAGAGGATGTGGGGCGGAATGGCGCAGACTGGCGCGCTGGGAGGACGAGCAGGCTGCGTGAAAGAGCAAGCGAGCGAGCAAGGAGAGGCCCTATGTGGCGCGCAAATCGGAAGGGAGAGTCGTGAAGAGAGGCAACTTGCGGGCCCTGGTGGAACTCCTTCAGCGACTTGGTCGAAGCGGTACTCTCGACAGAAGCTACGTAATTCGAGGGCACACCACGTTTCGTGAAGAAGACAGATCATTGCAGCGGTGTGCGAAGGAGCACAAAGAATCGAGAAGGTCGCCAGCTCGTCCTCCTCACACTGCTCTTGCGATCCCGCGCTGCACCAACGCACGTCTCAGCTGCATCGTCACCTCCTGTCGTGAGGGATCCGCAACGAGTGAGAGCAGGTGGTTCCCAGCCGCCTGATCCTCTGGAAATACCTCCGCCCAGTTCTCGACGACGTACTCGACGAGGTTGTCGATGATCTCCGCATGCTGTTGCGAGGACAAAGCGTAGAGCTGGAGAAGGGCGTTCTGAGGCGTGATTTGGGCGAGGAGGCGTGCCATCGCTTGCTCCGCTAGATCTTCGAGCTGAAATTGCTTCGCGAGGCGGAAGACCACTTTGGCGAGACTGCCGGAGGGTCAACCATTGTACTCTGGAGTGGGAGAGGTTGATGTGTGATGGGAGGTCGCGGTTCAGGCGTGATTGGCGCGAAGAAGATGAGGCCCGTCTCCATCCAGACGAGGACGGCGAGAAAGGTCGAGTAGGCCGAGTCGTCGATCCGTACCATCTTCATCTTGCGCATGTACCCGATGCTCCGCTTCTGCCCCGGGAGCCCGCGGTGGACATAAGGTATGTCCCGCTCGTCGTCCGAATCGCCGGCGTACCAGTTCCACGCCCAGTCGGGTGGCGGCAGGATGGGCGGGTGCACCGTGGAGGTCTCGATCTCCTTGTTGCGAAGGAGAACCTTCAAGTAAGGCGATTGCTTCGATAGCCGCTTCTGGTTCCCCCAAAGCTGGAGGCCGACGTGCGGAAAGTCGATGCAGACGTCGTGCGGCGTCCCGTTCCGACAGAAGCCTATGTTCGAGCAGTTAGCAAGTGAAAGGCCAAGAAGAGCGAAGCCAACGCACTGGTCGCCAAGCGAGCATAGTTCGCTATGTCTTCTGGCACATCCACCTCCTGAGGCGGCTGAGCGGCTGCGGCCCCCTCGGGCTGCTCCTGCGCTTGCGGTGCCCAAATGAGATGTATCGCGACCGAGTACTGACCAGGTCTGGGCGGTTTGTGGGCCGAGGCGTAGAAAGTGATGCGGGAGGCCGGGGGGAATTGACTTGGACCCAGCACGAGCGACGAGAGGCACTGGCCAGCGGAGTCGTGAACGGAGATTGAGCCGCCGAGTATGGTGCGGGAAGTGAGATCCGCATTGGGTCCGAGTTCGATGGGGAAGGCTCGTAGCGCCTCGTCGCACGCGATTCGAAGGCTAGAGGCTGGCGCCGGCGCTGGCAAGGGCACCTGCCGGAAGATTGGGCAGAGGTGCATCGTCACTGCTGCTGAGTACATGTCCATGATGAGTGGCGAAGGAAAGAGAGAGAGAGTGCGAGGCCGCGTCGGCATGTTCGCCAGGCGCGACTCCTGTCCTGGTCGACCCGAGCTCGAGCGGGGTCACGTCTGACGCGTTGAAAGTCGATGCGAGATTAGGATTATCAACATGAGTAGAGTAACAGAAAGCGGCCGTTATCTGCGACGCGAGAGGTTAGCGCTTCTCGACATGCGAAGGCGAGCAATCTACGCACCGCCGAAGAAGCCAAGTCCAGAAGAACACCGTCATAACAATCCCGAGAAAGACCATCCCTACGGAGAAGACGACGAGGGTCAGTCGCGAGGTGTCGGAGATAGAGCGAGGGGAGTCGTCGACGCACACATGCACCACTGCCCGCCCTGCCGCCGTGCCATCCGCTGCATCTTCTTCATCGTCCCGCCTAGTAGACTGCCAGTCTCGCCGAAGGTGTCGTTCTGCATGGGAAGCCAAACGGTGAGCGGGACCTGGACGGAAGAGACGGAAGGCCAGACTTACCATGCCGTTAAGCATCTTCGTGGAGTCTCGCACCTCGTTGCCAATGCCAATGGTTATCTGCAGGGGAGAATGGAAGCGTCAAAATGCGTTCCAGAAAGCAGGCAAGTCGCGGGAAGGGAACGTACATTCTTGAGCAGCTTGACTTTGGCGCTCAGACCTTCCAGCGCCTCGTCATTCTGTCCCTCTAAACTCTCGGCTGTTCGGTCGGCTGCGTAGCGTTCGGATGGGCGGTTGTACATGGGGAGCGGGGACGAGGACCGAGACGAGGAGAAGAGGGCTGTGCGGTTCGGGTCGCGGTGAAGCAGTCCGCCATTGCTGGTGGAGCGCATGAAGTGGGTCAGTGCCGCTGCCAACAACTCCCCATTGAGGACTCGTCGAGGGATGATGTCGAGTGGAAGAACGGGGACTCACCGGAACGCGCTGCTCATTGCGGGTGTCGTGGGCTAGTCGAGCAGGTCTCCGCCTAGCCAGTGAGCATTCCCAGGACACTCCAGACGAACAGCGAGAGCAGCGAGGCGAAGGGGGAAAGTCGAGGAGCGGTCTTCATCTGTTGAGCCACGACAACCGCGACGACACGCTCAGACTGGCTTGTTAGGCGATGGAGGACCTCATCTCAGAGCTACAGGGCTTCACGCCGCGCGCCTCAACCTCGCAGGCGCCCACGTTCGCCCTCGACCCCGCTCTCGCCGGACCCGGACCTTCGTCCTCGGCTGCTCGCGCTCGCAGGTCGCAGGGAAGCGCGTACTGGGACGAGGAGGACGAGGACTTGTACGGCGACGACTCGGACGAGACAGGCGAGAGCGAGGACGAGACGGACGCCGAGGAGGAATACGCCGCAGCGACACAACAGCAGGCGACAGGCGTCAAGCGTGCAAGACAGAGCCAGGGCGGCTTGCTCGCAGATGATGGAACGGTTGTGACGCCGTCGGGCAGTGCGAAGGGGAAGGGAAAGGCGACGGACCAGGACCTCTTCGCCCTCGACGGCGAGGAAGGCGGGGACGAGGAACTTGGGTGCGTCCCCCTGCTGCTACTGGTTCGCTGCCCGCTCTGCTGACACAGCATATGATACAGTCGCCTGATCAGCGCTATTCGCAACTCAAATTCGACCGGTGTAGGCGGAGCAACTGCCCTCGACCGCGAGTTCGACCGCTCAATCGCCGACGAGCTCGACGCCTTCGACCCCGACTTGATGGAGGACTTGACGGTTGGCGTCAAAGGTCGTCGCAGGAAGCGCAAGGGCAAGACCGTAAGCTTCGGCTCTCCCTTCTACTCAGCAGCCGCTGACCAGACCCTCTCGACAGGCCGGCCGCCGCGCCGCAGGCGATATCGAACCGTCTCCCGAAGTCAAGCGCCTTCTCGGCCAGGCGAATTCCGCTTACGCTGAGGGACGCCTGCAAGAGGCAATCGAGCTTCTCAGCGAAGTCGTCCGCATCGACCCCATTATCCGCGTCTCGTGGTACACACTTGCGACGATCTACGAGGAGCTGGGCGAGAGAGAGAAGGCGGTCCAGTGCAAGATTGTTGCCACGCATCTGCTTGGCAAAAAGGAGGCCAGTAGCGAATGGGGTGACCTCGGACGAGAATGCCGGTTCGTCGTTTTGGCTTCTCCGCTATGGGAGACGAGCTGACATCTCTCGTTGGCACAGCGACGTCGGCCTGCTTCACCAAGCCATCTACTGTTTCACGCAGGCGATCAAGGTGAACAAGGACGACGTCGATGCGATGTGGGATCGAGCCACCTTGCTGAAGTTGTCTGGCGCGACCAACATGGTGCGCATGAGCCCTCAAAGAGCGTTCTTTCGCGTCTGCTGACACTCCAACATTCGTTCAGGCCATCAAAGCCTTCTTCGCGCTCCTCACCCTCCTTCCGCACGACCCGGGTGTCCTGCGCGAACTCGCCCCCATGCTCGCCTCGACGCATCAATTCGCGAAAGCGTCGTCTATCCTCCTTTCCGCCTTTGCCTACTACCGCTCGCTCGTCCCGCACGTCAATCGCGACACGGTCGGCTACCTCGCGACTTACGGGTATAGCGACCTCGAAACGCTTGCCGACTTCCTGAACGTCCAGCGCAACTGGGCCGAGTCGGTGCGCGTGATCCGACAGGGCGTGAGGTGGCTGCAGGGTCGGGAGAGCGAGACGGGCTGGGACACGCTTGAGGACGACCGCGAGTACGACGAGGAACGGAAGATTCGCGGTGGGTGGGAGAAGGGCAACACGTGGTTCGAGGATGAGCCGACATACGAGCTGGATGTCCGCTTGAGGAGCAGGCTGGGACTGGCGAGGCTTGGGATGGGCTGGGTCGAGGAGGCAGCCGTACGTTTCCGTCTCTTATGAACCCGCTCATTCGCTCACTCTTGGTCTGACTCTCTGCATGCAGCGACACTTCGACATCGTCCTCGCCGAGGATGTTGCGCAGTTTCCCGAGCTGTTCGGCGCCATCGGCGAAGCCTACTACGAGCGCAAGATGTACAACGAGGCGATCGACGTCTACATGCTGATGGCCGAGAACGAAGAGGTGTGTCATAGTCTCGCTATCATGAGGGGACAGGGCTGACCTGCCGCAATCTGCAGACGAACGGTCCGGCGGTCTGGCTGAAGGTCGGACAGTGCCGTCAGGCGATGGGCGATTTCGAGGAGGCCCGCGACTGCTTCGAAAACAGTACGTCGTCTTTCTCTTCCCCTCGCCAATCTCTGAAGCTGACCGTCCTTCACAGTCGTCGAGGAGGAGCCTGGGAACGCCGAGGCCAAGCTTGCGCTCGCCAAGTGCCTTGAGCAGCTCGGCGACCCGTCGCGCGCTCTCACGCTTATCAAAGAAGGTGCGTCGCCATCGCTCGCCGCTGACATTTGGGTGCTGACGCTCTCGCTATGGCCGCAGTCATCGCCAGCCGGGGAGAACGCGCCGACTCGTCCACGACGGAAGGCGCCCGCAAGCGTCGCGTCCACCGCACCAAGGAGGAGCGTGCAGCGCAGAAGAGCGACCGCGAAGCAATCGAGCGGGAGCGTAACGCCGAGTTCACGATGGCTTTCCTGCGCCTTCAGGAGCTGGAAGGGGCTATCGAGGCGGGCGACGATGAGGCGATGAACCAGTGGCTCGAGATCGCGACGGGTCTCGTCGACTCGTTCCGCAGTACAAAGCAGCTGTTCCCGTCTGACCCGCGCAAACGCTTCACGGGCATGATCAGGACGCACAGGAGGAAGGGCAAGCGGGATCTCGAGGCGGAGGCGGACCAGCTGGCAGACCGGCTGCAGCGCTCTATCAGTGCGTGCTCAGATATAACAAAGTGCCGGTCGCGTGCTGACGGGTCGACTTTGCAGTCGCCGAAGAGGACAACGAGGTGGAAGAGACGAGTTTCCGCGGTCTCGACTTTGACGGCTGGGTCGACTTCATCCTGCGCGTGCGTCTCGGTGAAGGTTCGATCCCTCGAGAAACGACTCACGTTCAGTCCTCGTGCAGTACTGCTTCATGCTCGCCAGGACCGACGACATCGAGCTCGCCGCAGAGGTCCTGCTTCATGTCCGCGAGGCTGGCGTCTTCCGCCAGTCCGAGACCCGCCAGGAGTCGCTGCGTCTGGGTCTCATCGGTGAGCTCACTCCACTGCAAGTATGCGCCAATGCTAACGAGTAGCGCTCGTAGCCTGTTACGCCCACGCCGGCATGCACGAACAAGCGGCGCAAGAGCTTCGCTACTTTTTCCACGGCCAGCCGTTCAGCAATGAGCCGGTCCGCCTCCTTCTCATGCTCCTCTCAAAGGGCGAGTCCGCCATCGAGGCGTTCAACCTGCCGAAGCAGCAGAAGTTCTTCATCCGTCAGCTCAAGGGCGTCCAGCTTGCCGCAACCGGCGACCAAGGCCAGGACGAAGACGGTGCTGCAGGACGGGCTAGCAGTCCCGTCGCCGCGAAGAAGCCGACAAGAAAGGGCAAGGATAAGGAGCGCGCTGTTGAACCTCCTGCGGCGGAAGACGAACAGGCTGCCGACGAGGTCGGCGAGGACGAGCGGCCGGTGGGCCAGGCCAGCAGCGCCTTCACGCCCACGAAGCTCAACCCCGTCTTCTTGACGACCTACGGGTTGATGATGAACGTCTCACAGTCTCACCAGCCGGCTATCAGTGCGTCCCCCTCTGTTCCGCCAGCCTTATACGTCCGCTGACTTCGCCTCTCCCGGCAGTCTACCTACTCCGCGCCTACAAGCTCGACGACAAGCAGCCCCTCGTCAACCTCGCTCTCGCCGCAGCTTACCTCCAGCGTGCCATGGGTCGCAAGACGGACAACAGGCAGCATCAGATCGCTCAGGTGCGGACAGCTGCGGTCTGCGCTCTCGCTCTCTCGCGCCGTGCTGACTGTCATCTGATTACCTGGGCACGCAGGCCTTCGCCTTCCTTCAGCAGTACCGCAAGCTTCGCGGTAGCTGCCAGGAGGCCGACTTCAACCTTGCGCGAGCTTTCCATCACCTCGGTGCGTCTGACCCGCTGGAGCGTTGCCTCAACTCCATACTGACTCTGTGCGGACCGTCGTAGGCATGCACGCGCACGCGGTCAAGCACTACCAGAAGCTGCTCGAATCGGCGGCTGCGCAGGCGGAGCAAGGGATGGCGATCGACGGAGGGAACGACGCGAACACGGGCAAAAGCCAGAAGGAAGACCTCGTCAAAGTCGCCGCATACAACCTCGTCACGCTGTACGCCATGGCCAACGCGCCGGAACTCGCGAGGATCGTCGCGCAGAAGTGGTTGGCTGTGTGAAGAGCGGATGTAGCTTCGATCCCGCTTGAAGTCTAGCTCAGGTTCTCGCTGGCACGCGCAGTAGTTGTTGCTCGACAGCGGCAAAGCGAGGGCTTAGGGTTCATGCGATATTCGGACTACAACAGACAGTCTTCTTTTGACAGACTCAAGCCCATGGTTCGAGGTCGAGGAGCTTCTGCTGGTCGATCTCGATGGCGATGCGGTGGCGGAGACTGTGAAGGCAGAAGGTAAGGCTCGCACGGGCTGACTGAGGAAGGGCGAAGCAGCGCACTAGGGCATATTCTTCTGCTCAAAGTCGAACCCGTCGACGTCGCGCGAGAGCGACTCCATGAACATGCACTGCAGCTTGAACTGTCAGCTTTCGTCCGAGACAGATGCGAAGACGGCACGTACGGTGAAGACACCGCAATCGTCGGCGTTCGCCTGCAGCGGAACGTCCTGGAGCCGAGGTGCACCGTTAGCTTGGTGTCAGGAGAGTAAGAGCAAGGGAGCCCAACCTACAGTCATCCAGAAGTTCTCCCATTCGCTGAGGTCAATCTCCTTCCCGCCCTTCTTCGACTTGTGCTCCTCGGCAAGCCATCGGCGCAAGCGCTGCGGCAAACTATCAGCGAACGGGACGATGAACGGGGAAAAGACCGAGACGCACGTCGTAGACAAAAGCGCTAGGGTTGCCGAGCGAGTCGTAGTACTCGAAGCGTTTGAGAGCGATGTTGACGGCCGCGCAGACCCAGTGCGAGTTGTTGTGGTTAATGGGAACGATGATAATGTCCTTCTCGAACGTGTCGAACTGATCGAGGTGCGCGAAGCGGGTCAGCAAAGTTCCGGCTAGCGTGCTGCACTCGGCGAAGGAAACGGAACGCACCCGCTTGGTCCACCGCTTGACCCGCGAAAAGCCGTGGTCGCCGAACATATTCCAGAAGTGCGTGTTGAAGCAGAACGCCTTGCGCAGTCTCTTCACGCCCTCGCCTCTCGCCTTCGGCCCCTCCTTCGCCTCGCGCTTATCCGCCTCGTCGCTCCGGGCATTGATCATCGCGCCGTAGAAGTTGACGATCTCGTCGTTGAGCCAGGTGCGGTCTTTGAGGCGGATGATGTCGCGGTGTGCGGCGGACCCGCCCTTCATCGAGACGTCGTACGCCCTGTTCGCGAAGATGGCCTTGGCGCGCGCCTGGTGCTCCGCCGAAAGCGCTTTCGGGAACTGACAAGGTGAGGTTGGGGCTCGTCAGCTTGCGGAGTGGCATGTCGCGCAGACCAGACTACGCGTGACCGTACCTGTCGCTTCTGCAGCTTGACAACCTCCAGCTCCAGCTCAGCCTTCTCATCCAGCTCCTTGAGTTCCTTCTGCATCTGCTCGTACTTCTCCAACGCCTCCCTCGTCGGCTCAGCCATCGTCTTCTTCGCCTGCCGCAGCGTATGCTCGAGACGAAAGGACGAGGCAGACCGTCCGAGCTGAGTCGAGGGGACGACACCGTTCTTGGTCGGGTAGGCGGAGGGACCGGGGAAGAAGAGGGAGCGGTCGAGGGCGGAAGGGCGGACGAGCGAGCTGGTTGTGAGGGGTATGCGATGCTGCATAGCGGTTTCGCCGGCTCGTGCGCGATGCAGCTTGATGTGCTTCGAGCCTGTCGCAGAGACCGCACATCAGCCGGTGAGTGTTAAACGCCAGTAGCGAAGAAAGGTTGACGAACCGAGTTTCGCATCCTCCTGCTTCAGCATCTGCTCGTTCTTCTGCCTATACACCCGTTCCTCCAACGCATCCTCCGCCTCCGGCGCCTCTTCCTCATCGTCCACGTCAAAGTCGAGCCCACGATACCGCGTTCGCACGTCGTTCGTCGAAGCGGCCTTCCGCAGCTGGGCGTCTCGTCGCAATTCTTCGACCGTTGCGCGGTCTCGGTTCGCGAGGTCTGCCTTGTGCTGTTTCGTTCGAGTCGAGGTGATGCGGGAAGACGGTTCGACGAGAAAAGGAAGTTCAGGTGATGATTGGCGGAAGAGTCGGCGAGAGAAGGACGAGTCGGTCGTTTCGGCCGGCGATTCGGACGGAGACGAGACGGTGGAGTGATGCGGTACAAGGAACGTCGAGGGGATCGAAGGAAGTGGAGGAGAAAGTGCCGGATCCCAGGTCGGCGCCCAGGGTGGACGAGGGTTATCCGAAGGTCCAGCCGGTTCGGGTGTGGGCGATAGGAGATTGGCATGAAGAGTAGGGACGACAAAGTCGGAGGGCGATGGCGGGCGCGGTTTGATTCGAGAACGAGGTAGTGTTTCCAGAGTTGTCGAGAAGGAGGAGATGCGTTTCTTCGAACAGGTCAGCTCGCTCAACGCGTGTTCTCGCTCGTTCGCCACGCCTCAGCGCCGGGTATCATGTGACGCACCTTGTCGCTCCCCATCGGCTTCTTGCGCTGATACCCTCCCAGTAGACCTGACGTTCCCGGCGCTCCGTTCAGCAAGCCGTTCGACCCTCCCGCCATTCGCGCAGGACTCGCATCCGTCCCGAAGAACCCTCCATTCGCCGCAAGTTGACTGTGCTTCGCTCGCTGTGCACCCTCGATCTTCAGCTTGAGCGCCTTCAGCCGCTGTTCGAGGTCGAACACCTGAGGAGAGTCCTTCGAGACCTCGCCGCCCTGCGCTCGCGCTTCCATCCTGTACCAGACGAGCTCTTCTTTGATCTGCTTGTGCTCCTGCCTGAGCTGCTTGAGCTCGCGGCGCGAGAGGGGAGAGATGCCGTTGGTGGTGGGGGCTGAAAGACGGCGGGGAGCTCGTGGGTCGGGGTGTGGGAGGCTGGTGGATGTAGTAGCGAGGTTGAAGGCTGCGAGAACCGCACAAGCGAGCCCGAATGAGAGTTAGCGAAGCCTCTCGCATCTCATCAAGACGAGGTGGAGCAGGAGGCCAAACACACCTGATTTCGCCGCCACCTTGATCAGGTCAACGCCCTGCGTGAAGAAAGCGCCCCAGGGTGCCACCCAGGTCGCAGGCGAGCTGTCCTGCTCGATGTCGTCGCGGCGAACTCGCTTGTTGCTCGACGGCGACGCGCCTCGAAGGACGACGGCGTCGGCGCGGTGGTCGGGCGAGCGGTGCGCGTCTGGCGAGTCGTGCGCGCTCAGACGGCGCTTCAGCGTAGGCATACAATCAGCTGGGGACGAGCGGTGCGGACGAGGGCAAGCCAGATGTCACGAATACAAGCTCGTTCGTATTCAACCGATTACAACTCGCCATTACAACCCGCTGACCCCTCTCTTCCTCCTCTATCTCGCTCTTTCTGGCCAGACTGCTCGCAGAGTGCCACAAACGCTTTATCCGAGTCATCCACGCCACCCAGCTTTGTCCCACGCCGCGACATTCACTCTGTCCCGAACTTCATCGCTTCATCTCGCGACACCCGACGATGGGACTCAAGCACCTCGAGTACCTCGCCGTGCCGTCCACTCTGACCAATGGCAAGGTGTTCGGGTGCAGACGGTGCAAGACCCACCTCACAACGAGCGAGCAGATCGAATCAAAGGTCCGTCCGCTCCCTCTCCGAGTCGAGGGTCATGTGGGGCACGCCAGCGATGGCTGCTTGCAAGGCTCTAGGGACACTCGATCGACGGCTCTGACGCTCTTGGACCCGCAGAACTTCAACGGCCAGCACGGGCGGGCGTACCTCTTCACCAATGTGTCCGTCTCGACCTCCTCGCTCCCCTTCGCTCTCCGAACTTACCCGTCGCTCCTCACAGCGTCAACATCTGCACCGGTCCAGCCGAGGACCGACCAATGACGACGGGATTGCACACGGTCCGAGACGTCATGTGCGCAAAGTGCGGCGAGACGCTCGGCTGGAAGTATGGTCAGTCGCGGAGAATACTCTTGGCCGCTCTTCCGTTTGATGACTGGACGAGCGATCCATCCGCGGTCAGGATGTCGTCGACTGACATGATCTTCGGCTCACAGACAAGGCATACGAGGCGAATCAGAAGTACAAGGAGGGCAAGTTCATCCTCGAGCGAGCAATGTGGAGTGCGTTTTTTCGCTCCCCATCTATCTCGGACAGCTCTGACGGTCACTCTACCCGCAGCCGACGTTCAATGAGCCTCTGCCCGCGTTCTCGCCTCCACCATACCGCGCCGCATCCTTCGCCTTTCATCACTTCATTCACCTCGTTGTTGCCACCCTTTCCCTCGCATCTACCTATAGCCAGCACCCTTCGTTATACAGGCTCGCTTTCTGTCTATACTGCTCCTCCTTTGTTGCCTTACTCTCGCAGCTCTGCTCTTCGTCTTTCCACCAACCCCGTTCACCTCTTCTCGTTCCGGTCACGTCTCGCCGTCTCTCCTCCGCCTGTAGCTCCCGCTTTAGACACTGTTCTCGTTTGTACCGTCGTTGGTGACGCCGCTAGCGAGAGGTACTCGAGCAGACCGTCCCGCCCTGCTCGCCTCGCACAGTGAACCGCTCCGTGAAGATATGCAAGGATACAATGCTGGTAATAGATAGGGATGTACCAAGAGACGCTAAACAACCTCCTTCGTCCCTTCTCGCTGCCACACCTCCTCCGTACCCTCAACTTCCGCCCGCTGGTCCCTCCCGCTCGCCTCCGCCTCCGCCACTACATCCTCCTTCGTCCCTACCTCCTCCAACTTCTCCCCTCTCTCTTCAGGCACAACTTCCCCCTTCCGCGGGGCCTTCACAGCCGCTCGTTCCATCGAGTAGTGCTTCAGGAGGAAGGAGATGAGGAAGCCGATGAAGAGGAGCGGGGTGCAGATGATCCATGGGAAGTTTAGAGAGCGGGCGTAGGCGTTCAGGACTTGGCGACGGAGTTCCGGCGGCTGAGGGACGAGCGAAGTTAGTGAGAGTTCCGGCAGACAAGGGAGGGAAAGAATGAACTTGGATATCCACGAGTCCTTGTACCGCTCCGACCGCCGCACCACTCTCCATCCCACTATACCCCTGAATACCTCCCAACCGTTTCTTCAGCTGACTGGCATAGATAGCGCCCGACACTGAGATTCCGACTGTTCCGCCGACTGAGCGCATGAGGGCGAGGGTGGCGGTCGAGGTGGCCATGTCTTTGACGGGCATGGAGGCTTGGATGTGGAGCATCGGGAGTTGGAAGAGAGGGCCAATGCCGAGGGCGGCGACGAGGAGGTAGAGCATTTGCTTGGCTCTGTAGTTGCGAAGGGGTCGAGATAGAATCAGTTGCAGCCCGCGGAAGAGACGTCGCATGAAAGCGACGAGGGTAGACGGAAGGAGACGAACCGACTCGAGGTCTCGTCGAGGGTGCAGACGAGCGCGAAGCCGAGTGTCGAGATGAGGTACGACAAGATGATGAGCTCCTTCGTACGCTTGAGCTGCGAGTGGACGGCCTCTCAGCAGTCACGCAAGTTTGAGAAGCGGAAGAACGAATCGAAGACGCACCTTGGCCACGATGAAGCCGTACGCGACTCCGAAAAGCGCGGTGCCGACCGAAAAGGGCATCATGAGTACGCCCGACATGAGCGGCGACGAGCCGAGTGCTTGGAAGTAGAGCTGTGCAAGGCGAGAAGGTCAGCCGGTGTGTAGGAACGAGGGAAGGAGACGGGAATCGCACCGGCTCGTAGTACGAGAGCGGGATGAAACCGAACGCCTGGAAGAAAACGCCGATGAGGAGAGCCGCGCTCGTCCTGATGCGGAACAATCGTGGAGGGATGATAGGCGACCGCTTAGTCTTGAGTTCGACGCCGACGGCCGCGAGGAGGGTGCAGACTCCGACGACCAGGCAAGCAATCGTCTGTGCTGACGACCACGACGTCTCGCCCGAGGTGAAACCGACCAGGAGGACGACAAGTCCGGCGACAAGAAGGAACAGACCGAGGAAGTCGAAGGTCGAAATGAGGTAGGCGATCTTCGGCGGCGTATGTGGGTTGAGGTTGAGGAAGAAAAAGAGGAGGACAAGCGCGAGCGACGCGGTGGGTAGATTTATCCAGAAGCACCACCTCCAGGACGCTTTCGATGTCAGGACACCGCCCAGAAGAGGGCCGACGACGGCGGCGAAACCCCAGGTCGCGCCGATGATGCCGGTGTACTTGCTCCTCGACTGCAGGGTCGTGATATCGCTCACCACGACCTGCGTCATCTGCATAACGCCTCCTCCTCCCACGCCTTGCACGCCGCGGCAGACGCAGAGCCAGACGATGTCTTGAGCGGCGCCGCAGAGAGCGGATCCCTGCAACGGCTGGGTCAGCCTCCTCGTCCCGTGATTGACGCCGTGACGAGCTGATTACGCGTCACAGCGATGAGGATGCAGGACGCACAATGATGAATACCACGATTGAGGAGAAAAAGACAATCTTCCGCCCGAAGTAGTCGCTCAGCTTGCCGTAGCAAGGCGCGAGCGACGTGACGCAGAGCAAGTACGCTGCGCTGACCCAGCTTAGCGAGCCTGTCGTGCCGTTCAGGTCCTTCGAGATGGTCGAGAGAGCGGTCGCAACGATGGTCTGCGCCGAAAACGTCAACATGGGTCGTCTGGCGAGACGTAGACAAGACGTACTTGGTCAAGCGCCGCTAGGAACGTCGTCAACGCCAGGCAGAACATGACGATGGGCATGTTGTTCTTCGGGATGACTGCAGGACGAGGAGAACAACGGCGAGGAGGTTTAGTGAGGCTTCGACGATGACCAGCTACTCCCTCTGACGCGCTGTACGTCCTCGACGACCCCAATGTCCATCGTGTCCACCGCACGACCCATTCGCGGCACATCGCGGCAGCGCCATGCGGCGAGGTGTGGAGGCGAAGGCGCAAAAGGACGGCACGCACCCTGCTGGTCGACCGGCTTGGGTTCGGATGGTGCGGTCGACGCTCCATTCTCCTCTGCGACGACCGTCTCCGAGCTGCCCGTCCGTGCGGGGTCGAGCGAGTGAGCCGGGTCCAAGTTCCTGAGGTTCTGCTGAGCAAGCTGGACGTCGACCTCTGACTCTGTTCGCGGGTTCAGCACGGGTGCCGCAGCGTCGAGAGTGCCAGCCTGGGCCGACAAAGCGCGCTGCAGCGGCATGGCGAGCGTTGTGCGTCGAGGAAGAGGAAACGAAAAAGAGGAACTCCGTCGGCACGCGGGGCGTCCGATCTCGAGACTCGGCCGGGCCAGCGGAAATCGCGGCAGTCGTTCCAGCGTCGTCAACGACTCGCCCAGCGACGCGGTAGCAACGCCAGATCGTGTAGCGTCGTCCAAGACTGCCAGCGTGACCCTCGATGAACAGAACAACCGAAGTCGCCGGGAGGAGTCAGGCAGCTTAGTGGCAGCTTGCCTTGTCGAGTCGAGACGACACGAGCGCGCCAAAGGAGGAGAAGCGGAGAGTAGCCGTTGAGGCGAGAGGTCAACCTGGTCGAGGAGGAGGAAGTGCGGAAGTGCGGTTTGACATCGTTTCACTTGGTCCTTCCGCTCGTCTGCTACGCTAGATGCCATTCAGACTGGCTGAGTACGACCTGCAACCACTCGCAGGTCCCTCGAACGCGCTCGCTCGTCCTCAGAACGCTTCATCAGCCCACTCGCTCGACCTCCCGTTCGTCGACCTCGACAACCCTCCGCGGAAGAAGCCGAGGCTGTCAAGCGGACGAGACACTGTCTCTGAGCGCGTGGCAGGCGGCGCAAAGGGCAAGGCGGCGGAAGTGATGGTGCTCGAGGACGACGACTTTGATGAGGCTATGCAGGAGGAGTGGGAGGGCGACTGGGACGACGGGGCGGCAGACGGGTCAGCTGAGGAGCAAGACAAGCTCCAGCAGGTGCGCCAAGCGACTCCACGCTGCCGAAGCTGCCTGACTTCTCGCCTCTCCAGCTCGAGGCAGAACTCGCCAGTCTCGACAATCAGATCCGCGAGCTACAGCGCTTGCGCAACGAGGTTCGCACTGAGCGCGATACCGTCAAGGCTACCATCGCGAGCCGGAAGAGTAGCGCGCCGAAGACCAAATCCGCCGCGGCCTCCCGTCCTTCTGCTGGCGCTATCGACTACACCTCGAAGCGCTTCTCGTGGTCCGACGAAGCCGAGCGCCTTGCAGGCGACATTTGGGGCGTCAAGAAGTGGCGACCTGGGCAGGAAGGCGCATTCAACGCGACGCTTGACGGGCGCGAAGTCGTCGCGGTCCTCCCGACAGGCGGCGGCAAATCCCTCATCTTCCAGATCCCGGCGCTCCTCTCGAAGGGCACGACTATAGTCATCACGCCGCTCATCTCGCTCATGTCGGACCAGGTGCACAACTTGCACGCTCGCGGCGTCGCGGCCGAGATGATTCATGCCTCGACCTCGCAGTCCGAGATCAAGGGGATCATGCAGCGCATGCTTGGGACAGTGGGCTCGAAGGGAAAGGGGAAGAAGGCGGCTGCCGCGGCGGAGCAGGCCGAGGAGGTCAAGCTCGTCTACGTCACGCCGGAGCGCATCGAAAAGAGCAAAACGTTCGTCAACACGTTGCAGAAGATGTACGACGCCGGCCTTCTTGCCCGCTTCGTCATCGACGAGGCGCATTGCGTGTCCATGCAAGGCCACGACTACCGCACGTCGTACCTCTCCCTCCAACGCCTCAAAGTCCTCTTCCCGTCTACCCCGATCCTTGCCGTCACCGCGACTGCACCGCAGACCGTCGTCGCCGACATGCTCAAGATCCTGACGCTTCCGTCCAAGCTCTCGCGGGGCAATGCCGCGATGCCGAAGACGACAGTTCTTTTCACCGCGCCGCTCTACCGCCCAAACCTGCGCTACGCGATCGTGCCGAAACCCTCGTCTGCCCAAGCTGCGCTCGACGCCATTGTCGACTGGATCCTCGAGAACCGCAAGGGCTCGACAGGCATCATCTACACGCTCAGTCGCGCCGACAGCGAGAACCTCACGAAAGGCATCAACGGCCACGACCGCGCCAAGGGCAAGTTGCGCGCCGCTTTCTACCACGCCTACCTCGAAGATGCCGACAAGCAGCGCGTGCACGAGATGTGGATGAGCGGAAAGATCCAGGTCGTCGTGGCGACGTCCGCATCGTTCGGGCTCGGCATCGACAACCCGAATGTCCGCTTTGTCATTCATCACTCGCTACCCAAGTCGCTCGCCAACTACCAGCAGGAGAGCGGACGCGCCGGGCGAGATGGCGAGCCGGCTGACTGCGTGACGTTCTGGAGGGCTGCCGACGCCTCCCGTCTCTCGTCGCTCACCTACGAGACATTCCACACCGGCGGAAAGGACAAGCGTGCGTTAGTCGTCCTCTCCGAGAGGTCCGAAGACTGATGTGCTCGCCCCTGACAGTCTACGAAGTTGTGCGCTTTGCGGAAGACAAGAAGACCTGCCGCAAGATCCTCTTCGGCCGCTACTTCCGCAACTCATACGACTCGTCCGTCAATACTGGGGAAGACTCGGACAAGCCTTGCGGGCATTGTGACAACGTGAGTGTAGCGAGGCCTTCGTCTCCAAGCCATCGTTGATCATTACTTCCGAGCAGTGCCTTCGCGACCCGGCTACCGTCTCGTCGATCGACATCTCGCTCCAAGCCTACCGCGCCCTCCGCATCATCTCTTCAGCGACCTCCCAGCGCGGCACGCTCACCCTGCCGCAAGCAGCCGACCTCGTCCGCGGTCTCGGCGGCGGAAGCTTCTCGACGCAGGAGGTAAAGGGCAAAGGGAAGGGCAAGGTCGACGTGCAGGCCGTCGCGGGAGAAAAGGTCACGCTCAGCAAAGACCAGACGGAGCAGATGCTGTTGCGGCTGCTCGTCGATGGTTTCTTGAAGGAGGAGTTCCACGCTAGTGAGTCTTCGCTTCGTTCACGCTTTCGTTCTTCATATCACTGACTGTTGCACTTCTGCAGCTGCCTACGCCGTTAACTCGTACCTCCACCCCGCCTCGAAGGCCCTTCGCTTCACTCGCCTCTCACCGGACGACGTCGACTCGTCAAATTTGCCGCTCAACCTGACGATGGACGTCCTCGTCGGCGCCGGCTCGAAGCGCAAGAACGGCTCGGCGCAGAGCGACGGCAAAGCGCCGAAGAAGCCGAGGACTAAGAAGGCTGCGCCCGTCGCGCTCGAGACGGACAATGAGAGCGAGACCGACTTTCGCCGGACTATCAGGGGTGGCACGTTGCAGGACGACGTCGATGCCGACGAGGATGAGCTCGAGGCGTGGGAGTCGGCGCTTGGAGCGGGCACGAGCAGCGACGCTGCATTGGACGAAGACGGTTGGGCGAGCGTCAAGACGTCGAGGAAGGCGAGCGCGGAAGGCACGGGCGTTCTCGAGCTTGACTGACTGGCTTGCTCCACTGCATTGCATCGCTTTCGCTATCTACTCATGTGTGCGAGACGTCGTGCTTGCCGCGCTGGACTGCTTGCATCACAGTCGTGCGTGTAGCCTCTCACGCCTACCTTGCTGACCTTTCTATGCCATTCGCAGCGCACCCTCGACCCGGCTCTGCGCGACGATGGCCATCAACGACGGAGGCGCCTGGATCGTCGACATCGTCCTCAAGGCGCTGTGGGCGAACACGCAGCCGAAGCCACTCATCACGCGCGGGTCGGAGCGGCGGGAAGCGCAAAGGCGGGCGCAGGAGCTCGCGGAGGAGGCGAAAAAGACTGAGTAGTCGAATGTCAACTCTCTAGAAGTGGTTTCCTCTCTTTTCCGCTCGCCCGCAACTCGCAGTCGCATTCATTCTTGTCGCCTGTACGCTGTCACAGACAGTCCTCGTCCACCGTAGACAGCGCTCGCAGGCTGCAGATATCGCTGTCGCCGTCTGCCCTCCTCCCCCCCTCCCTCTTCCACTTCACCTCGCTCGCTCGAACCAGCGAACACGCTTGCCCAGACACGCTGTTCATCTCTGTGCCCTCTTCTACGCGCCTGCTGGCCGTCGCACGCGCGCCACTCGCCGTGAGCGCCTCACGCCGCTTCATCGCCCTCTCGGTCAACCTGCGCTCGATGCCACCCAAACGCCCCGTCGAGACGCTCGTCCTCAGCTCGGACGAGGAGGATACTGCTCCAGTCGCGTCTACAAGCCGTTCGCGCACCGCCTCGAGGAAGTCTCGCTCGCCTAGTGGGGCTTCCGCACGGAGCGAGGAGGACGACCCAGAGCTCGCTCTCGCCCTGAAACTATCGCTCGACGAGGCCAACAAGGAGAAGGAGAACCGGCAGGCCAGCGCAGAGTCGGGGCCAGCGGGCGGAGGCGAGTCGCGGGCGGAACTCGAGCGTGCGAGATTGGAGCGGCAAAGGCAGTGGGAGGCGAAGCGTCCGCAGATTGCAACTGCGCCGTCGACTGCAGCACCGACGACCAAGCGCCGCCGTATCGCGACCCTGTCCGATCTGCCTGCGGACGAAGAGTTGCCGACTTCCTCCTCGTCTGGCGGACAACCTGCCTCTTCGTCTCGATCCTCTCCCTCGAACTCCGTCCCGAAGGTCTTCCAGCGGTTCTACAAGGGTGCCGTCCGACGCGTCGCCAACCAGTGGTACCCCGACAGCGATTCTTTCGCCTTCAAGGAAGTCGTCGGCCCGCCTTCGACGCTCAGAGGCGCGGTTGTCTCGGCCTACTGCCTCGACGAGGAATGGATCGCCGAAAACCTTCCCGACCAGGCTTTCCTCCTTTACGTCCGCCCCCGTCAGCGTGGCGAAGCGACTCCCGACTTTGCGGAATACTCGTGGCGGGCCAACACCTACCGCGTCGTCCCGAAAGATATGACGCAGAACCCACGCGGCGGCATCATGCACACCAAGCTCCTCATCTTCTACCACGAGGACTTCTGCCGCATCATCATCCCGACCGCCAACGCCGTCAGCTACGATTGGAGCCAGATCGACAACGCTTTCTATGTGCACGACTTTCCTCGCAGGCGGTCTGCCTCGCCCGTCAACGAGGAGTCGAACCCGTTCAAGAACACGACGCACACGCAGTTCTCGAAGAAGTTCTTCCAGGTCTGCTATTGTGCGTTCGGTTGTCTCGCCGGTACTCGACGGCTCAGATCGCCCTTGCAGCGTCATCAGTCCGCAGCACTGACATTGCTACACTGCAGACCTCAGCATCCCCAAGCACATCCTCCAGGAGTCGCTGCAATACGACTTCTCCAGCTCGACCGACGTCCAGCTCGTCCACTCGAACCAAGGTGCGCCCGGAGCTTGCTTCCAGTCGCATCAACGGTTCCTTGACGGTGAAGCTCACAGGCAAGTTCCCTGCGGTCGACTACGACAAGGGCGGTGGCATCGCTGGTCTCGCCAAGGCGGTGTCGGCGCTGAATTTCGCAAGCGGCGGACACTGGGAGATCGAGGTCACGGTACGAGCCGAGTTCTCCTGCTCTCGACGAGCGCACCTAACGCGACGCCATCTCGCAGGGCTCGTCGATCGGCCAGTACTCGTCGACCTGGTTGACCCAGATGCTCGCCGCCTGCTCGGGCATCCACCCGTCGACCTACTTCCGCTCGGGCAAAGGCAACGACGTTCCTTCACAGCTGCCGAGAACGCCTTCTGGCCAACCGACGCGCCTCCCCATCAAGATCGTCTTTCCGACGCAAGACGAGATTCTCGGCAGTCCTGGCGGAGCAGGAGTGAGTCTTGCTCGTCCTCTTCGGACTCCGATGCTGCGCTAACGCTCCTGATTTCAGCACGGCGGCACGATCTTCTGCCCGAGCAAGACGTGGAACAGCCTGACGTTCCCGAAGCACCTCTTCCACCGCGGCGAGAGCAAGCGCAAGAACATCCCGGCACACACCAAGATCAGTGCGTGGGCTCGCGTCTCCCTGCCGCTCCTCTCTTACTGACTGCCTCTTTCGCAGTCCTCGGCTTGCACAGGTTCGCAAAAGCGCCAACTCCGCCCGTGCACGAAGGCTTCGTCTACCTCGGCTCGCACAACTGTGAGTGCGGAACTTGCTGCAATGCGCTTCGACCGGACTAACAGGCTTTCTGCGCAGTCACTCCTTCGGCATGGGGTCGGCTTCAGAACGGCAAGGATGGCCCGCAGCTGTTCTGCAACAATTACGAGCTCGGCGTCGTTCTTCCTCGTGCGTCCTCTCGAGCGCGTCTCTCCGCTCACCTCGGCTGACGGTATCGCACTCCCAGTCCGCGCGTCTTCGGCCGAAGAGCTTGAGGCGAAGGCTACCGAGCTGGTCACGTACAAGCGACCGCTCGTCAAGGTGTGTGTGTTCTCCAACGCTTCTGCTAAACCCTTGCGTCCAGCTGACTGGTCTCGCATGCAGTACGGACCGAACGACGTGCCGTGGCAGCAAGAGCTTTTCCTCAAAGACGACTGATTCCACTTTCCCAACGCCTGTTTCCGCGTCCCTCTCCGTCGGTGCTGTTGTTGACAATGCCATACTCGCTTTGCAAGCTTCGGTGGCCTTCCTGCGGCGAGAGAGACGCAAGTCGGGAACACCGAAGTCTCGTAAGGCGGTGGGAAAGGCAAGACTTTCTAGGCTCATCCGCGACTCCACATGCAGATATGAATGCGACTGCGAGTTGCGAGCGAGAGGAAAAGAGAGAAAACCACTTCTAGAGAGTTGACATTCGACTACTCCGTCTTTTTCGCCTCCTCCGCGAGCTCCTGCGCCCGCCTTTGCGCTTCCCGCCGCTCATCTCGCCGCTCCGACCCGCGCGTGATGAGCGGCTTCGGCTGAGTGTTCGCCCACAGCGCCTTGAGGGCGATGTCGACGATCCAGGCGCCTCCGTAGTCGATGGCCATCGCCGCGCAAAGACGAGTCCGGAACGACCACTCCATGTCGACGAGCTGGAGCCAGCGGTTGAACTCGGGCACAAAGTCGGTCGCGCCGGAGAAGGCGACCGCTGCGACACCGAGGAGGCCGTAGTACAGCGCCGAGTTCTCCGAGATGTTCTCGCGGAAAGGCCGTCCCTGGAAGTTGATAGCAAAGGTCGAGATCTGCTGGCTCAGCGAGATGAGATAGACGGCCGAGTTGAGCAGATTGGGCGAGAACTTGGCGTCCAGGTCGATGTCCTTGCCGATACGGCTGTAGGAAGGAGCTTGTCAGCTTTTGCGTCTCGGTGGAGGAGAAAGCCGCGGACGCACGGCTCGTACTGCTCGCTCAGGTTCGTCACGTAGATGAACGAGGCGACGTGGATGGCGAACTGCACGAGGATCGAGACGACGACGTAGGCGTTGAAGATCGAGGCGAGAGGGCGCTCCTTCGAGAGCTTGTCGACGGGCTGCATCAAGGCACCGTCAGTTGGGTGGGTCGACAAAATCGGTCTACAAAGAGGCCGACTCACCCTCGCACGCGAGATGCACATGAAGCAGACGCTCAAGAGGATTCCGGTGATGGTCATCTGGTAGTCGCCCGACTTGATGCCCTGGAGGTACTGCACCGAGAGCGCGTAGGCCGAGATGAGGCAGTTGAGCGCGAGGATCTTGTACATCTGAATGGTCGCGACGAGAGTGCAACGACCCTGGCGGATGATGTGGCTGATGGCGGCGACATTGGCGAGCTTCGAGGTGAACGGCGCGGCGACCGAGGCGTCGCCGAGCTTGATCTGCGGCACGTCCTGGTCGTCCTCAAGGTTCGACAGCTGCTCCGTGATGGCCGAGACGTCGAACTTGTTCACCTTGCCCTTCTGCCTGTCCGAGGTCACGTTCTTGGCGGCCTCCTGCTGCGCCTTGACCGCGTCCGGGAAGAGGTCGGCGATGAGAGGCGGGACGGGAGGAGGCGGCTGGCCGAAGCGAGAGGTGATACGCAGTTGCTGTTCGTAGACTTTCTTGACGCGCTCCTTCTTCTGGTGCTCGAGGATCGCTTTGAGGTCCTCCTCCGTACCGTTGAGCAGCGCGACACCAATGTTGGCCTGCTTGAGAGCGCCGACATCGTTCGTGCCGTCGCCAGCCATGAGCGTAACGTAGCCAAGCGACTTGAGGGTCGTGAGGATGAACTCCTTCTGCGCGGGCGAGACACGCGCGTAGACCCAGGTGTTCTGGACGAGGTGGTGCCAAGACTCCTTGCGATCGACGTACTGCTTGAGTGCAGAGCCGGTCATGCAGATGTCGTACTTGTCGAAGAGCGAGGTGTCGATCGGGTCGGCAGGGTTGACGGGAATGACGATAGACTCGTCCGGCGAGCGCCACGTGAGTTCTGTGCAACGACATCGTCAGCAACGGGCGCATGATTCGCGAAGAGAGCCGACGCACCCGACTCATTCTGCGCGCCCTCTTTTAGGTCGAGGATGAGGACCTCGCGGTCGACGATCTCGACATCCCGCGCAACGTGAACGGCCGTGAGAGGGTTGTCGCCAGTGATCATGACGCAGCGGTGCGAGGCGTCGGCAAGGTCCTTGAGGGTCTGGACGGCGTCGGCCTTGAGCGGGCAGTGGAAGACGAGGAAGCCGGCAAAGGTGAGCTGCGACTCGACGTTCTCGCGCGCGATAGTCGTCGTCTCGTTCTTGTTCATGCCGTCGATCCACTTGTAGCCGAGAGCGAGAACGCGGGACCCGCGCTGAGCGTACCACTTGTAAGTCGCCTGGTACTCCTCCGGAACCGACGTGTACATGCTCTTGAGCGTCTCAGGGGCGCCCTTGACCGCAACGAGTGTGCGGACAGACGAAGGGCCGGTCTGAACAAGCGAGATGGTCGACATGCGCTTGAGCTGCGAGGAGAACTGGAAGCGGCGGCGGACAACGACCGAGACGCCGTCCTTCTTGTGCGCCGCGTCATCAGTCGGAGTGAGCTTGTCGCCGTTTGAGAGCTTCCACTTGAGCGAGTCGAGAGTCGCCTTCTCCATCGGGTCGCCAACAATGCCGTCGTCGAGGAGGACAAGGGCATGAGCCGAGGCGAGGGTGAGAGTCGTTTCGAGGCTGGTGTCCTGGACAGGCACGAGAGTTTTGCGGTCGTTCGAGCTGCGCGATGTATGCTATCAGCGGAACCCGGCGATTCGAAAGCTCGAGACAACGCACTCGTCGCCAGCAACGCCCTCCACCACGAGGTCTTCGCCGGTGATCGTTCCGGTCTTGTCGAAGCAGCAGATGTCAACTCGTCCAGCGTACGGGATGCGGAACGGCTCGGTGCAGAAGATGGCTGGCAGGCGCGTGTTCAGCTAGCAGCGAGGACGGAAGCAGAGGCGCGACTCACAGTACTTGCTGAGCGCGACGAGACTCGCGTTGACGGCCATCGAGAGCTCCATAGGCAGCTCGGGCGGGACGACAGAGGTGATGATGATGACGCAGTCGAGGAGGAGCTTGGAACGCTTGCGATCCTGCTCAAGACCTGGTCGACGAGGACTGTCAGCCTCACCCTTCTTCTGGATCGCCAGGGACCGGACTTACCCTTGATCCAGACGTAAGCACTAGCTGCGAGCGCGAAGACGAGAAGAAAGGCGATGAAGAGGAACGACTCGAGGTTGTTGGCCGTGACAGTTTCGGTCGAGAAGATCATGGTGCGGATGAGCTGGCCCTGACTGGTTCCGAAGCCGGTCCTGAGAACGATGGCGAGGCATCCATGGTCGGGAGCAGCCATCTTGTCCTTCGGATCGACGCCGGTCGCCTGGAGGACCTTCGTGCCGCCGAAGAGAACCGAGTTGCGGTCGACGCCGTCCATGTCGAGCTTGTCGTCTCCCGGACGGAGCTCGACGGATTCCTTGAGGAGTGGAGTCGACTCGCCGGAGAGCATGGCCTCGTTGACGATGCAGGAGCCGCGGAGGAGGAGAAGGTCGCAGGGAACGCCGGAGTCTTCCTTCGTGCGGACTGCGGAAGGGGGAACATTAGCTTCGAAGCCTCGAAGAGCGGACGCGGGCGACTTACCGATGCTAACGATGTCGCCAGGAAGAAGCTCGTCCGTCTGCACCTCGATCCACTTGTTCTCGCGGCGAGTCATGATGCCGTAGGGCTTGATCGACATGCTGCGGAACTCGCTGACGGTGCGGAGGCGCTGTAAAATTCGGAAAGATCAGCTGAATGCGGCAGATCAGGGAGAGAAAGGGAGAACGCACCTGAAAGATCGTGACACATTCGAAGACTACCAGCATGAACAGCGTGAAGAGGCTGTAGTACCAGTAGTCATCGAACAACCACAAGGCCGTGCAGAAGAGCTGGAAGACGAAGAACGGCGCGACGGCGTGCTCGGCGAAGAGTTCTCCGAATGTCGGGACGGGAATGTCGAACTCATTCTTGCCGTAGTCGGTTCGCGCCTGCTCAATTGCGGTGGTCGTGGTAAGGCCCTTCGAGGACTGTAAGGTCGAGAGGGCGGGAGCGCCGTCGCAGGGGTACGAGACGCGGCCGAAGGTCGAGGTGGAGTGGTTGAACATGTACTTGTCGCGTTGATAGGAGAAGTAGATCAAGTCGGGCTGGCCGGGGCGCTGCAGGGTGTACATCTAGTCAGTACGAGGCTCTGCAAGGCTCACGGAACGCAACAAACCTGAGTCCTGTGGATCTTGCACATCTCGGGCTTGCCACGGTGGAGCTTCGGGAGGACCATGACCTGTTGCGCCGTTGCGAGATCGTCGACCTGTACAATCCGTGCATACTGATCAGCCTCTTGCGCTCACGGCTGGCAGGAAAAGGGGTACGAACATGGCGAGCCTCTCCCCTCGCCCTGAACTGCATGCTCCAGCGCGTGAAGAGGAAGGAGAGCGCATGTCCGCCGAAGAGAACAATGCAGAGGAGGAATGTCCACTCTGCCGGCGAGACCAGATCAGCTCAACTCGCGGTCGTCGACCACCTCTTCCTCCTCGTCGAAAGCGGACCACCACAACTCACCGATGCTCCTGATCCAGTCGTCGTATCGGTTGTAGAACGCATGGTACGCCAGCGGGTATGCCACGAGCCACGGCAGGACGTACACGCGCGCCCATGCCGGCAGCGGGTTGACGAGTTGCAGCGAGGCGATGTCGGGGCTGGCGACGGCGACTCGCCCGCCTGGGAAGCGGAGGGATGCCATCCCTGCAGTCGTAGAACGAGCCTGAACACGAAGCGAGCCTGGCAAGCGAGATGCGAGGTGGTCGACGACGCACAGCAGCGAACGCGCCAGCGTGGCGATTTCGCTAAGTCCCTCGAAACGGCCAACACGGCTTTCGTGGGCGCGAACGACTCTACAGGTCAGGAAATGATCTCCAGGTACTCGCAGAGACATGGCAGAGATACAGGGCGGCGTTGCAAGCGTCCTGCGCAAGACCAGAAACCCGGAAGAACGACATGCGAGGGAGAGAATCGAGAAACGGCAGTAAGAGAGGTATGATGGGCCCGTCGAGGCGTCTAGGCGGATGCGGTGGCAGTGGGAAGAGTCGGGAGGGGAACAAATTCGTTCGAGCGCTCGTATTCGTACTGCGGGAGCGGGAGATGATCAGTCTCGCGTGCAGCTGGCCAAACACCCGACTGCGCTCGGCTGTGCAGCGCAATCAGGTCAATGCGGTACAGATGCGAGCCGACGCTCACCATATCCAGTGCGACAACACAGCTCTCCCTCACAACCCTCGGCACGTCCTGCCTCTGCGCGAACTCCTTCAAGATTGGCAAGCACTCGTCCGTCGCGATGCCACCCAGCGCTTCGGCAGCTTCGTGGCGGACCATGTCTTCCTCGTGTGGTCGGCGGAGGACGTCGATGAGCGAGGGCACGGAGTCGGGAGAGGAGAGCTGGCCGAAAACGAAGGCGATCTCGTGCCTATGTAGGAGGCAAAACAGCAGAGTCAGCATCCGTACTATGTGCACCAGCATCTGACGATGCGTGACGCTCAAAACGCACCGGAAGAGAGCACTCTCGTCCTCAAAGCCCTTCGCAAGCGCCAACACCGCCTCCCGGTCTCCGATATTCCGCAGCGCAAACATGGCGCGGTAGCGCTCGAACAAGCTCAGCTTGGTGTCGAGGAGGATGCGCTCAAGCTCGGGAATGGAGAGGTCGGTTGCGGGGGAGAGGGCGGCGGAGTGGGCGGAGGCGACGAGGGGCGAGTGGGAAGCGGCAGGTGCGGGGTCGATGCAGGGGTACTGGCTGTAGAAAAACGAAGCTCCGATATCAGCGATTGCGAACGGAAAGAGGCTTGAAGCGAGCTGATTGCGGCGTCCGCCAACTCACTTTGGCTCCGCCTTCTTGCCCTCCTCCGAGTTGTCGAACACGATCTTGTCGACGGCAATCTCGCACGTCTCCCTGATAGCAGGGTTCTCATGCTTGAGGTATTTTCGCAGCGCAGGGAGCGCATCCTCAGAACCGATCGCCCCCATCGCCTCAGCAGCCTGCGGAAGCGCGCTTGAGTGTCAGCACCGAGTCGTGTCCCCCGTCGCCGTTCACAATGAACCTCCACACACCTCGTGTCGCACCATCGGGTGCTCCTTGTCGTCCTCGAGCACCTTCGTGAGGATTGGCAGCGCCTTGGGATCCTTGAGCTGGCCGAGGCAGTACGCCAACTCGTGCCCAAGTAGCGCCGACTCGCCGTCAAAGCCTGTGCCATCACCCTCCGTCAGTGAGCTGCCCTACAAGCCATGCGATCCCACTGTACACACCCTTTCCGATAACCTCGATTGCTCGGTCGCCTCCCAAGCTCTTCAGGGTGAACAAGGCGCGGAAACGCTGTGCCAGCGGGACTTCGTGCGAGTTGAGCTGCCTGTCGAGCTGGTCGTACACGTCCTCGCCTGCCATGGTCATCTGTATGAGCGAGAGAGAGACGAGGCGGTGCTGGGAGGTGAGGGAGAGGGTGTGAAGAGACGCGGAGAGCGCAGGCGGGTCTAGCTGTGTCCAATTAGCTTGCGTAAGACTTTCTAGCGAGTCCTCGAGGCAGCACAGCGCGAAAGCGAGCAAAGTGATGAGGCTGACCGCGAGAGTGAGCTCGGGACGAAGGTCAACCCTCCGCCATCCCCTGCTACAGCTCGAACAGCGTCGTACAACACGTGAGTGCGCTCGAATAAACTCTCCGACGCCCCTGCTGACCCGCCCGAGTCTCGCCGTCTTTCCCGCTCGCCGTTCACTCCTCTCCCTCCCTCTCCCCGCCTTCATCGCTCTCTGCCTCCTTGACACACGCGATACAGCTCAGACTCGCTCGAGAAGCGTGAGTAAAGATGCAGGAAAGATTGCGGAACGCCGGGCTGACTTGGCGGTCTCTCCTGCAGCAGCTTCAGCCAACTCCACCGCTCTCAACTCTCAACAACTCTCTCTTTCTCCCCCATCTCCCGCCTTAGACCACACCATGCCCCGCTCGAAGCGCGACCGCGTCGTCGCCCTCACGCAAACCGCAAAGAAGGGCAAGGAGGCCAAGGGACGCCTGATCGAGGAGGTTCGCGAGCAGGCCGAGGCGTTCAAGTATCTCTGGGTGTTCGAGGTCGAGCACATGCGGAACAACTCGCTGCAGGAGGTGCGGACGGCGTGGAAGGGATCGAGGTGAGTTGGCGTGCCCTTTCTCTCGCTTTCATGTGCTCTGCATTCGCAAGCAAGCAATGTTGTTCCGCCACATTGTTCTTGCGTATCTGCTTCAGAGTCCGGAACTGACTCGGACTTGATTGGCGTGCAGGATCTTCTTGGGCCGGAACGCCGTCATGCGGAAAGGTCTCGGAGCGACGCCGGAGGACGAGTGCCGCCTCGGCGTGCACAAGATCGCAAACGTGCGTCCTCCGCTTCCTCCACGACACCAGGATCCTGCGTCGTTGCGGAAGACGGCGCTTGATTGGAACCATCCAGACCAAGCATACGACTGACTTTCCCGCGCGCTTGCAGATGCTCGAAGGAAACCGCGGTCTCCTCTTCACCGACGAGTCGCCCGAAGTCGTCACCGAGTGGTTCGAATCTTTCAAGAAGCAGGACTATGCGCGGACGGGGAACACGGTTGAGGAGGGTTTCGAGTTGCCTGCAGGTGCGTTCATCGGCAAGATCATTGAGCTCTGTGGCAACGCGAGGCATCTCTCCCGACCCCCCTGTCACATGCAGACGGATGACTGTGCGCTGACGCCGTCTACTCGCAGGTCCCATCCTGATCAACGACGAGCCAGCACCCCACTCCCTCGAACCTCAATTCCGCAAGCTCGGCATGTCGACTTCGCTCCTCAAGGGTGTCCCAACCCTGAACGCACCGCACGTCGTCTGCAAGCCTGGAGACACGCTCAACCCGAACCAGGTCAACTTGCTGAAGCTGTTTGGGAAGACGTTTGCGACGGTGAGTCGAGGTCTCTCCGTTCGCCGGCCAGCCGTGTCTCGTCGCAGGTCAGGAGCTGATGAGGAGTCTACTGCTCGCAGTTCCAGATTGTTCCCCTGCTCGGTGTCCACCTCGTCGACGGCACGACCTGCGGCGGCACCTCGATGGAAGACGCGGAGTGAATCGCTCCCCACTGCCGCATCTTCGCATAGATTCTTCGCCAGCATTGTGCCCGCGTGTATTGTCCGAGGCGGGTCATGTAGTGTATCATCAGGTTGTACTGCTCCTCCTCGCCTCCTTCGAGAATTGCGAGAGGTGGGTCAGGGCCCTTCCATTGGGCCCTTGAGTCGACTGCGATGCTCGCCTTGCTCTACGACGCCGTCGATGCCCGACATCGGCCGACCTTGGAGTTGTCGCCTCGCTTCGCTCCCTCTCCCACTCGCTCACTCCGCTCAAACTCGCTCGAGAACAGCTCAGCATGGCAGCACAAGCACTGAGAACGGCCACGGCAGCCGCACGAACAGCCGGAGCGTCCCTGCACCCCTCCCCATCCTCATCATCTCGACTCGCCACTCTCGCCCGTACCGCCGCCGCAACACGCTCCGGAGCCCTTGTCACCTTCCGAGCATTCTCCACTACGCCCTTGCGATCACTCACGTACACCGCCGCCCTTCCCTCCGACTCCTTCTCTCGTCCCGCCCCTCCTTCTCTCCCCCCACACCTCCAACGCGAATTCGAAGAACTCGTCAAGCGCGCTCAAACGCCCGCTGCATCCGACGTCAAGCTTGAAGAGGGAGAGGAGGTTTTGCATCCGGATTTGCGGAGGAAACCGAAGCCCCAGTTTGAGGGAGACCGAAATCCGGAGACGGGCGAGGTTGGTGGGCCGAAGAACGAGCCGTTAACGCATGGTGAGTGCGGACGAGCTTCTGTCGGGCTGTGTGATGCTTTCCTCGGTTCACCGCTGACTGGCTTTGCTCGCGCACCTCGCAGGCGACTGGTCGTACAGCGGCAGGGCGACTGATTTCTGAACATCGGGCGTCGTTGGGTTCGCTCTCCGCTTCTACACGTCACAATCTACAATATTCATATGCTACGAGCTATCTACGGGGTCGTCGTGAGTCGCATGGCTGGAGAGACGCCGGACGGCTGCCGTTTCGACCGGTTTACCTTCGTCTCACATGCTCCTGCTGGTCGGTCAAGCAAGCCTACTTGTGTAAATAGCTCTTGCCGTCAGTTCCAGAGGTGTCGGAAGTCAAGCAGCCTCGTCCACGCCGCCCAGCCGCCCTTCACCGCTCGTGCGAACGAAAACAGCCATATCTCGACAAAGACGCAAGCTGGCGCCTCGCGCATAGGCTCAGTGAAAGCGCAACGAGCAGGAGAAGCGATTTGCGCGTCGCGAGCGAAAATTTGCGCCTGGATACTCGTTGAGCGGTTTGAAGGGGTCAGTCGCCGTGCGCCCAAATGCGCCCAAGTCTCGTCTCAAGCTGCGCTCGCTTCCCTCGGCGACTCCAGACAATTGTAGCTACTGGATTGTTGTAGGCGCTGAAGTGGACACCTCGAAAGCTGACGTTGCGCTGGGTCAAGCGAGCTCGCTCATGTCGCCCTGTCGAATTGCACCGTCTCGCTCGCACCCGAACAGCCTCCGACCGAGACTACCCAGCCTCGCAAGCCAAAAACAACCCCAGACGTCCCGTCCCCATCCCATCGCCTGCGTCAGCCGCTCGAGCGAGGCGTCTTCTCCCGTCCCAGCGAGTCGGTCCGCCCCGAGGGCCACGTCGACTCGTGCGCTTTGTGGGACCGGAGGTCGCTTTAGCAGTGAGTAGCAGGCGAGAGGGGAGGAGGACGGAGACCCGCTGGCCGTATCGACTGTTGAGAGGTGTGCCGTGAGGCAGGGACCGTGCGAGCGAGGAACCGGTGAAAGCGGTAGAGGGGCCTGGCGAGGTGTTGCAACGCTCAGTCGAAAGCGATGAGCGAAGGTGCAGGCAAGCGCGAGCGGATTGTGCTGTGTTGATCCGAGCGAGTGAAGGGAAGGAGGAAGGGAGGCGAGGGCGAGTGCGCGCATCTCGAAGGTCGCCACGCTGAGCTTTGCGAGGCGGCAGAAGGGTTAACACGAGTCTCGAGAGCCTAGCGCAGACCCAGCGGAGCTCCGGCGAGGCGAAGCGAGCGCATCTTTCTCGCAGGCTGAGAAGGTCACCTCGAGGCGAAGAACGGAAAGCTGCGAAATGCAAAGGGGAATGGACGAAAAGTGCGGGTAATCTATTGTACAAACACTGTCTGGGGAAATCCTTCAGTCTAGGACGGCGACGAGGGCGACGGCGCGCTGGATGACCATGGTCGAGTCGGCGGTTTCGACGGGGACCTCGACGTTGAGGAGAACGTCCGCGCGGGTCGAGTCGAGGAAGCAGGGGATCGACATCATCTTGTGGCCGGCCTGGACCGAGCGAGAACCGCCCTGCTTCGGCTTCCACGAGATGGACGAAGCCTCGAGGCGAACGGCGGAACCATCGTTGACCGCCAGTTTCGACGACTCCCAAGTCGCGCCGACGAGAGCGAGTCCTGCACGCAGACAAGTTTTCAGCGTCAGCTTGGGGAAGGCATAAGTTGAGAAAGCTGAACGCACCTTCAACGACGAACGAGTGCTCCTCGCCGGTCTCTGCGAGGTTGACCTGCATCATGAGTTCCTCGAGCGAAGTCTTGGTGGCGTGTGCGACGGCCTGCCTCGACGCCGTGATGTAGCCGTGCGGGTGGAAGAGCAAGCCGGGGGCGACGGGTGACTTCGCGAGATCGCCGTTGGCGACGATGCGGTGGAGCTGAGCGAGGCGCTTGGCGAGGTCGGCGATCCAGACGCTGGCGGGCAAGTCGCGGCAGCGGTAGCGCTTCCATGTCCCAGGAACGGTGCCCTTGTTGAGGTCGGAGAGGAGGGACCTGATGGCATTCGTCTGCTTGAGCTCGCCGTCGCACACCCTGACCAGGTTCTCGAGGTCGGTCCGGATGCTTGGCACGAGCGAACGCGACAGCGAGACCTCGCGCTCGAAGAAGCGGGCGAGCGGGTCGCTGGTGGTCGCTTCGGCGGCAGGCAAAGCCGGCAAGTCCTGCGAGCAGCAAAGGGCACAATCAGCGATGTATCAAGTCTGGAAGCTCATTGCTGCTCACCCTGGGCAGCACGTCGAGCCATTCGAGGCAAGTCTTCTTGAGGACGCGCATCCAGGCCGGTTGCGCCGAGGTCGAGCCGCGCTTGACGTCTGCTCCGACTGTCTCGTCGTCGTCGAGCGAACGCATCTTGACGAGGCGGGCGAGGAGCGACGAAGCTGTCGTTCAAAGGCGGGCGTCAGCTATGAGAAGGGCTGAGAGAGGGATGTGAAGCCGAACGCACCTTGTGCAGCTGCGATGACCCGCTCGGCAGTCGGCGGAAGGGCGAGGTACGAAGGCGGCTCCTGCTCGGGGAGCTGCGCCGCCCACTCGAGGAACTGGTCGAGGTGGACAGCGTCTGGCACCTTCAGGCCGGCCTCGTTCTCGCCGCTCGAGACCAAGTCGAAGTCGACGTCGTAAGCGCGCGGCGAGAAGAGCGTGTCGACGAACGAGTCGAGGAGGGATTGGTCGAACTCGGTGTCGATTTTGCCGCCGTAGACCGTCTCGCGAACGAGAGAGCGGATAGCTTGCCAGGGGATCGCGGCGGGGTCAATGTTGGCACGACCCTTTGCGGCAGACGAGAGCCAGGCGTCGATGGTGTTGAGCGCGGCGTCTTGGTCGGAATCGTTGAACTCGAAGACCTTGGACCAGCCGAGAGGCACGTACCGGAGCCGCTCCTGGACGACGGCGTGGAACCAGGCGACGAGGAAGTAGAGGCGCGTCTTCTCTGCCGGGCCGTTTGCGAGGCGTGCAGGGTTGAGCGTCCGGAGCGAGTCGAGGATGTTGGCGCGAATGCCGGGCGGTGGCTCGTTCATCAGGACTCGTCCCTGGCGCAAGATGTTGACGGGAATCGCGGGGTTCATCTCCATCGTCAGGAAGAGGCGGAACGCGCGATTCGGGTTGAGGCTTTGCAGCCGCTTCTCGAGCTGGCTCAGCCAAGTCGGCGCGAGGTGGACATTCTTGAGGAGGACCCAGTTGCCGGTGCGAGCGGCCGCTGCGATCGCCTGATCCGCGAGCGCGAAGCCTTCCTGCGAGCCCATCGCGATGGACGCGCACCGCGCCGAGGTCGCAGCCACGAGGTTGTCGACGCGGTAGCTGGCGTCGTAGCCTGCGACAGAGCAGAGGCAGACTGGCGATGCTGCGGCGACCTCGTTCTGAACCATGTCGCTGAGGTCGTAGGTCGTCTCGGCGAACAAGTCGCGCTTGAAGACGACAGCGACGAAGGCGGTGAGGGCGGGGATGAGGCGGTCGGGGCGGAAGCACTTGACGATCAAGGCGTTGCGCAAAGCCGCGTGAACTGGATCGAGGTCGGACCAGATCTGGGGGACGATGGTCTCCGGTGCGGGGGAGGCGAGGAAGGCCTGCCAGTCTCCCTCGCGCTCGACGAGGTTCGACCGGACGTCGCGGAACACGCCAAGTCGCTCGAACGCCTGCAGGCGCTGCTGCTCAGTCGAGTCGAGGATCGCGATGCTGGCCGTGGTCGACGTCGCAGCCGTAGTCTCGCCTCCTTCGAGGAGGAAGCTGAGCTCCTGTTCGTCGAGCTCCTCGCCTTGCCCGCGAAGCTTGACCTGGGCGAGCAAGACGGCGAGCGTGAGGTGATCGGAGTGCAGGACAGCGCGAGACGTCCGGCGGAAGACGTGGGTGAAGAGATCGTCGAAGAGGATGCGGGTACGTTCGTGCGATTCGGCGACGCCCTTGAGCGAGGGGTTGTCGAGGAGGACGTAGTCGAAGATGTCGAGGAAGAACCGGAGAGAGAACTGGTAGAATCGGTTGAGGAGGTGAAGGTCGTCGAGGATGAAGAAGACGCTGCTGCACGCCTGGGCGAGCGGGAGATACTCGCTCGTGACCTCGTCGACTTCCGCCATCACCGTCTCCGTCTCCTCGACCTTGCGCGTGATGTCGGCCGCCTCCTTCTTCAGCGTCTCGAGCGTCTCGATGACCCTGGAGAGGCGTGAGTTAGCGGCAATGCAAAGTCTGGCGGAACGTTCAAACGCACTTGTCGTCATCGAGGATGTTGCCCTGCGACTCGTTGAGGGCGGCGAGCAGGCTCTTCTCGAGCTGGTGCAGGCGTGCGCGGAACTCGCCCTGCAGGCGGAGGAGGTCGGAACGCTTGCGGTCGATCTCCGATCGCTCGACCTTGAGGACCTGGGCGAGAGACTGCGTCTGCAGACTCGCACGAGTGATGGAGAAATTGACCATCGTGACTCGCGAGTTGAGGTCGGCGGCGAACTCCACGGACGGGTCACGCGTTGCGAGGAACATCCTGCCGACGGAAGCGGTGTCAATGGCGTGAAGCGCAGCAATTAAAGCGAAGGACTCACGTGAACGAAGGCGAAAAGTCGATGTCCTGGTTTCCGAGGCGGATGAGGACACGACCTCCCGCTCGGCGAAGCTCCTTGTTGAGCACGGCGTTGAGGATCGGGTCGAGATGCTCGACGTCCTGTATGAGAATGGGCGTGCCGAAGCGGAGTGCGCTCTCGAGGTTCTTGAGGAACGCCTCGTCGAGGAAGGAAGTGACCGTGATCTTGCGGTCGCGGAACTCGTTGAGGAGGAACGAGGTCGCCTGCCCGGCCGGGTCGATCACCAGCGGGTACCGGTCGAAGCGCTTGAGCATGATGGCGTTCTCGACGCAGAGCTCGTCGGTCGGCAGACCACGGCTGTGCCATTCGAGACGCTCGTCGGCGGTCGAGAGGTATTCCGTCAGGGACAGCTCGGGCTTGTACTCGATGCCGGCGTCGCTGAGATGGTTCGCCCAGCCCTGCCACATGGCCTGGCGGTAGGACTGGTCGAAGTAGCCGGCGTAGGCGAGGAAAGCGGCCGAGAGGAGGACATCGCCTGCAACCGTGCTCATCTGCTCCTCAAACGTCTTGCTGCCTGCCTCCCAACGCGACTTCTCCGACGACAGGCTGTCGAGAAGTTTGACGGAGCGGTCGACGCGAGTCTGAACCTTTTCCATCTCGGACTTGATCGCCTGCGTCTCGCTGATGAGGGCGGCGTACTCGTCCTTGTAGGCGGCGATGCGGGCTTCGAGCTCGGAGATCATGCTCGAGAGGGCGGAAGCTTGGTGCATCGTTGTCTCGGCCTGGTCCTCGAGCATCTGTACCTCTTCACGCAGCGGGCCGACCTTGTCGAGGATGCTCGAGTAGTTGACCTGCGCGATGACCCACTTGACGAGCGGTCCGCAGGCCTTTGAGGCGCGGTTGACGGTCTCGAAGTTGAAGGACGGCCGCGAGAGGTAGTCGTTGCGCATCTTGTCGCGAAGCTGGCGGGTCATCATGTGCGCCGTGTCGAAATTGACGATGCTGGCGATGAACGAATCGGAGCGGAGGACGGCTTGGACGGACTTCCAGCCCTCGATGCGGTGGCCGAGGAGGATGCAGACGGCCTCCATCGACAGCTTGACGGCTTCGGGAGGGTTCGCCATCGAGCGGACCTCCGTCAGCTGCTGCTTCTTGATGTTGCTGACGGCCGCCTGGGCGTCCTCGACGGCGGGCTCGGCGTCCGCGAGCTCGCCCATGACGATCTCGCGACGCTCGGCAATCGCATGCTTCTGCTTCTCGAGCGCGGTCGACATCTCGATTGATGCGACCTTCTTCTGCTCGGCGTCCTGCTGGTCGGCAACCATCCGCTTGAGCTTGTCGTTCGCCTCGGCGTTCTTCGCTTCGAGCTGGGTGCGTTTGACTGCGAGGCTCTTGCGGAGATCTTCGACCTGGACGACCGTCTCGCGGAGCTTGTCGAGGCCGACGTTGAGGTGGCGCTGCTGCTCCTCGAGCTCGTCGCGCTTCTCGTTGAATAGCCGCACGTACTGGTTGACGAAGTCGAGATAGTGCCGCGGCGTGGCGTGATTGACGCGGCCTTGGCGGCGGGCGAGCCTTGCATTCGACTCGTACATTGACTGGTGGACGTGGACGAGGGCATTGACGACCGCGGTGCGGTGGACGGGCGGAATCGAGAGCTGACGGTAGGCGATAGGGAAGTTCGCGGGAGCGGTGTAGCCGGCTGCATCGAGATCGAGCGTGTTGGTGAACTCGAGGCCGACTTGGTAGAACGCCTGGTCGGACCAGTCACCGAACCAGTCGAGGACGCAGCGGTTGAAGAGAGCGGGCGAGGTTGCGGCGCGGGAGGCGAGGCCGCCGGAAGGCGGATTCATGGTGAAGACAACGTGCAGGTTGCGTGCGACCTGCGACGTGAACCACCGGTACAGCTCATCGTGGGAGTCGAGCATCAAGCCGTCGCGCTGCGCGCCCTCCTTGCAGGCCGTCATGAGCGAGGCGTGCTCGTCGCCTTCGAAGAGACCGGGGATCTCGGCGTTGGCGAGCAGCGTGTTCATGCGCTCGAGGAAGCCGGAGTCGAGGACATTTGACTCGTCCATGATGAAGGCGATCTTCTCGCCTTTGCACCCGGCGCGGCGGAGAACGGCTCGAAGGTCGTCGTCGAAATCGTCGCCGGTGTACTTGTTGTGAACCTTGATCTGGAAGACAGAAAGGCCGTTCATCCACGCGACGAAGCGGGAGAGCGTGGTCTGCCCAGCGATTGCGAAGGTCAGCTTGCAAGCGATAGCAAGAGAAGGAAGCAGGTAAGACTCGCCTTGCCGCTGCCGCTGACTCCGATGAGGAGCAAGTGGCCCTGAACCTGGCGGAAGACGCGGTCGATGCGGAGGACGTGGTCGAGGACGTCGTTGAAGAGGACGAGGGGAACATCGAGCTCCTCCTCGTAGAAGACGCGAAGACGAGCCTTGGCGTACTCGCGGAGCTCTTCACGGTCGACTGGCACGTAATGCTTCGACAGCCAGTTCGAGTAGAGGATTGGCCGGGCGAGCGCCTCGTCGCGGTTGATGGTCGGGAAGTGGGCGAGCGCGATCTCGTCGATCTTGTCGTCCGTCCATTTGCGCTCGTCTTCGGTAACGAGGCGATCTTGAAAGAGCCGGAGCGCCTCGTGCGCCCAGACGCGGACAAGACCCTCGACGGACAAGGCATCGAGCGGCTTGATCGCCTCGTAGATACCGCGCGTCCAGCGGGTCAACTCGCGCGGCGAGTAGACGTAATGCGCCTGAGCGTCTGTCGTAAAGCGAGCCTGCGAGGCGAGGTAGAAGTCGACCATGGCGTCCGTCAACGGCGCAGCGAAACCTCGCAATGGCGGGACGACCTTGAGCAGGGCGCGCGTGAAGGTGCCGTAGATCTGCTTGAGCGAGGCTTCGCCGGGGTAGTCGACCATGACGAGCGGTGCGTGGCGAAGGAAGCGATGGGTAAGGGGTACACGACCGGGGTCGGTTGGCGGGTTGCATGCGCCGACGATCTGGATGTTCTCGAGCCGGACCCACGCCTTGTCGGTCGTTCGCCAGAACCCGTTCTGCTCGACGAGCTGGCGCAGGAACGAGATGACCTTCTGCGTGCCGTACTGGTCGGTCGCCGGCAGGTTGATCTCGTCGCAGAAGAGGACGAGCCAGCGTCCGATCTGCGTCGGCGCGAGCACGACGCCGTTCGGCGTCTTGCGGTACTCGCAGTGCTGCTCGAACGTCTTGAGGATGAGGTCGGGCGTGGTCGCGGACGAGAAGTTGAGACCGACGACTTCGAGATCCGGCAGCTTGCGAAGAGCGCTGAAGAGCGTCATCGTCTTGCCGGAGCCTGGAGGACCGCAGAGGAGGAGCGGGCGATGCTCCGACAACCACGAGTAGAGGACTTCCTCGTGTCGAGCCGTGTCCATCGTCGGGATGACGACGTCGGGCGAGGTCACGGCCTGCGTCTCGACCTCAATCGTCGGAACTGAGTCCTGCCACGATACCCAGTCGCCTGTCGAGACTTGGACGTCGAAGTCGATGAGCGAGCCGCCAGGACCGAGAGGCGGGAAGTCGAGACCGGACTGGTTGCGCAGGAAGTCGCCCATCTTGGCACGGGTGTCGAGCTTCGAATCGCCGGTGAAAGCCCAGACGAGACCGAGCAAGAGCCGCTTGAGAGTGTACGCCTCGACCGAGTCGCCCTGCAGAGGGAAGTCGGGGTGCTGGGCGTTGTACTCGGCGATGGTGCGGATCGACTTGTTGAGGAGCGAGAAGAGCGTTGTAAGGGCGCGGCTCGGGGTAAAGTCCATGATGTGATCGACGCCGGCGGCAAAAGCGAGTGCATTTGCGACGAGGCCGTCGCGCTCGAAGAAGGGCTCGAGCTTGGCGGCGACGAGCTGCTGAGTCGACAGCACCGCCGAGACCTCGTCGCCGTCGCCCTGAGTCTGGCGGGAGAAGCTCGCATCCTCGTCGGCGACATCGAGCGGAGTTGAGCGCGTTGTATCGAGGTAGTTGCGGCAGAGCATGTCGGGCGAGACGGCGTCGTCGCTGAACCAGACCATGCCGCAGCGACTGACTGTGGCGAGAGTCGCGTATTTGAGCGACTCGACCTCGAACATGATGCGGACGTTGGGCGGCAGATTGAGGCGCTCTCCGTTCGGCAGCGTCAAGAGCTTGTTGTCGTCGAGGACGCTGCGAGGTCCGAGAGTCAACGACCGCGTTCGCAACGATGCAAGTACAGGAACGCACGAGTTGAGATTCTCCACCCACTCGGGGTCGACGTCGCCGTCAAAGATGATCCAGTGGCGCTTCGAGCTTTCCGCGCGGACGTCGTCGACGATCTTGCGGAGGATGTGCGTGAAGAGGCCGTCGTTCCACTCGCGCGTGGTCGGGTCGAGGGTGCCGTACAGCGCGTCCTTGGCGATGGCCTTGGGGTCGATGACGTAGGAGACGCCCTCGATGCCCGTCAGGCGCTCCAGCGCCGCGAGGAGGACCCGCCACGCCGAAGTCTTGCCAGTCGCCGACGGCCCAACCATCATCAGACCGTGCTGTATGTTCTGAATCTGGTAGAGCTGGACGACCTTCTGCAGCCAGACATCGCCCGCGACGAGGTTCCGCTCCTTGCAGACGTCGAGGATGTGCTTCTTCAGATCGTCGAGGTCGACAGGAACGTAGTCGATGCCTGGGAAGACGTCGGCGAGGAGGCTATGCGAAGCGAGCGAATTAGTCGGCGGGCACGGTGGGCGGAAGAGCAAGGCGAACTCACCTTGTCAAGAGCGGAACATCCTCGGCGACCAACTTGGGCACGATCGTCTCGGTGACCGACTGGATGACGATCTCCTGCTCCGAGATGTCGACTGAATCGCTGCCGTTGGCATCGGCGGCGGCCTGCAGGCGAGCGCGCTTGAGGTGACCCGCACTGACCAGGACGGCCTTGAGGGCGCGCAGGCCAAAGTCGTAGTGCGGCTGCGAGGAGAGTTGCTCGGCGCAGAGGTTGAAGAAGGGGACGACCTTTGACGCAAGCTTCTCCGCCGTTCGGAAGCCTTGCGAGAAGAGCATGACCTGCGCGATGAGCTCGCGGTCGGGGCGGGTCATGGCGATGCTGCGGAAGAGCTTCTTGAGGTTGTCGGGCAGGTTCGAGCGGCCGGCGTATCCCGGGTTCACTGCGAAAATGAGAGTCAGCGGTGACGGTGAGCAGCTGAAAGAGGCGACGAACTCGTGATGAAGATGCCGGTGTCGGGGTTGATGCGGAGCTGGCGACCGACGAGCTCGATCTCGTGGCTGGGGCTGGCGACCGTCTCGCCGAGACCAAGCTGGATGCTCTGAATCTGTTGCGAGACCGCACTGAGGATGCGCTCTTCGAGACGGTTGAACTCGTCGAAGCATCCCCACGCGCCGACCTGGCACAAACCGACGAAGATGCGCCCCATCGCCTGGAAGTCGAAGGTCTCGTCGCAGCAGAAGACGAGGACGAGGCGACCGAGCGCGACGCCAAGCGCCTTGACCGACTCCGTCTTGCCTGTACCGGCCGGTCCGAAGGGCGATCCGCCGAGGCGAGAGTCGAGGGCTTGGGTCAGAGTGAGGTAACAGCGGTCGGTGAGGGGTGTCTGGACGAGGCGGTCGGGCACGCCGAGGTACTCGTAGCCGTAGAAGAAGGACGCGCTCGCCATCTTGACCTGCAACTGCCCGAGGACGTTCTCCTTGCCGACGTCGAGGTAGAAGCGCATGTGGTAGAGCCAGGCGAAGTCGGCTGCGGACTGAACGCTATCCTGGGCAAGGCGACGGACGACATCGCGCTCGTGGACGAGCTCGGTGATGAGGTGCTCGCACTTGCGCCGTTGAATGGGCTGCAAGTCTCCGAGGACGGCGTCGGCAAGGACCTCGAGGCTGCGGAGGATAACGGACAGAGGCCGATCGAGCGCGCCCCCCGCCTGCAACGCAGACTCAACGCCATCCGTCCACGCGATCTGAATGGCGAGGACGACGAGCTGAGCGGGCGTTCCCTCGATCCACGCGAGAAAGCGAGTACCGTCCAGCCCAGCGGGATCGGCGTAGAAGGCGACGAGATCGGCGTAAGACCTGGCGAGGAGCTGAGCGAGCGAAGTCTTCATCTCCGATTCGAGGCGCGCGAGCCAGTCGTTGATGCGAGGGTATTCGGCGAGGACGATAGGCGTGGAGAAGGGCACTTCTTCGCCTTCGCGCGAGACCATTCCGTCGATTCGAGACAGTTCCTCGTCCAGCTTGAGGGACGAGAGACCGGCGAACATCTTCTTGAGGAACTTGCTGACGCGGAGAATCTGCAGAAGGGGAAGTCAGTAAGGGGGTGAAGGAGAGTGAGACGATCGACGCACATCCTTGCTGTTACCGATGATCTCGAGCAGATCCTCGTCGCCGACAAAGTAGAAGCGAGGGAATGACGAGCGCTCGCGTTCGAGGTACTCGCCGAGAGCCTTCTGAATCTTGGAGAGAAGATCTGCGAGTCGCTCGAGGCTCTTCTGCGCGCCCGGGATGTTGAGCACGTCGAGGACGAGCGGCGACTTGAAGACCTTCTTCATGACCGCCAGGAACTCGGCGTTGATGTTGCTGAAGCGCTGCGACTCGACGGGGAGCAGGTGCTTGATGTCGGTGCTGTCGGAGAAGATGCCTCTGCAGGAGCGGACGGCGTGTCAGCAAGATGGCGACACCAGCAGAGGGAAAATACGCACTCAAGGTAGACCCATTGACGCTGAACGTCGATCCAGACGTCGAAGAGGAGGTGGATGCGGTTGAGGCGGTCCTCCCAAGCCGACGCCTCTTCCTCGAAGACGCGATAGTACGGCGAAAGCTTCATGGCGTTCAACGAGTTGACGTTCTCGCCGCACTTGGCAAAGAGGTCGTCCCAGCCTCGGATGAGGCGCGTCTTGTTCTGGTAGTTGACGAGGTCGAGCGCGTAGCCGGTCCAAGTCTCCTTGACCTGCTTGAGGAACTCCTCGAGGGCCATCTCGCCCTGCGCCTGCACGATGACGTCGCGGATGGCGGTCTCGTTGCGCTTGAGGTCGAGATCCCAGACGGTGCCGAGGGTCATCGTCGAAGGCGAGTAGTGGCCGGCGACGCGGAGCGACTTGTACAGCTGTCGCCAGTGTCGCTCGCGAAGCGCCTCGGACTTGAGGTCGGCAACGAGCGAGTTCGACTTGAGGTATCCGCGCAGCGACTCCTGGACGAACTCGAAAGCGGCGTATTGGCGCATCTTGCTGGGCATCTCGCGGGTCGAAGCGAGGAGGCCGTCAAGCTGCTGGCGAACCTTGCGTGGCTGCACGGACTGCCATGCGGTGTCGCGCAACTCTGCAACCTGCGCCCAGACGCCCAAAAGAGCCGTCCAGACAGCCTTGAGATCGCGAATCTCCTCGAGTACCGGCTCGAGACGATCATCCTTCGTCGCTTCGAGATCGAGCGACTGTTTGGCGCGCGACAGCATGTCGTGCTGCTCCTTGAGCCGGTTGACGCGGCCTTCAAAGACGCCGATGGCGTTCATCGCGGCCTCGGCCTTGAGCGAGCCCTGAATGGGCTTGTTCGCGTCCCAATCGGCGACGGTCTCCTCGATGCGGCCTTGGAGGACTTTGTCCTCCGCGACGACCTTGAGCTGTAGGCCTGCGAGCTGCTCCTGGATCGACGCGTCCTTGCGCTTGAGGATCTCGTTGAACGCGCTCCACTCGTTCTCGACCTGGTCGAGGTAGAGCCAATCCGACGGGAACTGGTAGCGCTGCCGCTCGAGCGTCTTCTGCCCGCTGCTGAAGATCTCGATCTCGGGCGCCCACTGCCTGAGCTTGCGCTTGACGTCCTGGACGAAGGTGATGAAGGCGACGGTTGCGGCAGTCGAGGACGTCTCGATCGAGTGCTGCTCGAGGTCGTGGCGAGCCTTGGCGACTGCGGCGTGCGTCTCCTTCATGGCGACGCCGAGCTTGCCGCCGAAGCGCGAGAGGAGGTCGCGCTGCCAGGCGTCATACTTGGCGTTGACCTTGCTCTGGACCTGCTCGTAGTCGATTACGGCGACGCCGAACGACCGCTGCGTCTCCGAGTTGTCGAAGGTCGAGCGAGTCTTGCGGATCTCGAGGAGGAGTTGCTGCCATGCGGAGAGGCGGTCTCCGAGCTGCGAGTAGACGTACTCGGCTTCGAGGTCCCAGAGAGACTGGAACTGCAGCCACTTGTCGACATAGCTGCCGACTCCCTCGAGCTTCGCCTCGACCAGCGCGAACGGTCGCTCGAGCGTGCCGTCCGTCAGGCTCGCGAGGAGCGTCGAGTAGTCGAGGGCGCCCGGTTGCGCCGCGCGAATGCTGAGGCCGATCTCGTAGCGCGAGCTCTGGATCCGCGTCAAGCCGCAGACGACGCCGAGCCAGGTCTGCAGCTGGCGGTACCACGTCGCGCGAGCCTGCTCCATCGGCGGGTCGAGATAGATGACCTGGTTCTGGATCCGGACCTCGTGGAGAATCGTCTCGAGGGCGAGGCCGTCTTCAGGCTGGTCTTCGTGCGCCACCGCCGCCTTCCTGCGCGAAGCGCCAGGTCGGCTCGAGTCGGCCGCGCGGGCTTCGGGCGCCTTGGAGAATTCGCCGCACCACCGCTCGATGACGGCGCGGATGCGGCCGACGAGCTTCGCTTCGACGCGCTTGTCGAGCGCGAGAGTCCATGAGTCGAGGTTGGCGTAACCCTCGAGATTGAGCGTGTCGATCGTCTTCTGCAGCGAGGCGAGGAGCGTCGAGAAAGCGTCGCGGGTGTAGGCGCAGGTGCTCAGCTCGTCGACGGTCCGGCTGACGTCGGCCCAGAGGGCGATGAGGTGGTCGGTGCGGTCCTGAAACTCGGAGACGATCGACGCGAATTCGCGGACCCAGTGCGTATGCTTGCTGCCGGACGAGTCGGACGCGCCGGCGTAGGGCAGGGAGCGGTTGTCGAACGTGTTGACGAAATGGTCCCAGCGGTAGCTCATGCCTGCGAGACGGTCAAGGTCAGTCAAAAAGCTCGCGAGGAAGAGGAGAGCTTCCGTCACGCACCCTTGGCGATCTGCTCCTGCGCCTTCTTGTGCGAGGTCGCGACGAGCGGGGCGATGTCCGGATTCGCCTCGAGCTTGGCGATGGTTTGCGAGTACGTGCGAACCGTCTCCATCAAGCTGACGGCGTACGGATACACACGCTTGGCGTCCTTGGCGACGTTCGAGATCGTGTGCGGCACCTGGAAGCCGAGCCAAAGCAGATTGCGGACCTCCTTGAAGAGCGTGATGATCTGCGGGTCGAAGTTGACGGTGAGCTGGAGAGCGCCAGCCTGCTGGCGACTCTTGGTGATGTTGAACAGGCGGCCCGAGATCTGGAGATTGCGGCGGTTGATGTCGACGAGCCAGGCGTCGTAGATGGGGCGGGTGCTGAGCTTGGCGCGGAAAGATTGGCTTTCCGTCTGGAGGCGCTGGCCATCGGCGTAGTGCGACCACTCGGTGCCGAGGACGTCCTCGACGCGCTTCATGTAGCCGGAGAGCTGCCGCTCGATCTGTCGCGCCCAGATGATCGCGCCCGAGATGGGCGGGTGGTCGCGCAGCTGCGACATCTGGTACGCCTCGGACGACTGGTAGCCGGACTTGAACTTGTCCTGGAGGCGGCGAATGTCGTCCTTGACCGAGTCGATGAGCTGCGACTGGTACTCGGCGATGGCGCCTGCGGAGCAAAGAGGTCAGCGCAAGGCATCAAGTAGCGGAGAGGACGGGCCCACCTCGGATCTTCGGCCTCACGAACAAGGCGTTGAACTTGGAGAAGACGCGGAACATCTCGTTCGCGTTCTTGGCGCCACCGAGGCGGTCGCGGAGGCGCGAGATGATGTGGTTCTCGACACGGGCGACGCGCTCGTTGTAGCCCGTCTCGGCTGCGATCCAGATCTGCGTGCCGTCTGTAGAAGCGCAGGCTCAGTGAGGATCCGAAGCGATGAGAAAGAGAAGGCTCACCATCCGAGACGTCGAGGACGTCGATGCCCTTGATGCCTTCGTACGCCTGCCGCACCTGCGGATGAAGAAAGTGTCAGCGGAACCGCCGAAACGGCGAGCCGGAAGACGCACCTCGACCTCCATGTCGATGTCGCCCAGCGTACTCGACCATTCCCTCGCCAGCTCGCCATCGACGTCGCCATTCTCCTTCGTGCCGTCGCCGTTGACCGCCGTCGACCGCTTCGTCTCGCTTCCGAGCGGGCCGACCATAACCTGCAGCTGGTGGTGCTGCTTGCGGAAGTGTCGGAAGTAGAGGACGCGCTCCTGCAACTTGGCGTGACCGGGGTCGATCTTGATCGGGATGAAGCGCTCGCCGCGCTTGCGGGTGACTTCGCGCGCGACGTTGGTGAACTCCTTGAAGGACTCGTCCCAAGCTTGGAAGACGCCTTCGGCTGCGCGCATCGCCTGCTCGAACAGCGGGTAGTCGAGGTAGGTGAGGCGCTGCGAGGTGAGAACCTTGTGAAGCTGGGTTTGGAGGTCGCGCGAGATGGCCTCGACGAGCGGGAGGATGCGGCGGACGGGGTAAGGCGAGAGCTTGAGCTTCTTGTTGACGTGGACGAAGATCTGGTTAATGCTGTCCTTGATCTTGTTCAAGTCGGTCGCCGCGAGGAGCTCGTTGAGCGGAAAGTCCTTCATGAGGACGTTGTAGTCATGGACTGTGTGAGCGAGATCAGCCTGGAAGTCAGGCATGGAGAAGGCGAGCAACGCACCCGTCTTGAAGGCGTCGTTCAGGCCTGTGTCGGCGATGAAGGAAACGGTCGCGTGGAAGCGCTTGGCGTGCTTGAGGATGTCGAGCGAGAGCTGGACCGGTTCGCTCTTGAGCTGCTTCTCGATCCCCTCGAGCGCCTTCTCCATGCTGAGCCAGAAGTTGACCTCCTGACTCGCTGTCCCGCTCGCAACGTCGCGCGAGATCTTGGTAACCTTCTGGACCTCCTTCACCCAGTTGTTGACTTCGCTTTGAAGTTTGTTGAGGAAGGCGGAGTCGCTGAAGAGGGCCGAGTCGATGAGGTCGACGGAAGGGCGGATGCCGGCTGCTTCGGCTTGCGAGACGGCTGCCGCGACGACGGGGTGAACGGCGAGGACGATGTCGGGGATCTCGACGTTCTGCTGGACTGCCGGCGGAGAAGGCGGGTCAGCGGAGACTTGCGACCAGAAGCGCGCGCAACTCACGGTGCAAGAGAGACAGTTCGAGCTCGGCGAACTTCTTCTTGGTCATCGGGATGCCCATCTTGACATCCGCATCCTTCGAGTCCTCCACCGCTCGTCCCGCCGCATCCTTCCTTGCCTTGCTCTCGACGTACGCCTCGAACGCGGGTGCAACGCCGTAGTGCACGAGACGATGAAGCCCCTCGTAGACGACGCTGCCGGCTGAGGCGCCTGCAGCGAGTGCGTTCGAGCCGGAGGAGGACGAAGCGGGTCCGAAGAGGTTGAGGAAGTGGAGTTGCGAGGCAAGGGGGAGGGAGCTGTCGAGGATGGGGGCGTGCTTGATGAGGGCGAGAGTGGCAGACTGGAGGGGAGAGTAGGAGAGTGAGGAAGTGAGCGAGTAGGTGAAGGTGTCGGGGAGGGAGTCGTCTGTGCGGCGGCGCAACGGGTCAGCTCGCCTCGCTGCCTACGCGACGCCTCACGTACCTTGCTGCTCGTCCGCATCCCGCTCCTCCCTCTGCTTCACCACGTACAAAACCCCCGCATTCGGATCGTTCGCCCAGCGTGTGGCCCGCTCGCTGAAGTCGCTCCGCTCGAACAGGGACTCGAGGTCGGCTGGTTCGGCTTCGATGAGCAGTGGCAGCAGCTGGCCGAGGTACTTGCGGAACGCTGCGAGGTCGAATTGGTTTCGAGGACCCGGCGTCGCTGTCGGGGGCGACTCTGCGCCGTCGACGGCGGGCGAGGACGGTCGCCTGTCCTGCATCGCTGCCAGGCGTGTCTGTCGCTGCTCAGCTGGTCCTTTCGAGCGGTCAGAGCGTGTGTGTGAGCGACAACTTGTTTGTTCGTGGCGAAGAACCGCACCTCGACGCGGCGACAGGGGCTCAACCTCGTTCTTTTCGGCTTGCGAGGACAGCGCTGGGTGCTAGACGAGCTGTCAGGAGCTCACGGGTATTGCTGATCCCGCCGAACAGGCTGACGAGGCGATGTGGTCTTGAGAGAGTCGCTTCCGCTCTTTGCGTCCACCACACTCGCTCAACCACTCGAGACGGCTTGACGAGGCTCGCGAAGGAGTTCTAGACACTCTTTGGATCCACCGAACCCTCCATCGACCACCCTGGCTTCCCCCGACTCCTCCTCGTCCTCATCAGCCCCACCTCCTCTTCCCCCGACCTCGCACGACGGCTACATCTCGCCCGACTGGGTCGTCCCGCCTGTCTGGCCCAACGAAGGCTCTTACGCCTCGCACGAGTCGAAGCGAAGCCGCATGACGAGCCGTCGACGAACCTCCCTCTCGACCCTCTCGACGGCGTCATCATCCCCCTCTGGCCCCGCCGACTCGGACGACAGCGACTCGGACGCGTACAGCGACTCGTCGTGGAACACGGAGCAGGAGGAGCTCGAGGCGCAGCTGCAGTGGGAGGAGAGCGTCCGTCAACTCCAGGCGCTCGTCAACCTCGTCGCCGTGCCGTGGGTCTCGCGGTACTTTGGCAGGAAGTGGGCGTATTGGCGTGCGTTGCAGTTCTCTTTCGTGTTCGTCTACTGCGGAGCTGACCGCGTCGACGACTCCCAGTCTTCGAGCGGTATCTCGACATCGGGCTAGGGAAACGGTTCTGGCTTGGCCCGCTCTCGACCTACGCACCTCAAGCATGGCGGTAGACGTAGGAAGGCGATGCAATGGCGAAGGCGGAAGAAGGCGATGCAGTGGCGAAGGCGAGGAGGTAGAATACCCCGACATGTAGCATACCCTGCCAATCAGCACCTCTCTTCCGCACTTCGAGGGTCGGTGAGTGTTCGGGACTGCCGCGAAGGGTCGGTGGCTGGTTCACACGCGATGTAGAATGACAAACAAGCGGCTAGGCCCAGCAGAACAAGCGAGGTACAAAAACTCCCACTCCCTCCCCGTCTCTCTCCTCGAAGGCGAAACGCCATCCACTTCAAGCCTATGTACCGAGATGTCTGTGAGTTCTCCAGCGTAGTCCCTCAAGGAGAAGGAGGGAGAAACGCACGAGCAGTCCGCGGGCCTTCCACGGGCGGAGACAGTCGCTCGCTGGCGAGCTGTAGAAGCGCTTGAGCGCGGCGGCGAGCTTCTCCTGGTCGGAGTGGTCGAAGCCGGCATAGCGCTTCTCCTCCAGCCACGCGCGCACCGCTGAGCCGTACGACTGGATGACGCTCTTGCGAACGTTGTCGGACGGGAAAGACTGGAGCTGGACGTTGAACTGGCGCGTGATCTGCCAGTTGCGGCGGCTGATGTTGCGGGCCTGTGTGGTGCTCGTAAGCTACTATGTGTGTATAAAACGAAGCTAGGCAAGCGCACCTTCAAATCGTACTCGTCGAGACTGCGAGGCCTCGCGACCTTCGCACCGAATTTCATCGGCTGACCCTGGATCCGGTGGCCCATCCCAGCACTGAACGGATTGCTAGGCGCCAGGAGGTACGCTTGCCCCAGCATGAGGTCCTCCCCTTCGCCAAGCGCCATTTCCAGGTAGAGTTCGACGAGGACATTGCCGAAAAAGCCGTCCAAGGGGTCCGCATCTGGGTCGTCGCGGAAATTCCTGCGCTTCCAAGTACTCAGTCCTGACCTCCCACTCCCCACGCCCCAAAAGGCGGCGAAGAATACTCACATGTCGCAAGACTGGAGGATGCGGAGCATCCGAACTCCGGCTTCGGCGAGCAAATCACGAAGCATCAACTGCGCGCGGCATGAGATCGTCAGGCGAGCGCCCGCAACGGCGAGGGGGGATGATGCGGAGCGTACCTTCCGCCCCATAGCGACCTCCCACTTGTCCATCTCGATGTCCGACACGAACGATGGCCATCCAGATCCATCCTCCAACTTCGTGAATCCTTCGAAGTGAGGATTGATCTTGCGAATCAGGTCGCTCGACTCGATTTCTGCGTACATATTGAGCGTCAAGAAGCGTCAGAAAGCGTCAGAAAGCGTCGGCAAGTCGATCGCGTCACGTACCGTCTAGCAGCGTGCGGACGCGCTGGCGTTCCTCCTCAGAATCGAAGTCCTTGGTGGGGCGGCTCTGCGGCGGGAAGGGGACGTAGTCCGGCGTTTCGACGCGAAAGTCGTGCAGTTTGCGTTTGGCCTTCTCGACGTAGCGAAGGACGCGCTCTTCTGGCACACCTGGCGGATGTAAGGGATCAGCGCCGGCCTGACGGTCCATCTGCGACCAACTCACTCCTGAATTCCTCGAAGTTGAGGCGGTAGAAGTCGTACGAGCCTGGAAGCGGGTCGCTGGCAGACCTCGGCGACATGAACTTGAGCCAGAGGTCATCCATGAGCTTGACTACGCCAAGGAACTCGGCGAGCGGCTCGTCGGATGCCAGCAGCTCCGAGACGGGCACCTCGTGGACTTTCTGAATCGGTGAGAAGATGCCGAAAGCCCGCTCGTCGCGGTGCATTGGCGCGTTGACAGACCGGGCGTGCTGGAGCACCTGAGTGGCAACGACAAGCGCCTTCGATTCCGATGCCGTAAGCTTGCGCTGCGTGCGGGCGAAGTTGAGGTCGTGGACGAGGGGAAGAAGCCTAGCGACTACCGGTAATGTCGGGTCAGCGCGTAAATCCGTGAGGAAAGCTCGCAGTAAGAACGGCACGCACCGGTGATGATGACCTCGGCAGTGTGACGGTCGCGGCTGCCGACGGCAAAGTTGGTGGTGCGGAGAGTTGGGACGAGGTTGCGCAGGTCGGCATGGCGGACAAAGTTCTCGGTAGCGCTGACTGGCAACGGCGCGACCGAGTCGAGCGAGACAGTCGTAGGCTCATCCGTAGCTGCGAACCCCGCGCCCGAACCTGTCAGCGAAGCCGAGGAGTATTGCCTTTCGAAAGAAGCAGAGGAGCTCACCAATCGCGACGGGCATTTGCGAGTACTTGTCGTATCCCATGCCGGAATGGAAGTCGAAGCCGTACTTGCCGTCGTACGCGCGAGCTAGGCTCTTCGGAGTCGACTTGGCCTTGTCCATGCCTTCGAAGCCGAGAATCTTGCGCAACTGACGGAACTGCAGGTAGGCTTCAGCATGCGCCCTCTGTATGGCTCGCACTCCGCAGTACGAGCGACGCACGGAGTCGTATCGAGGTGAGAAAGCCCCTTCCTCCGCGAAAGGCCCGCACTCGCGACAGCTGGAGGTTGGATGCCAAGTCAGTTCCTGGCGGCCGGGCGAGGGCAATGACGCACAGAATACGGGAGTAGGCGTATCCTTCACCCTCGGAGGGGTCGTAGAACTCGTCGAGCGGCTTCTCGACACCGCAGCCTGCGCATTCGACGTAGTTCGCGCGAATGTTGCTGAGGCGGTGATCGTCAGTTGACGGGACAGTCAGAACGAGTGTGAAGTCCACGCACACAGGCGGATGCTGGACGAGGGCGGTCGCCTGCTCCTCGTCGAGTACTCCCTCGCCAACGTCGAGAAGGGCAGCCATACGACGCTCGGCAAGGCGGAAGTCGCCCGTCTCGGCGAACACCTGTCCAAACGAGCACGTTAGGCGCACTTCCGATCGAGAAGCAATGAAGGCGACGGCGACGCACCTCGTTGCCAACCTGGACAGCCGACGCTGCCAGTCCTTCGTCATAGATGGACCACCCGCCCTCCATCCTCACACTCCCCTCCACCGGATCGATCAGCGTGCCGCGGTGGATGGTCTGGCCGCGTGTAGCGTAGCTGTGGAGGACGTAGCCGACCCGCTCTGCGAGAGTAGACCTTGTCAGCGGGTGGCATGTTGTGACGATTTCTAGAACGCACTGCGCTTGGCAATCGGGAGAGGGGTCTCGTTCAGCTTCGTAAGTACGCCCTTCCAGAAGTCCTGCGTCTCCTTCGATTTGAGTGCCGTGATACCCATCTCCGCAAGGACGTGGTTGACCCAGCCCAGGACGTTGACGGAACGCTGAGCGTCGTCGGCAGAAAGGGAAGGTGCATAAGACCGCACTCGTCCCAGAGCGTCGGGCGGATCGGTGACGAGGTGTGGGAACGTGAGCAGGGGAGGGCTTGTTGGTGGCGGTGGAGGCGGCGCTGCGAGAACGCAGAGAAGGGATCAGCTCGGCTTCGCTTGAGAATCTCGAGGACCACCTACTCTGTTTCGTGGTCGACACCAGGAAGCGCTGGCGCTGGCTGTTGCCCTTTGTACGGGGAAGGCCGAAGGAAAGAGTGCCAATCTCGCGAACCCGGATGGTGATTGTACGCTCGACCGTACGCTTGAACGGGACGTATGAACTTGTCGCCGTGATGAAGGGGCGGAGAAGGCGGATGCCGATGACCAGCGCGCCGACGCCGACCGCGCCGTAAGCGAACTGCTTGTTGTCGCCGCCTGAGGGGTCCGCCAGTCGCGGCATCTGGCCGTTCTGCGAGGTTGCGATACCATCCTGCTCGTAGCCGTCAACGAGGAGAGCGCAGAGCTTGGTGACGAGGTTCGGCTCGGGGTAGTCGCACTTGTACTTGTCAAAGATCTTCTCGATGTGGTCGCGAATGGCGGTGAAGAGGGTCGTTTCGCCGGGGTCGTGACGGTAAACGTCGAAGTCACCGTTGTTCATGAGCTCGTCGACCTCGCCGTCATTCGCGCAGACCTGTAACACCGCCGAGATGAAGCGCGCAGATTCGCGGCAGAGCGGCCCGAAGAGCTTGGAGTACTCGTTCAACCGCACTGCGAGGAATGTCGTATCAGCTGTGAGGACAGCTGGCGTCGACGTCAAACGCACCCGGCAAGTTCTCCTTCTTGTTGTACTTGAGTGCCTTCTTCTCCGCGCCCTCAGCCGCCTCCTCGCGAATGGTCACGAGAGTGTCGATCTTCAACGTCGGTTCGCTGTTGACGTTCTTGCCCATCAATGCTGGGTCGCCGAGAGCAATGACTGCACTTGCTTGTCAGCGCATTGCAAACGAGAGGAGGAGAACAGGAACGCACAAGGCTGGCGCTTCGTCTTTGAGTTGTTGCGGACCTTCGGGTCCCACTTGAACCAGGTACTGCGGCGGCGGAAGGCTTCAAACTTCCTGTCAAGCTCGGCGATCGACGTGATGGCGTGGACGGCCTGTACCGCGGGACCGAATGACGGTTGCTCGTCGTCCTCGTCCGCTTCCTCCTCTTCCGCCTGCTCCGAACCTTCCGCTGGCTCACTCCCGTCGTCCGCACCCCCGGTCTCGCCCTCGACTGATGCACCGACAATCTCTTCCTCCTGAGCGCCGTTGCCTTCCTCCGCTGCGACTTGTGCTTCTGCCGCGACGATAGCGGCTGCGCTAGAAGACGAGGGCTCCAGAGGCTGTCCGCTGTCCTGGTACTCCTCGCCGCCCTCGGGCTCGTCCGCCGCCTCCGAGGGGACGAGTCCCTCGCCCGTCGTCCCTTCTTCGCCGATCGCGGGCTCGCGACGGAGGACCTTGATCAAACGAGACTTGGCCAGGCGGGCTTGGGGGATCTGGCGGGAGTAGAGAATGTCGCTGGGCGTGGGAAGTGTGCCGGCAGAAGAGGGAAGGTCGTCTTCGGAGAGGAAGTCGACGAGGTCGGGGCGCGGGACGCGCAGGATCTGGGTGAAGGAAACGCTCGAGTCGGCGCTTCCGGTGTCCGAGGCCATGTAGCTCGAGTCTGAGCCTGCGTCGCTGTCTGCGCGAGGCATAGTCTGCGCGCAGAGGCAGAGAGCGATAGGTCAGCGCGATGAGGCGGTAGAACGCGAGAACAACGTCGCGCGTAGGCGAATGACGGCGCAGTGCACGTCCCAGAGACTGTGGACGCACTGTGTACTCGAGTGTGCGGTGCTCGAGTCGGTTGCGAGGTGTTTCGAGAGTCGAAGCGAGCGGGAGGGCAAAGTCGACGGGTAGACGTCCTGCATCTCGCTACTTCCGCAAAGCGCTGCGCCCGAATGGCTTCCGACGACTCAGAGATCACTCCGCTCGACCGCGTAGTCCAGCCGAGCGACTCCGCGGCGTCTCCGGACCCCTCTCCGCCTCGCTCCTCCCTCTCTGTGAGTGTCCTCCCTCGCTCACTCGGTCGACGCCAGACTGCTAAATCGCGCTCCTGAATGCACGCAGCGCCTCGACCAGAGCCTCCTTGGCGAACTGAACGACCTCATCGCCCTTTCCCACTCGTACGAACTCGACGACACCTTCCTCGCCCTCAAAGGCCTGCGCGAGCAGCTCGCCGAGCTGGACTTCCAGCACTCTTTCATCTCGAACCGACCCATCTACGAGGGCAACGTCCGCTTCGTCCTGGCGTACATGCTCTGGCGTCTCGGGCTGGGCGGAGTGGGGGCGGAACTCGAGGAGGCGAAGAAGTTAGTGGACCAGCCGCGCGAGGGGCAGGAGGAACCGGCGCGCCGCCTGCTCAGCAAGGTCAAGCGGTTCGAGGAGATGCTTGCGAAGGAGACGGCGGGTGAGGAAGAGGCTCGATCGCCGTCCGCGAGTGTGGGCTGCTCGCTGACCTCGCCTGCTCTCTCCAACAGCGCCTTCGGCAGCGCAGGAGCTCCCCTCGACCCCCAAGAAGGATGCAAAACGCCCTTTCACGTTCGACATCTTCGCCACGCCCGTCTCGCTCGAGAAGAAGCTGAAGAGGCGCCCTCCGTCCTCGCCCATCCTCCTCACCCCGACTCCTCGCAGCCCGACGGGACCTTCCTTCGCTCCGATCGGCTCTCCGCAGGCTCACGCGCCGCAGCGCCGCCGCACGGACGTCCAACCGGGCGGGACTCTGAGCGAGGAGGAGGGGGACTTGCTCATGTCAGTTTGAGCCGGCTTCGTGGCTTGCGAGCTCGTTCTACTCTCCAACAGTACTGATTCGACCTGCACTACCTACAGGTCGGAAGATGAGGCGGAGGCGGCGCAGCTGGAGACGTCCGGCCTCGCACCCATCAAGATCTCGGTCGCGGCCGAGTACGACCAGGCGACGGTGCGTCGCTCTTTCTGTCGCTCTCTGCAGATACGAGTTTCTTACACTGTCTCTCCTGCGCCTCGCCACAGGATTTGCGCCTCGTCGGAGCGATTTCCAGCCTCGGCGGATGGAATCCTTCGCTCGGCGTCCCGCTTCAATACAACACCCTTGAGCAGCGTTACTGCGTCGAGTTGTACTCGTCAGATGCCATGTCTACCGAGTGCAAGGTGCGTTCTTTCGACTTTCGAGCCTTGCGACGGAGGCGGGCGAAGTTTTCGCTAATATCACGAACTTCGACTGACGACTTTCGTTTCGCGTTGGACAGCTCGTTCGCTACTACATCGATGGAAGTGTGGTGTGGGAGAGGGAGGGTAGGGGAAATCGCGTTCTTACGGGAACGGAGGACATGGATTGGGAGTGGGAGGAGTAGGGAAAGGTACAGGGATGAGGGTGTACCGAGCGCTTTGCATCGTCAGTCTCGCTTCAGTACTCTCGAGGTAGTGCATGCTGGAGAGCCATCGCTTCAGGCCACAATTTCTGCGTCTGCTTTAAGATCGGTGAGCTCGCTCGCACTACCGCACGAGGTGCTCCTGACCTTGCCTTCCTTGCGAGCGCGCCAATTTCTGAGGATGTGCGGCTTGTAATTTTTGTGCTGGTGCCCTGCAGTCGCTGGGAACGAGTGGTCAGCGGTTAAGCGGGCACAACGAAGACCCGGTCCTTCGTCGAGGTTCGTCAAGTCGAGCAGGTGCCGGCCGAGCTTTGATGTATAAGCGAAGATACAATTAGTCTACGAAGGAGCTGCGAAGTGTTGTGGAGAGCAAGCGCTGTTAAGCCTGTGAAAAGCGAAAGTGAGAGGCGAGTTTGCCGCGCAGCAGTGTCCAGTCTGCGGAAAAGTTCGTGGAAGAACCGCCTCAAACGGTCCTGGGACATCCCGTGAGCACGTTCGCAGACCAACAGCTCGTTGGCTCGAGCTCGAACCAGATCGAGTAGAGAATGAGCGAGCTCAGAGGCAAGGAAGCGCTCGAGGCCAGAAGTCGTCCGCCCCTCCTCGCCGTACATGCCAGCAGCTGAGCGCCCGCGCCCATGTTCGACTGTCACAAACCCCAACCCATCCAACAGCAGTGGCGCATCGTCTACTCGCTTGTGCGCTGCGATGGCGAAGTCGAGTCGAGGTTGACTGATGAAGCGGTGGAGGAGAGGGAGGGTCGAGCTGGCCGTGCGGTGGCGTGTCAAAGGTCGTAGGCTACTTGAAGCACGCTTTCTGGGCAGCTGGAAGCTTTGAGAACGCGGTCTGAGCTGGATGAGCGATGTGCGAGAGTGCGAGAGACGAGGGAGAGCGTGAGAGGGTGCGCTCCGCGACAACTCGCATCGTAGGGCTGGCTGACGCGGTCCGAGCATCGAACAGCAAGCCAAAAATCCTACCATTGTCCAAGCGGCCTCTCACAGCCGGTGTGCAGTGCGCCAGGCGACTCCTGTCGCCTGTGCACTTTTTCGAGATGGCGCTTCTCGGCGCACAGGGAGGGTTGCAAGCTTGAAGGAAGCGTCGGAAGGAGCGTTTGAGTGCGTCCAAGCCGGGAACAGCCCTCACGTCGCAGGACGAGGAGGTCGGCGGATCTGCTCGAGGGGAGGCTGTCGCGACTCGCTGGACGAACTTACGGCCAGCGGAGGTGCAGATCGAATCGCCGTAAATAGAACGGCATGCGTTTTTCTCGCCCGTCCTGCGACTTGCACAGCTCGCCGTCAGGATTCAGGTTCAAGAGCGACATCTCTACCTTTGCTGAGAGACGCAAAGTCGCACGCCCACCGCCGCAACTCTCGCTATTTCTCCCGCCGCCTCGCAGTTTGGTCGGAAGGGACAGGCCGTGTGAGCAGTATGAGCCAATGGAGCAGTTCAGTGCGAAGCCGCAAGCCGGAAAAGAGCGAGATGAGAGAGGGAGCTCGCCAGCAAGCCCCGCAGAAGCAGCTTCGAGCCGCTACTCCTCAACCAGTGGGCTGAGGACGGCTCGACAGCGAGATAACATGTTCAAGGATCTCGTAGCGTCGGTTGCAAATGCGTACGCGGCAGTCGACGCCCCAAAACAAGCCTTGCGCCGCATTCCCGCCTGCGGTAGCTCCTGGCCCCACGTCGCATAAGTGGCAGAACGCGCGCGCTAAACCCACAAAGCGATCCTTCCTACTTGTCGCCCGCTTGAGCGCCTCCAATCCCCGTCGCGAGGCCGTCGTTGCGAGTTGACGGTTCGTCGAGTCGCGAGAAGGGTATCGGCGAGCGAAGACGGTGAGAGAGCGAGCGACGGCCGGGTACGTCGTGTCGCCAAAGTTGCGCAGAGTCGAGCAGTGTCCACGAGCAAGTTTACGATCCAGCAGTGAGTGTGAGCGGTGAGAGAGTCGAAGTGGAGGCATGGGACCGATCCGTCCACTCTGCACAGCCTCCTCCACCATCGACTACAACGCTCACACATGCTATCGACGAACAGCTAGCACAACAGCGTCTCCTGCTTGACCGACGAAGCGATTGCAGCCGAGCGCAGCAACTCGCGACCCGCCAGATACCATCTTGCGCTCGCTGAGGATGACGGTCTCAACCTGGTGCGCTCTCCCTTCGTGGGCTCGTTCGACGGTCAAGTCTGACCTTTTGACCACCATCGAACAGTCCTGCTCCGACTCGAGACAGACGGGGCGGCAGGAAGGGCGGCGGAGACCTCCTACTTGGGCTTCGCACGCTTCGGATGGTCTTGGAGGGCTTGCTTGGCGAGCGAGACTTCATCTGCGGGGTGCGTCGAGTCCGGATTTGCCTCTGCGTTCTGAGTTAACCCTCACTTGACCGCAGGGCAGACTCGCATCTCTCCTCGACCACCTCTTCTACCTCGCCTATCTCGCCTACCTTGCCCTTCTCATCCGCTTCCCATTAACGGGAATCGTATTTGGGGAAACATACGCACGCAGGACGTGCGTGCGCTCAACTACCTGCGCAGCTGAACGAGCGGGACTCATTCGCATCGTTGCCCAGATCCTGATCCCTCTCGAAGTCAAGCTTCACCTTCGCCGCGCTCCTCTCCTCGAATGCTCCAAGCCCAGAAAACAGCTGCCAAGACTCAATCTCCCTCGCCATACCGGTCCTCCTGACAGTTTTCGTCGCCTCGGGCATCTACCTCACATCCCAAAGTTCGGGCTGTAAGAAGCATGTTGAGCAGCATCGGTCAAGGGATCCAAGGGGCCGGGGCAGAGTGCAGGGTTGGTGGTCTGTGTGAGCAGAGCAATGAATGTTGCGGCGGAGGGGCTAGAGTTTCGGTTGGATGGAGAAGAAGGTTCTCTTTGCAAATACCTGCACCTACGCAGAGCGTCAGCTATCTCGAGCCTCACCATGATATACAAGTGACTTCGCTCCGAAGAGAAGTCAGGCTCCGGCTACCCGGCCCACTATTGACGACGACCTCCCTCCTCCCTCCCCTCAATTTCCCTTCGTCGTCCGCCCTGGTTCCATCCCCAGGCAACGCACCTTTCCTTTCTCATTTAGTGATCCTGTATCAACTCGCATCGTCACAGGTGACACAGCGCAGCTCTGCCAATCGAAGTCCGCACACAACTTCAGGATCTGGGAAGGGTCGAGGTCGTTACGTCGCTGCAACGTCGAATCTGCGGCGCTTCGACGGCTCAACGCACTGTACAAGTGTGTTTGCATTGAGTCAAAGGCTGCACTGACGATGGGAGACGTAGTAGCGGAAAGGCGGAGCCGGAAAAGAAAGGATTCAGCAGGAGCAAGTGCGAAGGCAAGGCGCGGCTTTCTTCGCTCCGTGGACGGCCTGGTACTGCTCAGGGAAAGCTCGAAGAGTGGCGTTCCAACTCTGCTCACGCACCTCGTCGTACAACCCTCACAGCCGTGCGATGCCAGACGCTCGCAATCGCAGGCGACTTCGACAAGGCGCGTCCCAGAAGGCGACGAGGCGCTGTATCCACCGGCAATTCTTCTCTACAAAGCCTAGGAGCAGGAGGGCAGCACGTGCAGGTTGGGCGTTTACCTGCTAGAGATTGCGGAGGAATGGGTCGCGGAGGTAAGGGAGGAAGCAAGGAGGACGGTGTGCTGGCTCTGCCCGGATTCCATCATGCTGCCTCAACTCCGTCGGCCTTCCATGCTCGGTGCTGAAGGAGTTATCGCATTCAACGCCAGAATGAAGGACGATGTCTACCCGTGTGAGAAGGAAAGGTACAAGAGCTTGTACAGCTCGTATCCGCCGCAAAGGCGAGACTAGAATTCCGAAGAGAATCCCCAAGAGATCGGCAATACTCCCTGACTCTCCGAGCCGACTGCAGAACGAGGAGTCAGCGTCTAAGAAGCCGCCCGGAGAGGGACAAGACGTACGGGCGTCAAATGCTCCCTGGCTAAGGTCGAGCGATTGTTCAGCACACCCTGGGCAGCTGCGTACAGGGTCCTACATTGTCAGTACGGCACGAGAAGGACGCGGTCGGGCGAGGGGACGGCGAGAAACCAGGGAGAAGGGCCTCAAAAGATTATGAAGAGGTGAGACTCACGTGTCAGCGATAGTGGCGGTGATGGAGGCACCCGTGGCAGTGTTGGTGATGTGAACGGTCTTGCCGCACCACCCGCTGTTCATTTGTGCAGCGTTGACGGCGACAATGTAGTCCTGCAAGCAGGCGAGAGGACTGTGAGCTTCTGTCATCTGTCGCGCACGCAGCGCTGTGTAGACTGCCATAAAGGTGCACTTACCGAGTCGCTGTTGTAGTTCCCGCACGAGCCGGCGACGCCGTACTGATAATAGTAGGTCGCCTGGCCAGTGAAGACCTGGCCGCCGCCCGAGGACGCGCTCGAAGTCTGAGCAGGTGCAGAGGAGGTCGTCGTCGGTGTAGGAGCGGGAGCGGACGTCTTGACGGATTGGACGCCCGTGTCGGCGGAAGTCTGCGGCGCAGCGCTCGAAGTTGAGGTCTCGTCGTCGCAGACCCAGTCATCCGAACTCGTGTCGATCGAGGAAGAGTCGCTGGAGGAAGAGCCGGACCCGCCGACGTTGAGCTGGACTGCTGGTGCTGAAGTCTGGGCGGCCGCAGCAGAAGAGGTGGTGGACTGGACGGCGTTGTTGGCGAGCTTCTTGTCGACCGACGCACTAGATTGTGCAGCAGTCGTTGTGGTCTTGGCGGCGGCGGGAGTCGTCTGAGCAGGAGGCGTTGTCGCGACGGTTTCCTGAGCGGGAGGCGAGTAGATTCCCGAAGACGGCGGCGCCGAACCTGCACCGGTGTCCCAAGTGATTGCGCCATCCTGGCACATTGTACCGGCTGTCATGAGAAGGCGGTCAGCCTGTGCACCGCGGCGAAGGGCTCAGAGCAAGCCAACTCACCGGCGACGGATCCCATGTCGGTGCAGTTGTCGCCATCGCACAACGCAAACGTGTACGCCGTCAAGCACTTGAGCGTCGCCTCCTGACGCTTGCTCAGGCGGCGACCAGTCCTCGGCAGCGTGCGAGCTTTGCCAGCGACGCGACCGTGGGCGTTGCGAGCGACAAGGGCGGCATTGCGAGGGTGGGAGTAGTGCGCGGCACCGGCGGACGCGAGGGGGAGGGCGAGGGCGAGGAATGTGACGAGGGAAGTGAGCGAAGGCATGCTGCGAGATAGAGTGAGGGCGGGGGAGTGGGCGAGGAGGCTGTCGAAGGTGTCTAGATGGCTACAAGCAGTCGTACGGTGCGGAAGACGAGCCCAGCTGTAGCACAGGTGCATGGGCATCGTCAGCAGGGCCGGAGACTCCGAAGGAAAAGGACCGACGCACCTCGAATTCGAAGAGACGGAGAGGAGGCAAGCGGGAGACCGGCTGAGCGGCGTTCGAGCGGGAGAGAGCAGGGAAGAGACGGAGCGTGCAGGAGAGAAGGAGAGAAGGGCAGCGAGCGCGGGAGCGACCAAGAATGCTTGACCGAGAAACGTCGCAACGGTCCGGCATTGCCCCGCGTCGACGAGGCGTTGGTCAACATCGGCTGCGCGCTCGCCACACCCCTTCGCAGGGCTCACCGACGGTGCAAACGTCCTATATGAACGCTTTACAACGCATACAAGCTCGCGCATCGTCCCCAAACAGCCTGTGAGCGTGGCACTGGACGGCCCCGCTGGGCGCGCTCGCGTTCAGACGCGGTCGCGTTTGCTTGCGAAAGTCTTGCGCAAGGTGCGAGCGTAATGCGGCGATGGATACAATGCAGTCTTGAATAGTCTATATAGAAATCGAGCTGGGCACAATGGACATGGCAGCGATTAAGAGGAGAAGTGCGAAGGCGGGTGCGAGCATGGGCGAGAGAGTGGACGCTGCCGAAGGAGTCTGCAAAGTCGCGGCAGGCGCTGCAGAGCCAGAAGGCGCAGTGGAAGTTGCTGTGCGAGATGCGGAGGACGCAGAAGAGGGGGATGAAGCGGCGGAGGATGGGGAGGCGGAGGAGGAAGAGGTGTTTGTAGTAAAGTGTTGAAGTGCCCAACGGAGTCTGCACAAAGAAGAATATCAGCAGATACACAAGGCTCAGAGAACGCCTCAACACGCACCCCGCCTCGACATGCGCCAAGTGCGTCGGATCACTCCAAACCTCGATGGTATGCCCAAGACTCGTCATCCAGGTTCGTCCCGGCATCCTCGGCGGATTCAGCGCCGTCCCATTGCTCAGGTCGACCGACTGACCCTCCCTGTACCATGCGATGGGCGGCGGAGTTCCCTGGTAGTACGGCCGCGTACCGTACTGTGGGTCGTTCACGCTCGACGGGTCGTAGGAGAGGATGACGGTTGCGTTGACGCTTCGAGGATCGCTTCGAAAGTGGTAGGCCTCCTCGTACGAGACGAAGCGGTCGGAGAACATGCTGACGGTCGGGTGGTCGGCGATCCTGGTGAAGGTCTGCGAGGGAAGTCACGACTCAGCGGGTTTGGCGAATACTGCCACGATGTCGAATGACTTCAGGCGGAATGAAGAGGAGGGGAAGCGGGAGAAATGTGAGAAGGAACGGGTCGAAGACGCACAATATTCTGGATCTGCGGGTGGTAGTCGAACCAGGAGCCTGCGTCTCGCCTTCGAGCGTCAGCACACAGCTCCCTGAGTGATGTGCAGGACTTGCGCACCCATTGCGACGCCGAATGCAGTGTCGTTGAACAGGCAGGCCGTCCCAGCGTGCAATCCGACGAGCGACCCTCCCTTCGTCAACCAATCAGTCAACGCCGCCTCTCCATCGCTCGTCAACACCTGATCCGAGTTGCTCAGGAAGACGATCGCCTTGAAAGGATCGAGTTGGGCTGGCGTGAAGAGGTTCTCGTCCTTCGAGAAAGTCGCGTTGAACAGCGAGGTGTTCTGCCCGATTTGCTGGATCGCCGACATCGCAGCCGGAATCGAGTCGTGGTAGTAGCCGGCGGTCGCATAGTACACGAGGATTTGAGGAGGAGATTGCGCTGCGACGAGGAGAGGCGCGGCGAGTAGGGCAGTCGCGAGTCGTCGGATCCGCATGGTGAGCGACGTTCGAGCAGAGCGCTCTTGTGAGCCAGTTCTGGAGACCCGAAGTGCTGTAGCGGGCGTTGCGAGGTTGTTGTCGCGGTGAAAGCCGTTGCCGACGGCGGGGGACGAGGTTGACGGACAACTCTTCGCTTCGTATCCTCTCTATTGGCGGTTTCAGGCTCGCATGGCGTCGAAGAGCTCGCTTGTACGGGCTGGCACCCACCAACTCTCGAATGGTCCTCGTCTCTCCTACCTCCTTCACCACCCATCTTCATCAGTCGAAGGCACACGACCGCCCATCACTCGAGCAGCTCTGATTGCGCATCCCTTCGGTCGACTAGGAGGCAGAAAGGAGGACCACGTGGTGACGGCGGTAGCAGAGTTGTTGGCGGACGAGGGGTATGCCGTCGTTCGGTATGATGCGAGAGGAGCTGGCGAGAGTGAGGGAAGTGCGAGCTGGACGTGCGTGTTCTTCCAGCTCAGGGTCTTCTTACACCCACTGAGTCTTGTTGAGGAACAGCGGAGCGACTGAGGCGGAAGACTACCGGAAACTCGTCCAGGACCTCGTTCTCCCGCTCCTCTTCCCGCCAGAGACCGGCTCGATACCGTCTGATTCGCCCCCAGTCGAACGCCAAATTCTCCTCTGCGGCTACTCCTTCGGCTCGCTCGCCGCCTCCGCCTGTCCACCTCCAGCGCCGCCGCCTTCCCATCCTCACGCCGTACTCACCACTTCCTACCTCCTCATCTCCTACCCTCTCTCGGTCCTCTGGGCTCTCACGCTCTTTCGCTCTGAGCCGTTCACGACAGCATTGCGAAACACGGTGAAGCGAGGGAATGAGCGAGTCATGGCCATCTTTGGCGACAAGGACCACTTCTCCGGCGTCGAGAAGCTGAGGAAGTGGGCGGGTGAGCTAGAGACCGTGGCGGAAGGGAATGGAGCCAAGACGTGGGAAGCAGTAGAGATCGAAGGTGCGGATCACTTTTGGCTGGATCGGGCGCCGAAGATTGAGCTGCTGGAGACGGTGCGCGCGTGGGTTCAGCGCAAGTCTGCAACAAAGCCATAGAGCAGGACAAGTGGAGCAGGAGAGACTGCATGGACAGCTTGAATGATTCGCTTGGAGCAACAGTCAGTGACGGACGATGCAGAGCGAGGATGGTCGCTAGGAGTACAACAGGCAGCAGATCGGCATGCTCCACACTACCCTCTCCTTCATCGACCGCCTCAACCGACGAACAACTCGTACAACTCTGGGTCCTGGTCCTTCTTGAATGCGCTCGACATGCTCGGGTCCGCCCTGATCCTTGTCTTTGCCACAGCTGCCGCCGCTCGTGCCTTCAACTCTGCTTCTGTAGGCTGTTGCCGCGTCGTCGTCTGGGGATCTCGGGAACTTTGCCGCTGTTCTTCGGTTGAGGAGGATTGGCGGTCGGTCGACGATGGGCGAGAGGGAGGTTCGGGGGATTTACCGGCCGAGACGGTGGGAGAGGCGGACTGTACGATCATTGGGAGTGTCAGTGTACCGGGTACAATGCTGAACTGACGGCGAACGAGCAACTCACCCCTTCAGACGGAAGTCGCGAGCCTTGCTTCAACGGCGAACCTGAGCAGGGCGGGTCCAAAACAGCGTTAGCGCACTCCAACATACTTGCGCAGAGTATCGAATGGCCACTCACCCGCCCGGGGCTGGTTTGACTTGTTGGTTGATGAGCGATTCGACGAGGACGAGGAGGAAGGGTTGCGCGGCAAGGGCGTGCCGAGCCTGCGTGTTTCCGACATGTCTGGCATCGTCGCAGCGTGCTCAGCTAGTCCAGCGCGAGTCAGCTAGCGAGTAGGCAGAGCCAACTCCTCCTCTTCCAGTGCCCGTAATCCCGGCACCCTTGCTTGTCCCCACGAAGCTTGTTCTTGCGGTTGCTACGGCTTCTTACGACTGCTTTGATTCCCTACCGACTCCAACGAACGTCCGCTTGCGCCGCGATCACCTTGATCCACCTCGTCCGACTTCATCGAGGCGATCCTCGTTCTCTCAGACGACACACGCCTCGCTGGACCCGCAGACGCCGTGGGACGCTCGTCGGCACTGCAACACAGCCCTACGTCTGGTGCCAGCGTCTGTCGCTGTCGCAGACCTCTCGCTCTGAGCGTCACCGCGAGGTCCTTGAGATCCCGGGAAGGGGTGCGTGGGTCATCCTCGGCTTGCTGGAGGACGAGGCGGAACAGTCGAAAGGTAGTCGGACACGGATTGAACATCGACCAGGTGCGTACTCGCTGTACGAGCGACATCTCACGCCTCGGAAGCTGAACCCGATCATCTTGCTCGGTACAGTCAGCGTCCGCCAGGACAGCTCGCCTCGATGCAGCAGCACTACGAGGGCTACCGCTCGCCACCACCAGGCATGCCCCCGCCTCCGTCAGTCAGCTCGCCAGCCCACTCCTCCTCATCAACCGCACCCTCCTATCCTGCGGTGAGGCCTCTCCCGCAGCATCCGCCTTTGAACGCCTCCGCTCGCCCTTCATCGTCTTCCTCGTTCATGCAACCGCCGTACCCCGGCCAGTTCAGCCCGCAGTCGCCGCCGACCAGCGTTTTCTCGCGCAGGGATGGGTCGATCGAGTATCTGGTGCGCCTGCTCCTTCGCGTACGCTGCGATTCCAAGCTGATTGTGTACCACTTTTTCAGCCACCTCAGCATGAGCAGCGCTACGCCTCGACCGCTTCGTCGCACCACAACGCACCTTCACCACCTCCTCAATCCGCACACTCTCCTCACCCTCACGACGCCTACTCCAGTCCATCTTTCTCATCCTTCTCTCCCCGCCCACGCTCGCCGCTGCCGCAGGGAACGATCATCACCGCGACAGCCGACCTTGAATCGCTCGTCGTCGTGCCCCTGAGCTCCCTTCCTTCCGTCGAAGCGATAAAGGACGTCATCATGTCCCGCCTGCACATCGCCGACGAAGACATGCCTCGGCAAGCATTCTACCTGACGCAAATTGGCGCGGGAGAAGGACGGCGAGTCGGTGACGACGAGTTGTGGGAAGCGGTGCGCGCAAGCGCAAAGGGCCGAGGCGGTCAGGTCACCGTCTTTGTCAAAGAAGTCGCGCCGCGTCGAACGAGGTCACGCAGCGGCTCACATGCGGAGGACGTCCGGAGCGCGGCAGAGTATGCAGGTGGAGCCCGGCGCGAGCGAGACAGTACTGGCGGAGGATCATCACCCGTCTCGGCGGCAAGCCTGCACCGGCAAAAAAGCCCAAGCACATCGTCGGGCACGTCGGCGGAGCGGAACGAGGCGATGAGCAGGCCAGAGTACGGCCGAAGCCAGCGCTCGCCAAGCCAGGTCATGGACGAGTTCGGAGGGATGCCCAGTCCCGGGTTGAACGGCGAGAGGCCTGGCTGGACGGCTTCGACGTGGAGTCACTCGACTCGACAGGTCTCGACTTCTAGCGAAAGTTCAGCACGTCTGGTCGCTTCGCCGCAGTCGGGTATCTCGCTGAGCCCGCCCGTTGGGCGGTCCGAGCCAGGCCCACGGGCTCGCAGCGGCAGCACGACGAAGACGTCGCCCGAGGACTACTTTCACCTCTCTCCGCGGCTTTCGTCCGGCCCCACCGCGTCACCTTCGCCGCTGTCGACGCCGCACTTCTCGCCGAACCCTTCCTCCGCCTACCAACCGTACTTCCCTTCCTCGCCTCAACCGCTACAGCACGTTGGCTCCAGTCAAGTCGTCATGGGTCCCTCAGGCCCGATTCGTTGACTTCCGCCGCAGCCACAAGAGGCGCGATCGCAGACAGTCCCGACAGTCCAAGTGACTTCGACGTCGTGGATGCACAGCACATCGGCGCCTGCTCCGGTATCTCAGGCGTCCATGGCCGCCGCTCGCCCCGTCGTCTCGCCTCTCCCGCCTCGCCCGCTTCCCCCGACCGATCCTCGCGCGAGTCTCCCTCAGTACGGCAGTCAGCCCTACAAGAACCTCCCTCTCCCGTCATCCCAATCGCCGTACCACAATCTTTCGCTGCAAGGCCAATTCTCGCAGGTCGTCCACCTCTCTCAACCTCAGCGACCCGTTCCTCCGGTTAACCCGAATCTTCCGCCTCGCGCTGCGACGCTCGCGGCGCCACCTCAGGCGCAGCGAATGGTCTCGAAGAGCGCCGACAATCTGCGCGGAACTTTCGCAAGTCCGCCGCCGATCGCCTCGCCTCCCTACCCCGGCTCAGGCTTCCGGCCTCCGCCTGGTCCGACTGGACATCCCGGTGCAGCAGGCTCGCAGCCCGTCCGCCCTCCGTACTCGCAAGTCGCTTCGCTCCACTCGTCGAGTATGTCCCCGCCTCCTGCCTCTCCAAACCCGAATCTCGCTTCGGCTTTCTACTCGGCGCCGGTGCAAGCACGGCATCAAGCCGCCGCCAGGGCTTCGCCGTATGCATCGCCTGCTCCTCCGGTCGTCCCGCCGCGTCCACACGTCGACCAAACCCGAAGTCAGCCTGCGGGCGTCGGGGCTGGAGGTCAACGGCCAGCGACGATGTACGACCTCGCGACAGGCGTGTCCGACCTGCGAGTTGGTGAATCGGCGCACCGCCGACGGAGCGAGACGAGCGAGTATGAGGTCCAGAGCGGGTCGTCAACTCGCCGGTTATCTTCCGAGGGAAGTGCCGCATCGCCTCCCAGGCGAGACCTACCTCTCAGCCTGCAGGCCGGCGTTCGCCAGGACTCGGTCATGTCGCCGACGAGCCGACCCAGCACGAGTTCCGTACCGGCGGTCCAGCAGACGTCGCCTCGCTCGGCCAGGTGGCCGTCGCCAGTTCCTTCGGCTCCGCCCTTCCAAGACGACGACGGCGCGTACGACGGCATCGCCGATGCCGATCGGCGACCTGTTCGAACAGAGGCGATGGGCAGCGCGATCAGCCGCGACACGAGCTCGGCGTCGTCGGCTCGCAGCTCGACGACTGGGCCGTTCACCCCGGCAAGCGATGCTCCGCCGGCTTCCGTCTCGACGCCGTCGAAGCCGAAACTCGTCGACGAGTTCGGCGATCCGCTCGACGAGGAGACGAGCACTTGGTTCCCCGTCAACCAGCCTGCACTCGTCAAACCCGCTGAAGCGACGTTGGCTCATCCGCCTCCGTCGGCACCGCCCACCCAGACGACCACCGCCGTTCCCGCGCCTTCGTCGTATGGGTCTTCTTCACCGATGCGTCGTCAGAACAGCGCGCCGGGATCTGCCACGAGCGCGTCAGGTAGCGTCACGGGCGGCGGCGATAAGCGCGACTCGGTTCCCGACGCGCAAGACTGGACACAAACCATTCTCTCTCGCTTTGGCGCATCTGCTACCACAAGCACGGAAAACGGCACGCTCGTGCCGGCTGGCGAGACTGGGACTCTGCGCCCTCCGCCATCCTCGGCTGCCGCTCCTCAGCCTCCGAAGCTGCTTGACGAGTTTGGCGACGAGCTCGAAGACTCGTCGACCTTCTTCCCCGGTCACGGTCCATCCTCGACGCCGGTTCCGCCTTCGTCCTCCTCGACTAGCACGACACTCAGCAGGAACTCCTCACTCACCAACCGTCCCAGTCTGCGGCTTCAGATCGACCGTCGCGCTCCTACCGCCGTCTCGCCACAGCCCGTCCCGCCTCCGCCACCCGCTTCCAAACCGAGCGACCCCAGTCCGCCGCCGTCTAGCAGTCGCCCAAGCGAGCCTCCAAGCGCAGGTCGTCGGTCAGAAGGCTCGAGCGGTGGAGGCGGCTTCGGACGACGCTTCCAGCATCCTCGCCTCGACGAGATCGTTTGCCTGCCGACCTCCCCTTTTGCTCGTCGCAACTCGTTTGCGGCGCGGGAGCAGGACGAGAAGGATTGGGCGTTCCGTCCGCCTGTCGAGACCGTTCTCGAGAACCTCGACGTCTTCTTCCCCGAGCACGATCTTGACAAGCCAGTGTTCGACCTGCCGACGTCCGGACCCTCGACGCCTTCGACCAATGCGTCGAGTCCTGTCCGCGAACAAGCGGGCCCACCTCCGTCAGCAAACTCGTCTGGCTCTCGTCGCGGCGGTGCGGCAGCGCTGGGTTACCGCAAGTCGATTCGCGTCGTCGCGCAAGACCGCAAGCGCATGCTGCAGAAGGCGGGCAGGAACGTCGCAAGCGCCGCTTCAGGCCTCGCTTCGAACTTGCTTCGCCGGAAGAGCACCAAGCTGTTCGGCGCGAGGATCGAGGAGGTCACGTCCGCTCAGATGAAGCAGATCAGCAACATCAAGGAGATCTCCGACGAGGATCCCGAGAATTGTGGGTCGAATTGCTATCGTTTCGCCTCTCCGCTGCTGACCTTGCCTTCCTCTCGCAGTCTCGTACAAGTGGATCAAGGGCGACTTGATCGGCCGCGGCACGTACGGCCACGTCTACATCGCGCTCAGCGTCACAACAGGCGAGACGATCGCCGTCAAGCAAGTCGAGATGCCGCGAACGTACTCGGACAAGGAGGACCAGCGGACGAAGGGCATGATCTCGTCGCTCAAGGCGGAGATCGAGCTTCTCAAGGATCTCGACCACCCGAACATCGTGCTGTACCTCGGTACGTTCACTCGTTCAGCGACCATGGGAGAATTCGCTGACGAGACCGTCCGCAGGCATGGAGCAAACGCCCGAATTCCTCTCTATCTTCCTCGAATACGTTCCCGGTGGCTCGATCGGCCGCATCATCCGCACGCACGGCAAGGTGAGCTGACTCGAGCGAACCGACGCGTTTTGCGCCTAGCTGACCCTCCCTCTTTCCCTCGCAGTTCGAGGAGGACGTGATCAAGTTCTTCACGCTGCAGATCCTCGATGGGCTCGAGTACCTACACGGACTCGGCATCCTTCACCGCGACATGAAGGCCGACAATATCCTCATCGACCAGGACGGCATGTGCAAGATTTCCGACTTCGGCACGTCGAAAAAGAGCGGTGCGTCCAGCCTCTCCGCCGTCTTCCCGCTCGCACGGCTGACAAATGTGAGGAAACAGGCGACATCTATCAGAACAACGAGAATATGTCAATGCAGGGCTCGATCTTCTGGATGGCGCCCGAAGGCGAGTCCTTCCCTCCCTCCCTCGTCCACCGCCGCCTTGCTGACTTCTCTTGACTGCACGCTCGCAGTCATCCACAACAACAAGCAGGGCTACTCGGCCAAAGCGGACATCTGGAGTCTCGGCTGCATCTGCATCGAGATGCTCGCGGGCTCGAGGCCGTGGGAGGGCGAGGGCTTCATGGGAGCGATGTTCAAGGCGCGCCCCACGCTTGCGTTCAACCGGAGCTTGATGTACTCATCGATAATATTGCTCGCAGCTCGGTGCCGAACGCATGCGCCCGCCTCTTCCGCCCGACGTCAACCTGTCCGAATACGCCGACCAATTCGTCAGCGACTGCCTCCAGATGTGCGTGTCGTCTCTTCCTCCCTTGATCTTAACGGCTATGCTGACGAAAGTCATCCGCGCCGCAGCGAGCCGGAGCGCCGTCCGAAAGCCTCCGAGGCGAAACACCACCCTTTCCTCACGACCCTCGACCCGCACTGGTCTTTCACGCAGAGCTCGTTGTATCAGTACGTCCTGTCTCTCTAAGCTCACGGGACGCTGCTCACGCTGGTCCCCGCAGAATCATGACGGCGGAAGAAGAGCGTCGCCGCGCCCCGAACACTCCCTCCGCCTCTTGACCACGCTCCGCCTTACGCTGTTTCTCCGTACCCTTCCTTTCATGTATCCTTCTAGCTACCCTTGCAGTTTTGCGCATACCTAGATCTCTCCGTATCATCCGCAACGTCTCGTTACGCTTCGCAAAGCTCCTTTCGCGTCTGGCCTGGCCCTCACGGCGGTCCCGCTCGACCTGCCTCTCCATCGGCGTGGTTGGGAGTACTGCTCGCCTCTGCCACCTCGTAGTGAAGCTCCGCCGCGCTCTGTGACCTGCCCACCTCGACGAGGCGGTGCGGACCTCCCTCAACCCTCGACCGCACTCTCGCATCGTCGCTGAGCTTGTGTCGCGGGCGCGGTCAGCTTGCTATCACTGCTCGTCGTGCTCTCACTGCCGCGGCGCGCCCTGCGATGGCGGCTGAGGCGCTCGTTCCCCGCGCCTACCAGGAGGACGTAACGAGGTCAGCGCTCGAGCGCAACGTGGTCGTGCGGGCAGACACGGGCAGCGGCAAGACCTTCATTGCCGTGCTCCTCATCCGCGCCATCGCCGCCCAGCCCCGACAGATCGACGACCACACCCTCATCATCTTCCTCACGCCGACAGTGACCCTCGTGCATCAGCAGGCGAGCGTTCTCGAAGCTGCTACGACACTCAGAGTCAAGTCGTTTGTCGGTGCGAGCGGAGTCGACGTCTGGAAGACGGAACGCTGGCGAGAGGAGCTCTCGACTACCGACATCGCCGTTCTTACTCCTCAGGTGTGGGTGCGTTCTTCGGTCAAACTTGCTCGCTTGAATTGACGCTGATACTACGGTCCTTGCTCTTCAGCTGAACGCCCTCTCCGCCGGCTACTTCGATCTTCGGAACGTCTCGCTCATGGTGTTCGACGAGGCCCATCACGCTCAAAAACGCCATCCAGCCGCTGAGATTCTCCGACAGCACTACCACCCGCTCAAGCAACGAGGCGAGCGAGTCCCCAAGATCCTTGGCCTGACCGCGTCGCCCATCTGGAACGTCAAGCAACCTTGGAAGGCTGTCGCGTGCGTTTTCCCGCAATCCTCCCGCGCACATTACTGACCATCTCGTCCGCAGCGAGCTTGAGTCGAATCTCGATGCACGGATCCTCGAGATATCGAGCGACCACCGAGCCGAGCTCGAAGCGCATACGCCGTCCGCCCAAGAGCAGCTCGTCACGCACAGTCCAACTCCGCCCGACGTTGCCGCCGACGCTGGTCTTGCTCGCCTCCTCCTGTACAACGTGCCCGGTCCTCCCAATGCCGAGCAAGCCGGTCGCTTCGAAAAACGACTCATTGCGGCGTACCGCCTGTTCGGCACCGCTGGCGCGAGGCTCTTGCTCTATGAGGCCACACCGACGACTCCGCCTGCTTGTGACAGTCCGGCGATACTCTCCAGCACTTCGGACGAGCTCTCGCCGAAGGTCAAGGCTCTCGTCGCCTCGCTCGAGCCTTACAGCCGCGACCCGAACGCGCACATCATCGTCTTCGTCGAGCAACGCCATCATGCCTCGGTTCTTGTCGAGCTCATCAAGCGCATTGACTCGCTCCGAGGCTGGACCCGTCCGGCTGCTCTCGTCGGACATGGAAGGGAAGGCTGGGGTCGCGGCAACGGTCCCGACTTGGCGGAGCTCGGCATGGCCATTTCAAGGAGCAGCAGGCGATCGTGGCCGCGTTCCGTGCAGGCGAGGTAGGTCCCCACTTCGCATTAGCAGAATCAAGCTGACTCTAGGCCCCGCCGCAGTACAACCTCGTCGTCGCGACCCGAGTCGCCGAAGAAGGGCTCGACATCCAAAAGGTCAACGTCGTCGTTCGCTTCGACGCTCTGACGACCATCACGGGCTACGTCCAGTCTCGCGGGCGAGCGAGGGCATCCGACGCACGCTACATCGTCATTGCCGAGGAAGGTTCGCCCGAGGCGGCCAAGTACAAGGAGTACGTCGCGCAGGAAGCAGCTCTGCGCGACATGTACGAACGGAGGGACGAGCTTCCAGACGACCCGCTCGAGCCGGAACTCGACAACCTGCCGACCTACTCGACCGCAAAAGGCGCGCTCCTCACCCATCAATCCGCTATCCCGACTCTCGCCGAGTTCTTTCAGCTCTTGCGGTACGACGTCTGGTCGACGGTTGTCAAACCCGAGTTCGCTCTCAGCGCAGCAGGTCCGCCGTGGTTCGCGACGCTTACGGTCCCGAAGACGGCCGCTCTCGACAGAACCGTCTTCGTCTCGGACCCGATGCCAACGAAGAAGGCAGCTAAGCAGCGCGCAGCCTTCGAAGTCTGCCTCGCACTGCATCGCGCCGGAGCGCTGGATGATCATCTCCTTCCGATTCGCGAGAAGGCGGGCAAAGGTTCGAAAGATGCGGACGGGCGCGAGGTTAACGTCGAGCCGATCCCGGCCCACCTCGACCTCGAGCTGCCCAACAACTTCGGAAACGTCTGGAACTCGAAGCAAGCGTTCGTGCACGTCGTCGAGATCAGCTTGCCAAATATCGACCAGCCTTGTCGCCTCGCGCTCGTCTCGGGGAGGGTCCTGCCCGCGATTGAACTCCTCACCCTCTTCACCCGCGAGGGAACACCCTTTGCCGTCAAGGGCGTCGCCACCTCCTCGCACGACTGGCCGAGCGACGACGAGCGAGACGAGCGCCTTGCTCAACTCGAGGCGTTCAACCGAACCTGTACTCGTATCGTCCTCAACCGCCGCATTGAGGACGATGTCTGCTTCTTTGCTCTCTGGGCTCCGGTCGACACTGCTGGCCAGATCGACTGGGCGGCGCTCGACCGCGCCTTCTCCCCGCTCGACATCGAGAAGGTCAAGCCCGGCGACCTTGTAGTTGTCCCGCTCCGCCGTCCTACTGCCCGCATCGGTCGCTACCTGGATGTCCGTACAGACGTCGACTCGACATCCCCGACGCACGAAATCGAGCCTGACTCGCCGACGTCGAAGCGCAAGCTGATCGCCCGCTATCCGGATTACCACGTCTACCTCAAGGTTGCCTACGACTACCACGGTTCGAAGGAGGGCATTCCAGAGCCGGTTGTCCGCTACGAGCCGCTCGACGTTCGCCCGCACAACGCTCTTGTCCCGCCAGAGCAGCGCTTCGAGCTGCAGCCGAAACCTTACGCTCACAACCGCAACTTCCCCGTCTCGATGATCCAGCAGACAACGCTACCTCTCGCCTTCTTCAGTGCCTTCTCCCTCGTTCCCTCGCTCAACCGATCGTTCCTGGAGACTGCCGCCGCCGTCGACACCGTTCAACGCTTCGATCTTCCCGCCAATCCACCGTTAACGCTGGTACAGGCCCTCACGGCGCCCTCGTGCTGCCGAGGATTCGACTACCAGCTGCTCGAGACGCTGGGCGACTCGGCGCTGAAAGTCGCAACTTCGATCCACATCTACCTTGAGTATCCTCGCGGCGACGAGAACCGACGTGCGTGCTTCCGATCCCTGCCTCGAGCGACCCAACTGACGTGCCAACGCTTTAGTCACGCGTCTGCGCGAGAACTCGGTCGGCAACCTGTTCCTCCGTCGTCGAGCGATCGACACCGGCTTCGCGTCCAGCATCATCCCCTACACTCTGCGGAGCTCGACCTTTGTACCGGAGACTTCCGACGACGCCGATGTGTCTGCGGACGGATTGAGCATCAAGAAACGCCTCTCGCGTCGCCTGCTCTCAGACGTCGTTGAGGCCATTCTCGGCGCGGCCGCCCTCGTCTCGTTCGACACCGCCATGCAAGTCGGTGACCGTCTTGGGCTCTGCTTCGGCGGCATCACTCCGTGGAGCGACAGACCGTCTGGCAAGTCCGTCCTCGCCAACTTGAGCCAAGCAGCCGGACCTGCCTTCCGCAAGATCGAGGAGGCTTTCGGATACCGCTTCGAGTACGCTCGGCTCTGCTCTTTGGCCATCCTTTGTTGACGATGCTTCCCTGCAGGCGTGGAGGACAGCTCTTGAAGCAAGCTCTCACGCATCGCTCCTTCGTCGACCAGTCCGCCAGCTTCTATGAGCGCGAGGAATACCTCGGCGACAGCCTGCTCGACTGGTGGACGACGCTCCGACTGTACCAGCTTTTCCCGAACTCGACACCCGGCAAGCTCAGCTACGTCCGCTCGATGCTGGTCTCGAATGGCGTGCTCGCCCTTCTCGCCGTCAAGAAGCTCGACCTCCACAAGATGATCTTGCACTCGTCTCCGCCGCTCGAGACGGCGCTGCGAGAAGCGGCCGAACAGGGCAAGCGTTTCGAGTACGCAGATGTGCCGACTGGCGCCTTGACTTGGCTTTGGGATCCTCCGAAGGTGCGTCGGCTTCCTCAAGCGGTCTCCACTCGACTTGCGAAGCTGACGAGCGTCGTAGGTCCTTGGCGACGTCCTCGAAGCCCTTCTCGCTGTGGTCTTCCTTGACTGCGGCATGCAACTCGAGCCGGTTCTCGAGGTACTCGACCGCCTCTACGCCGACATCATGCCGCACATCAAGGAATCGGATGCTCGCGACCCGTACTCGCGGTTCTTGATCTGGAAGGCCAAGCGAGGCTGCACGCACCTCTCACTGAAGCAAGACTTGCCTCGTTCCGCGTTCCTTGCGCCTGCTGACCATTACACTCTCTGCAGGGTCACTTCGCTCACAGACACCGCCCCAACCCTCCCCAAGTCGCCCTACATGTCCGCGCGCATCCTCATCCAACCGACCTATACCGCTCTCGTCACTTTCCACGGCGAGATCCGCGCTTCGCAGACCAGCTCATCGAAAGCGGTCTCGCGGCAACTCGCCGCGAAGGCGGCGCTTGAGGTGCTCGCGGGAGAGGCGGGAGCGAGATGTGACTGCGTCAAGGAGAAGGCCAAGAAGCCGATCGAGGAGGATGAGGGAGCCGATCAGGACGGGAGCGATGGTGGCGCCTCCAGCGAGCAGTCTACCAACTCCGCCCTTGTCGTGTTCGACGAGGAGACAAAGGAGGAGGAAGAGCAGACGGAGGCGGCTGAAGCGCAGGATGAAGCGATCGGTGCGTTTTCATTCCACTTTCGTCGCGAGTCAAGCTGATCTTCAGCTCGCACAGACTTGCTCGTGCGCATCCGCGAGTACTGAAACATGCGGCGCCAGCACCCGTCGCCGCCTACGAGTCCACCGCCCTTTTGCCCTGCCTACGACCGTTATACCCTTTCGCACACTCTGCAGCTATCGCCAGCTTGCTCTTCCGTACTGGCTCGTGCTGCATCTCGGCCGTCCCCCTCGTCCGGCGTCCCTCAGAGGCCTGCGTGCTTCGCCGGCGGGAAGCGAAGCGCGAAGCTGAAGTCAACGCAGCGGCTCGCACGAGCGCGGCTGGAAGCACGGAGAACAAGCGCGAGCAGATGTACGAAAGACGCTCGTAGCATGCCGTCGCCAGCCCTGTGCACCTCCTTGTCCCCTCCTGCCGCCTTGCTTTCTCTTCTCCTCATCACTCTCCGCTCTCGCTCGTCTACTACCCGCGGTATCAGTGCTTGCTGGATTCCGGAGCGACGCAGCTGTGATACAGAGCGCTCTGCAGAGCTGCGCGTCTTGCTAGCGAGCATGTCGGCCTCGTCCTCCACCTCGAGCACCGAGACGAGCGCGTCTACCATCATTGCAGCTGTGCAGGCCAAGCTTGCGGTGCCCTTCGTCGGCAGGCAGCTCTACGAGATCCCTTCGGCGGCACAGCTAGCTGGCGGCAAGTCACCAGGAGCAGCGAGCAGCGGACAGACCCAGAGGGACTGGATCCGCACGACTGAACTCGATGGCACAAGCTGCGCTATCCCCTTGTCCATTGAACGCATCGCCGCTCTCGGTCAGAGGTCGTACACAAGCGCCGCGCGTGCCCAGCCTATCTCGCATCTCTGGCGAGCGCGCCCGAACGCCTCTCTCCACCAGCCGAACCGATCACGACCGATGTTATCAACCCGAAACCTCGCACTTATGCGAACGAGGCGGCATTGCAAGCACGTCTGGCTGTCGACCTCGACCCGGTCGCCCATCTCCTCGCGGTCGTCACGGGCGACGATGATTGGACCGTCTCGCTCGACGACCACTACAACGCCGGCTTTAGTCCTCTGCCCGACCTTCCACCACCTCCGAAGAACGTTACTGCGGCGGGCGTGACGACGTATCGCGACACTGACGGCGCCCGCTGGGACGGAGCCATTACCGAAGAGAAGGCAATTTCCGACGCCGAGTTGCGCGCAAGCGTAGCCTTCCTCATCGCTCAGGGCACGCTTCCGCCGACCGTCGTTGTTGACGACAAGATCATGTTCTGGGACAAGCACCGGCGGGAGTGGGCCAAGCTTACGCCGGCCTTGCGACTCGCTTATCAGGTGCGTGACTTTTTTGCCCTTCTCCAAGCCTAGGCTTACCCTTGTCCTCCCAGATTAACTCAATCATCACATCGCGCTTCCGCCGTTCGAAAAGCCGAGGGCTCGCCAACCCCTTCGTTCCCCTCGTCGTCACGAACGGCACGCTTCTCTTCACGGTCCTCGCAACCGTCTTCACTCTCGACGGCATCGAGTACTCTCGCCTCGGATTCACGGATGCTGAACAAGTCGCTGGCTTCCCGCTTCGCGACCTCATATTCGCTCATAGCTTGATGCACCAACTCGCACCTCCGATCCTCCCGCCTCCCGATTATCTGCCCGAGAACATCCTGGCAGCAACTTCGACTCCTTCCGACGTTTGCAACCTCAGCGAGGAGGCTGTCGAGGCCCTACAACGCTTGCTCGGCGAGGAGGAGCAGCAGGATAGCCGAGGCGGAAGCGGTCAGGGCAATAGCCGTGGAGGCGGGAGAGGCGGGAGAGGCGGTAGGGGCGGGAGAGGCGGGAGACGCGGGAGAGGCGGGAAAGGCGGAGGAGCGGGCGGACCTGGTCCGCGCGGAGGTGGCGGCGGAGGCGGAAAGAAAGGCGGTTCGACGAAGACAGGCGCCGAAAAGGGCGGTGGCGGCGAAGGCAGGAGCGCTCCCGCCGGCAAGTTTAGAGGGGGGTTTCCAGCCGATGCGAAGGACGTTGAGAGGATGACTTGGCTCAGGAGTGGTAAAGAAGAGCCGCAGGGTGCCGGTGAAGTTGTTCCGTCTGAAGAACCGGTTTGTCATCTTCCGTCTGCCTCGCACAGGCAATGCTGACCTTTCGATTCCTCAAGCAGGACAAGCTTGACCTCCCCGTGCGCCCTCGCACAGGTCTTTATCGGCCGATCCAGCTGACTTTGTCTTTTTGCAGCCGATCTTCAACCTTGTCGCCGCCTGGTTTGGTTCGCTCTCGCTCCCTAGGACCTTTGGATCGACCGTGAGTCGTTTGCCGCAATGAGGCAAAGCACTTCGCGCTGACTACGTTGTCCTGCAGGTCCGACCACCTCCGTTCGCGAGCGACAACGTTCCGACAGTGCTGCTGGATCACCTTCTCGCCGAGAACAACACGATGATCGTCGCCAAGAGCACCGCTCTCAATCTCGTGCTCAAGCAAGTGTGGGTCGCAGACGACCTCTTTCCGGAACTTCTCAACGAGAAAGCCTGCTTCGAGGAGCTCAACAAGGACGAGCACGTCGACGACTATCTCGTCCATTACGTGGGGTGCTACTCGTCGGCATTGCGCTCGCACTACTGCCTCGCGACGGAAGCGGGCGAGCCCCTCCAGGACTGGAGGCATCAGAAGTGCGTGCTGCCTTCGATTCCTCCACGCGGCCTTGCTGACATTCCCTCCCCACGCCAGGGACGCCATTACCCGCATCGTCGAGCAGCTCCACCGACACGGCTACGTTCACGGCGACTTGGCTGAGCGGAACATCGTCAAGACCCCTCGTGGACCTCGCCTCGTCGACCTGGGACGGGCGAGGAAGGCGAGTCCTGAGGATTGCGCGCGGGAAATGGAGCAGCTGAAGAAGGTGCTGGCTGGAGACGCGGACGAGCTTGACTACGGATGGTTGGGCTACTAGTTTCCTTCACCTCTCTGCAACCTTTCTGTACTTCCGAGACTTGTCGTTGTTACCCTCCCTCCGCACTCTCTGCAGAATACATTCGATTGGCTCCGCAACTACTACCTACTCCGTCAATGAGAGCCTTGCAGGTCGTCCGGCTCTCTCGCGGGCGGCGAGATCTCCAGGTCGTCCAGTTGCGCGTCGAGCGTAGCCTGTTCCGCTCGCCGCTGCGAGCAGGACGCGGAATGATGGTGAGCGGAGAGGAGAGCAAATGGACAGGAGCGAGCATTCCGCACCTTCAGGCTTGTCAGCGCGGTCCGGACGTGCTCGACGAGGTCCGGTAGAGGATGTCGGTACATCTCAAGGTCGATCGTGACAACGTAGCAGTAACCTGCAAAGCGTGATAGTGAGCAAAGCGGAGAACAGGAGCGCCGTAAGTGCGCCACGCACCAGCCATCAACCACTTCCTCGGGCCCGTCTCGCCGACAACCTCCTTGCTGACCGCGATTCTTCCCGGCGCAGTCTCATCCTTCCGCGCTCCGCGTACGACAACCATCCTCACCGCCTCCCTGAACCGCCTCTTACACCGGTCGCGTATACACGCGCTCTTGTGCACCTTCTTCTTGGCCGCCATGATCGTCAGGTCCATTGTGTACGGCTTCTTCTGCTTCTTCAGCCTCGCGAGATGTTTCCGCACATCCTCGGGAGTCGAGAGGAAGGGGTCGAGGTGTGACGGGTCGTCGTCTGTCAGGCCGGCGAACGTAGGGGGAGGCGAAGGGAGGTCTACTGAAGCGGAGCGAGGGATTGGATAAGGGTTTCCGTTTGGATGGCGGGTTGGCATGGGGAAGCATCTCATGCTGAAGAGGGTGTTGGAGGTGTTGAACTGGAGCGGGAAAGCAGAGACGAGAGGACGACATTGGTCGTGTCGAGGAAGGGAGCGGCACTGCAAGCGTCCGAGCAGGTCAGCGTGCGAAGAGGGGTTGGAGAAGCGCTCCACGCACCGCTGATCAGTACCGTACAGCCCGCAACTGCCTCACCGTGCCACCCTTTCCTCATCTCCTTGTCCTCCTCCGAGTGGTCGAGCAGCTGGGTGAGGCACCTCTGCGACCCGGACGGCGGTACTAGCATGTCGATAGAGCACTTTCATGAGCACCTGCCATCGTTCAGCGTCCCACGAAGCGGGTAAGCGGCGTATGTGAGCGGTCCAAGGTCAAGCGATGGAGGTCGCCTCTGTCCACTCCGCTTCGACTCGCTCGACGATGCTGTGCGCGCGTGTACGGTTCAGAACTGCTCCTTTAGTCTCCCTCGCATGCTCGTCCGGCCAGCTGCGGCGACCCTTGACGTCGCCTCTCTCCTCCCTTCCCCTGCCTCCCGCTACGTCGACTCCGGCCGTACAGCAACGCCTACATGCGTATGAAACAGGCTTTGAATACCCGAATACCTCCTCGAAACTTCGTCTGCACACCTACCTCGACCGAGCTGGCAGCTATCGCAGCTGGTGAGAGGGTGAGGCTCACGCCCCCTCTGACCCAGCGCGTAATCCGTCCGGACGAGATTGGCGGGCGAGAAGCAGCTATACCCTTGACCATCGAACCCATCAACGAAACGGAGATCTCCTATTTCGAAGCTGTTCGCCGTCAGATGGCGGGCTACTTCTCTAACGCCCGCCAGCACCCTCACGACTACCTCCACCTCCCGCCCACATTGTACCGTCCCGAAGAGCTCGGTATCGAGCCGACCACGTACTACAGCGAGGCACAGCTGGGGCACTGGCTCTCCCAAGATCTCATCCCGTCTGCCCGAAGCCTCAGCGATATCGACGGCGACATCTGGACAATCGGACCCGACACGGCGGGGAATCGCGCGAACATGTGGCCGGTAACGTCTGCCGATCTCGTACTGAGCAGGTGGTTGGGCGGTGGATGGGAAGGCGCGGCTTCGGCAATCAAGGCAGTGCTGGACGAGACGTTGGAAGAGGGACGTACGAAAGCGCTGGCTATGGGCGTCTACCCGTGCATGGTGAATACGACGGGAGGTACGCCGAACTATTGGGATGAACGAAGCGGGATGTTGCGGCCCCTCGACGCGACGCTCCGCTTTCTCGTTCACGCGAGTTCATCTTATTCCCTCACCTGCTCACCAAGCTGACGTTGCTTCTTCCAGATCAACTCAATCATGACGTCACAAATTCGAAGGTCGCAGCACGCGGGCGTGGAAAACCCGTACATCCCGCTCATCATCACGAACGGCTCCGTCTTCTTCGTCGTCCTCGGCAGACTCGACATCATCGACGGTGAGGCGTATGGCCGTCTGGGCTTTACTCGGATGGAATCTCTCGCCAACTACCCGCTGCGCCTGCTCTTCTTCGCCCACGCCCTTATGCATCGCCTCAACCCTACCCTTCCTCCGCCTCCCGGCTTCTCCCTCGACGAAGCCTTGAAGTCCACAATTCAGCCTTCTGTCGCCTTCAAGTCACAAGCCAAAGCGGAGGAGGCGCTGCGTGCGCTGGAAATGGCGAAAAGGGCGAGCGACAAGTCGGGTGCGAAGGGGAACCAGGAGTCGGACGGTACGGAGGCCGGGCGCAGTGGCGGCACCGGAGGCCGCGCAGGAGGTGTTGCAGGAGGTGGCGAGGCGCGCGGTGGTCGACACTTTCCCTTGTCGTCTCTTCTCGCGACGCGACTGAGAGCGAAAGACATCCAGGTTCATTCGCATCCGTCACCTTGTCATGCCTATCCTGCTGACAGCTGTCTCCTCGACTCACGGAAGAAGCTCGCTTTGCCGGTCCGTTTTCGTCCCCTACCTTGTTTGCCGCAACTGATGTTTGTCTCGCCGGCAGCTTCGATTCGAGTTGGTCGTGGCTTGGTGGGGAGAAGGACGGGGACGCTCGGATCCAACCACGTTCGAGCTCGCAACGGTAGGCTTGTTCCTCGATCTCGACGCTTCCCGCTGACTCCGCTTTCCCGCAGGCGCGAGACTCGCAGCCCGCCACCGACCATGTACCGACCGTCGTCCTGGACAAGCTTCTGAGCAAGGTCGATTCTCTCTCCGTTGCCAAGAGCACCGCCCTCAACCTCGTTTTCAAGAAGGCGTGGGTTGCGGACGAGCGCGCCACAGAACTGCTCAACGAGGGAGCAATCTTCGACGAGCTCTACCGGCAGGACGACGCAGCCGACTTTCTCGTTGGTTACGCCGGATTCTTCGAGTCGACGAACGAGTCGCACTACTTGCTTGTCACAGAGGCGGGCGAGGCCCTCGAAGATTGGAGGAAAGAGAGGTGCGTTCCAGGTTGCTCTAGCTGCCTGATCAGCGCAACCTCGCTGACGCTTCGGTACGCATCAGCGATGCTGTGATCGAGATCGTCGAGCAGCTCCACCAACGCGGCTACGTCCACGGCGACTTGGCAGAGCGGAATGTCGTCAGGACCCCTGCAGGACTGCGCCTCATCGACCTTGGCCGTGCAAGGAGAGCCGAGGGACACGAGTGCGCGCGGGAGATGGAACAGCTGAAGAAGGTGTTGGCGGGCGAAGCAGACTGGCTCGTTTACAGCTTCCTGGGCTATCATTACGGTTGGTAGCCTCGCTCGCTTCGCAATCCGCCTCTCGCGCTTCCTCTCTCTCTGCAACGTCTGTGCAGCTTGTGCACAAGTCAATACATCAATCTGCAGTGACTGCTTCGTCCGGCTCTCTCGCGCGCGGCGAGATCTCCAGGTCGTCCAGTTGCGCGTCGAGCGTAGCCTGTTCCGCTCGCCGCTACGAGCAGGGGGCGGAACGATGGTGAGCGGAGAGCAAACGGACAAGAGCGAGCGTTCCGCACCTTCAGGTTTGTCAGCGCGGTCCGGACGTGCTCGACGAGGTCCGGTAGAGGATGTCGGTACATCTCAAGGTCGATCGTGACAACGTAGCAGTAACCTGCGAGCCGTGATAGTGAGCAAAGCGGACAACAGGAGCGCCGTAAGTGCGCCACGCACCAGCCATCAACCACTTTCTCGGGCCCGTCTCGCCAACAACCTCCTCGCTGACCGCGATTCCTCCCGGCGCATTCTCATCCTTCCGTGCTCCGCGCACGACAACCATCCTCACCGCCTCTCTGAACCGCCTCTTACACCGGTCGCGAATACACGCGCTCTTGTGCACCTTCTTCTTGCCTGCCATGATCGTCAGGTCCATTGTGTACGGCTTCTTCTGCTTCTTCAGCCTCGCGAGATGTTTCCGCACATCCTCGGGAGTCGAGAGGAAGGGGTCGAGGTGTGACGGGTCGTCGTCTGTCAGGCCGGCGAACGTAGGGGGAGGCGAAGGGAGGTCTCTTGAAGCGGAGCGAGGGATTGGATAAGGGTTTCCGTTTGGATGGCGGGTTGGCATGGGGAAGCATCTCATGCTGAAGAGGGTGTTCGTAATGTTGAACTGGAGCGGCTGCGCGGATTTCGAGGGGAAGAGGACGGTATTGGCGGCATCGTAAGGAAGAGAGCGGAACTGCAGGCGCCCAGGGGATCAGAGGGCGGTCCTGACGTACAAGAGCGAGCTTTACGTACCGCTAGTCGCCACGGCGCAGCCGGCAACTCCCTCAGCGCGTCGTACCTCGTCCTTTTCCTCGGGGTCTTACTGGGTGGTTCAGCAGCAGGGTGAGCGGGCTCAGGCGGTTGCGCAGCGGTACTGGCATGTCGAGCGAGCGCGTCAGGGACTTTCTGCACCCCTTCGAGGGCGCTGCGAGCGAGAGAGCGGAACATGCGAGCGGTCAAAGGGGAAGAGATGAGGAAAGGCTGTGTAGGCATGTTGTTCGCCGGTCACAACGCTTTCGAGCGCTTTCTGAGCGCTCTACAGTGACGCAGGACTCGCACAAAGCACGACCACGAAGAACGGAGTCAAAGAAATACACGACAAGTACATTGCGTCCCTCCTTCGCACACACTGACTACTCTTGCATCGCGTTCCCGTTCGCTGTTCGGGATTTTTGCCGGTCTAGGTCTCGCAGGTCCTTCTCCGTCGGACTGTGCGAGCGAGAGACGGGTGAGCAGGGTGGATAAGTGTGAGAGAGAGAGAAGAGTGACATACACGAAACCTTGCGCGAGCATGCGCTGGAGGCGGCGGATCTGCGAGCGGAGGTGGACGGTAGGACGTTGAGCTTGTTGGTTCGACATGCGCAACGAAAGCCGAACCGAATGCGACTCACCTCCTCGACACTCTCCGCTCCCTCGATCGCCTTCCGCACCCTCTCCTTCTCCTCCTTGGTCAACAACCTTCCAGCCTTGCCCGCCGCAGCCTTCTCCACACTCGCAGGCTCGACGCCCGGCTCGAACGTCTTCGGTACGAGCGACGGTGCGGCGGAACCGGTTGCAACGGCGGAGAGGAAGGAGGTGTGAAGGGGAGTCGGTTCGCCGGCGGCGGTGAGGAAGAGCGAGCGGGCGTGTTCGCGGTCCTGGCGAGTACAGCTTCGGGTGAGCCCGAAGACAGCAAGACGAAAGGAAGGGAACAGCCAGACGTACCTTGAGCTGCACCCGCTCAAAGTCGAGCGACCTCAGCTTCTCACACTTGAACACGATCCACTCCTTGTAGTGTTCCGCCTGAGCGACAGGCGCGCCCTTCAGACTCAGCATCTCGAGTTTCCTGCACTTGCCCAGCGTGTCTCCCAGGACGGCGAGCGAGTCCTTCGGGACTGCCGAGTTCGTGAGGATGAGGGTGCGGAGGTTGGGCAGGCTGGTTGCGATAGAGGGAGAGACGGTGCGGACGGGGTTGTTGGCGAGGAGGAGCTGGGAGAGGCGGCGGAGCAGGGGAAAGTTGGAGACGGAGGTGATGGCGTTGTCGGTGAGGTCGAGCGAGTCTAGCTGGTCCTTTGTGACACCCAAGTTCTCGATGGCAGGGATCTTGTGCCCTGTTTCGGTGAATCGCGGTGAGTGTGGGAGAGCGGAGCGGTGAGCAAGACGAGGCGTACCTCGCAGATCGAGCTCGCGGTCTTTCAGGGGGCTCAAGACCGAAGGCGTCCGAGCAATGAGGTCTGCATCGAGGCTGCGTGTGGCGTGTGTGCGGCGTGGTGAGCGTTGTGTGCGCATGAGATGCGAGTGAGGACGAGAGGCTCACCGGACCATGATTCGAGCGAGCGGCGCGCGCAGCTATCCTCCAGCAAGTCCAGTGAGAGTCTACCGGTCCACTCTGAGCCAGTCAAGCAGTCCAACAGCGAAGTCGAGCGTGTGTGGTGAGGGAGAGGTGTGGAGTGAAGGGTTGAACCTGGGCCCTCTCGCTTTCGAGGCTGTTGCTGGCTAAGGAGTGCTCTACAGATACTCTCGGTACTCGCAGGACACCCGCACACCCTTTCCACGCCGAGCGACCCTTTCCTCTCGTCCTCACACCTCTCCCCCTCATCAGCAGCCGGCAATGTCGCACGACGCCCACCAGGGACAGCGTGCGTGCCTCCATTGCACTCGTTAGACTCGTACGAGCCCACTGACCTTGCCCGCTCACACCAACACCTCGCCGTTCGCCTCGACACGCCCCCTTCCCCCGCTCGCGGACCCCTTTCGACCCGTTCGCACGCTCTCGCTCGCAGTGGACGGCGCAGCGCCTGCTCACAATGTCATTCAGAAGAAACTTGGTGGATTCGTCGGATGTCAGTCCCCGCTCGTCGCGCCTGAGACGAGACTGCCGCCCGGAACTGACCTCGCCTGGTGGAGCTCGCAGTCGCCAACCTGCCGAACCAGTACCACCGCAGGTCGGTGCGCAAGGGTGAGTTCGCTGCACTGACTTCTTCCATGCGCGCTGGCTGACCGCACTCGCCGACAGGCTTCCACTTTACCGCCATGGTCGTCGGTTCGTTCGCTCCTTCGCTCCCTTCTTCCGCTCGCACTGACCCATTGTGCATTCACAGGCGAGTCCGGCCTCGGCAAGTCGACTTTGATCAACACTCTCTTCAACACGAGCCTCTATGCGAAGAAGAACGTTCCTGCGCCGCATCACGAGAGGCCGCAGACGGTCGCGATCGAGAGTATCACGGCGGGTGCGTCGCACACTGTTTCCTGCGCACGCGCAGCAGATCGTTTCTTACGAAAAACGCGCTGACCTTGCGCTGTTTGTCGCGGCGCAGACATTGAGGAGAACGGCGTCAGGCTGCGACTGACCGTTGTTGACACGCCCGGCTACGGCGACTTCATCAACAACGAGGACGGGTGCGCACATATCATCTCCTACCCCGATCAAACACCCGCTAACGGATCATGCGACGCGAATCCAGCTGGAAACCCATTCTCGACAACATCGAGGCCCGCTTCGACGCCTACCTCGAGCAGGAGAACCGCGTCAACCGTCAGAAGATGGTCGACAACCGCGTCCATGCCTGCTTGTACTTCATCGAGCCGACCGGTCACTCGTGAGTGGCTCGTCTCGGAAGACCCGTCGGCTCTGTTTCTTGAAAGTCTCGCTGACAGTTTCCATGCGCATGAACTCACAGTCTCAAGCCCGTCGACATCGAGTTCATGCGTCGCCTCCACACTCGTGTCAACCTCATCCCTGTCATCGCAAAAGCCGACACGCTCACCGACGACGAGATCGTCCAGTTCAAGGCGCGCATCATGTCCGACCTCGCACACCACCGCATCGAGATCTACCAGGCGCCGCAGTACGAGTTGGAGGACGAGGAGACATTGGCTGAGAACGAGGAGATTGTCGTGAGTCCATTTGTCGCTTCGAGGTTGCCCGCGAAGTCGCGCGCACTCACCGCGGCTTCCATCCTACAGCGCAAGATCCCCTTCGCCGTTGTCGGCTCCGACACGGTGGTTTCGACTCCCGATGGCCGACAAGCACGCGGACGCGCCTACCCATGGGGCACCATCGAGGTCGACAACGAGGACCATTGCGACTTCGTCAAGCTGCGGCAGATGCTCATCCGCACGCACATGGAGGAGTTGAAGGAGCACACGAATGGCGCTTTGTACGAGAACTACAGGACGGAGAAGTTGTTGGCGATGGGTGTCGCGCAGGATCACTCGGTCTTCAAGGAGGTCAAGTGCGTTGCTCTCGCTTTCCTGCCAAGCGCGACCGTTGCTGACGTCCTCACGACCCGCCCGCAGCCCGGCGGCCAAGATGGCGGAGGAGCGCGCCTTGCACGAGGCCAAGCTCGCAAAGATGGAGGCCGAGATGAAGATGGTCTTCCAGCAAAAGGTCAACGAGAAGGAGGCCAAACTCAAGCAGTCGGAGGAGGAGCTCTACGCGCGCCACCGCGAGATGAAGGAGGCGCTCGAGAAGCAGCGCATCGATCTCGAGGAGAAGAAGAGGCGCCTCGAGCAGGGAAGGCCGTTGACGCCGGAAAAGGTGCGCTTGCCTGCGATGTCTCGTCGTCATTTGCTAACGCAAGTTGACATCGACTCGCTCGACGTCAACAGCAGCAGACGAAAAAGAAGGGCTTCTTGCGCGCATAGTTTCTCTCGCCGCCTCGTCACGAACGCCTCTCTTCGTCTCACGACTCGCTCACGACGCTCGCCCACCTCGCCTCGCCTTTTTCGGGGTTCCCGCTCGCCTCGCTTCGTCACCCTGCTTTCCCCAAGATACCTTAGTTCAGCCTTCCCCCGCCTCGCCACGGACTTTCTCCTTCCATTCGCAGCCATCTCTTCGTTTGTTTTCCCCTGTGCCAATCCTCCTCGATCTTAGTCGCTCCTCTGGTAGACGACCTCCTTTCGTTACCCTCGCTTCGTTTCCGTACTTGCAGTTCAGACTCTGCCCTCGCTCGTCCTCCCGGTCGTGGTCGTGTATGCTCGTTACAGGCACCGATGCGATTAGCCCAAGAGTCGTTCTACGAGGAGAATCTATCGCTACAAGCCGCTCTTCGTCGCACGCTCGTTCACTCTGCGTTGCCGCTCCTCCCCTTGTGCGTTCCGCTGCTTCCCTCAAACGTTGCCCATATTGCCGCGCCCTCATCCTTGCTCGCAAAGCTCATCTCGACCGTCTTGTTGACCACCTCGCGCACAACCTTTGCGACCTGCTTGCTTGTTTTCTTGCCCGCCGTCTCGACTTCTCGCCACGACGCGGCGGCGGCCTTGACGTCGTTTGGCGAGAGGAGCGGGGGTTTCCAGGTTGAGAGGACGAGGGTGGAGAAGAAGGTTGACAGGGAGGAGAAGGAGGTGAGAAGCGGGTGGTGGCAGGCCGCGAGTTCGAGGGTGGGTTGCGAGAGGGGAGTGCCGGGTGCTGTAGAAAAGGCGAAGTCGCGGTCAGCGTGCGCCATTCTTATCGAGAGCGCCGAATGAAGCAGATGCGGCTTCGTCATTGGCTCAGAGCTTGACCAGCGAAAGAGACGCACTCCAGCCGTCAGGATTCATCGCCGCCTCGAGGACGAGCGTCGATTCGCTGAGCAAAGCGCCGTACTTTGCCTCGGCCTTTTCGAGCGCCTGCCAGTGAGACTGGAGGAGGCGAAGTTCGTCGAGGACCGGCTTCAAGTCCTGGTTGGCGTGAAAGTCGTGCAGGCCGTGCGACTCGCGGATGCACGTCGCGACAAAGTTCAGGATCTTGCGTGCGGCGTACGAGATCGAGGTGAGGTACTTGGCGAGGTAGCTGGCGTTGAGGACGAGCGACGAGACGAGCGTCTTCATTTGCCCGCGAACGGATCGTTGCGGGACTGACCAATACTGACTGATACGGGCCTGTGAGACGAGATGGAGGAGACTCAGGTTGCTGTTTCTCCGTCTTGACCGGCAAACGCACCTGCACTTTGACGAGAGACTTGGCGAGTCCGGCGAATTCGCGCTGCACGCTCGCAAGCTTGAGCTGCAAGTCCTGACAGTCGATCTTTTGGAGCTGCGCGCACACCACAAGTCAGCGTGTGAAGACGGAAGACCAGCGTGACCGCACCTCTCGTCGACTGGTCTGCGTCGCCTGTTGGAGCGGAACTCGCAAGGGTGCCGAAGCGGAACCCTGCACAACCTCTGCGTCAGCTGGGCCCGCTTGAGCAAGCGAGAAAGAAGAGAAGTGACCGGCGATGGAGGCCTCGTGGTCGCTGGTATCTGGACTGGCGGTACGCTCGACGAGCGAGCTGGCGCTGGGTCGGCAACGACGAGAGTCTGCAGGCGAAGCTCAGCATCTCTTCAAGCGTCCGGGGCCTACACGAAGCTCACACCGTCGTCTTGCGCAATGATCGAACGGCGGCCAAGCGGTGAGGGACGGCGAAGAGGAGGAGCGGTGGGTGAAGGGGGACGAGCAGCAGTCGACATATGGTTCATCCTGAGCGAGCAGCGGGCTTGTAGAAGCGACCGACAAGTCTCCAGCGAGCATGGTGGAAGCAGGCTGGACTCGAAGAGCGTGCGGGGACAGGAGTCGAGGGTGGGACGGAGGATCCGGGCGACGAGTCGGGCTGCGGACAGCGCCGCTGAGCCGGGAGACTTCTTGTAGCAGCCCAGGCCATCTCAATGAACCGTACGGGGCCAGCGAACGAAGTGGCTCAGCGAGCGAGAGCTGTCCATAGCGACTTGGAGGAGGGCAACCCGCGACTTTGCTCTGTCCGCCCCTCTCGCTCACCCACAACGCCTCGATCTGGCTTGAGCAGAATGAACAGCTCGCTGTCGTGGTTGATTGTGCTGCTGAGCTTGTTCGGCGCGAGCTTCGTGTTCTACCTGAGTGCGTTCGCCTCCTCGCGATTCTCATCAGCATCAGGTTCAAACTCGCTCACAACTCCTCCCGGCGCAGTCCTGTCGACGTGCATGGGTCCTCAACTCGTTCAATTGTTCCGCGGCTGGGTCAACAGGCATTACCGGTCGTCGAAGCGGGCCGAGTGGGATTCGGGAGGTGGAGGGTATCGCGAGTTGAGCGCTTCATCACGGTCGTCGAGACGAGCTTTCCTGGATGGGCGTGGAGGAAATGAGGGATACGAGATGGCGACATTCGGGGCAGACGAGTGAGGCGGAACGGCTCGGAAGCGGCGTACAAGCTTGCAGGAGCGCTGGCAGAGTGCGTGCCCCATCTCAAGCGTTTCTTTCCGCGGCGCTGAGCTGACGAATGGATCCCACAGTACTGTTGTGCACTTCGGCTGAGCCAGACGCGTGCTTGACGCGCACACCAGGTGTAGGGATCCGCCAACTCCCCGGCGAGAGATCCCTAAACGGTCGGTGCGTTGCGCTCTCGGGTTGTCCGGTCATCTTTCACCGACGGATATACTCTACAGGCGCACTTCTACGCCGTCTCGCTGCGATTGACTCGCAAACGCACCGGTCGGAGTTCGTCGACCGCGCTCAAACGGCTTCGACGGAGCTCAAGGTGCGTCTTCGTCTCCTCTCGGCCGTTGCTCACCGCTCACCATTGTTGTGCGCTGTGCTCGCAGCGGAAGACGGAGCATGCTGCGCCTAGGACGTGACTAGACGACCTGGAGATCTCGCCGCAAGCAGACTACCGCAACTCGACACAATACGAACTGGTCACTGATTGGACTCGATGTCTGTGTAGAGGATGGGAAGAGGATGGGAGAGCGAGAGGAATGAAGGAGGGGAGGGCGAGCGGCTACCAAATGTAATAGCCCAGGAAGCTGTAGTCGATCCAGTGCGCTTCGCCCGCCAACACCTTCTTCAGCTGCTCCATTTCCTGTGCGAGTTCGTGCTCCTCGGCTCTCCTTGCGCGGCCAAGGTCGATGAGGCGCAGTCCTGCTGGCGTCCTGACGACATTCCGCTCTGCCAAG